ATAGTCTTTTTGTGAAAAATTGTGAAAATTTTTGAAAATGTGTGAATTATAGTCTTTGTATGAAAAATTGTGAAAATTTGTGAAAATGCGTGAATTATAGTCTTTTTGTGAAAAATTGTGAAAATTTGTGAAAATGCGTGAATTATAGTCTTTGTATGAAAAATTGTGAAAATTGTGAAAATGCGTGAATTATAGTCTTTTTGTGAAAAATTGTGAAAATTGTGAAAATGCGTGAATTATAGTCTTTATGTGAAAAATTGTGAAAATTTGTGAAAATGCGTGAATTATAGTCTTTGTATTAAAAATTGTGAAAATTTGCGAAAATGCGTGAATTATAGTCTTTATGTAAAAAATCGTGAAAATTTGTTAAAATGCATGAATTATTCTCTTTGTGTAAAAAATCGTGAAAATTTGTGAAAATGCATGAATTATTCTCTTTGTGTGAAAAATTGTGAAAATTTGTGAAAATGCATGAATTATAGTCTTTTTGTGAAAAATTGTGAAAATTGTGAAAATGCGTGAATTATAGTCTTTTTGTGAAAAATTGTAAAATTTGTGAAAATGCATGAATTATAGTCTTTTTGTGAAAAATTGTGAAAATTTTTGAAAATGCGTGAATTATAGTCTTTTTATGAAAATTGTGAAAATTTGTGAAAATGCGTGAATTATAGTCTTTTTGTGAAAAATTGTGAAAATTTGTGAAAATGCGTGAATTATAGTCTTTGTAAAATATTGTGAAAATTTGTGAAAATGCGTAAATTATAGTCTTTTGTGAAAAATTGTGAAAATTTTTGAAAATGCGTGAATTATAGTCTTTTTGTGAATAATTGTGAAAATTTGTGAAAATGCGTGAAGTATAGTCTTTTTCTAAAAAATTGTGAAAATTTGTGAAAATGCAGGATTTATAGTCTTTTTGTGAAAAATTCTAAAAATTAGTGAAAATGCATGAATTATTGTCTTTGTGTGAAACATTGTGAAAATTTGTGAAAATGCAAGAATTATAGTCTTTGTATGAAAAATTGTGAAAATTTGTGAAAATGCGTGAATTATAGTCTTTGTATGAAACATTGTGAAAATTTGTGAAAATGCATGAAGTATAGTCTTTTTGTGAAAAATTGTGAAAATTTTTGAAAATGCTTGAATTATAGTCTTTGTATGAAAGACTATAGTACACGAATTTTCATGCAAAAGACTATAGTTCACGAATTTTTATGCAAAAGACTATAGATCACGAATTTTCATTTGAAAGACTATAGTATACGAATTTTAATGCAAAAGACTATAGTTCACGAATTTTCATGCAAAAGACTATAGTTCACGAATTTTATGCAAAAGACTATAGATCACGAATTTTCATGAAAAAGACTATAGTACAAGAATTTTCATGCAAAAGACTATAGAACACAAATATTAATGCAAAAGACTATAGATCACGAATTTTCATGCAAAACACTATAATTCACGAATTTTCATGCAAAACACTATAGTACACGAATTTTAATGGTAAAGACTATAGTACAAGAATTTTCATGCAAAAGACTATAGAACACGAATATTAATGCAAAAGACAATAGTACACGAATTTTCATGAGCAAGACTATTGTACACGAAATTTCATTTAAAAGACTATAGATCACGAATTTTCATGCAAAAGACTATAGTACATGAATTTTCATGCAAAAGATAATAGTACCCGAACTTTCATGAAAAAGACTATAGATCACGAATTTTAATGCAAAAGATTATAGTACACGAATTTTCATGAAAAAACTGTAGTACAAGGATTTTCATGCAAAAGACTATAGTACACGAATTTTATGCAAAGACTATAGATCACGAATTTTATGCAAAAGACTATGGATCACGAATTTTCATGCAAAAGACTATAGATCACGAATTTTATGAAAAGACTATAGTACACGAATTTTCATGCAAAAGACTATAGTACACGAATTTTCATGCAAAAGACTATAGTTTATGAATTTTCATGCAAAACACTATAGTTCACGAATTTCCATGCAAATGACTATAGTACACGAATTTCATGCAAAAGGGTAGTGTTTACGAAGTTTCATGTAAAAGACTCTAGTTCACGAATTTTCATGCAAAGGACTATAGTACACGAATTTTCATGCAAAAGACTATAGTTCACGAACTTTCTTGGAAAAAACAACAGTTCACGAATTTTTATGCAAAAGACTATAGTTCACGAATTTTCATGCAAAAGACTATAGTTAACGAATTTTCATGGAAAAGACTATAGTTCACGAATTTTCATGCAAAAGACTATAGTTCACGAATTTTCCTGCAAAGGACTATTATCGTTCATGAATTTTCATGCCAAAGTCTATAGTTTACGAATTTTCATGCAAAAGACTATAGTTCACGATTTTTCATAGAAAAGACTATAGTTCACGAACTTTCTTGGAAAAAACTACAGTTCACGAATTTTCATGCAAAAGACTTTAGTTCACGAATTTTCATGGAAAAGACTATAGTTCACGAACTTTCTTGGAAAGGCTATAGTTTACGAATTTTCATTCAAAAGACTATAGTTCACGAATTTTCATGCAAAGGACTATTATCGTTCATGAATTTTCATGCCAAAGTCTATAGTTTACGAATTTTCATGCAAAAGACTATAGTTCACGATTTTTCATATAAAAGACTATAGTACACGAATTTTCATGCAAAAGACTCTAGTTCACGAATTTTTATGTAAAAGAGTAGAGTTTACGAATTTTCATGCAAAAGACTTTAGCTCACGAATTTTCATGCAAAACATTATAGTACACGAATTTTCATGCAAAAACTACAGTTCACAAATTTTCATGCAAAACACTATAGTTCACAAATTTTTATGTAAAAGACTATAGATCACGAATTTTCATGTAAATGGGTAGAGTTTACGAAGTTTCATGCAAAAGACTCTAGTTCACGTATTTTCATGCAAAAGACTATAGTTCACGAATTTTCATGCAAAAGACTATAGTTCACGAATTTTTATGCAAAAGACTATAGTTCACGAATTTTCATGCAAAAGACTATAGTATACGAATTTTAATGCTAAAGACTATCGTACACGAATTTTCATGCAAAAGACTATAGTTCACCAATTTTCATGCAATAGACTATAGTTCACGAATTTTAATGCAAAAGACTATAGTTCACGAATTTTCATGCAAAGACTATAGTTCACGAATTTTCATGCAAAGACTATAGTTCACGAATTTTCATGCAAAACACTATAGTTCACGAATTTTCATGCAAAAGACTATAATTCACGAATTTTCATGCAAAAGACTATAGTTCACGAATTTTCATGCAAAACACTATAGTTCACGAATTTTCATGCAAAAGACTATAGTTCGCAAATTTTCATGCAAAAGACTATAGTTCATTGTTTATAGTTTCATGCATTTTTACACATTTTAATGGCAAAGACTATAATTTATGCATTTTCAGGCATTTTCATGCGAAAGACTATAATCCATGCAAGAAAATGAAAATGTTTGAAAATGCATGAATTACAGGTTTCTACCTGAAAATGTGTGAACTACAGTTTTTGCTTTGAAAATGCATTGTCTATAGTCACGTAAAAATGCGTAAAGTATTGTTTTTTTTGCGTGTATATGAGTGAAATATGTGGTGTGACTTATGTTAGCCTTTAATTCTACCTCGATGTCTACCTTTAGGTTTACTTTTCGTCTGCCTTTCTGTGTACCTTTATGTGTACCTTTATATGTACCTTTCTGTGTACCTTTATGTGTACCTTTATATGTACCTTTATGTGTACCTTTATATGTACCTTTATGTGTACCTTTATATGTACCTTTATGTGTACCTTTATGTGTAACTTTATGTCTACCTTTAGGTTTACTTTTATGTCTGCCTTTATGTTTACCTTTATGTCTACCTTTATGTTTACCTTTACGTCTAACTTTGTGTCTGCTTATATGTCTACCCTTATGTCTACCTTTATGTCTTCCTTTAAGTCTACTTATATGTCTACCTTTATGTCTTCCTTTAAGTCTACTTATATGTTACCTTTATGTCTACCTTTAAGTCTACTTATATGTCTACCTTTATGTCTAGCCTTATGTTTACCTGTATGTCGACGTTTATGTCTATCTTAATGTCTATATTTATGTCTACCTATATGTTTACACTTACGTCCAACTTTATGCCTATGTTGTTGCATGAAATCTGGTCCAGCGAAATAATAAGGAAGTTGGTTCATGTATTCGGCACAGAGTCCCTTACATGACGTCACTAATGTTAGTCCTTCCACACTTAAATAACGACGGCAAGGTCCAACAAAAGGACTAATTTCGCCCTGTTTTTGCCAACTTTGAACCATCATAAAAAAATCGGAATGATTGGAGAAAATGATGTGCAAGAAATTACATCTAGATTTAAAGTGGCAAATCAAAATTTCTTTTGAAAGAGGCGCTTTAAGTTAATATCACTAATATGTATGAGTTAAATAGAACAACGGTACTTGCTTCAACTCAGCTAAAAATTATTGCTATTTGTGACACCAACTAAGTAAATCTTCCAGAGTAGATTTTTTCTACTAAGGAAAAGATTGTAATACCAATCACGATAGAAGATACCACAAAGGTGCAGAGCCGTATATAGTCACCCTCATTACACTGGTATTTCTGTGAGTATTTATCTTTCAGTTTCGTTGCTCCCCATCTAGTACTAAGTTAAAACGTGATATTTAGGATATATCACAAAAAGTCTAAATTCACTCATTTCCACCTCCAAAAAACCCGCAATTTGGAGTATTTCACCTCCTTAAAAAGTTCATTAATTTGACACGTTTCGAGAAGCGGAACAGTTTAATTTTTGGGTCGAATTTCAACACACTGTTCTTTACATATGTTAAAAATGTGTGCATGACGATGTGATTATGTTGCCTGATGCTTGAACAATTTCGTTAATGATTAAAAATAAAACAATGATGTTGAGTAAAAAAAAAGACACTTTGAAGATTGAGAGTTTCAGTTGATCATTGATTCTTATTCTATTTTACTATTTTACAGTTAAACTAAGTTCTCGTAGTTTGAAATTGATCATTGTGCATTAAATCAGCTATTTCAGTAGACGAAGGTGCAAGATTTTCCAAACGCTGTAAAATAGCACGAACAGTTGGTCGTTCTGAAGGATCGATTTTTATCATGCTCAGAATTAAATTGTTCAAATCCATTGAATAACAACTAAAAAAGAAAACAATTAGTCAAAACCACAAGGTTAAAGACGCACGTACAATAAAATAATAGCAAATATTTAAGATCCCATGACAATAATTTAAAAATATTTGAAGACAGATAGCTAGATCATATGATGTATGTTAAACGTACTGTTGATGAAACAACATTATAAACACACAAGAAACATACAAAGGTGTATAACAAAAGTAAACAATTTTGACATGCTTCGTAGGCCATGAATTTCGCTAAAAATTTTATACATTTGTGCTAGTATGGATACTTACGTAGTTTGGTATATTTGATTGAATCTTAGGCCTAATTCAAACGTCAAACTTTATATGAGCCGAACGCATTTAACACAAAAGATAATGAGGAAGTTCATCTCATTTATTTTCGTCTTTAATGCGTTAGGTGCTTGTAAAGTTCGACGTTTAAAACAAACCTAGCTTACACTAAAAAACAAACAGAAAATTCAACCTTGAAAAACTACAGGGCAGTTTACAAAAACGGAATTTTTAAGCACTAGAGCTTGTGTAAGTAAGAATGATAAAAATAAATTTCATGAAAAATAAGTACGCTCCACAGAATCGTAAACTCGGTTAACTCAAAGCTTGCGTGACTATTTTTGTTCAAGAATGAATTCGTACACTTTAACACATTTACGCAAAGATTTAATTCTCTTTTTCAAAACTTTTATTCAATAAAGGATATGGATTTTTGCACGAAAAAGGTCACACAAGCTTTGAGTTAAACAGAAAATGACCCAAATTTACGCAGCTTCATGGTACACAAACTCTAATGCTCTTTATCAAATTCCTGAAATGTTCATAATTTGTAAACCAAGACCCAAACCTTCGTCACATGAAATCAAAATTGATTTCAAATGAACACATCATTCATAGCACAAATCAATGGAATTTTTGGCTAAATAGTCTACTGACCACATGAACATTGTCTACTTATTTTGAAAGACCTTGTAGTTTTTCTAAGTATAAAGTAGATCGTCATAAATTTACAATCGTTTTTGTACCTATCAGAAGGGATTTTTATCTGACCACTCATAGCAGCTGTAGCGGAGCCATTGAAAGGACTGCTTCCTAAAGATAAATAAACTGCCAATTAAATACTAACAAGATGGTGACATTGAAGCTAAAAACAAAAAAGTCACTAAAACATCTAGAGCAGTGAAAAAAAACATACCGTAAGCCATTGCATATAATGTACATCCTAAAGACCAAACATCAGTTTTGGAATTGATGAGGCATTCAGAAGGCACATCAAAAAGTTCTGGAGCTCTGAAAGTCAGTAATAATGACTATAATTTCAATTTCTCATGACCAACATTTGTACTACCAACAAACCTATAAGCTGCAGTACATTCTTGAGCGCATTTCTCTTGAAGAGCCAATGCTTCTTGTCTAAATGTGTTTAAAGAAAACTTATGTTATTTAGTTTTTAAAGTTTCTGTACAGGTCGATTAGACGAACATGTATTAAACATAAACAAGTCATGATGTCATACTAAATTCCATGCAATGATGTCATTCTTAACTTGATGTAATGACCTCACTCTTACCTTGATGTAATGACATACTCTGCCCTGTCAACGCTACCAAGATCCATTAATATCACAGACGTCTTTGACATCAGCAGTAAGTTATGGGGCTAAAAGTAAACAATTCAATTTTTGATAACAATTTTTTTGGTACTGTCAATAAATGTTAAAAATCTTTCGTATGTAGCAACGACAGTTGTCACTGTCTGTGAAGAATCAAGTTGTAAAACCAAATAAGTAATTTTAAGGATACAAATAGCATTTATTTATAGTACGAGTGATATAAATAGTGTGTATTACCTTAATATCACGATGAGCTAATGATGGTTCACACTCATGAAATGAAAGGACTGCTTCACACAGTGATTTGAATAAATGTAAAATATCTAATTCAGGAATATAATAGCGACCAAATGCATTCTCTATCATATCTTGTACACTGCCTTCCTAAAAGAAACATTCAACATTACCATCACAGATCGATCATAATGATAAAATGGTGTAATGTAAGTTGAAAGTATATTTCAGAATAAAAATTCTATAAGTGCAGTGTAACTATGATGTTCTTAATAAATATGAAACATTTAATTTCACAAAACACCACCAAGATCTGAACAAAACACCAACTTCTTGGATGCCTTCGGGGCTAGCAGGACCCATTGCATAATAAGGATCAGTGATCACATAAAAATTACTATAATTTGATACATTTGATACATTGGTGAAATAATTGAATATTAAAAAAATAAAGAATCATTACATCAACAATACATCAATGTAGAAACTTACACACAACAGCTGTGTAAAAATTTCTAGAGTTTAAAAAACATTAATTGTAAGTTCTGTAATCACCCCAATTATACATCTTCCAAAGAACTCAGTGAGGTATTTAAAAGTACCTTGTAATAGGGAAAGAGCATTCTTCCTTCCTTTTCACCTTTATGATTTAAAATTTCTGAGTCAATAAGATGTAACACATTGGGATGATCAACCGAATAATGAGCTTCAACTTCTTGTATAAATGACTAAAAAATATATAATAAATAATAAAATATAAATGTAGATAGTAGTCAACAGAAACTATGAATATAAGGTTGCTTCATGAGAGAAACAATGTATGTTCAACCATGAGTCGTTTTATTCACAAAGCAATAAATGTGGACTTCAATGTTTGTTAAATTAACCTCTTCTTGATCAGCCAATTGTAGACGAACTCTTTTCTACAACAAAGTGAATTCAAATGATCAAATGACTTGTAAATTTAACTCAGAAAGTAATAATAACATATTTACAAACCAAGGCATACAGATTTCCTTTTCTGTCTTTCACACATTGTACATAGGAAAAAGCTAAAATCAACAAATAATTTTACTTTTAAAATTTGCTTCCTTCCAATGGATAAGTTGACAGGAGCACTACCTCATAGACATTTAAGAATTTATTTACAATGCATTCTTCATATTGTAATGCTTATTATTTTTGCAATCTTTGAATGTTCCAAATAAAATAAGTTGCTTATACTTCAAAGAGCAGCATGATTGCTCTGCTTCAAAATTGAAATAAATTGTCATTAAGGCTTCTAGTAAGAATCTTGGACAGTGAAGTGAATGTTTTAGGCTCAACATGGGGCACTTGTATAGCCATCTTGATTTTAGTACCAAAATCATTTTAATTTTATATCGTCTTTGATCGTAATAATTGTGATTTGATTTAAAAGTATGTTACCGCAGTAACTTTAGCAAATAAAATACGTAATGTAATTTCTTACTCATTGGCAGAGCAACTTTTGAAAATATTTAAACTACACAATGAAAATAGCAAACAAATTTTTGGGATGTTTTGATATAAAATGGGTTCAGTTATCATTAAGTTCTTTATAAACATTCTCAACAAATGAAATTAATAATGAACAACGTATTTTAACGGAACCTCCTTCACCAATGTCTTTAATAATTGTGTATTTCGTTCCTTTGATGACAATAGATTGATGGATGAAATACGCCGTACAAATATTTCCCATTAAAAATGTGTAATTTTATTATTTCAAATCATTTTCACGGCGTTTCCAACTGACATTGCTACATAATTTATAAAACAAATTCTTCATTTATTTGTAATCACAGAGGAAGCGCTCTTGACTTTTAACTTTCATCAACAGTATTAAAGTAAGAAATAAAGTTCTTCACCCACCTGTGAAATTAACAATTGAAATTATTAAAGGGGGGGGAGGGAGGAAGATGAGACACCGGCGTTCATTTCCTGCAAGTGTCAAGTCAACCTAAATCTCCATAGCGACGATGACAATAAACAGAAAACAGTAACATTTCTGAATATTAAACGTTTTGTTTAAACATTTTTTCCTTTCATTTTCTTCTCAGCTCTTACTTTTTACCCAGTATATTTACAGAGAAGATCATCAAATCAATGGCGTACAGCATCATATCGCGCCTACACAAAATCATTACAGATGACCTTTATGTAAACGATCTGTGCCTATACGCTATCTAAGAGACTTTTATAAAGGAATTTTGATGAAAAATTTTGAGTGTGGCAAGTTCTGTGTGCTTCAACTTGGCCGCAAGGGATGATTTTGCGAAAAGAATTAACATCAACATTATCACCTAGACTCAAAATGATTTTGAGAAAAAGAATTTTAAACTTAAGCTAAGGATGAAACTTCCTCTATAAAATTTTACAACTTTATTTAAAGTTTTATGTTGTACAAACGTACCAAGAATTTATTTTCTGCCTGGAAAATCTACAGTTATAATATTTTTTATTGATAAAATCGACAGAAATTTTTAGTGAAAGTTTATCCTTTGTATGTTTTATGTTGGTACATTGCTTTATAGAAATCACAAATTTATGTACCCTTACATCACTTTTAATGGCAACATAAAGCCTGAGTAAAAGGAACTGACTCTTTTCAAATCAGAATATTGCGTCTTCTAATTGTTTAAATCAAATTAATGACGTCTAAATGAGCGACACTACCAATAAAAAACGTCATTCTAATTAACGTTAATTAATTATCGGAGCGAATGTCAGCAAGTGGAGACATGTTTTAGCGAATTTTTATTGAGTGTTTTGAAACTCATGGTTGAGTTTTGAAATGTACGGAATCTATTTATTTGGGCTAATCTTTGTCCTGGTTAGTTCCAGACAGCTAAAAACATACATCAGTAGTCAACAGCCTTTGGGTAAGTTCTTATTGTTTGATTTAAGTTAATTTATTTGTAAATTACTCAGTAAAAGTTTGGTTTCTTACTTTCAACACTTTACATAAGTTTTAATTGAGTGAGTGTCATTGTTAATGCGAAATTATTCATTGTGCTTTTATGGTGCGCGCACAGTATTTGAAAAATCAACGTCACGAATCTCATCGATCTATGAGCCGATCAAATAACGATTAAAACTTTGTTTTTGGGCAAATCACGAAATTTGGGGACTGGGTCAAGATGCATTTTACATTTTACGAACGATCACTGCACATGCGCAACATCCATAAACATTTAGTTAATTTATTACATATTAAACCTATTCTTATGTAAAGCAATTACAAGCAGGTAATGATAAACCTTTCTCAATTACAATTGTGACAACTACGAAACAAAGGTTGAGATCAGCAGATGTCTTTGAACGTTTGGTAGTCAACAAGTTATTTATTCGTCACACTAAAGAAAAAGTTTAATGTTGGCATGAAAACATTGAAAGTATACAGTTCAGCAATGGAGAAAAGATTGTCTTTCGATGGATCACTTCACTTGCTAAACATTTGTTCAGCGAAGGGGAGTTTTTATGATGAAAGTTAAATATAAATAAAACTTTGCTGAACATTTGTTATGTATCAGTTTAAATTGTATAGAACATTTATTTTACCATCATTATACAGTTAAATATGTGTACTCACAAATGTTCTGATACTGATGGATTAACGACTTTGAGCAAATAAAATTACTATTTTAGATTTTTTGAAATGCGAGGACTTTTGATTTTACTGTAACTTACGAAATTGTTGTTTGCAACGAATGAGCCAAGGTAATGGTACAGAAAAAAACAGAGGTCTTTGTGATTTTCAATTACTCTTTTCTGTCCATTTTTTGTTTTTGTTGAAAAATATTTACATGTAAAGCAAAGTTTACGGATTTCTGCGTACTGAGATAAAATGAGGTATTTTGCAGTCATTATTAAGACAAAAGAACGTTGTAGGAATTTAAGCATGAAGATGGTTTGTTTCTATGAATCAGGGTGACAGAAACCCATTCTTTCAAATAAAATTCAACAATATGATATGAAAGTTTGTGAGGTCATCCTCATATCGATGTATACGGAGATTGGATCAAAAATAGTGTTTCAATACTTGCTACTATGACATCATAATCAAAATTACGTCACAAGCTCCATCGTAACTAGTAATACATATGCACATGAAACAGAGAAAATAAAATTAAAAACACTGAAATGCTATACGATGCAATCCTATCGTCATTTGCCAACGACAGAAAATGATCAACAAAATTTGACATTGAATGTTTTTAAGCAGTGCGGTGTTTGAAATTAAATGAAGATATGATCATGCACTGCTTAAAAACATTCATACGACATTCCTTTCACGAGAAAACATGAGCCCAACAATATTGACCTGCTCACCACTGTGTGACTTCATAGCTCAGTTGGTCAGAGCACTGCACCGGCACCGCAGAGGTCATGGGTTCGAATCCCGTTGAGTCACCTGATTTTTTCAGGTTCCTGAGACGATTGCTTAAATTGTCCAGCAAAGTGCGAAGATCATATCTTCATTTAATTTAAAATTTGACATTGTTGCATATATAGGAATATATTCATAATTCAATTCGTTATCTTAGCTACAAGTCTTACCACACTGAGGATGTCTTAAGATGAGAACATCACGCCAGTACCTAAGTCATGTTTTGTAGTAATGTTTCTCTTGCAAACTTTTCGTTTCGTTCTGTATTTTAAATAACAAAAACAAGTTTATTTCTAAAAAGTTTCTTTATGTAACGATAGGAAAACTTGACGCCTTACGTCATGATAAAGCCACCAATAAAGACTTTAACAACATCAAAAAAGTCATAAAGGTTAGTGATGAACAAGAATTGAGAGTCAAAGGTAAAAAATTCATCACTGATGACTTCAAGACCAACGAAGAAGTCAAAGAACAAGGTGATGCTAAAGAAGTCGACGACAAAAGTCACAATAAAACCACCAATAATGACTTCAAGACCAACGAAGAAGTCAAAGAACATGGTGAAGCCAGCAAATTCGACGACAAAAGACACAATAAAACCATCAATGATGACTTAAATATCAACGAAGAAGTCAAAGAACATGGTGATGCTAAAGAAGTCGACGACAAAAGTCACAATAAAACCACCAATAATGACTTCAAGACCAACGACGAAGTCAAAGAACACGGTGATGCTAAAGAAGTCGACGACAAAAGTCACAATAAAACCACCAATAATGACTTCAAGACCAACGACGAAGTCAAAGAACATGGTGATGCTAAAGAAGTCGACGACAAAAGTCACAATAAAACCACCAATAATGACTTCAAGACCAACGACGAAGTCAAAGAACATGGTGATGCTAAAGAAGTCGACGACAAAAGTCACAATAAAACCACCAATAATGACTTTAAGATCAACGACGAAGTCAAAGAACACGGTGATGCTAAAGAAGTCGACGACAAAAGTCACAATAAAACCACCAATAATGACTTCAAGACCAACGAAGAAGTCAAAGAACAAGGTGATGCTAAAGAAGTCGACGACAAAAGTCACAATAAAACCACCAATAATGACTTCAAGACAGACGAAGTCAAAGAACATGGTGATGCTAAAGAAGTCGACGACAAAAGTCACAATAAAACCACCAATAATGACTTCAACATCAACGAAGAAGTCAAAGAACATGGTGATGCTAAAGAAGTCGACGACAAAAGTCACAATAAAACCACCAATAATGACTTTAAGATCAACGACGAAGTCAAAGAACACGGTGATGCTAAAGAAGTCGACGACAAAAGTCACAATAAAACCACCAATAATGACTTCAAGACCAACGAAGAAGTCAAAGAACAAGGTGATGCTAAAGAAGTCGACGACAAAAGTCACAATAAAACCAACAATAATGACTTCAAGACCAACGACGAAGTCAAAGAACATGGTGATGCTAAAGAAGTCGACGACAAAAGTCACAATAAAACCACTAATAATGACTTTAAGATCAACGACGAAGTCAAAGAACATGGTGATGCTAAAGAAGTCGACGACAAAAGTCACAATAAAACCACCAATAATGACTTTAAGATCAACGACGAAGTCAAACAACATGGTGATGCATTTTCCCGTAAACGTCGAGAAATAACTACCACTGACAACTTTAACAAGAAAGAAGTCAAGGATCTTCGTAATGCAGAAGAATTTGACGATAGACATGGCGATAAATCCACCATTAACAATTACAAGAAAAAAGAATTCAAAGATTTTGGCAATGCAAAACAATTTGACAACAAACAACAAGATCAATCCACCATTGACAACTTCAACAAGAAAGAAATCAAAGATGTTGGTGACACAGGAAAACGTGAAGATGAACGTCGCGATGAAACCACCAATAATGACTTCAAGACCAACAAAGAAGTCAAGCAACAAGGAGATGACGTTGCCCGCAAACGTTGGGAAATAACTAACAATGACAACTTTAACAAGAAAAAGGACAAAGATCTTGGTGATGAAGAAGAATTTGACGATAAACGTAGCGATCAATCTACCATTGACAACAACATGAAAAAAGAAGTCAAAGATCTTAGTGATGCTGAAGAAATTGACGATACACGTCGTGATCAATCCACCATCGACAACTCCGGCAAGAAAGAAGCCAAAGATCTTGGTGATGCGAAAAACTTTCCACACAAAAAAGTCAACGATTATAAAGAACTGGACGAAAAACATCTTCAAAAAAGAAGTGTTGATGACATTGAAATCGAAGAAAAAATTGATGATGGTGATGATGATGGTCAAGTTGATAATACGAATGGTGATGGTGATGATAACGAAAAAGTTGATGATGATGATGATGTTAATGATGACAACTTCAACAAGAAAGAAATCAAAGATTTTGGTGATGCAAAACAATTCGACCACAAACAACAAGATCAATCCACCACTGACAACTTCAACAAGAAAGAAATCAAAGATGTTGGTGACACAGGAAAACGTGAAGATGAACGTCGCGATAAAACCACTAATAATGACTTCAAGACCAACAAAGTAGTCAAGCAACATGGTGATGACGTTACCCGAAAACGTTGGGAAATAACTAACAATGATAACTTCAACAAAAAAGAAGTCAAAAGTCTTGGTGATGCTGAAGAATTTGACAGTAAACAACAAGATCAATCCACCATTGCCAGAAAAGTCAACGATTATAAAGAACTGGACAAAAAACATCTTCAAAAAAGAAGTGTTGACGACATTGAATTAAAAGAAAAAATTGATGATGGTGATGATGATGGACAAGGTGATGATGATACGAATGGTGATGGTAGTAGTGATGATAATGATAAAAAAGACGATGGTGATGTTGATGACAGTGATGACGATGACGATGATGACAACTTCAACAACAAAGAAGTTAAACAACATGGTGATGCAGTTGCCCGCAAACGTCGGCAAATAACTATCATTGAAAACTTCAACAAGAAAAAAGTCAAAGACCTTGGTGATGCTGAAGAAATTGACGATAAACGTCATGACCAATCCTCCATTGACGACCTCAACAAGACAGAAATCAAAGATTTTGGTGATGCAAAAGAATTTGAAAACAAGCAACAAGATCAATCCACCATTGACGACCTCAACAAGAAAGAAATCAAAGATCTTAGCGATGAAGAAAAATTGGACGATAAACGTCGTGATCAATCCACCATTGACACTTATAAAGTACTTCGCAAAAAGCACCTTCAACATAGAAGTATTGACGACATTGACATCAAAGAAGAAATTGATGATGGTGGCGATGATGATCAAGTTGATGATAAGAATGGTGATGGTGATGGTGATGATAATGATGATGCCAGTCATGATGATAATGATGATGATAGTCATGATGACAGTGATGATGATGACGGTGATGATGTTGATGGCGATAATGAGGATGATGGTGACGATAATGGTGATGAGGATGATGATGATGGTTATGAAAATGGTGATGATGATGATGGTGATGACGATGGTGATGATAATGATAAAGTTGATGGTGATGATGATGATGGTGGTGATAACAATGATGGTGAGGATGATGAAGTTGATGATGATGTTAGTGATGATGAGGATGAAAATGATGTAGATGAGAGTGATGAGGATCATAAACATGAGGATAAGAATGATGAGGGTAATAAGAACGATGTAGATGATAAAGACGAGGATGATGAGGATAGTGGAGATGATACTGATAATGAAAAAGCTGGTGATGAACATGATGGTTATGGTGAAGGGGATGAGGAAAATAAGGATGAAGATGAGGAGGATAATGACAATGACGACGCTGGTGATGGTAGTGATGATGATGATGGTATTAATGAAGATGAGGAGGAGGAAGATAAAGATGATGACGATGATAGTGATGATGATGGTGGTGGTGAGAAGGAAGAGGGTGAAGTTGATAACGATGATGATGACAGCGTTAATATTATAAAGAACAAACGTCGTCAAAGAAAGTCAAACAGAAGTCAAACAAAAAAAATCGAAAATCGAGGCAATGCAGTTAACAAGAAAGTTGGTTCTGATAGGGTCATTGATGACTTAAAGAACAAAAAAAAGGTAGATGATAGTGATGCAGATGATAAAGAAGGCAATTTTGACCCAACCACTGATGACTTGAACGACATCGACGAACCTGAAGATTATCGTAATCAAATAATGAACGAACGTCGTGATGATGCAGCCATTGGCGACCTAGACAACAACGAAGAAGACGAAAATCGTGGTGTTGAGAGAAACCTTAACGATACACAGGCTAAAAATAACATTAAAAAGATCCCAGATTCCGACGAGGAAACGTCATTGAATAACTATCTCGAGAATAAAAAGGAGATCAATAATGATGTTCAAGCAGAAAAAAATGAGGAGAAAATTCAAAACGCCAACGTGGTTAGCAACTTTAAAAATGAAATGACAAAACACGACGATAAGGGAAAAACGGAAAGTAAAAATCGTGATGAAATTTCCCAACAGAACTTGATTCGTGACAAAAAAAGCATAAAAAATAGCGATGACCAAAAAAAACAAAGGAGCAAAAATCGTAATGAAATTATGAATGATAAATTTAGAAGATATATTCGCGAAGTCAAATCAGATAAAGACAAAGACGATAAATCAGTTGGTCTTCACTCAAAAAAAAAAATCAACATTTACCAAGACGACAGCGACAGCATTAAACGAAGTGATATGTTCAACGGCAGCAGTGAAAGCAACGTTAAGAAAAGTGTCAATAGCAGAGGCAACAGAAACGAAAACCAACATAGTAACAACGAGAACAGCAGCAACAAACACAAAATTGAGCTGAATGGCTATCGTAAGAACAAGGACAGCGACGATAGCAAAGGCAACAACAACAAACGTAGAAAAAAGCGCAACACAGACAGTAATATTAATTATGAAGAAAAACTGATGAGCCAAAGTCTTCAAGAAAACTTCAGTGATAAAAAACATCATAGTTTACAAATGAAAAAGGATGTGAATTCAGAGAAGGGCTTACTGCAGTACCTAAATAATGGAAAAGGTAACACAACTTACGTTGGTGACATTCTGCAAGACCAAATGGGAATGTGCCTCTAAAAATTAAGTGACGATAATCTATTTAGATAAAGCTTTCGCTACTATTTATTGTTATAACTCATATTTTCCTTTTTCAGAAACTACCCGTGGTGACCGTGTCAGACGCTTCATTGGTAATTTAATATGCTCATACAGTATTCCAAGATAAGAAATTTTGTTAATTTTGAAATGTTTCATAGTGCACTCTATATGTTCTAAAATTCATGGGTGAAGGAGAAATGAGATGAGAATATAGTCCTCAGATCAGAAAGTGCTCTTCTCGATCAATCTTTTCATTTTATAAGTTTATAGCTACACGGAGTGATTTTTATTCAACTTCCATATCGTTGGCTATTCCAGTTCTATCTACCAATGGCACCCCTAAACATGGTTTTTCCTGGTTTGACATTCAACTGTTTGACATGCAAAATATTTTGTTCCGTTCTAGATAAACTATTGAAAAAGAAAGACAATGTTGTAAAAACAGGAAAATATACAAAGAAAACTTTTTTTGAAAACTACGGAACTCTGTTATGTCTTTTTATTGTCATCGTGCTAATTATTGTTGGCTACATTCTTATAAAGCGAGCTCAACTGTACGTAAATATTCGAGTATTTTATTTAGGATATGTTTAATCTGTTGCTAAATTCAATGTTCAAATTTTCGTAAACATCTTGCAAGCAATGTTTTTCATACATTTCAATTTTTTATAATTCAATTTTAGGTACCTTTCCTCGCAGAACGAACCTATATTAACCGAAGTTGTAGTTTCGCAACTGTCGGCTCGGGACAGAGAAACTGTAAAAAAATGATTTTGTTTAAACTTCTTATTAACAGTAATTATTCTACACACTTGATGAACTTTACATGAAGCATATGGCTTTTAAGTAATGAACAGGCAACAAAAAGTAATACATAGTACACATATATATTAATATTATATATAAAAACTGTATACATTAGAAAAGAAAAGGTCCCGTATTTATGTTGTTTTGTTGTAAAAAAACGTCAACAGTATACCATAATGCATTTCATTAAAAATACAAAAAAAGGAAATGGAACTTTTGTATTTATTGCTTGATTGTACTTTTATAGATGCAAACTGTTTCATACACATGTTTATATTTGTGCATATTTATCATATTTAATCATTTTTTTTATAACGCAACGACATCTTATAATACAGCTGCAAGCATGGGTGTAGGGTCATAAAAAAAACCTTGCCATTACTATCCTTTCTTACTTAGCAATGATTTCATTCAGTAAAATGCTTTTGTAATTTCATCAGAGTATTCCAACATTGAGTCAGAAAAAACTAAAAGGCCTTCATAGGCGTACGGGAGCTATTATTCTGAAGGGCAGTAAATATTTTCCTCAACTCACAAAGAAAGTTCAGCGATTTTTCGCCCAACTAACGTTAAAAAATTTGCCCAATATTTTAATCTTTAAACTTTCTTTGAGGAGCAGCTGCCCCCCCGTCCCGTACGCTTCTGCATGTGCATGCATACGCTTATATTTTGAAGTAAAATGCTTTTGGATGCGGAGATGTGCTCAAGACAACATCTGTTCATTCTGTTGATTACAGTAGCTAGACGTTTCATATTGCCATAATGAGTGTTAAGCTTGTACTGAATGCCAGAAAATGTGAAGAAAATTTGTGTCTAAATCATGCTATCGAAATAGCATGTTAAGTTTACTGCTAACAGATGATTGAGGCAAACACATGCAGTTTTCGATGATGACCAAATTATCATTGCAAATTTTTGGCATGCATTAAATGTGGTCGGTCCGTTGATAGAGAAAAGAAAGGAGAAAAGTTAAACGTAAAAGTAGATAAACTTTGTTGAAATGCTCTGCACGAGAGAAATCCTCGTGTGGCGCTCTCATCGGACATTTTTAAATGCGTAGACGAAAGATTAACTATATATGGATGTGATGAGTTAAAAATAAAAAGACAAATGAAAATAGATGAATGCAAACAGTTTTAATGTTTAAAAATATATCTGTTTTGATTGAATTTAGTCGTACATGGAATCTTTATTGGAAATGAATATTTCTCGTTAATATTGAAATAAAGATCACACATACAAGCGCAAAATAATATGGATGGCATTATCAGGACGAGATTAGAAATTGAGAAAATCAGGCCAATTTCAATAACTTAATCTGTTAGTTTTGCATATATATGAACTGACTACAATATAAGCGGCAACTTTATAAATGAAACAGTTTTTAGATCGAGGATTGGAGACAAAGCATCATACCTGTTCACCTGTCAAAACATGCAAAGTAAACAATTAATTTCACTAAAAAGAAAGGAAATGAATCTATATAACAATACAAGCCAAAGCCACTATCTATTTTGTGCCAAAGCGTTCTGCCAAGAGTATACACCAACGACGATGAACGCAGAAATTCTTCAATTAAAACATTAATATATCCAAACATTTTCATTTTGGTCAGCACACGTTACAACGAAAGAGCCATCAATAAGGTATGTTGATTGCACCAATAAACTAAACTATTTTTCTGTGTTTGTTGCTTGCTCACATAACAAAAGACGGGCAGCCAAATATGCCAATTAATGTAATCCATTATTACAGGAATATTTAGTTTAGAAAAGTAATTTGAAAGCTATTGTTTTTTATCAGTTTTGTACCTTGAACATGAAATACAGAAATAAAACAACAATACAGTCGAGAAGTTTAAGAAACAATGAAACGAATAAAAGAACGTTAAATGATTTGAACAATATCATCTTTTGAACATCAGATTTTGTTGATTGCTTTCTATTCACAAAATAATGGTTTTGAGCTTCAAGAATTCAACGCTCTACATATCAAAATGCTCTTCGAATATAATATATTCAAACTTATTTATATTTAAATCAGCAAAGAAGTCATGTGCACTTAACGAATTTCAAAAGAAATCACAATGTATAATATAAAATGTTTCTACAATTTCTTTTAAAAACAATAACAATTCAAACGGAGTAATTTTCTTGATGCATTTTATTGTCAATGTCGAGTGTAATTGATTGGAACCCATGCCGTTACAAAAAGGAAAATCTTTCCGCTTTGTAATTAACTAAAACAAGTCATTATGTGACTGTTATTGTTTCATTCTTGTTCGGTGGTTTACAAATTGTTTTAAAAATTCGTACATCACAATTGCAAAATTTTACGATCATAGAATGTAAAACTCAAACAAAAGTAGAAAAAATATCATTTTGACATTAATAGTTGATACTAATATAGTAATATATGCTTACACAGATAAATACAAGTGAAAGCACAAGCTCTTATGATGCATATTTAGCTGATATAATATTTATTGGCTTTCAATAAAAAACAATAACACGAAGCCATGAAAACAGGTCGTTAGAAGGATAAAACAATGAGAACTAGACAAGTTATATCTCGAGGCTTAATGAAACCAAAAGCTAAAACAAAATTACCAAAATAACTATTGAGCAATATAAACATGATCCAATACTTAACTCGTGCGTAGATGATAATTATGAATACTCTTGAATAATTAATTACGCATCACGCGCATAATGAACTGAGATAATTGTTTTTGTCTTAATCACGGGTTAAACGAAGCGGCATAATGGAACAAATATTTGCCGACACCCCCTACGTATTTGAAGCTTATTTTTACTTGCAATGCATGTGTACTTTGAAACCAAAGTTGTATGTACGACTAAAATGAAGTTTTGTTGGCATAGCGCGTAATCTTTTTTCTCGAAATTTTAATCAATTTCAATGACGTAAAGTATAGTGAGAATTTTGACATCTACCACATTTGCATGCATCTATGGCAATACAGCATTCTGCTTGTTTGTAGCACTTTTACACGTTCAAAATTTATGTGATGAATCATGGGAATTCATAGCTTTTCATGTACAAATATGTAGACTAAACTACTGATAATCCGGCATTTCCATGACAGAAAATGTTTGCAAGTAAAAGTAAATTGCACAAGCATCGACAATTTTAAAAGTTTAGATCGCTCACATTAATAAAAAATGCATCAATAACACAGTCATACAGTATTTGCCATTTAAGTATGTAATGTCTAAAATCCTATGAATAACCGTGGCATTGTTTCTCAATTTACTGAGGCGCTTGCTTTTAATTGAAACCAAATTAACTTTTGGAAAACAGCTGTAAACAAGTGGAAGTTTCATTTGTAAATGCCATCACTAACCAAAAAAAAATGACGAATACATATGATGGCTAAATCTTACGCAATTTTAAAAACCATATAATAATAGCCGATTCATGGACGATATTTTTAAAAGATGGTCAAATATTGTATGTATTCATCCTGATAGTTTAGATATTGTTGATAAGCAGTTTATCTTTGGTAAAACATAGCTCTTGCGTTTTCTCATAAGATAGAGAAACGTCAACAGTCCACGTTTGAAAGCAACAAGACGTGACTATATTTTTGCTGATTTTCAATGCATTATCTTTGGTAAAACATAGCTGTTGCGTTTTCTCATAAGATAGATAAACGTCAACAGTCCACCTTTGAAAGTCACGAGACGTGACTATATTTTTGCTAATTTTCAATGCATGAGTCACCAGTTGTCCTAGACTATAGATGTTTACATCACAAAAACAAATTATAAGATCCACGACTCTAAACTGAAAGAGCGTTCTTACATATATTGGCGTCATTTGGTATTGTCAGTTTGTCCGCCAGTCTGACGCATGCGCACTCATCAGAAAATATCGCGCAAATCATGGTGATATAAGTGTAAAAGCCAGAATAAAATTTGTAATATCAATATTCAATATAGATTGTAGAGCACATTTATTTAAGAAACTGATTTTCGCTAATTTAACGCAACAACAAACAAGCTGTCTCTTAGTTTCAGTGAACTCACTGATAGATAAAGACTTTTGTAAAACAAAGCATACTTTGTGATTCAATACGATATTTATAGATAAAAGCAAGTTGTCAATATCAAATAGTGTCATTTTCAATCGTTTCTCGCAAGAACAAAGGAATAATTATAGTATAAACATCATCCCGAAATCACGTTTTTCATAGTCATCAATATTGTTTGAATGCAGTAGGATGACTTTGAAAAGGTTAAGTTTGGACATATTTATCTTTTAAACAGAACATACTTTCTACTAATGCGAGAAGATTTGAATCATACTGATGCAAACATGGTAATACAGGTAAGCAACATGATGTACTCAATGTATAATTGCATTGTCATTTAATGGAGTACGATCTATGTGAAATTGTCGACTTTCAACGATTTTCTGTAAAATTGATTTAAACATTTTAAACCTTTTCCCCGAATAACAATAAGGGTTTTTGATTTTGTCAGCGTAAATAGCTCAAGAAACCATCAAGATACACACTTTTTAAGCAAACATTGACAAGAGACGGTGTAAACAGTGTAGTTGCAGAGTTGCTTGCATTTATTGATTCGTACGTAATTGCCAGATGACATGAATAGTTTGATAAAATTTTATCTCTCGTTACATTTACCAAAAAAACGAGCAAATTGAAAGGTGGTTTTGCTAGTTTAGTTTCAGCTGCAGCGCTTATAAACACACATTTTGATTACGCAAAGAAAATAATTTTCTAATAACAAAGATGTTAGAAAGCTATTATCTCTGTTTTGATTAGGATATTTATTATTCAGTTAAAAAAAACATAAGATGTTCATGTATATGAGTTGTTTAAGTGTTTGACGTAAAACTTACATTTTATTTGGGATGTTTTAGAGGATCTTGCTGTCATTACTGTTGAGCTCAAAAATATCATATTGCAACATTCCTAGATGAGCACACACACACCCAATTGAATATCTTTAGTAATCCATAGCAGGAATTACTGCTTCATGTGCATGCTTTGTTGAACGTCTATGAAAATAACTCGTACTACAAAATGTTACGAAACCACAAATACACGAACTGAAAAAATTTATATAGCCAGCATATTGTCAAGTAAAGAGCATTAGTCTAAAATCTACACGTCTAATTTCTCACTTTGTAAAATGAATTTTTTAAAAGCAAAACATAGACATCTTGTAAGTTGTAAACACTCAAAGTTTTAAGCTTTTACTGAAGCAAATAAGTTCTTGTTGTAATATCCATCTCGGAATAATTTACTAAATCGTTTCTATTCTAGTGAGTAAACAAAGTATAAGCGATTTCATGGCCTAATAACTTCTAAAAACATGCATTTGTCTGCAACCATGATCAACATGATAAGGTCTATGTTGCCATTTTCTTATTTAGTAAAGATTAAGAGCCTAGCCAAATAATGTATAGATAGACAAGGATTATTTAATTTATGGAGATTATCAAAGAACAGACCACCATGTCATCACTTGAAATTGACAGCATAGCAATATTGCATGACCCAAGATGAGAACAAAACAGGTGGAACACAAAGAGCGATTCGAACAGTTCTAAATTATTCTTTAAATAAAATATGTTGCAATATTTTCAACATGCAATACTCCAACAAATATATAAAATGATGGAAATTGTGGGGGGAATTTTCAAGAGAGTTTAATATGCACTAAAAAGAAGAGTCAAATTGTATAATGCATTATCAAACGATGCATTCGTAGTGTGTGCATTCATTAATTATTGATTAATATTCAATACCCATTTGTACAAAACCAGTTTCTTTCATATGAATGATGAGTAATTTTGCACAAAATGTCTACAAAATTATATATTCAATCCTCTTTACCATTCGCAATGTCAAAATGACAGAAAAAACAATTAAGTGATAATTTGTCCATTACCTCAAGAAGCAAATTTTAAGACTTATAGCTGTTTACGATTAAATGAAAAAGTTTGAATTTTTTGGTTTTAGCTATATCAAAAACACTATTATTATGAATTCCGTGAAGCAGACCATGGACTTTCGGCACTCTTCTAGTTCTAGCTCTTTATGTTAGAATGATGCAATTATATTATTACTACTCAGTCCAACATCCCTTTGAGATTTCTCACCGCCACCAGGGTCGGCAAACATCAGAGAAATTGACCAACAGCGGCTAACTGTTAAAACATACACGGCTTTTTATGCATGACTTTCATTCTTAAAACTTGTCATTCTTCATACTGCTTGTAAAAATGCAATCACTGGGAAATTTCAACACTGTGTAATAAATTTTAAATGTAGATCATTCATTGCCATGCTTCGTTAAGATGACGAGTTATTTCCCGGTAATTAGAAAGTACATTACACCAGTTAACGTAAACGGGGTTAGCACAGCTGAGCACAGTGTAATGCATAACAAAAATACATCAAAATTTGGACAAGAAAATATACAATTGTCAACGCTATTATCTTTATAAAGCTTACACTGAGAGCAACGCAAAACCCTCGTTTTGTAAATTAAAGTATCTTAAACTATCTTGAAACGCATTTTGTTTTTTTTATTGTGAAAATAAGACAAAAATTGCATTTGCGTCAAATTTAAATTGCCAAAGTTAAGCTAAAAATTTGTGGAATATTACATAATTAACCAGCTGCATTTCTGCTAGTCCGTTTTTCGTATGCTATGTAAACGATTTATATTTCTTGAGTAAACGACATTATACACAGCATGATACACTGTGGAAACCGTCCAGTGCCAGAATTTGAGTTATGTTTTTAATATTTATGAGCCGTTGCCACTTATATGCCAAGACACGACGAAACAGGTCAATTTACATGTAACGTGCTATATAAATCTAGCATCCTCTTAGAAGTTCAACATTTTTACGATCGAAGAGAAAAATGAAGATGGCTATAACAGGTGAATATTGTAACATAGATTTTTAACTTAATTTACAATTGAGATAAGGTGCAAAAGACTGACATCATTTGAATTCGAACATTTCATGTCACAAACAAAGGATTTTCTTTCCTCAAAAATGTATCAGTGCAATATACGAACATAACTCGACGTAAAGGTAATCAAATTAACTCTAAACAATATAGAAATCATACGCCTATGAACGGATACATTAGATCGTAATAAAACAAAACTCACAACCTTGTAACTTATTAGTGGGGTAAATTATCTTTAATTCAAATAAATCTTTAAGATGCAAAAGCATCTAGATTCATGTGGAATGCTCTCGAATCGTATGTATAAAATGATGTTTGTTCTTGCATGAAGATATACCACCAACGATTATATGATATTGTCGGGAATTGAGGATGAAGTATATAATGAGAGAATGCAGGTTTTAATCATAAAATATAGTTAAAACCTGATAATCTCCGCATGATGTTATGAAAAAAATCAAAGAAAAAATTTGCAGGAAACACATTAAATATGTTTTAAACTATGCATTGTAAACATACATTTGTACTTTAAACTCTCTTTTCACATATTCACATATATGAATAAATTAACAATACACATCATGCCACGTGTGGCAACCTGTTGCTTTATCTATAAAACCGAAGAAAAGTGACTATTGCTATCCGCTGACAAATGTATAGCTCTTGTGACTAAGTGTAAACATTGATCAAAAAACACGCGAACATCACACATAGCCACTAGGAGACTGGCGAATAAAAACCATAATTTGTTTAGGGCGGTATTAATGTAAATAACGTTTTATAATTATTTTTTCGAAAGAGTAGACTCATTCATTCTTTAATAAATATGTTAAATACACTGTGCCAGTGATCTGCAGCAACTATATATGCTGTATGCGACAAAATTTATAAACAGTTTCTTCCGTTTCGTAATTCTCAAACAGATAGCAGGTCAACAGTTAAATCCAGTATTCAATCCATTTAATCTTCATTGCAAACATTTTCACACGGAAAGAGAAGATCATATTTTTATGACAGATAAACATCTACCTACATTATCATTGAAATTTTGTAGAATTTAAGTAAATTTAAATAAGTTTAAGTAAATGTAAATTCGCTGAGATCAGTGAACGTGAAAATACTCTGATAATTTTACATAAAAAGCTATCATGTCAACTATATTTTTATTGTATCAACAGCAGTTTTCAGCACGGTCACAGTAGGAAGAGTGACAACCTTATATAATCCTTTATTTCATTTCGGTTAAAAGCATTGCTATAAAACTGTCATCGCAGAATAAAAAATATACACCATATCAATCACAGGAGATAAGGTTTCAATTTTTATTTTTATTTTTAATAACATTTACTCAATGTTTACGTCATACTTAATTCGACAAACTTTAAATTCATTCACTTGTTAAACTTAAATGAAAAGTAAAATCAACTCAAATGATTGTTAAAAGTCAACTTCTTTTCTCCATGTTAGCAAAAAATTGCCCCCTTCCTTCCTCCACTTTACAAACATGTATTTAATAAGCTAGTTCAGTGGAATCGTCAAAAGGCAAAAAAACCCTGAACTCAGGGCAAGTCATCTAATTTTTGAAATAAATTTATCAATCATTATTTTACAACATACATTGAAAAAAGTATCAGAACACTTCTTGATAACATCCGCTAATCTTTACGACAAACGTGTTTTATAAAAAAGTTGTCAATTCACACAAACTATGTTTTGCTCTCAGTACACATTATATGCTGGTAATAGCATAGGCGTACGGGGGGGGTGGGCTGGGGGGGCTGCAGCCCCCCCAATTTCTCGAGAATTTGTGTATTCGGGCAAGCATTTACATGATATTCTGGCAAGATACTTACTACAGTTTTTAAATTTTCAATATTAATCTACATCATTTCTAGATCATAAACTGCTTCGGTTCTTGAGCGTGAACGGTCTTTTAATGGATGGTTTTTAAATTGTTTAAATTACTTAAATTTCAGGAGGTAAAATAAAAATCGCGTAAAGTGATTGGGTGCAAAATTTTTCTTGAGACATAATAGGAGAATTTTACATCCGCCCCATTATAATATAAACAAATTACGTCACGAGAAATCGGTCTATTTACTAGCGATATTGCGACGAATATATTCGGTGTTTACAACTTTTAAACGAACACGAACGCCGATATTTTCAATCAGAGCAAAGCTTTTGGTATTAAATTTATCCACATAACGTTCTCCATTTATAAAAAAGGGCTGAGGTCAGTAAAAGTCTTGAAATGTCTTGAAATTGCGAAAAATCGTCTCCCACACGCTATCCGTTATACATTAATATATAGATTAACAATCGCTGCGATCCCCAAAAGTGATTTTTAATTTTGCATGAAAATTAGGCTTCGTATGGAGAGGCACTGTCCATTCCATTGATTAGATTAGTGCCATTCACTCTATGATTGTTGTTCAAGGAAACTATTATCCACAAGGGAAAACATTTAGTAGCCAAGCTCTAATAAAGCGTACATATGGCGTCTCGTAAACGACCGTATCGACATCGCGTTTGGTGCGAGGAATGCAGCAAGGAAATTGACAGTGATTATAAGGAGGTCCACTTTCGACGAGTTCACAATAATGAAAAGTTAAGTGTCATCGAGTGATGGATTCATCGGATTTATCGCAGTCAAAGATCAGTGGTTTCTTTGTAAAAAGTAACATGACAACCAAGGATGATAACCTAACCTTACAGGAAACAGAATCGAGTGCTAGTAAAGATTTAGCAGCCACTGGGTCTTTTGAGGAAAATCTACCTGAGATTAATTTGAAGGAGCCCATAAGCGAAGACCAAACGGAACCAATGAGAACGTTTATTGATGTTGATGAATTAAATCCACTGACGCAGTTCAGAGAAAATAAAGAATTGAATACGGTCACGGATAATGAAAATCTTACTTCCAGTGACGCACTGTTCATCGAAGAATTTAACTTAAATCAAAATATACAACGCGTTGCAACACCAGAATCAACGACGACGTCTAACACTCTAGACACAACAGCAATACAAGATTTAGATTCAACAGCATCTGTTCTAAATGAACAGACTAGAAAGGTTTCCTTAACAGTATGAATGAAGAAGAGATTTCCACCTTGCACGCCCCAAAACAGCCTATATTAGGTGAATATCCTGCACGAAAATTCGGCAGTGAAACATTTGTGCGACGATTTCAGCCTGAATGGTACAAGAAATATCCATGGATTAGTTACGAAGTGGATAAAGATGCATGCGTTTGTTTTGCCTGTAAAGAATTTGGGAAGAATACTTCATTTGTGCTTACAAATTGGAAGAAGTCGTCAAAGCTGGCAAAACATGGCAAGAGTGAGAACCACGTCAGATCCATGACAAGATGGCTCCAGTTTAAAGCAATGGAAAGAAAGAAAACCTCCGTACTACAACAGCTGAATAGTGCACACCAGGACCAGGTTGCTATTAACAGACAATACTTAAAAGTAATCATACAATCTTTGATGTACACTGCACAACAAAATGTTGCAATTAGAGGTCATGAAGAGATTCGGGGTGATATATGGGAGATATCTGATATAAATAGAGGAAACTTTCTCGAGTTACTTTGCATAAGATGCAACGATTTGCCTTGGCTGAAATCTAAACTTCAAAGCCAGCTGCAGACACATGCTCAGTGGACATCCCTGCTATTCAAAATGAACTACTGGAAATAGTAGCAAGTGTCATGCTTGAGAGGATAGCAGAAGAAGCAAGAAGTAGCGACTACTACGGAATAGTTGTCGATGAAACGGCAGACATCAGTCGAACAGAGCAATTATCTCTTTTCCTCAGATATGTTTTCAATGGCGAAACCAAAGAGACATTCACTGGTTTCTATTCAACCAAATCTACGGAAGGAGAAGTATTGTATGAGCTGTTAAAGACAGCCATTGGCAGGCTAGAGTTGACATTGGAAAACATTGTCGCAGAATGCTTTGATGGCGCTGCAAATATGAGTGGCCCTCGCAAAGGACTTGCTGCACGCATGAAGGAGTGCTCACCTCTTAGCATCTATGTTCACTGCCATGGGCATCGGCTTAACTTGGCGCTACAAGATACGATGACTACAATTGAGCCACTTCAGAAAGCTTTAGGTGTGATCCAGAGTCTCCATAATTTCTTGGAAGGAAGTCCCAAACGCCACTCCATCTTCAATGACATCAAGGTCGAAGATGAGGACGAAGATATTACACTGACTATTAAATCGCAGAGTGCTACTAGATGGTCTTGTCGTTGGGCAGCTGTAAAGCAGTAGTAAACCAATTACCTAAGATCATCGAGGTTCTCCTTACACTCTCAAAAGATCGCGATCCGAAGACCTACAATGACAGCAATTCGCTACTTAACTCGATTTGCGACTTTCGGTTCGTTTTTGGTTTGATGGTATTAAAGGTTATTTTATCTAACACCGATGGTTTGAGCAGGTACCTACAAGGAAAGCAAATGGATGTCGCCACAGCAAAGAAGAGTGTTGATGGCGTGATTAAGACATTAATTGGATGTCGTTCCCTCGAAAATTTCGAACTGTTATGGTCACGGGCTGAAATCATAGCACACAAAATTAAGGAGCAAATTGAAGGTACAGAATTCAATTTCAAAGATGCAAAAGTACCAAGATTCCAACAGCCGTCACGGCGGCTCCAAGCTCTCGTCGGTGAAATGGCTGAAGTAAATGCAGAAGTGGAAAATCGAACAGAAAAGATTACTATCGTATCACATGCTACTACCTAAGCATTGACAAGATTGTGGCGGAGATGAAATCAAGATTTGAAGGTAGTGATCAAGAGGTCCTATTGGCACTTGCAGATATTGTGTTCAACAGGTCTCCAACCACGGCGAATGTTGAGTTGGTATCACACTTCTATGGTATCGACAGTGAGCTTCTTAGTAGCGAGAAAAATGTCTTTGAGAATATTGACGTTGATTTCCCTTGTGCTGAGAGAGAAAACGCTGCCAAAATTGTTAAGAGAATGTTCGAAAATGGTGTTCATGAAGTCCTGCCTGTGGCTTACAAAGTATTTTCGATTCTGGCCGCGATCCCGGCAACATCCTGCTCAGCAGAAAGATCTTTTAGCGCTCTTCGTCGCTTAAAACCTATCTTCGAAGTACAATTGGTCAAAACGGTTAAACAGCATTGCCCTAATCAATGTGGAAAGAGCCTATGCAAATAGTACTTTAAAGAACGACATGGAAAAGATAATTAACATTTTTGGACAGCGACGTAATCGTAAATCTTATTTCTTTTAGTCTTAGATCGTCGCACATTTAACTAACTAAATTTCTTCTGCGTCTAGTGTTATATATGACAAAATTTCAAATATCAAATAAAATGTAGTTACTTTCGTAGCATCCTCTTAGCAAATTGTAATGATTTTAGCTTATTAATTGAGATGGCCAGAGACAACATAAGAATATCTATGACGTCATACGTCATATGACGTCATATAATTCGGGCAAATTTAGTCCAGCTCCCCCTAAAAATATGTGCCCGTACGCCTATGGGTAATAGTTAACAGAGATTATGCTCCGTAACTCAGTCAGTCATTCTTAGATTATTGCTTAATTACATGAACAAAAAACTTGAAATCATAGATTTATTTAGCAAGAATTTTACTAATGTCCATTAAATAACAACATTTAAAAGACATTACTTAATTAAGTCGTAACAATATGTATAGATTGTATTCATATTGTAACGATTCTCGCATTTCTTTACTTTATAATTTTTAACACAGTTTGAATTTAGTCCAACTGTTACCACCGGACGAAGCAATTTCCGAACAAGGCTGTGTGTGCCCATATTTCTAAATTATGTAAGGCATTTCCTACACCAACAAACTTTAAATCCAAGATAGATTTTTTATCCCGGTGTTTATTTTCACGTTGGAGAGACAACTTAATTATTCTCAAATTAAAAAGCAGACTAAATTAATTTTCACAACATTGTTTGTCGAACAAAATAACAATGCTGCCAAACTTTTATAATGGTTATGCGCTCTGTGGTGATTACATATTGCCTTTTACCTTAAACTCATGCTGTGTATTGCCGAGGCCAAGTGCCTAAGTTCAAATAGCACTAAATTTACTGGGAATGTGAATATAGTGATGAAAGCAAGGAATTTTAAAATAGCCCTTTCATTGGCTATTCGCTTCATTAATACAGTAATTGTCAATCAAACAGTTTTAATCGGAAGCTGTTTGGATAATGAACGCTCTTGTAATAAGACTAGACTTTGTGTGTCCCTATGAAAACGTTGCGTTTTTAGTCGGATAATAAACGAAGAACTAGCGAAGGTTATTTAAACGCGACTTTTACTCTCAAGAGTATCGTCTAGTTGATTGAGTCGATGGCTTTAAATACGCGATGTAAGGACACTTTGGTAAGAAGACGTCACAAAATGTCAATGAGTTTGTGGCGATCAATAACCACATTCGCCATAAATTCATGACAACATTAACAAAACATCTCTCAAGATAATTTTTAACGTTTACTTTTCATCTTTGTTACCACTAGACTGAAATGGATTGTGATGATATGGGTAAAGCATGTACTATTTGCGGTGATGGTTGTCCGGGATTTTCGATGCATTATTGGAGGTAAGCAAGTGTAATATATTCAATTTCAACTTCAGTATAGTAATGAAATAGTATTGCGCGACAGACCTCTCGTTGTGATGGCATTTTCAACACAAAAAATTCACTGAAGTTTCGTATTACGGAGGAGAATAAAATTTATTTACTATTTCATGGCTTCCTGAAATAGTAAACGCTCTGCTTTTTTTGATAGCTTTGCTCTATACGTAAAGAGTAATTTTGCTTTCAAAATATTACCACCAATTGTGCAGAGCACAGTGATGCTTTCAAAACATTGAGGCAACATGGACATGCATAAATGCTTTTAACAGACACAATCACACAAACGCCATTTAAAGATATATTCTTTCGTGATTAAACCTATATATTTGGCAAATAAGAGGTGAAATACAAGCTAGTAACTAAGAGTAATACAATTAATCTATTTACCATTTGTGGAGCTTGAATACTTGATCCGATTTATTTCATATTCGCGTTTTAATTTTCCTAAGTAAAGCATACGTTGTAATAGTAATGCTTCATAATTATAACTAGATCTGTTGACCAGACGCAGCCTTCGTATATATAACAGCATGAAGAGTAGATTCTACGATTTAATAATTTCACAATTTATTAGGTGATAATATAATTATAACACTTCACTCTGTCACATTGCTTCCAAGAGATTTCGCAAGTATTTGCATGAGAAAGATTCAGCGTTTTTCTATTGTCCTGCAATGCCGCACAATCGTAAACTCAGACCTGCAACTAAGGAACTTAAAACGAATACGGCAGCGGTATTTTAAAGTGAAATTTGCGGGCACTATGATTCAAGGGTTGTAAATAGCTTTTAATTTAGCGAAGAAGAAATTGAGTTAATTGATCGTCATGAAAAGATGGTAGAAACATAAGAACATATTATTATTATCCCACTGTCTGATCAAAATGAACGTTCAACCGCGTTAAAACGCAAGAAAATGGCGATGCATGCTATTAGTTATTCTTTTGCTATGCAAGTATATTTCTTACTGCAACAAGTGTTGTTAGATAAATGAAATTTTCATCAGAAATTTAAACGATTTACAAATTGAAATAGAGAACATAGACTCTTTTGAAATTATGTTATTGTGCCTTTTTATAAACGTATCAAGTTGCAAACACGGTACCGAAGAAATTTTGTACTTAAATTATAGTTAAATCGTTATCCCCCCCACACATAGATTGTTGAGTATTTGCTTTAGCAGACGCGTTTGAAACAACCTGCTGCGCCATTATGTATTTGAGTTGAAGTCTTATGAACTCTAACACGGTAGTACAAAGAATTTTATGGTACATAACCTATCTTTGTACTTACAACTAATAGTACAAAGTCATCTCTAAATTATTCTTACATGCAAAGTACAGTATGCAAACGTTAGAATTTTTGACTGCTAAAACTTGAAAAAACCCTGTTTTTTAGCAACAAGGGATTGCATGAAATGGCAGTTTCCCTAAGCTCGTAGATTATTGATTACATTACACAAAAATTTCGGCCAAAAGCAACAATTACTTCAGGGCATTTCAAATCTATTGCGAACTGTAGCTTCCTTCAACGAAATAACGCTTGCTTTTATTTTAACACAGCTAACATCTGGTGTGGGGATTATGTTGACATATTTGTGTTTGCGCACACAGATTTATTTAGTTGTCGTTTGCTGTAAAGACAAAAAATGACATTGGAGATATCGTGACAGATTAATGAAAAGGGAGAGATTATTAAGTGCGGTTTATGTTTTGGTGTTAACCAATACCAAATATTCTTTAACTTTGACTGTCTTTTAAATTATTGAAAACATCTACATACGTGTTGTCTGCTTACAGAAAAAAATTTAGCGATAAGAAATTTGAGATTACAATTTCATATTATCAAATTCAAAAGTTGAAGATGTATAGTTCAAACTCGAGCCACAATGTCAAGAAAGATTGCTGCATTATAGTTAGATTAAACTGGAAAAAAACAAATCTTTCTTTCTTAAAGAAGCTTATTTGATGTAGCATGTAATCAGTTTCCTGCGCCAATCTTTCGATATTTACATACGCGACACTCAACATCTGCGAGACATAACGAAACTTGCTAACAAACTTCAACTAATAATTAGGACAACATGACGAATTTCCTTTTTAAGTTCACCAGTAACTGTGTGAACCTATGCAACGAAGCAATACCGTGACCTTATGAAAATAACACATTATTGGCTTGTCCAAGATTAAGATATACATTTTCAAGCTGTATTAAGATTAATTTTTTTGAGCATTTTATTCAAATAAATATGGAAGCAACATTTTACAATCCTCTGAACAAACCAAAACAATGTAATATTAATATAACATCGCCGACATGGGCATGTTAACACTATAGGATGGAACAAAATTCTTATGGTTTTTATTTGTTAATAGAAAAATTTGCAGTCATTGTAAATGTCCCAAAGAGATGCACAATTTATTTCTTAATGATATGAACCATCTACGAACAAGTCAGTTCATGTTAGAGATCAATCGTAACAGTTTCGTTAGTGATGACGATAGTGGATGTGCTCTTGAAGAATATTGCTGGGTTCCAGTTGGTTTAACTCCAGAACAGGTAATGAAATAAAAGTATCACATTTTTTATATGTAAACTTACAGTTCTGAAATTTTCTAGCATTACCTATGAATTCTGAACGTTATAACAACTACAAGATTCTAGACTTGTTTTGCATTCATAAAAAATTATAAAAACAAAAAAATTAACCCAGCTAAACACCATAGACTTATGAAACATAGACAACAAAACTACAACAATATGATTATTACATATTATTGCTTGTTTATTTGATCAGTTGCCTAGCAACAACAATCTATTGACACTTCTCATCAATAATTTCTGATTTATCTCCAGTCAAGAAAATTCTAACATTGTTATCTCGACATTAATAACATTGCTGGCAGTTAAAGAATCTAAGATCTCAACAAGATAAGAAATCCCATGACTAAAATCCGACTATTTCTGTTTAAATATTACAGGTCTTTGCATACATGAGTGCCTTACCAGAAGATAAAATACCATATGTGAACAGCCCAGGAGAAAAATACCGAAATCGTCAACTAATTTACCAACTACCAGCACATGACAGTGAGTCACAATATTGCAACAAACTCAGTGAATCAGAAAAGCGTGAACTGAAGCTATTCAACTCTCAAAGGAAAAGAGAAGCTTTAGCACGTGGTTTGGTAAAACAGGTCACATCAGAAGGTCTTTTTTGTGAAGAGGTATGTAATATTTTATCCTTAAGCATTTTGTGAAGAAGTATGTAATATTTTATCCTTAAGCATTTTTGAGAAACTATTTTTAAAGCACTGAAAAAAAACATTAAAGTTATAAAAGAAGTTATGTGTAATCTCACAGAAAAAAATTTTAAGAGCATAGGAATTTCTGATGTTTATCATTGGTATCAGGTCTGAACGTTAGAGTGTGTCATAAAAATCATAGAATTCAAGGGACACCATGTCTCTGGCGAACTATTGAACTCAATATAAGTGTGACGGTATTTAAAAAAGAGAAAAATAAAGTTACATGAGACTTACTTCTACATTTAAAGCTCTTTCCAAAGTTTTCATTCGTTAATTAAATTTCCTTGATCGCCATGTTGTTTTTAAGCACGTGTAGTGGAAATGTGTCACGTGTTCCGTGTAGTGGAAATGTGAAATTTTACTTATCAATAAAAAAATCAGATAGCGGTATTTAAATTATTTAAGCAATTTATCATAGACCTGTTTTTTAACTAAATTATTTGATTTTACTGAAATTTTATTAAGTCATGCAAGTTTGCCATAGATATATTAATTCACTAAATTTTCACACCGTCACTGACCTCATTTACTTGACATGCCTGAAGTGAGGAATTGATTGTAAAACGTACTATTTATAAATTACAAAAATGATTAATGTCGAAATGGGCAACAAAGTTATAATTTTATTGTTAGTGTGATGAAGAGGTGTACCATGGTGATATAGCAGTGTTTGCTGGCCGCATGAAAAACGATAAAGCTGTATGGCATCCTGGTTGTTTTTGTTGTAATGATTGCAAGGAATTATTGGTAGATCTGGTTTATTTCTACAAAGACGAAATGGTTTATTGTGGGCGTCACCATGCTGAGAAATATCGACCGCGTTGCAGTGCTTGTGATGAGGTAGGGCCTTCTTCATGTAATACGCTTGTTCTTATACAGTATGTGTGGAAAGATAAAATCCTGGTCATTTCAGAGATTATGTATAATCTAGAAGCTAGAGCGTCGACCTTACTTTTTCTTTTGCTAGTTAGTAGGAAAAATGTGAAAACACCTAACTTAAAGTTGACGCTACTTCACTTTGTGCAAACGAAAAGGAGCGATGTTGCTTTATCTAAATCAACAAATACACGTTATGGTTGTGAAACAAATTCTTGAAATATTTGAACAAAACATGCAAATAATACCTTGTTTAAGACGCACTAAATCTGCCGTATTTAATTGTCTCAACTATAAAAAGTATTTATTTAACTTTAATCAAGTGAAGATAAGAAATAGAAATCCTTATTTTGAAAATAAAACATCTGTTTTCAGCAGTGTAGAATTTCACTTGATATTTCTTTAAAAAATGCTTAACTTATACACACATGGAAGTTCATATGGAACTTCGATGCTCTAGTCCATTTATAAAGATTTCTGATTTCAGACTACAAATAATAATACAGTCAAACACTCAGGAAGTTGCTGCATTTTCCAATTTGTTTATTTTTCAGCTTATCTTCGCCAGGGAGTTTACTGAGGCTGAAGGTCGTAGCTGGCACAAGAAGCATTTTTTGTTTTGAATGTGAAAAGGTTTTGGGAGGACAGAAGTACATAATGAAACAAGATCGACCATATTGTTGTTCTTGTTACGAGCAACGTTTTGCTCAATATTGTCATACATGTGGAGACATTATTGGTGTTGATGATGACCAGCTTAGTAAAGGTGACTTACATTGGCATGCTAATGACAGATGTTTCAGTTGTTTTACTTGCGGTATATCATTGGTGGGCAGTCCATTTATGCCGAAGGATGACGAAATCTACTGTTCAGCCTTATGTAGTCGTGCATCACCTCATGTCCACATGAATCCCGAGGTACCGCGATCCTTACAACAAAAATTGTTTAAAGATGACCTTGCTCGTCAACGAGAAATTACTGGATTTTCATCTCAGTTAAGGAAGATAAAAGAAACAACTTTTGATGAACATAACAACGTACGCAGTGATGTAAAATTTATTGAAACAAGTTGTAAACATTCAACAAAACAGTCAGCTGCCTTTCAAAAGAAAACACGTGATGATGACGTAATACAGGCCATTCCTGTCGAGGATGGCGACAGTAAGGATAGTAATTATGGAACAGAAACATCTTCAGTTCTTGAAGAAGATATAGCAAGAAGCAAGTTACTTTCATCTAGCTATCACGTGAATAAAACCTCGCGACGTACACGTGATCATGGTTATGATACTGACTTTGCAGGAACCGCTTGCGTATCACGTAAATCAAGTGAACGAAGTACAGATCGTGGTTATGAAACAGACAGTGCTTTACGTGAACGTAAACGTCTCTATGAAGTAAAACAAAGTCGATCTAGACATTCTTCACGAAGTGGTTATATGAGTGATGGTGGACAACATCGACTTTATAGGAATGTCAATGAAAGAGGATATGATACGGATGGAACAGAGAAAAGATATAGATCACGTTATCATCATGACTGTCGTGGTTACGAAACTGACACGGGAAAAATATCGTACAACAAAAATATTGATCGAGGTTATGACACAGATGGATGTACTAGCAAATCACATCGTCAAAGTCGCTCAAGGAAAAATAATAATAATACACAAACTGTTATTTATTATGACTTGATCGGTGGTGGACCAATGAATGAAGAGTTTGATCGTAATGCTCCATTACAAATGGTCTATACAAAAAATCTCGGGAAAACAAACGGACGCCATCTAGGTTCAATGTCATCACGTATGTATAGTAGTGTGCGCGAGACAAGTCAAAAATCCAAGGCAAAAGATTATGATTCCAACGATAGTCATCATAAAAACTCATATTCAATGGAGAGGCTGGATTACAGCGTAGGATCACGTGTGCCTGATCGTGGACCAATGAGACGTACGAGTAGAAACATTAACTCTGAATCAACGACAAGGGAAAGAAAGATCTCCAGCAGTAAAAAACCGCTTCCGTGGGAAGATCCTTTTCGAACCCAGTTCGTTACCCAAATCTGGCTGAGGCGAACATGAGAAGAATCCGTTATGTGGACGATGTTGGCTATTCCCCCGAGCAACGGTTATTTAATCCCTCTAATAACAAGACTGTGAACGTTAACAAAACAGAGAAAAAGAGTAAATCGAAGAAAGAATGTCGCGTACAATAAAAAATCTAACCCTGTGTAAATATTGTATGATTAGTTATAAACGTATGACTTTGTTTACATAATAATAATCATTGTGTTTAGTTTGGTAATGATAGAAACAATTCTACATAAGAAAAAAAACTTTTTACAGTATAGCAACTACCAATTTTATGATATATTTTTGCTACCGTGGAAATCCCGTTAGCAGTAAGTATTCATTTTATTTATATTTATGATGTTGACAAGATTTACCTTATAAGGTTTTAGAGCTAGACAATGGATAGTGTATCGTAACTGGATTAATTTGACTTGTTTCAGCATAACTCTAGATGGTAAAAAAGGCTATTTTGTCCTTATCGGCTACAATAACATATAACATGGTATGAAATGAAATAAAAAACACATGCTACAAATAAATGTATTTTTGACCTCCCGGATTCCTCCCCAAGGCAATTTGTAAGAATTCTTTTGATGTTATTATGAAGGTTAAATACCTCGTGTCAGTTTTATAACACTTTATCACATGTTTTATTGGTTTTAAATGATTTGTCAAAAGTTAAATCCTATTAATTGATGAATGATTCTTAGTTCTTAAACTCAATCAAACGACATGTCTAAGCGGGTACCAAATGTGTTAAAATTTTAAATCACACAAAAAGAAGGTGATTTATATAACTATGCATGCATATAATTGTATATCCTGTAGAAAAACATACATATATGTAATAGTTAATAGCATGTAAATGATTTATAAGTTACGAAGTTTATGTATTACAGTTAATAAATATTAAAATTAAAAAAATAAAAAAGGTTTCTTGAATCACATAGACCACACAAGATTCATAATAATATGCCTATAGATTTATTTTAAGACCAAGTTTTTCATTGCGTCAATAAAGCAATGGTTGATAAACCAAACCATGCATGATCCGTCCAACTTGTGGTGAATTATTGCGTGGCGAATCATTTTTTGAAATATGCTGTCCAACCTACAGATATTATGCCGACACAGATCACGATTATTTCTTCGATAAATTGTATTTGATATTTTTCAAGGATATTTAAATTTCTTAATGACAACATGTCACCAAAATTACCATTTACTGACCCACGGACAACAGTAGAGTTCACCCATTTACGTTGCTCAGACGGGATTCAACAGTGATCTTGTTGAGGTACATAATTAATTGAATTAATGAAATACGATTTAGATTCATTTAAATCTTTTTAACTTTATCCTTCCTATGGATAAAACTAAAACACATGAACATATACAGTTAAAATTTATAGAGCACAGTTGGTGTCATAGCAGCACTGCTCAATTATTTTCATTTAATACAATTATGATCATTAAAATTAATATCAGTCAACAATTAAGCAGGTTAGGTATGTTAGTTTATTGATATTTACTGACAGCAAAAAGGATTTTATCATTTCAAGATGCGTTGGTTAACACTCAACAGTTTTACTGACCCATCAAATATACTTATATATCATTGAATGGTTATTAAAACTTTTAAAATGTAGGCAAATATGTCATGTACGACAAACACCGGCACCTTTTCTATGTCGGTATCATCAATTTGATATCTTCATTGAAAACATTTCAAAAACCAGATTGATTCTGATAAAATAGCCACGAGTCCCGCTAAAATTCAATTTGCAGTTGCATAATAAACTTAGCGTCAACTGCTGTGCATAATGCCGGCGTATAGACTCCTCAATTGTCGACGTTGAAATTGGTTTTATAGCTCAAGTCTATCATCCATGATGTTGGCAAACGGAATTTGAAATTTCCAAAAACTGATTGAGGAAAACGCTGCAGACTACGCATGGATTGGATGACATTCACCTCGATAGTTAATAGAATTTTTCTGTTCCAAACGATAACTTATTGATAACAATTTTATGCACGTAAATGGTATGTTTGCCAACATTTGGTTCATTGCAATAGCGTGTTTTCAAGATCTTTCCGTTAGTTAATGCTTCCTGACAATTTACACTTGAAAATCAAATGCAAACATTTCCAAGTGTCATGCACGTCAATAGTTTGGAAAGCAGGCCAAAGGGTTTGCTTAAAGTTTTTTGCACCGTGTATATCAACTTTGTGTAATTTGGTTTTTATGATCCCAAAACATGGTTTTCATAAGACGTGAACGTGGCCACGACTCTATCTCTGTAACATTCACCATATTACACGACCATATGGAAACCAGGAAATATATAGAGTGCTCAAACATAAAAGTATTGAACATTATTTGATCCTGCGCCAAATGGTGTAATTTAATTATAACATCATCACAACTTAATCAATTCAGGAGAAAACATATTTTTCTCATACAACCAAGGCAATGAAATATATTGACGAAATTTGTTCTGTTGGTGGATTTTCCGTCGTTTAAATCAATTATTTGACCGTAAATGCTGTCTGCACACCGGCTGCTGTAAACAGCGGAAATAACATGATTATTCAATAGCTGTGATTGATGTTTTCGTGGTTCCCGAGAGATCACTGCGAAAATAAAAATGATTCCTAATCCAATATTTAATAAATAGGCCAACCATGGCCTAGCATTGTAAGATTAAGGCTAGAATTGGGGTTAGGGATCAATTTCGCTTATTGTTAACGAAATTTTTACCAAGATTGGCTAAAATACACGACAAAACATAACAAGAAAAAATACACCACGTAAAGTCAATTTATGGATTATTTTGTCTTTTTCATTATTAAATTGTTGCACGTTAAACGATCACAAACATTTGTTCCCAAACATGCACCTAGTCCCAGGTTCCCAACCAAAGTTTGTTGTTCCTGAACATGCACATAGTCCCAGGCTCCGAGCGCAAGTCTGTTGTTCGTAAACATGCATGTAGTCCCAGGCTCCGAGCGCAAGTCTGTTGTTCGTAAACATGCATGTAGTCCCATGCTCCCAGCCCATGTTTGACCTTGTAATCAAACACTGCATAATTCGATAAACGATAAAGCAAATAAGAAATTTTATTGGTATTCAATTGTGTTTATCGTGTGATTTTCTTTAACGAGATGACTTCAAGATTGTGTTGTAGTCTCATCTTCTTTTACTGCTATTATCAAGTGGTACAAATAAACACCTTTTCTCTCCCTCTTGTTGTTAATACATGGGGACCACCATTCTTTGATGCACCAAAGAAAGGTATAATGATTGTGAATTATTCGTCTCCGCTTTTATTGTCACTAAAATATGCATTCGGCGGTCGATATCTCGGTACTTTTTTTCCTGACGCGCAGCGCTGTAGCCAGACGCGCAAATTTATTTAAACAAATTAGCTATATACTATTCGTAAATCATGAAATGAAACAACATACTTATCACACTGGTTTCTTAACAAATAGATGTCAACAATTTTTCAAGATTTTGATATCTTGCTAGCCGCCACGTAAAACTTTTATCTAAATCTCAGTTGGCTGCGTAAAAATCTACCGTTCCTCATTTTTGGCCGCGCACTTTGCAAACTTTCGAGTATGGGACTTGTAATGTTTGTGTTTTGTTCGCAGGCAGATTTTGCCGAGTGCTCAAGACAACACTAGTAACAATGCTCAACCTCCCTTTTAGGCACTAATCTGCCTGCAAGCAAAACGCAAACAAGGCAAGAGTCATCCATGCAAAGTCATTTATTCACCAGTAAGGAATTTATTCTAAAGGCACTTTTGTTACTCTCATTTTCTAATTTACTTTAAAATTTTGCTTAGTGCTCCCCAACCTCAACTAGGGAAGAGTCAAATAGGTATAAATCACTTGCATGCTTATATTATAGTCCTCAGTCCAAAATAACTGATTACCGTAAGTCCTCATAAGAAAAAAAAAGCTGCAGTATTATCAACTATTTACAGCATGGAGTGTTATACAAAATGGCCAATCTTCCCTTGATGCAGTCGAACAGGGTTGTAGTGTGTGTGAAATTGAGCAATGTGATGGTACAGTAGGATACGGAGGAAGGTAAGATGGTATTGATACGTAATTTTTATAAAAATGAAGAAGTTCGTTTAGCTGAAGTCGTTCAAATTAATAATCAACCGTTTTACCTTAGTCCAGATGAAAATGGAGACACTACACTTGATGCTATGATTATGGATGGGTAAGAGAGCAAAATAATTTCCTGAACACATAATTCTTTTCACACATAAAAAAGATTATCATATTACAAATTTTAGCTGAAAGCAAAGAAAATATTATTGTTAAAAATTATCTATCTTTATGCAATAGTGAAACACATGATGTCGGTTCAGTTGGATGCTTAAAAAACATTCGTAGCGCAATATCTGTTGCACGGAGTGTCATGGAGGAAATAGTAGGTGATGATGGAAGGTAATGAGGGATGATGGTAAGGTAACAAATAAATATACGGGAATGATGGAAGGAACAAATAAATATGTGATGGAAGGAAAATAAAAAATACGTGTGATGGGTAAGGTAACAAATAAACGTGGGTGATGATGGTAAATAACAAATAAATATAAACGTAGGTGATCATGGTAAGGTAACAAATAAATATACACGTGGGTGATCATGGTAAGGTAACAAATAAATATAAACGTGGGTTATGATGGTAAGGTAACAAATAAATATAAACGTAGATGATGATGGAAAGGTAACAAATAAATATACACATGAGTTAGAATTATTGGTACGATCAGCATGATGTATAGATTTGGTTTGTATGAAGACTACCAACAACACGTATTTTGCATAAGAAAGATGCGTTTCTGCATTTTCACAAAAAGATTAAGTGAAATCAGTAGGAGAGCAGGGAAAAATATTTATAAAACAAAATTCGATACATTTTGCATATCTCAAAAATAATATTCGTTTTAAGCCACTCAGTTTGCCAAGCAGATGGGATTTAAAGAACAAAGTCTGCAGACAAATAAGTCTCTGTGAGTACTGATTTCGTTGGCATATGCATGTTTTTTACTAACATGTTGACAAAATTTATTTTGAATTACAGAAATATTTGGAAATCGTGGAAAAAGAATAACTGCCAACCTAATTTCTGGAAGGTAGCAAGATAGATTAATGTTTTTATATGTACAAAATTAAGTTTTGTTTTATTTTTAATAGAATGTCCAACCAGATCCAAAGGAGTCATGTGGACCTTACAAACCAATCAAACGCTTGTAATGAATCGACAACTTTAAACTTTTTCCATTTCATACATTGACACCAAAATTAAATACAAATACAGAAAGTGTATTTTTTATGATTGCACGATACAGCATTTCTAGTGTGTTTTCTATTTTTTTTCTATATTTACGTATACATTTTTCTCTAACGTTTGAAATATCTATGCAAGAAACGTCATTGTTTTCCTTTTTCTAACCTTTAAGAAAATGTGATGAAGGAGAGGAAGACGATTCAATTGATAATAATAATCATGACACAATTGGTAAACTTCTACGGTTGTATATATATCTCAATTATATGAATTATATTCGCCTATATAAGTTACTTTTAGAACGTGTAGAATAATTCTCAAAATTTCTAGGAATGATTGTTATTGACAAATTTGGACGAATAGCCGCCGGTACGACTACAAATGGGTTGAATCATAAAATTTCAGGGTAAGCAAATCTGCTTTATGCTTCAGCTATGAAACATACAGCAACACTTGTTTTGTCCATCAAATACTCTTAGATTACACAGTTAATTCCTTAAGACTTAGATAAATTAAACCAAACATTTCAAAAAAAAAATAATCGCGCCTTTATCACCAGTAAAATTTGCACAAGAATATTTGTAAACTAAACACAACATAGTTCTTTTAAGTCGTGTTGTTAACACTTAACTCAACATATTTGCTTTCAGTCGTGTTGGTGATTCACCAATAGCTGGTGCTGGATCATATGCGGATAAAGCGATTGGCGGAGCAGCTGCTACTGGTGATGGTGATGTTATGATGCGATTTTACCAACGTAATATCTTTAACAAAATAATGTGGTGGGCTTAATTTACTAAAATGATTGCTCATTTCTTTTTAATCACTAGAATGAATGGTTATTTCTTTTTAAATCATTTGATTGTAATTTACATAGTTATCAAGCAGTACAAAACATGCGTAATGGAATGAGTCCAACAAAAGCAGCCGAGGATGCAATTTACCGAATTGCAAAATACTATCCCAATTTTTCGGGAGCAATTGTTACAGCAAGTATTGATGGAAAATTTGGTGGGTTTTATAAAGCATAACACAGAGAGTTTGCAATCATGCAGTTTTACAAGCTAAGAACAATGAGTAACCATAGCTAACATACATAGAGGGCTTGTTAATAAGTTTGGAGAAGTAATTATTCTTAAACTTATTGTTAAAAATCTTGAGTTAGTTTGTAAGAAAAAAACTATGACTATTATAACTATATTTCAGGTGCAGCTGCTCACAAGTGGACATTCTTTAAATACTCAGTTTGCAGTCCAAATCTTAATCCTAACTGTCAATATTTTTCTGTTCAACCTATATCTAATGACACCAGAAATAAATAAAACTTTCTTCATTCCTTAACATATCTTGTGCTGATTGTTTGTACACCCAATTTATCTAATATTATATAATTATTTTGATCAAAATAATCTTATGAAAATGTATTTTGATCTATATTAAATATCTATATTAAAATGCTTTTGTATTTTTACTATGTAAGTTGATTAAGAAAGTCATATTCTCTTCTCAAAGGTACGGTTACAGTCAGTAAGCATTCATCTGTATTCCACTGTGCTTTACCTCTCTTGCTTTCAACATTGTGAGGGAAATGAAATCCCAATTTGCTGCACATTTAAGAAAGTCAAATATTGAACTATTTTACTTAATATGTGTGATTCCTCATGAAGGCTCATTTTACATGGACACCAAGTAAACCTCATAACAATCAATTCTCCAAATCCTCCCAGTATTAAATTTGAAAACATGTTTGTTACAGTAAACACGTACATAATATGATTCAATTAAAAGCTGTGCCTCGTTTAGTTTTCCTACTTACTATTTTGTTGTTTGAACGTCGAACGCGTGTCTGTAACATTTAAAATCACATCAGCATACTTTGTATCCGGAGGTAAACTTTGTCTGAACACAAAATTATAAAATATTATTTTGAGTACTTACAAATACACCCACTTACACATTGTCTGACAAGTCAAGATGCACTTCTCATTGGGTATTCACATGGTAAAAAAAATTCTTGTATTTCCTAGATTTTGTAACTCAATTAGGAGATAAAATGCAAAGAAATATGTTTACCATATTTCATTAAAGTACCCAAAACAAATTTTCTAGGAGGAAATGCAAAATTGATAAATATATTTAATAAATATACCAGTACCACAATATCTTCACAACAAGCCGTAGATGGATTTTTGCTACTCATTCCCAAGAAAATATCTTCTGATGAAATATTTTGCTTGAATAATGTCTCATACCTAAATATCAAAATATCAAGCTTGTTCATAAAGTGAAAAATGATTAAATTTTTAGATATATAGTATGGAGATTACTTGAAATTAAAATTGTATACTCTGAATTATTTAGCTCTGCAACGTCCTTTTAAGTGTTGTTTGGGCTTCATATAGAAATAACGTTAAACATAGAGTAAAATAGCTGAATTGAACGAAATATACGAACATAAGAACACTCATTGACTCATACTTAGGAACAATTCTGTCATCCAAATTATCTGAAGGAAGTTCACATTCTAAAACTTCATCATCGTCCCAAATACCTCTTGGATAGTCACCTATCATAGAAAAATTTTTAATAGATGGTAAATATAAAATAAAAAAAAAGTTGTTTAATACCTTTCTTTTCATTTTGTTTTTCAATATCATGAGTCTTGGAGTTTCCTATGTGCCCTGGTGTTTGAAAATGATTCGAGATTTCACTTGAGTTTACCTGAAAAAGAGAACAAAAGTTTAATAAGTATATATTTAAAAATTTTATTAAAATTTTAAAAAGGTTTTACATTTTCTTCGTCGTCTGGCTGTTTAAGAAGTTCTTGCAATGCACAAAGCTGAGAAATATTCGCCATCTTGTGTATTGTATGTTGTCATGGAAACAAAATTCCCGCTCTTTTGCAATAAATATGAATAACCACCATTATAACCAGATTATAACCACTGAAAAAGTAGGCAAGCTGTGGCCTGTGGGCACCAATGGTGGGCACCTAAAAATATTTTTAATGCTTGTTGCTAATTTTCTATAATTCAAATTAATTCCTTCACCAAAATGTGTGCATGTGACCAAATTGCTTCTACTAAGTACTAACTAGGTATAATGTCTGCTCTAGTATCTAAGGGAATCACATTAGCGCATTTTGTAAATAAAATAGTTGACATACCTTACATCCATATTAACCAAAGTCAAAACTGAACCTACGGACGGAAGATTTACCGAACAATGTATTTTGTATTCCTCGTGAAGGCATATTTATGGTATATTAAACATGCATTAAACATCAGTTAAAATGGTAAAGTTAAAGAACAAAATTGTTAAAGAAATTTAAACTGTTGTAAAAAACAAATTACACAAAATTGAATGATGACTACTTAAAATAGAGAGGGGGAAGTGGAATAGGAGAACGTTCTAGTCATTGCACGAAACCAGCAAAGTTTATTTCGATCAGATTATTCTGACATAAAGCATGACAAAATATGCCTCACAAAAATCAAGTAGCTTTGGTGAAAAGTTGAAACCATACACCATTCTGATTTACTTTATCACAGTGAAGTACATCTTTTCCTTACATATATTAATAAAGTTATTAAAATCAATAAATACAAGTTGAAGAACAGCAAACAATAGATATTAGTGCTAAAGATAGAGCTATGCTTTAATGTTAAAATTTATTTATATAAAATAATCGTGATTTATGACAGCGATTCTATAAAATGTTCAGAGTACATTATAACGTCAAATAAAACAACAAAATTAACGAACAAAACTTTAAAGAAATTACAAATGTAAAAAAATGAAAAATAAATAAGTTCAATTAAGAAAAATATGACGTGGAATTCATCTTTTCCTTTTCTCATATTCTTTTTTTTTGGCTTTTATATTATGAACAGGTTTTAACTGACCAACTAATTGTTCATCCTCTTCAAAAACATCTTTAAACTCTTCTTCCAAAACACGTTCTGATGGATTTAAAGATCCTATAAAAACACGACAAATCATTTAGATAAAAGAAGTCTGTGTTTACAAAGTCGTGGACAAATAAGAAATTATTTTTTAGTTTGTTTGTTTTGTTTGGTTCCTGTCAACAAAACAATAAAAACAATTTAAAAACTGTGTTTTGCTTGTTTATATCAAATCTCATGCAGCTATCACAATCCTAAAACAACGAATCACAACTTTAAAATTTTCACACGACTACATGCATTTTTCTAGTCGTTTACTTTATATACCTCTTCTTTTCGTCATGTCGTTCATTTTATATGTAGCTTTGTCTACTTCTTCTGCAGCTTTCCTAACCAACGAGATAGAGTCCCATCTACGATCATTTTCCACCTTTTTCATCTTCTCATTTAGTTGATTCATCAAATCCTTTAAACGATCGAGATCAAGATAATATTTATCTCCCAGATTTCCCATATTTTCTATCAATGTTTCAGCTTTTCTTTTGATGGGATACACTTGTTTACGATAAAACTCTACATAATTAACAAATGATTTTTCTGTCTTCCAATGAGGGCTTTTTCGACCACAATGTGTGTTAAATGTATTTCGCTTAAGAAGACGAGGTGTCCAACCTTGCTCTTTGTCCTCAATTTGCAGTTCTTCTGATGATTTAATAGTTGAACTGAGGTCTACAAATTCTACTGGGCGACAAATTGTGCAAGAAGATTTACCCAGTTTAAATTTCTGGAAATAAAACTTAACGGGATCATTTTCTACTTCCTGCTTCTCAGTCAAAGCTTTCTGACTCATCCATCTTTTTATCGCCCTTTGAAGAACAATTGCAGCATCATTCAATTCCCCATTACTACGTTGCTTTCGTCCAACTTGTGAGGGGTCATTTCTTGAGGCTTCCGCATCTTCATCAAATGCATCATCATAAATATCCTCCTCCATATGATCTTTTCTTTCTTCTCTCGTCTTAAGTTGACTATCATCAATTTTAACGAGATCCCATATCTCATATCGATCAAAGTGGCAATTCATACGGCGAATCTTCCCTTTATGTACGTCCCAGACAACATCTAATAATTTATCTTCATAAGGTTTTGAACCAGTAGCGACTCCAAACAAAGTACAATATCCTTTAGAGTAACAGCTTTGCGTACAGATTCTAAGCAACATTTCAGTTTTCTGGCAAATCTTCGCGAAATTGCAGAGAAAGGAAATTGAAGCGAATAATTTTATCGCATTCTCGAGGAATAGCAAGGCCACAATTACATAGCATTGTAAGAACAAGAACTAAAACTCTTTCAGTATCAACAAAGTTTGCGTCATTCTTGCAGAGAGTATCATAAACAATGTTATATGACCTACTAACTTCACCAAAAGTCAACTGAACTATGGAACGCAATAGTTCATGCAAATGCGCAAAGCTTCGTAGCCCTGCAACACCTTGAAATTGCTTCGTTGAATGGGAAATTGCATCAAAAAACCTGAAGGTTTTATTTTGGTTAGGACGGCATTCAGTGTATTCCCAAAGTTAATCATAGATACGTAGCTTTCTGGCAGACAAACACTTTCTTTAGGATACGCTACACAAGAGAAGAGAACAAGACACGTGGTTAGTTGACGTTCCAGAATTGCAACAGCATTGGCGATCGAGGGATAGGGAAGTTTTCTGTTTTTTGCTGGAGTAAACAGGAACTTCTTTATAGCGGTGTGAACTGAGCCTGGAACGTCGCCATCTCTGTATAATTTCTTCTTACAATTTTCAAAAGATTTAAGAAAGATGTCATAACCACCGTATCTGTTACGAAACACTCGGGAATTTTAACCTCACTATTACAACGCGCATTTTCTTCGAACTTTTTCTCCTCTCCTGCGAGTAAGTTATAGATATCTCCGTCTTGAGCACCAGCCAAATGTAAAATATTAGAGACTTTAATAAATAAATCAGAACTTTGCCATCTTTCATGAGTTTCAGCTTTTTTCCACAAATAATTCTTCGCAAAATTTATAAGATATGTACTTTTAAAACGGCGAATAATTGCGACGTCATTTTCCGACAGGAAAAATGACGATGGAATTTCATTATCAAAAGGAAAGAGAATTTCGTACAATCGTTCACCAGCGCTAAATTCTGGAGAAGTAAACAACATTGACTTCAGTTGGGAGAATGATTTATATGACTCTCGTTTCATATCATTCAGGAAGTCAGAAAGTTTTTGTTCTAAGTCAATCAGAAATCGTAAAGCACTCAATTGATCAGTAAAATGTTTTCGAGTGATTTTCTCGTGTAAATGAGCACACGAGCTCATGTCACAAGGACGACAATCTAAGAAACGTGGACAAGGCTTATTTTTTTTAAATATTTCTTCCTTTCTATTCCAACATTGTTTAACAAGTGACCTCGCCATTTTGTGTAGGTGATCTTTAATCAAACCATGAGCTTGCGCAGTTGGTATCAGTTCTTCCTCTGATAACTTAATGAATCGGACCATTTCCAGTCGAGGTACTTTCTTATAAGCCGTGTCATCTGAATCTTTAATTCCAAAATATGCATAACATTGGGTGATCATTGTACGGTCACGACTATTAATATTCCTCTTATGGAACGCAAGAATCAGATCAAGGAGACTTGTTATGGTTCTTCCTGCTTTACGACTATTGATTCTAGTAGGATTATATTTCAGCAACAAGTTAAAGCAATCAACAAGGCCAACATAGTTTGAAGCATCTAAGAAATATTGGCCTGCATCAGCAATATCCCGAGCGTTCTTGCAAAATTTACCTTGCGTAAAAAGGACTTCAGCTTGCAAGTTGAAATCCTCCTCCTTTTTACAAATTTCAACAGCACAACTAAGATACTCGTTGATGGATTCTTGATCGACTGATTCCTGGTTTTGTTTTGCAGAATGAATCTTCAAACGCGCTTCAATTAAATGGCATTCAGCAATAAATCTCATATCATCACTAAGACGAGCAGCTTCCAAAAATTTTCCTTTAGATCGCAATAATTTCGCTGCTTCTTGCCGCTTACCTTCATGTAATAACAACTCAGCAGCTTCCTCAAAGAAGCCATTGTTTTTTAAAAACGTGATGCGATCGTTTACATTAGGTAATTTCTCTAAAGCGTCTTTCATTAACTTTTTATTGCCTCGACGTTGGTAAAATTTAGCCGCTCGATAGCAAATACTTTCATCTCTTTGATCCGGGCGAAGATGTTTTGTGATAACACCTTGTTCTTCTTTCTTCAATAAATCTTTGTAACGTGCAATAAGATTCAAGGCCTCATCATAACTATCGGTGGACAACAAGCTATCAGCTGCTCTCTGAAAATCACCAGCCGATTCATAGTTTCTTGCAGCATCATTAAATCTTCGTTCCTTTTGAAATATGGTTGCCGCTTTGAGGAACTGAAATTAGCAGATGAAATTTTCCTAAACACTAATAAGATTCAAGAAAAAGATTAAAAGAAGTTCTATTATCTTGTACTCGTTTAATTAATCAAAGAGTTATCAATTGACTTACATGTTTTGATTTCTCGAAAAGTTTAGCCAAAGAATCCACTGTCGTGCATTATACAAGCACTTTTCGGCTTCATTTGACATTCCACATTCCAAAAAAAGTAATGCTGCTTTAGCAAATTCAATTCGCAGTAGGCGAGGTTTACTTTGTAGCGTAGCTGCTTCATCAGCACTCTGATGAGCTGCACATTTCTTCACCCATATATCTTCACCAGCCATTGAAAAACACTTAGAAGCAGCTTTCCATCGCCCATTTTCGTAGAAGTAAATACCCCTCTCCATCCACTCTTTAGCATTGGATTTTTGAGCAAACATTCCTTGAAGTGAAGATGAATCCTCTTCTGCTTTATGAAAGTGTTTAACTTCAACTACATCACGTTTCTGAAAATATTCAAACATAGGGGACCTTGTTTCTTCATTCTCATCAAAATCCACGTTTACACGAGCACGAGTTAAAGCCGTGTATAAGTATTTGAATTCTGAAATAAGAATCTTGTGTTGGTCAGGATTAAATTCCAGTGGTCTTGCCTTCAACTTCAAGCTCTCGACGGGCAATTCCGCTATACCAGTCTCGCTCACTTTTGTCACATCATCTTTGCTTTCTTTGTATGATCCCACGACACGCCATTCTTTACAAGCCTACAAATAAAGAGTTGAAATGAGAATTTCTTGTTGTCAGGCTATTTGGTCATTGTACTTGATCACAATTTGTTTACTAGTATATATCGTATACAAAACTTTAATATGAGAGATAACTTCTTTTTACAATATATAAATATATAAATCTTTAATATTTGTTTAAAATTGGATGAGATTGAAAAGTAGAAGTCCCGGCCTTGCCTGAGAATCTTTGAAAAAATTGTATAGCAGAACATCATCAAACTCCAGACCCTTGGCCTCATAAATAGTCATAACTAAAGCCAGACTGAGCTCATCTGGAAGTGATTCTCGCACTTCGTTAGAAACCACGAGAATAACTTGATGTGCACCAAACTCTATTGGTGAACTTTTTCTTTGTGACCACGAAGAATAACAGCAAGATCACTAAAACTACACGACTCCAAGAGAACAGGTTTGGGACCTTCAAACAATCCTTGGTCACGAGCCAACTTATCAAAGGATTCGGGGAAAAAGTACGACAGCAAATCAGTTACACTTGAAGCCAGATTCAGTATTCCTGAATGAGAACGATAGTTATGGGTAAGCTCATAAACTCTATCAGGAACAACCACTTCAGCATCTTGACCTACAGATTTCACAGACTCTCTAAGGTAATAGAATAGTGACCTTAGATCACTAAAACGAAAAGCAATGCCTCTCATGATACTTTGAGCTGTATCACCAGTAAAAAATAACGCATTCGGATTGCGACAAGAACTAATTATAACGGATAACTCTGCTTGAGTAAAATCTTGAGTTTCGTCAACATAGATCTCGTGAAAAGACCACATGGGAATATGATTTTTCAAACGCTGGAAAATATGATGAACAACATCAGCTTCGTCAAACATTCCTTCATTTTGTTGAATACGTTGATACGCTTTGAATAATTTATAAATATCTTCACGATCAGCATTGAATGTTTGCGCTCTTTTGTTACCAATCGATTGATATTCCACTAGAGACAAATAACCTTCGTCACTATGAAGTGCCTCTACTGAACCTTTTATGAATGAAATAATCTCAGTCCAAACAAGACTAGGATGAAAATCCACTTTATTTTTCTTTGTCATTTTTTTCCACACATTGTTCTTAAACACTTCATACGTAATTTCTCGTCTTGGATCTCGTTTAAAAGCTTTCTCTTCATCTCCCATTGTTTTCAGCTTTTGTTCAGTTTCTTTATCTCCTTCCTCTTCATCTTCCTCATCTTCATCAGACTGATAAATTGGCATTCCTTGTAAGTTGTTATCTTCTTCACCCCAGCCTTCTACTGGCCTTTCTATGGTCCCATCTTCATTTCGAGGAAAGAATTGCACACCGGGAAGAGAGGCGTCAAGCATCAGCAGCCAATCACGTGAGCATATAAACAATGGCCACGAGTTGTTTTCAAGCTGATCTAGTCGATTTGCGTTTAATGATGGTTCATATTGTAGATCATCTCTTGATGAAAAGGTTGCCCGACTCAAATCGATGAAATTTTTTTGGACTTCTTTGCACAAAACAGCATTTTTTGTGATAAATACTTGGTGAAGATGGTCAAACTTTTGTTCCACTGCATCGGAATTCTTTTCTAAACACTCACCTACATCAATAGAGCAAGGAATTTGATTATTGACGTTCACAGGTCCTTCTTTAACATTTGCCGAATCATCTGCAATAAAAGACGAGCGAGAAAGTTTTTTTTGCGAGAGCACTTCACACGTTGTTTCCGTTTTGTCGTCGGCGTTTTCAGTGAATGACTCATTTTCATCACGTGGAACAAACAGGGCAGCATTAGGAATGGTAGGTTCGCTAAGTGTATGATTCTTCCAGTAGCTTTGATAGTTATTCCATAGACGATACAAACAACATGTAGTCTTTCCTGTTCCACTACGACCCAACAAGAGAATGGATGTCGGTGGTTTAGTTGCCAGACTAATAATTGAATGCTCCAGTTCAGAAACACGAAAAGGGAAATCAAAATTAGTCTTTTGCCGTTGATCCAGCATCGCGTTTACCATAGCATTTGAAAAGGCATAGAACTTGAGAATATGGTATTCGGTTTCCTCTGAACTTCCAGGAGGGAAAAATATACTGGTTGATTCTTTTTTCGAAGAAGTATTCTGCTGAGATTGATCGTTATGTTGAAAAACTAAGCCGTCATCTTTGGGAACGTATATCTTGGGTATTAATCGTTCGTCAATGTCAGATGATGGCTCTGAAGTAGTGTTGTTGGTGCCTTTCAGTTTTTTCTTTATAAAACAACTTGCTCCACGATCGTGAGAACGAATTATTTTCTCAATCTTTCTTGGTACTGTGTCATGATCAAACACAATGTCCCAGATTCTGATAATTTCGGTATAAATACCACGACTATTCTCGTTTTTGTTTTCCGGCAAGGCACTACAACGAGGTGAGAATGCAATGGCACGTTCCCATAGAATACGAGCAGACCTATCAATTTTCGCTTCAAAAAGACGAATGTTGGATCTTTTAGCAATTCCAACAAGCTGTTTAGCAAGACTACCACGCATGTTTCCAAGCGCCAATTGTTTAACAATATTTACAATACGTTTTTTTATCTCGTTGCAACTTCTTATCATTCAACTTTTTCCATACTTCTGACGTGCATTCAACTTCCCACGTTAAATTATCAAACGCCATATTTGTAACATCATCATCATCATCATCATCACAAGAAGCTGTGTCAGTAACATCGTCAGTACATTCATCATTTACTTTATCAACTGTTTGATCTACACTTTGCGATGGAAGTGGTGATTTTGATTCGCAGTTTTTAATGATTTTATCATTGTCACTTGGTTTTATTTCTTTATTTTGAATAGGAGAGTTTTTCTCTTTTTTTATAACATCATTGTTTTTTTTACTGGCCAATGATTCTGTAGTTACAATTACAAACTTGTCAATGGCTTTCTCAAGTTTTACTCGCAACAGCTCAATCTCTGAAAGAATATGCATGGATGATTCGATTGACACATTATCAACTTCTTCGTCTTTGTTGCCTTTAATGCCTTTATCTTTTTTATTTGGTTCTTCAACATAAGGATTCTTCATCTGATTATTATTTTTCTTTTTCCGTTTCTTTTTTTTCTTTGACTTTTCAGGCTTACATTCGTTCATGCTTTCCTCGATTATGCGATATCTTAGATCATCACGATTAATCAACATTAATGGCGTCTTTCCATCCTTATTTTTTGTATTTGGGTCAACCTTATGCTTTCTTAAAATCTTTATTCCTTCTTCTACATGGGGCCATGTTCTATTTTCACTAGCCACTAAATGATACAGACTGTTTCCTCTCCTGTCTACATGCATTTCAGAACCAGTAGAATTGGCAGTAGTGACTTCCATCAAGTATTCAAACATTTTCCAGTGACCTGAAACAATTAAAAAGCTCAACAAGTTACTCTAGATGAAAAATCAAGTAACATATCGTATTGAACAACTTTGTAGTAAGATATGTTCCATGCAATGTAATCAAACGTTAGGATAGAAAATGATTTTTGTTTTAAAAATGTATTGAGCAATCTATACTTACCTTTCATGAGCCCAATTTTAAAAGCAATATGAACATGACTATCGTCGTTCTTTCCTGCAAACTTGCTTCGTAATAAACCACCAGGCTCAGCATTTTTTTTTAATAGAATGACAGCAAGATCGTGGTCTTCAAAATTTACAGCTACTGTCAAAGGCGATTCATGATTAAAATAGGTATTTACAAGAGCACCATGTTCTATTAATGTCTCAATAAGCTTATAAAACATGCTTGGTTTAGGGTCTGACTTGATAACATCACATAATGATATTTTATTAAGATCACACTTTCCTGTTGCTATTCCACCATCTCCTTTAGCATATTGACCTCCACCACCAAGCAAAAACATTTCTAAAGACTTCCAGTAACTTTTCTCCGCACATTCCGTCAGGTATTTACTCATGCAATCACGAGGAATTTCAAATGAAATTTTTGATATTCCATCTACAATAGACACATGACTCATTTTATAACATGAAAAAAAATTAAAAGTTAAAAACACATGAAAGCGTTTCGTAAAAATGAAAGACGATAACATTAAACTATCAAACACTTCTTAAAGGCGACATTCACAGTAATGTACCTGGACATTTGTAAACCAAGTTAAGAATCTTCTGCACTATTTCATACTTTGTGTTGTTGTCTTCATTACAAGTAACATTTAGTCCTTTTCTTAAAGAGTCTAAAGCACATTCATAATTCTTCATTGCCTCAAAAGCTGTTCCTAATCTGTAATAACCCTTAAATTAAATAAAGATTATTTCTAAGAGCATCATACGGAAATTATAAAGGAAATTTCATGTAGTCAACAATATATTATGGTTATAACAAACTTAAACGCTTATTGGTAAATTTTACCCACAATCTACTTTGGCTTCGAATTGGTGGTTCGCTGTTTGTAATTTGCAAATGAAAAATTGATGTCCTCGAAATGAGAATGCAAAATATTTCAGCTATTTTCGAATGGTAACAATAACATCGACAACATAGAATTTCTATACGATTCAATTATTTAGCTAAATGATGTGTTCTCTACTGATAATCGAGTTCGTCAAACAAGTTGTTCACAAAATAATAAAAGTCGTTAGAAGATTTTTGAGTCTTGATACCTTGCAAAAACTTAAGCGCATTCTAATATTTACGTAAACATGACAGGCATGACGTAATGTTTGAAACGTATGGAATTTTGGCACATAAAATGTCACTGAAGCCATTTATGATTTTATCATGGAATAAATTCCATCTCCGTTTTATCTTACAAAGTCATTTTTAATTATATCGTACAAATTAATTATATACACGCAAATTTCATTTGCGTATAATTAAATGCAAATATTGAAAAGACTAACTTAGTTCAAAGTAAATATTTCATGAGAGTATGAAACAAACATCTGTGATTTTTGCTTCCCAACTTTTTTATTGAAACATTTAGGGTAGACCCTGACCTTTACGAGTTGCCATCACTTTGACCGTGTACTTTACAGTAACTATAAGTACATACTTGAGTAATACATTATATATTATACTTTATTAATAATACAGCACATAAATGAAAATATGTAAAAGCTCTACCAACTTCTATTTCAACACAACACATTAAGATTACAAGTTAAATCTACCACATAACAAAACCACAAACCTTAGACCAGTCAGGTCTATATTCCAAGCATTTTTTCGCGTCATCTTTTGCTTTAACAAACTGCTTTGTCTTGAGATAAGATTGTGATCGATTGCTGTATACTTTTCCAAGAAATACAGCATTATTCTCAGAAGACGTGTATTGAATGGACATGGCATAACATTCAATAGCAAGATCATACTTCTGCATAGAAAACATTCTATTTCCTTTATCCTTCCACAGTTCAGCTTTTTCCTGACAATATGTTATAAATAAAGTAGTCATTGATCATTACACTATGCAAGAAAAACAAATAAAATTGACTTTCATAATACATATTCCAAAGCCTTACATAAAATGAATTTAGCCAATGTCAATATTACCTGAATAAAGAAAGACTCCAATTGTTTACACTTCTTCCCAACTTGTATCGCTTTGTGATACATGTTACTATCCCACAATGTTTCTATCAACAACTTCATTGAATCATTCCACTTTTTCTTGACAACTTCATCAAAATAAACTGAAGGATTTAGAGGACGAAGAAGCAATTCTGAGATCTCTAGACAATCAATAGCTTCCATACACTTTCTTTCAGCAAGTAAACCCATTGCTTGATCCAAGATATTTGAACCATATGTCTAAAAAAACAAAACTCAGTGGTAAAAATTATTTTTCAAACTCATTTCAATTTTGAAAAACTAGAAAAATTGTAACGTAACAGTACTCACAATTGCTGGTTGATAATCCAATGTTTTTGAAACCTCTATATCCTTTTCCCATTCAGAAAGTTGTCCATTTTCATAATACTCCAAGGCTCTGTCACAATGTATTTTACTTTGTTCTAATTTACTAACTCCTGCAGCAAAATGCAATGCTGCAGAGTAACACCATATTGCAAGAGACGAATGAATGTTTGATGCATGATTCCTCCATAGCTTCATTTCCACCTAAAAATATGATCATCCATCAACAAAACTACTTTTTTATGCAAATGTTTATTTATTGCAGTTAATATTTTCAGCAAAGGCTGTTTATATTTCACCTATTTATGCAATTTTGCTTATTAATGAAGACATCATAAATAGATAAGACTTAGTCTATTTCACAAAATGAGGATCTTGTAAAATATATATTGAGAGACAAAATACAAAGGTCATTCGTTTATGAATGACAAACAACAATAACAGTTGGTCCAGGCCCCTTATTAATCAATGATTATCCCATTATGCTCTAATAAGAATATCTGCATAAAAATATAGCTTTCTATTTATGAATGGAAGTAAAATGCATGAGTGATAATTAATACTTTTCATATTATCAAAATAAACCTTAAGGATTTCATTGTTAACATCCATTATTGTTTACCATAGACAAAATATAATTGATATGTTTAAATTTGTAAATAAAATATCCACACTATAGACAAGCAAAAATGGGGGTCCTTGTATTGATATACTATAGAAGCATAAATGTCACATAAATTCTTTACAGTCAAGTCAGGGAGACTGAGAAAGTGACATTACCCACCATATCATTATCTTGCTGAGGACAATCTTTAATAGCCAGTTTAACATCTTCTATCATCCTATTGAACTGTTGACATCTTAAGTATACTTCAGCTCGAGACAGCAAAATTCGAGACCAGAAAATCACATCAGATTGAGACCCAACATTATAATGGAATATGTTCAATGCTCGTGTAAAATGTATTATTGCATAATCAAAGCAATTCAAATTGCGGAACTCCATTCCAGAATTATACTCAAAGATTATATGATTCATTTTTAAATAACCTTTACACAAAAATGCATTTCTTACAATTCAAATTCATGCTTCACAAATATATGCAAATGAGCGTCTTCCTTCTGACTTGATATCATTTTTACTGTAGTGTACACGGACTGAAACAAGAGACATGAGCATTATACTTGCATTCAAATTCCAAATCAAAATTTATAAAAGAGCCTATAAAATAGCATAGACGGAGAAGATATGTACTGGGCAAGCATAATGAAAACAGAAAAAAATTAAACGTATTTGTTGTGATTAAATGTAAGATACATATGACTTACCTATAGGGGGATATTTCAATTTATCATATTAAAACTGCAAATTTAAGAATGTTGAATTTTATAATGAACAAAAAATACCAGGAATACCAAATATCCTTCCTTGAATGAAACAAAGTTGTAGTTAGCATACTGAATATTGAAATTTTTTGTTTCACTTTGTAAATGAGTGTATGGCGAACGTCACTTCTGGTAAAATAGTGCGCTTTAATTGGCTTAGAAACATTCTTGGCGGTAAACTTTGAAATCGGACCGGACCAACAAGGGGAATTTCGTTTTGAGCCAATCATAGGTTTGTTTACGTTTTTGCTTTGTGCAAGTTCTGATTGGCTCATTTTTAACAACGTAAACAAACTTCTGATTGGCTCAAAACGAAATCCCCCTTGTTGACCGGACCGAGTTAGTTTCAGCGGAGTTTCTTTTTTATAGTGAGTTAGTGCAGTGTGGCAATAGGTTATTCCCTTACTCAGGGTAGTACCCAGATGGTATTACATACACAGTGGGTATGTATATTTACTTTTAATAAGAACTTGAAACAACTGGGGATAGTTTGATAAAAAGAAATCATAATTTTCATTGGTACAAATTATAATAATATTATATAACAGCCTGCTTTGTGTTTACTGATTAAAGTGTTTAGGCTGCAATCTGTGTTTTCCAATTTACAAAACAGGTTGCATCTTTTTCTTTGTAATCACGTAAATTGAATAATATTAGTAACTTTCAACTTCAAACTTGTCTGTATTGAACTGCTTCGAATCTTTTTCATCTCATTGCTTTTGATTTTTTATTGTGTGTGATTTCAACGATCCAATTGAAGAAAATTATATGGGCATGGAAAAGTTCCTGAAACATGGTTCTAGATTCAACCGACAATTTCGGCAGTAGCTATATAGTAAATAATGAATCTTGTTCCGTTTCATGTTGAATCAAAGCCTTTAGGAGTAGTTTACTACATATGTTTTTAAAAAACTAAAACATTGTATGAATTGACTTTAAAGTAAAGTCTATTTTATCTTTTGTACTATTTTTAAGATTATTGCTTCTTAGATGTTACTAAAACCAATTTAGCTATATTTTACTCTCAAAGTGGTCAACTATCACATCTTTTGCAAGAAATCGCAAAAACACACCTGTAAATACCTCTTCATTAATCAATTCATTGACTAGAAGCTGATAAATTCATTTTTAGATAACATTGAATCCTACAACTTTTTCCAAACTGAACGAAACTAAAACTAAAACTAGTTCCGAAAAAAGTAACTTCTACAGCGCTGGAGCACTGTAGAGCATGCACTGAAAGTATGGTCATGCATGGAGATTCAACATGGAAGTACATGGTCATGGGTGTGGGGTCAACAACAAAAATACACGCTGGGTGGTTTCAAAGATACAACACAATACATACAAACAGCAACAGTATGTGACTTGGTATTGGCTAGTCGACGTTGCTTGCTGTTAAGAGTTTAAGACTTGGTTACTATTCTTGTGACTTGACACGAGTTTCGGTACTTTTTAAGTCTTAAAGTTACATTTCAAACATCAAACATCAATTGAATACATAAACGAAAACCAATAAGTCCGAGAAGATGAAACTTATTAAATAGTGTTAAAACAGGCCATAGAGTTATATAACTTATTATCACTTTCATCTATTATACTTAATCATACTTTGATAAAAACGTGAATCTTCAAATTTGTGCAACTCCACAAAGTAGTTTCATCGAAATAGCTACTTTTTAAACCACGATCATATTCTTTTAACAAACGCAATAGCCTTGTGTGAACATATGAATAAAAAGAATAATAAAAAGTCAAAATTCCAACAAACTTAAATTCGTTTCGAAATAGAAGAAAGCACAAAGTTTTGCGTGGGAAGTAGCTATAGCTTTATTATAATGTTTGACATGGAAGGCTGCTTATAAAAGCTTCCTGTTAGGAATCGACGACACTATTAATGAGTTGTTTATATTACGAAGACCAATAAAATAAACTCGATGCTACGCTACTCAGACTTTCTTCAAAGACTCTTGCATCGCTTCACAAGTTCACCTTGACAGCAATGTTTGTATGTTTATTTTATAGTTTTTATTGAGGATGTGAATTAAATAAATGTATATTATTGAATAGTTGCATTCTTGCGTATTAGTTTTGTTTTGCAGTATTTAACGGAAAGATCATGACATTTTATTGGTTGTAAGGTTCTGCCAGTGAAATTTGAAATGTAATTTTTATTAGTTAATACGACCGCTTAGTCGTATTTGACTGGAATTTCATCCATCACTGTAATCATATGTTTAGAAGTTTGTTGGGGAAATTCCTCTAATTCCAAAGAAATCGAATTATTTTATTGACTTCATTTATCCATATCACAATGAACCAACCTTAAATGATAAATAATCGCTGCATTAGTCGAGTGAATACAGCTACATTACCAAGTTAGCAATAAATTTGAACTGTAAACGACTATATCATAACCATCAATTCAATCAGTGTCTCAGTAATAAATTACACTAATTTGGCGCATATTTTCTTTAAAAGTACGATCAATTTCTTATTTTCACCTAGATTTATATGAAAAAAGAAATGCTTATACTTGACTTTAAAATTACAATCTAATGCAACAAAATGTAATGAAATAAGTCATTTGAATGGTTACAAGTGCAATAAAAATCCCACTTGCCCTTTTCATCGAAATGTAAGTAAAAGAAACGACGCATCAAGAAACTATTTTTATCATGTTAAAAACTTAAAAGAACATAAAAACATTACGAAAAAATTTAGTTGACTGAAAAACAGAGGCATTCTTTCTTGTATCATTTTACTATTGCTGTACTGTCGCATTTTAATCTCCTAAAAACATCATTCACTCTTATATTAAAAAGTGGATTGCTTTATGAAAAAAAACCCATTCAACTATAAACCATTTTTGTCGATCACAAAAATATGATATTGTGTTATAATAAATATTCATCTTTCAGGATATTGATTATTGATTCCAGAAGTGACTTCCAAATGTCAGGTACGTTTTCACTTCAAAAAATTATATTTCTTGCCTTAGTAGCTCTGGTAAGATTTTAATACGTAATTGATTTTATGGTCAGATCAGAAACGTTTACTACAATTTACTGTGCTGGAATCCTTTTCTGGATCGAGTCCTAATGAATTGAGTCTTTTGAAGCATGATATTGTGTACGTGATTGAAAATAATCCAAGTGGATGGTCATGGGTACACGAACCAGATCTTGGAAATGGTTGGTTTCCCACAAGTTACTTAGAACCACGTATGAATAATGAAAATGATTTAAGAGTGAGTTGAATTAAAAAATTATTGTGTTTATGAAAATGGTTATTATTCATAAATTCTTTACGTTATGCGATTAGAAATCGAGTGATACTTTACAATATGTTGATGTAATCAATAAATTGGACCATGAAGACGAAGGTTTGTTGAATTGTATTTTTTAATGCAATGTACTCTACATTAATTATTTCAAAAATGATAACATTTCCTTGATGAATGAGATAAATTCTATCACTTAGAATGCCCGTATGTCTATGCTACTAGAGATGCGATCCAAAAAGTCAAAAAAGAAGGCAATTTTCTTGAATACGAAGCTAAAGGTTTGTTAATAACACACTCATCCCAAAAATACTCATCTTTCATAAGCAAACGATGACAAGAAGTTGTTGCAGTTCAGTATGACTTTGATTCAATCTTAAACGTTCATTATTTCAGCGTATCGCGCGACCCACTCATATGAAAGAAAAAATCAAGATGAATTATCGTTTAGCGAGAATGACATTGTTCTTGTGGTCCAAGAGACAGATACAGGCTGGTGGCGAGGAAGCACTTCTCATTGTGAAGGATGGTTTCCAGCATCGTATGTTGAAGTACGATAACAAAAGTTTGTGTGTGCAAACTATTTGCACAGTATAGATATCTTAACAGAATGTCCGCTCGTGTCGGAACCTTAGATGTTCGTGTCACCCACTTTTGTAGAGTAAATTCTAAGCAGACGCGCCTTCCAGCAAGATACTTCTGCTTGATTGCAATAGAAGATACATGTATTTACAAATATATCGTTTTTGCACTACAAAAGCATGGAACCTTATCTTCGCAAGATAATAACTCTTTGTAAAAATTTCGGCAAACGCTTGCTTTAAACGTGAGTTATTAGTAAAATAACATTCTCATGAAATACCACTTCATATTTATTTTGTGAAGCATCTATCTGGGAAGTCACGCAAGCGTAGTGAAATTATATGCCACGATTTTGGCCGAGTGGACCTTCTGTTAAGATGTCTATTCTGTACTATTTGTGTACAAGTCTAGTCACAAGCAATTGCTAACTGAGATTTATAAAAACTACTCCCACATTTCATAGATCAAATTTCTTTAAACCACTTTGACTAAGAAAAGTACACATTTCATTTTCTCTCACGTAAGGAACTTGACTCATCTCCAGTGGACTCAGATGACAACTACGTATGTGTGAATAATACAACTAGTAATCAAAGTGAGTTATCAACAATCATCCATACTCGCTACATTCAACAAAGTGTAATCTCATAACGTATGATTATTGTTTGATACGAAATGGCTGAGATTATTGACTTTACCAGGTTCTTTTGATGATTCACTTTATCAAGTGACAAAACTTGTGGACGAAAAATCCTTAAACAGTGGAGAAAATAACAGAAAAGATATCCATCAAGTTCCACAAACGAATTGTAACAACAGAAGAAGAAGAAATCGTTCCACAGGTAAACTAATTTGTCCATAACAGAAAATAACGTCTACCTTGGACTAAAATATTGACCTTTTCAGGATCTGTTCGAAGACCTTCACGAGATCCACCACCAATACCAATATGCTTTGATTCCATCATTGACGAAGTAAAAACCCTTGATGAAACTGAACAACCAGAAGTATCAAAAGAGCAAGAATTACCTTTTCCAAAAGCAACAGCAACAGTTACTTCAACTTCACCGAAAGCATCACATGATCTTGAACCATTATCGACTTGGACATGTGATAAAAAATCAGATAATTTGGCTAATGATGAAACTGCTAGTGTAAGTATATTGACAAGTAATATTTTTAAAGTCATAGTTTTCTCAAAATTTTTGTAAGCATTTCACTTAACCAGTTATGTTTTGTTTCAAAAGGCAAATTTGAGAAATTTTTTATTGATTGCTATTGACTATTATTGATTTTATCATCTATTGATATACAAAAAAACAATATTTCCATTCAAAGAACGAAGACGAAACTAACAATGTGCAAGGTGTTGTGATTTTTCGTCGACGAAACTTGTCAACTTCAAATAATTTATCTACGCTCATTAAAGTAACTAAACGACGAAGTACCATAAATCCAAACCCAGTGGAAACACCTCCAAACAGACCTGTACCTATACCACCTCCTAGAAATTTACAAAATTCAAAAGAAAATGTGTCCTCTCGTTCACGACCCACTATAAAACCGCGTAAAAGACTTCAATATGCACCTAAAGAAAACCCAGACAGATCACCACCAATGTTACCTAAAGACAACCTAAATGAAAGCAAAGACACATTATCAACATCCCTAAAGTCAGATAATTCAGACACACCGGCGCCCCGTCAACGCCAGAAGCAAAGACGTCATAGAAACTTTGTCAAATGGATTTCAATCACCTCTTGACAACCATTCAGTTGTTCAGTGTCTAAACCGTGATTTGTCAACTTGCTCATATAATAGACCTCAACCTAAAACGCGAAATGGAAAAAACCAGGAAGTCCAAAGACAGAGAGTGAATCCAATACCTCCACCACGAAGACGGAGCAGTGAACAAACACATTCAGACATTAGTGAAAGTAGTTCAACAATAGAAATCAACAATATAAATTCTATGAATTCGGAAGAAAGTGTTTTTTCATCCAATATTCGCGCAAACAACAAAACCAATGCTACAAAAACATCTTCAAGATCAAGTTCTGTCGATGAAGATACAATATCGCTTAAGCGACGTCCTAAAATCCAACCAAGATCTAAATCAACAGCAAACTTACAAAAAGTGCTTGATTGAACGCCATTCTTTTTAGAGTTAAATATAAACTCAAATTATACATAGCTACATATCATATCAAACGCTCCTGAACATATGCAATGTAAATGCATGAGTTGACAATTCAAAAAAAGTCAAAAAAGTACCGTAAGAAATGTTTATTAGTTGCACTAGCCACCAGCCAGTTATCGTGGAAAACCTTTCATTGTGGTTGATGTACTAAAGCATTTTCATCGACACAATCATTGAATTTCACAAGACAAATAATGAGGAAACAAAAGAAAAACAATTTTGCATCACTTAAAATGATAGTTCACGACATTTCCGAACAATTCATTACTTCTACAAAGTTAAGGGAAAACTCGATGTAATTTTTTTACTGTCTATCTTGTAGACAATGTATAGTAAATATGTTAACCTACATTTAAACTTATTTGCATAGCAATATAACATTTTTAATGGTGTCAGTGTAGGACAAGTAACCACAAGTAAATATTATTGAATAATATTTCACAAATGGCAGTTGTCTTTTTGTCTACTTTTTAGTTGCCCTTGCCAGTAACAGATTAATGTTGGGTTCAAATTTCTTAGTGTAAGTGATAAACTAACAAAACACGCATCACATGTAATGTTCTAAATAAAATTTTTGCACTTATCTTTTACATTTGTTTATTTGTATTCTTCATACTTTTAGGATTATTGGTCACCTAAAAAATGTAACAACGTTTATGCCTTCTGATATAATAGATCTTACATGACAAATGACAAACGAAGTTTGTGTTAATCAGTTTGCTATGTGATCTTTTAATTTGAATCAATATTATTTACCTCCGATGTATACATTTCTGTTCTTTATCTCACTATTACCTTGAAGAATTTCTTATCAACCGAAATGCCAGCAATGTCACCATCATTCACAATTTCTTTCAATCTTTGTATTGATGCTTCCTTTGCACCAACGAATTTTAAAGAAAATTCGACATTTGTCAGACTTTTTCATCCTCCTAACAAGGAAAAGAAATTAATCTTTGCATAAGAAAACGTACGTACGCGTATACACCACATAGCTACAGGGTGTGTGTTTAAGAAAGTGAATGAAACTTTATTTTGTTATTTTATAGACAAGCATTTGACTATGTGTCAGGTCAAAGTGCAGGTCAAAATTGCACTTTTCAACTGTTGGGAATAAAGTGCAATGAGACATCATACGTGGAGAATCTTCAATAATTGTATTTGATTCCCAGCGGCGGAAAATGCAATTTTATATTTTAAGAACGATTTATATTTTAAGAATACTCGATCATTTCTACTTGTTATGAAATATTAAATATATCATTAGAAAGTTAAAGAGGTCATATTGTTGCATTTATGTAAATATAACTGCAAAGCACTAAGTCAAATGTACTGTTGCTTATAAAAGTTCAATTCACTTTTTTTATACATTCCGTAGAGTTTAGGTGTTCTGCAATCACGCAGAGCCTAGCGTTTCGCTATTGCTGTTCTGCAAAGAGTAGCGTTTCTCCAGTTGCGAAAAGATGCATAAAACTTACACACTTGACATTCAGTGCATTCGATTTGCGTAGATTTTTTTTGCGATAACACAACAACAGCAAAGACATTATTGCGCGTCAAACTTACATCAAATCTGTCACTTTACGTCCTCAATATTTGCATCATCTTCTAACACTGATGCAAGCTGAAATGTAACAAATAAAATTTACCATTTCCACATTGACAATAAATCTTAATCAAGACAAAAAATTTATCATTAAAGATAGTGATGATAATGAACGACTTGTCATTATTAAATAAATTTCAGGGGCCGGTTGCACGAAGCCTGGATAGCGTTATCCATTGGATAGCAATTTTTTTAAGCTTTTATGAAAAACGAGCCAAAAATATATGATCCGAACTGGGCAATCACTGAAATAAAACATTGTTTCAAATATTACGAAATTTCTTTGTCGTAAGAAAAATATAAACACCTTTTTCATAAATTTGGAAATTTTGCTATCCAATGGATAACGCTATTCAAGCTTCGTGCACCTGGTGCCTGACGTTTAAATATTAATTCTGTGATTGGATGCACTAACTCCTTTCTCAAAGTTGCCCGCAAGCATTTTGTACTGTGGACTGTCATGATTCCCAAGGAATGAATACCAGGCTTGATTTATTTTGATCACAATACTCGCTGAAAAGATTTAGAGTAATTTAAAAAACACAACTTTTATTTGTTCGTACGAATTAAAAAATGAAAAAGGGGGGGAGAGAAACAGCTCATAAAAAAAGAGATGAAATGAAAATCGTTTGAAATGTGCAGAATAAAAGTCAAATTACCTGTTGTATTGGCAGGAGCCGCTTCACTAGAAAGATCGTTAATGTTATTCTGGTATGACCGTTGTTGTGGATCGTTTTCATAACTTGAATCATATTCTAACCCAACTTTCCTATTAGTGGAAGCTGTCTGACTAGATAGATCGACATTGTTATACTGATATGACGGTTGTTGTGCATCGTACTTGTCATTTGAAGAATATTCTGATCCAGAATCTTGAACGTTGGCTGCATTTTCTAATAAACCTGGTGTTTGTTGTGTGTTTACATCTGTGTTTTCTTCGTGATGTAGCGTTTCCAGTATTAAAGGTGTTGCATCTATCTGCGGCAGTTTTTGATTCTGATATAGAGTGTCTTGATAAGAAGCATCATTGAAAAAATTGAGATTTTCCGGTTGTGTTTGGCCTGAATAATTTTTTTGATTTTGAGTAAATGCCAAATTTTGAAGTGGTTCTTTAGTTTGAAGTGGTTCTTTAGTTTGAAGTGGTTCTTCAGTTTGAAGTGGTTCTTTAGTTTGAAGTGGTTCTTTAGTTTGAAGTGTTGCCGTGTAAGCCTCGCTCTGAGAAGCCTGGGCAGGAAGTTTTGTTTGATTTTGTGATGAAGTTGAGTTTGACGTAACTGTCACAAGAGATGGAGGGTAGTTAACGATATGTGATGGAACTTTTTCAGTAATTTTCTTATCTTGACTTGGATTTGGTGTCGGATTAACTTCACTAAAAGACTCTTCTTTGAAAAGATTATCTGAAAAAAATCAGTCATTTCACAAAATTATTACTCAAACTTATTTTGAAACAAATTTATTGAAACATGATGACGTGGTAGCATGATAACCTTATAGTAAAGAGAATTTAAAACTTTATAACTATCTACCTGGTATTTTTAAAATTTTCAAATAATTTTCATCGACTTTAAGACTTGAAATATGTCCATGGCTGACAATAAAACGAACATGTGATAAAGGATTTCGTTCGCTTTTTCTGAATTGAAATGCTACTTTAGCTAGAATACCATCGGAAGCTTTTCTAAAAATTAACCAATAACTATTATTCATAAAATAAAATAATAAACACAGAAAAAGTAGATTACCAATCGTTCGTAAAAAGAAGGAAAAAATCACCTTAAATCTAAAACTTTGGAGTCAAGGAATTTTTGGTCAGAATTCAGTTGTTCCAAAATCTAGTTAAAAACTCATCATAGTAAATTTATTCAAAATGACATCGAGAGAATATTGAGATGAAATCCTAAATGATTAAATGTTATTTTTAAAAATCTAGACGACACCAACCGCATCAAGAACATTTCCCTGAAACAAGCGATACGCACTTCCATCTTTTAAATCCATTGCTGGATTCCATTTCTCAAGAAATTTAATTTCTATGAAGAATTTATCGGCTAAAAAATATTATATGACGTCAAGATAAAATAAAAAAATTTTACCCAAAATTTCTAAATTGATGAAATAAATAAAGCTAGCCATATGAGTTTGTCGTTTACTTACATTCTGGTACATCGTCATCTATGTCTGCATGTCTTTTTTGTCGAAATACTTTTCTGAGTCCAACTTTATGGCGATTATTGATATCATCAGATGATATGGCAAGTTTCAAACTTCTTTTAAACTTTGAAGCATTCCTTCGACGACAAACTGTTGAAAGCAAAGACCAAAAAACAAAAATAAACATTTCATTTTCATACTTACAAAGTACAGCAGAGTTATTTTTTATATTTACCTTTGCTGGTTGAAAAATGACAAAAAATAAGAGTTGTAAATAGTAGTAAAACAAATCTAATATTTTTCATTTTGATAAGATTAATGTCCCTGCAACGACACAAAAAAAAAACAATACATATTGAGCAAACACTTCAGCTGTTTCACATAACAACAACGTAACGCTTTTTATAAAATAGTGTAAAAAAGTAACTTTATAAGGAACAAATTTTTAACTATTATAATATTCAATAGTTAATGAATTGTTACGTGGGTGAATTTCAACCAAGGTAAGCAGCCTAAACTCTGAAATGTTTATTATTCCTCACATGATGTTTCGTGTTTGTAATATTTCAAAAAATGCCACAGTTATTTTTAATTTGTATCAATATTTTCTTGAATTTGGACATTTTGCGTCGATAGTTTGTCTAAATTCTTGCAGAAAACCAGTTAGAATCTCGTAAAATTAGAATAGACTATAGAGAATTTTTAAAAATACTTTCGACATCGCGCAATCCGCTCACGCCAACATCTTCAGCGTAAATAGTAGCGATGAGATCATTTTTGTGATTGAGATCATCATAATTTTAATGAAGCTCTTACCGTTTCATCTACACTGTCATGTCAGCATAAAAAAATTTTAAACACAATTATTCAGAAACAGTCCAAAACAGAAATTCAAACAATAATATTGAGATATCAAGATGTGAATTTCAGACGTTTACAATTCAGCTTGTCCAAGAGCAAAGAACAAAAGATGAAAATATTTATCAACTAAAATACAAGTCAAATAGCAGGTTTCTACTGGTACAACAGAGTTTATCGTTATCCGGTGATTTTCGTTTCGATTATTATTATTCCATTGTATCAATAAAACGGTTTAGAGATCGGCTTTTTAAGATGAAATAACTGAGTCAGTCTTAAGAATAATTTGAAATTGCACGATTGCATAAAAAGTATACTTACTTATAGTGATATGTGATTACGTAATTTGAAAAAACTGTTGTTGATAGCATATCCAATTTAATTAAATTTTCAATTCACATTCGTCAAGACACAAAGTCAATAGTGCGTCAAAGTAGTAAGAGTCAAACTACTAATTTGGTGAAAGCCAGCTTAAACATTTCAGCGTCATTTCAAAGCAGGCCTAAATTAGAAAGAAATCTTTCATCAAAAATCACGACAAAACGTGTAGGCTGGCTACACGCCACTGTGCATTATATAGTTATGTCTCACAACGTCAGCAACAGCTTGCAGATTTACAAAGATTGTAAAATAACCTTACTTTGATCATGTCAAGAGGATTACCAGAACTCACAAAAATCAACACCAGCACCACAAGCAACAAAATTCCTTTGAGAGATCGCGCAATCCCCATTTTTCTCTTGTTTTTTTTTCAGTATCACAGCAATTTTAACCAATGTTGCCACTGTTGGTCAAATAAAACCCTGGGCAATCATAATTTCTGGAATGTATACTGTAAATCTTTTTTTAACAAAGATTGCTTTTCAGTGATTTGAGAGGAAGACTTATCCCTAATTCCGCCTAATTGAAGATATTAAATAAGAAACTATAAAAGTACCTAGTCAATGACATTTACCTCACAATATCACAAATTACGTCGAACATGTAATAAATAAAAACATGGCCTCATTTGATGTAAATGCCTTCATGTTATTGTATTAAGGTACACAAAACGCCTCCAATTCAACTTAGGTAATGATAAAAATTCATAAAATAAATACAAATACATATGTGCAATATATTTTCTAAGCTTTGGATGAAGGAATAATTTCACAGGTTTAACTACCAATTTGGTGCTATCCAATTAAGAACTTTCATTGCCATTTCATAACCAAGAAAACACGCCTGAAAAATAAAGATGAAACATTATTATAACAACATATTGTCAACCATTATTTTGCTATTGACATGTTGGTATTAACTGTTGGTCAAGGTTTAATGGTTACCGTTTGAGTCAAATAGTAAGAGCCTGTAGATAGTGGTGAGTAATGGTTAGATTCACATAGTAAGAGCCTGTAGATAGTGGTGAGTAATGGTTAGATTCACATAGTAAGAGCCTAAAGATAGTGGTGAGTGATGGTTAGATTCACATAGTAAGAGCCTGTAGATAATGGTGAGTGATGGTTAAATTCACATAGTAAGAGCCTGTAGATAGTGGTGAGTGATGGTTAGATTCACATAGTAAGAGCCTGTAGATAGTGGTGAGTAATGGTTAAATTTACATAGTAAGAGCCTAAAGATAGTGGTGAGTAATGGTTAAATTTACATAGTAAGAGCCTGTAGATAATGGTGAGTGATGGTTAAATTCACATAGTAAGAGCCTAAAGATAGTGGTGAGTGATGGTTAGATTCACATAGTAAGAGCCTGTAGATAGTGGTGAGTGATGGTTAAATTCACATAGTAAGAGCCTAAAGATAGTGGTGAGTGATGGTTAGATTCACATAGTAAGAGCCTGTAGATAGTGGTGAGTGATGGTTAGATTCACATAGTAAGAACTTAAAGATAATGGTGACTTATGGTGAAAGAAATAAATAACACAAAAACTTTACCGCATTTGCTGGAAATGCTCGTAACATGATTGGTGTTATTCCTTTAAATAAAGCTTGAGGACCTTCTTCACGTATCTAAATTGTATATTATTTATGAATTTGAGTTTAGTCAGTTAAAAACAGTGAATATTTCATGTGCAAACATCGTACTAGTTGTCGAAAAACATCCCGTACGCCATTGGGATACGTTCCATCAGGAGCTAAACAATTAAAAAAACAACAACAAAATTATTTCAAAATTATGGGAAAATAAAAACCATTAGACGTCAGCCAATACAGATGTAATTAAACTAAAGAAATTGAAATCATTGTCAATGAAAAAGTAATCCAATTTTAAAATTCATCGGTGGCTATTTGCCGTGTATCAAGATAAAAAATATTTCCAAACCTGTCTGAAGTCTGGATTTCATAGTATCAGGAGCAATAGAAATTGACCAATTTGCCATGCCAGCAAAACCTTTATGGGTAAAAAACGAAAATTTTATCAAAAATGAAAATAATGGAGAACTAGCAATGGAACAAAGCTTGTACTTGTGATGAAGTATGATGAAGTTGTGATGATGAATGTGTTTGAACAAAAAATCGAAGCATTATTCATTAAATCATACCTCCAGCAGTTAAAATCATTAATGGACTTATCTCACTACGTCTGAAAAACAATAAGATGTTTGACTTACAAAGTGGACTAGAAACCATGTCTTTTTGTAGTCATTCACTTAAAATATACTTTCTACAAAGCAACTAAATGTTGATTTTTCTTAACATTGCATATTTCAAGACATTTAGCTATAGACATACGTCTTTCCTTCAGGAGTCATTGACTTTAGAAGTAATTCATATGTCATAAAATACATTCCAGTACCAGGAAGATCTATGAAAGAAAAATATTTACAATAGCTAACTCACAATTCAAATAATTTAAACAGAATTAAAGATCAATTATTCAGTGAAAGCCATTATGAAAAGAAGCTTATACCTCTTAATAAAGTTGCACATGTTCCTTTATATAAACCTCGTATGCCACTTTCTTTAATAATTTTCTTTGCACAATCAAGTGGACCATTGTACTTTGCTTCACCTGTAGATGCTTGTTGGATCTATTGCATTGAGATAAATTACATTAAACTATACAAGTTATGCAGAAAATTAAAAAAAAAGTTTAACATGAAAAAATAAATCTATATTTTAATAAACCTGTAAAAGACATTTAATTCTTTCTCCTGGAGTCATTATTCCAGTTGTAAATACTCCGGCAACCATTCCAGCATTGAAGTTTTGAAAATTGCTAAATTACACATAAAATATGAACAAATCACATGATTTAGTTAAAAACTTACACAGTGATTTAACTGTGTGATGTTTATCAATGGAGTAAGACTTTAATATTATATATCACCTCATTTCCTCATTAGGATTTTTTTCTTGAAGTTTCTTGCCAACAGTAAATCCAAGGAAACAAAAAGCATAAAGTGGAGTAATGCCAACAATTGGTGTAGCCATTCCTTTGTATAAACCAAAAAATCCCTACAATCAACCAACCATTGATGAAATTTATTCATTGGAACTATCTTTGTACAATGAACAACTAATTTAAAAAGTAAAAATAAGGGTGTATAACATTACCAACCTCCTTAGCAACTGTTTTTCTGGCACAATCAAATGTTCCAGTAAAAATTGGTGATTCACCAGGTGCCACTTTAGGTTGTGTTTGGAGACGCACCTGAATAAGTAAAACAAACACCAATTAATCACCAAGTCTGGAATAGATAGTATGTAATTTTTTATCAAAAAGATGGTTGGTGTGTAAAGTGACACTTTGTTGTTCAAGTGTGAAAACATACATTACAGAGCAGTGATGTTTGATAATATCAGATCACCAGTAGTTACAAAATGTAAAGAAAATCTCCAATTTGCACTAAACATATTCCAAAAGAGAGAGGTATCTTTTTAGCCACACAACTTGTGATCAATAATCTTCACATTGAATGAAAAAATGTTCAGACTTAAGACCTGTAGACTACTGTTGCTCCTACAACGGAACATAAGTCTACAACTGTTATTGCTTCTACATTGTAAATAAAAAAATGATTTGTTGCAAATTACAGAGGGACTTATCCAAAAAAAACAAACTGGTAGTGTTGTACATTCTGGGATTGACTTTTAGCTTATTATTTGATATAAAAGCTCGCTCGCAATTTTGCCTGAGCAACTTTTTTTGCTATCCTAGAGTTTCTGTACCAGCTTTTTTATACTTATTTCACAAGAGGCAAAGAATGTCATTGCCAAACATCCATACAATTCTTCGGCTAAATACTGTCCTTTGACAGGTACGAGTTTTTTAATTAAAATAACCAAAGCATTTTTTTATAATTTATTGGACTTTGACCTATGGTATAAAACTATTATTTTAACTATCATTTTAGACTATCATTTTCATTGCGAATAAATCTTTTCAGTTTCACTGTTTCTTTCCACAACAAACACAGCATGTTCAAGTAAAATGTTATTCTGCCGGTATTAGCAATTCATACGACAAATTTTACAATTTTTTTGTCAATCACAGCATGACACAAATCGCAAAATGTGTGAAATAAAAAACTACCTTTATCGTGTCTAAAGGATGACCAGCCACCACAAGACATACTCCTCCAGCTCCACCAGCTATAAAGTTTTTCAAAGCCGATGAACTACCGCTGTTTTCTGCCTTCCTTTCTTCTGACATTTCTATTTTAAACGACGGACACGACAACTATGTGGTGACTGGACTGGTGGGCATACAGTTTAAGTATATTCATATAACATGAAGTATCGTCCAAATTTTTTTGATAAAACAATTAAAAGTTTCATTTTTAGGGGGAAAATGTCAAAAGTATTCTTTTAGTTAGGTTTTTGACTTAAATTCATTTATTTATTTATACATGAAAGAACACCGAAAATCTACGAAAATATATTTTTTAGTCACATACGACGGACAGTAAGTTTGCTTACGTAACCATGACGACGTTAACTATGACGATGTTACAAACTCAAATCTTCGTTTATACTTTACGGCAAAAAATATTGTCATTTTGTGCACATTCAAAGAATATTTTTAAAGAAAATAGCCAAATCTGCTTTTGAGTAACACTACGCTGGCTTCATGAACTATGACTCAGGTTTTGAGAGAACAAAATGATTTCACGCCGTGTTCACCAGCAAAGACGAGCAACATCAGTTCCCATTGGAACATTCTCAAATCTTTCATCTATGGTGATGAAGAAGACAATTTGGAAAATGCAAAAGGTGTTGATGATGATAAATTTCCAAAATCAATCAGTCATGGAATTCATCTTGAGGGAAAAATCGATTTTATGAAGTTATTTAAAACAGAACTTATGTTTGTGATGCTTGATCCATTGATGGAGAAATTTGTCATGTTGAACAAAGAAGGAAAGATCGCTTTAGTTACATCAAGTGGTTTGCCTCAACAATTTAAATCTGATGAATGTTTTAAAGGCATGATATTTTCATCAAAATCAAGACAGTGTATCTGCTGGAAAGACAATCAATTAAAGGTAGTTATTCATGCATTTCATTGTTCATGACAAGTATACTCAAGAAGTAAAACTAACAGCTCTGCTTAAATAAATTTCAAAAGAGCTTTGACAACATTGATTTGATTATTCAAATGTTATATTCTTATTTTCTAATCCCTTTTGTTTGCTTTCTATTCAGTGAAAAATTAGTTCACAAAAAATTCTTTAATCTATTCCAGCTTTTCAATGAATCTTTCAAAGCAGTTAGCACATCATATTCTGTGAGTGCTGTTGAATGGTAAGAAAAATGTCATTGTTTTAAGGTTTAATACATATTCCTCATTCATTACTGTACTTTAATTTTATGGAAAAACGTTTTAAGTTGTTTTAAAAGGGCCTTAGTTTTCAAGAGAAATCAGTTTGGCACATCTGAATATATGAACCAAATCCAAATGAATGATCCAGCTACCCATGCAAACCATCTATTCTATATGCATTATCTATTTCTATGGTTAAAAAGCATCAAGTGTATTTGCGTTAGACAAAAATTATTGTTGTTGTTGTCATAATTTATTGAATTACTACAAAGACCATCATTATAAAGTTTAAAAATACCTAGTTTAAAAAGTCACGAATTTAAAGTTTAAAAAGTCACGAATTAGTTGACATTATTAGCAAGGTTTCTATCCCAATATGCTTTTGAGACAATAGCTAGTACTTTTAAAAAACACGTGTTAATTTATTGCCTTACAACTTTTCAACTAGACAAAATGATATTTTTTTACAGCTTTTGTATTTGTCATGTTAAACACCCATCATTTGACGAAATATTTTTTTATTATTAAATGAAAACGGATTCCTCAATTTCTTCCCGCTCTGCAACTACATTACGATAAGCGAGTTTTTACCTTAAAAATTCTATGTAATTGCAGTGCAGTTTACAATAAATCAACAAATGAAGTTCTGACTGGAGGAAATGAAAATGTTACTGTAAGTGAATTAATATTTGACTTCACTTACACCCAATGTTTAAAGCGAATGGAAACTCTTTTCGTTTAAAGGAAATATCTTGTTTTTTCAGTGTTGGAGTTTCCGTAATAGAGGAAAATTTCTAATGGCTCGCAAAATTATTACGGTATAAAACTTTTCTATTAATCTACGCCGAGGACGACTCACGAAAGCGCAAATTTTCCACAATTTTTTTTCAAAGGAAAATCTTGAAAACTGTACAGTTTCTGCTATATGTTTGGAAGATTCGCTGAGCAAGAGTCAAAGATGTTTTATATCAACTGGAAATAGTATAGCTTCGTTTAATGTACTTGAAGGAAAATGCTTGTTGTTCCTAAGAAATAGACATGTTCAAGAAATTACATGTCTGGTTTTTTTTAATCCACTGAAGGTAGGAGACGTTTTTCATTATGCAATTTATGTATTGAACGGACATATTCATTTATATTGTGGGTAAAACGCAGTCTTTTATTGTGCGTGATTCACGTTATCGTGAATTGAAATTGTAAATTTAGTGCTCTAAAGTCTTACTGAATTCTTATAATGAAGAATGTCGTATTTTTTACTTAAGTATTTGATAACTGGTGCAAAAGATGGATCTATTAAAGTATGGAATGACGATGGAAGTTTGGATAGTGTTTTCATTGGTCATCATAGTCGTGTTAATGGCTTAGCAATTTATCCATTTGGAGAGTTCATTATTTCTGCCTCGAGTGACATGTCATTACGTCTATGGAGCTTGGAAGCAAAAGATGAAGTAAACAAAATCCAATGCAACGCTAGTATTAACGGCGTTGGGACAGTTGTAGGACATAATAATCTTTATTCCTTTACATCAAAAGGAGTTGACATTTGGAAAATCAAACACATTCATACTGCTGAGACTTTTATTGGGTAATTTACAATGAACACTATTTCATTGAAAGAGTGAAAAAAACAAGATGTTGATTTGAAATCATCAATGTCTCTGATTGTTCGTTATTAGTGTCTTGTTTAAAGATAGTTTACGTTAACCAATCAGTTAAACTGACAGAGAACATTAGGAGGTTTTGAGAAAGATCTGTGTCCAATTCAAATTCTAGCTTTGACGTCTCTCAATTCTCTTTTCAACGAGAAGAGAGATAAAACTTTTTGAAGGAAAGAAAATGCCTCGTCTTTAATACGCTTGAATCGTCCGGTTGTGTTGTGTTTTGAGACTTTCTCCTTCCGTTATAGAGTTGAAAAAAAGCTTTTGATCTAACAGTCTTAGCAATTGTATAAATCATTATTATGTTAAAAAATTGGAATCAGAACTAAGTATGTATTTGTGTTTTGTAGTTGTAACGTAAAGAAGATGAAGCAGACAACTAATCCTAAGGTTTTTGAGTTGTCTACTATCATAAAACAGTTTTGATTTTTTTATGTTCCATTAGACATGACCTGCATTAAATATTATTGTATCACAAAGAAATAAAATTCTTTTCTTCGTTAACAGTATCCCCTGCGTGTTCTGTGTATTTGTGCTGATGCCACTGTCCGAGTAATTTCTGGGAGGTCTGGTGACGTTTTAACAACGTCACTTGTGCCTGATCTTACAACGATAAAAGATGCAGTATACTCAGCTGATGAAGGTACACATATGAACATGTAAGAATAATGAAGGTACACATATGAACATGTAAGAATAATGAAGGTACACATATGAACATGTAAGAATAATGAAGGTACACATATGAGCATGTAGTAAACACTAGTTATCATTGACTATTCATAGAATATAATCAGTGATAAAATGACCAATTGACTAAACTGATTAAACGTATTGAAATTTTGTCATCAAAAAATGATAAAAATGAATTTATATATTATAGATTTATTGTTCACGTTGTTAATGAACGGTAACATTCTGAAAAGTTCAACAGTCACCAATCCAAGTTCATTATTGGAAACGTGGAAATGCGATGGTAATATTTATATAATTTTGTTTCAAGTTATTCTGTTGACAGATGTTCAAATTTACAGAATTTTTAAAACTGTGTTTTTATCATGATTTTAGACATGAAATTTTCTTGCACATGTTTGTGTCTTTATGAATACATAATTAAGGTGATTATTACCTTTAATGTACTTTCTCTTTGTTGGAGGAAAATACTAATAAATAATTTATTTCATTTCCAAAACAAATCTTCTCAAGGATTTTTTTTCTGACACAACATGGAATTACATGATCCAATCTGCAAAAACTAGACAAACAAGAGAAAATGAAGGAAAAACGAATGACAAGGACAGAACCCTATTGTTGGGTGGATGTCTTGATGGAAGTATTGTTGTGTTTGATTGGAAAGATACCAAGAATAATGGAAAAATTACATTCAATATTGATGTAATTCATTTAGATAGTTTTTGAGTTTTATTCTATGATTAATAAAGTATCCGTATTAATTATTGTCTAGAGGTTCATACGTAGTTATCCCCTGGAGTCTTTTTTATACGTAGTTATCCCCTGGAGTACTTTTTTATACGTAGTTATCCCCTGGAGTATTTGTTTATACGTAGTTATCCCCTGGAGTACTTGTTTATACGTAGTTATCCCCTGGAGTATTTGTTTATACGTAGTTATCCCCTGGAGTACTTGTTTATACGTAGTTATCCCCTGGAGTATTTTTTTATACGTAGTTATCTCCTGGAGTACTTTTTATACGTAGTTATCCCCTGGAGTATTTGTTTATACGTAGTTATCCCTGGAGTACTTTTTATACGTAGTTATCCCTGGAGTATTTTTATACGTAGTTATCCCTGGAGTACTTTTTATCCGTAGTTATCCCCTGGAGTATTTGTTTATACGTAGTTATCCCCTGGAGTACTTGCTTATGCGTAGTTATCCCTGGAGTGTTTTTTATACGTAGTTAACCCCTGGAGTACTTGTTTATACGTAGTTATCCCCTGGAGTACTTCTATATACTTAGTTATCTTGTTGTATTTATCATAGGCTCATCATGATGAAATAATGAATATCATTTCAAATCCCCAAATTAATCAAGTTGTTTCATGTGGTTTGGGTACGTCTTCATTTGTAATTCACACAAAATTCTATAATTTAAATATTTTCATTGTATAATTGACTTTTGTCTGTGTTTCATTGATGAAAATGATCGATTTGCATCACCTTGTAAAGTACGTCTTTCAGGAAAAATTGACGTTTCATTTTCTGTCTTACAGACAACACCATCAAAGTTTGGCGTCTATTTCCTTATGCAGAAGAAGCTTTGGCTCCATTAATGACACTTTATTTTGATGAACAACCACGTCATGTGACTGTATCTCATCATAAACTTTTGGTTGCTCGATATCAAAGATCACGTGCTACATACGTCACGACTGTGTACAAAACTACACAAAAAGGTATAGGAAAATGCTGAATGTCAGTGTTGAATGTGATAAAATGTTTCGAAAGTCAAACAGAACCAATTGTATAAAAAATGATGGCCATACATGTAGCCATACGTTATTGCTCTTTAAAAAGGTCATACGTCATTGCGTTACGTTATTGGCTACGTCACAGCTAGGCAAACGTTATAGACACACGTCATTGGCATACGTCACAGCTAGGCAAACGTTATAGACATATGTTATTGCCAGATATAACAGTTATGTATGTCATACATTAGTCTTTTTGACGTTTAGAGCGTTATGACCATGGGAGAGAAGACGACCATAACGACGAAGTTGTCAGTGTAAGCAGTTGTTCAAAGTTGAGGTTATTTGCAACAGCCAGTATCGATGGAACAATTCGTATTTGGGATGAAAGCAATTGTTTGAAAACAATCATCAATCTGAATGCCACCCCGTCTTCATTGTCCTTCTGTAGCGAACGTGGTGACATTTTGGTCGCCATTGGTAACAGCCTCAACAGAGTCAAGTATGCCACGTGTGAGTCTTGCATTCATTAAACTTCGAATATTTATGCATCACATGAGAATTCTCATAAAATCATTATGTTTCATCGAGATCCTTTCACCTAATTTAAGATCTTCCACAATCCTACGTGTATCGTATGGTAAGTATGAGATTCAAAGAAAGATACAATGATCCTGTCATTCCAATCGATAAAAAAATACTGAACACGTTGAGTGCTGCTGACCAGGAGCGTGTTACCAAAGCTTGTTCTTACGCTTCAACTCTGATTTATTCTCCTGATCCCATGGCTGAAGATGAAACTCAAGAAAAAAAAGAGGAAGCACAGCGTAGAGCTGACGTAAGTGTTTATGAGAATGGATTGTCTATCTTTAATATTCTAGGAAACCGTGAATTACGATTAACTGCACTGCAATTTGTTAAATATCTTTCAAAAGTAAAGATTTTGAAAGTTACCGAGTGATTTGCTTGTAATTACAATTGGCTGAAAAATCGTTTTGTTTCTTTGATATTTCAAAAGGTCATATTTTTTCCCTTCTTTGTGCAGGCGTTTGAGAAAATCGAGAAAAGAGAAAACGATCTTCATAAAATAAGAGATGGTAAATTAAGAAGTTCAAAAAAAAGACAGGAACTAGACGAAAATTTAAAAAACGAAGCATTTGAAAAATATTTTTCGTTATTTCATCAACAAACATTTGTAAATTTTCCAGAAACATCAGACGATAATGACGCTTCAATGTATAGAGATGAGGATATTTATGTTCCTGACGTTGAGCCGAACGGATTTTTTAAGATTAATCATCAGTTACCATTACAGTACAAAACTTCTCCCGATGAGGATTTGGATGAAGAAGAAATACCAGATATATTGAAAAGAATCAGATCTCACTCGTTGCCAATAATTAATGAAAAGCAACCAATGTATAACAAGGAGAATGCTGTTTTAGAGGATAGCAGTGTTGAAATGCCTTCGAAAATGAAAAGATTGTCATCTTTAGGCATAGAGGAAAAAAGCGACGAGAAAAAAAGTAAACGTAAAGGCAGGAACAGTCAACATAAGTATAAAAAAGAAATCATTGTTAAAGGACCTTATCCAATACCGCATGACGCAATGAACGATGTGTCACGGAAATCAGCTGCTGTCGTAGAAAAGGATGATAGTGGATATGAAGATATGTTGATTGCACCTGACGGATTTATCCCTAATTCTGTTGTGGTTGCGATATTTGAGGAAATGAGAAAAAAAGATGAGATCATTATTAAAGAAGACGAAACAATTCCGTACAAACCACCTCAGTTAACCGTAGCTCAACTCTTAGAAATTAAAATGAATGCCGTTGACACCACTTCTTCGGAAATAAGTTTTGATGTTTCAACAAAACCCAATAGTGAATACGACGAGCAATTACGTCGTCTCTTACAAGATACGCCATCAACAGAACTTTTATCTGACGATGAACCTATATTGCCTAACAGCCCGCCTCCCGATTTAACGAAACCAACAGTACCAGTTCAAACAGCCACCGAATACTTTGCATCAAAAATGCCTTTCAAAGCTCCCGTGGTTCCCCCGGAAAAAAAGATTTCATTTATCCTCGATGCAGAGAAAGAACCGATTGTGTAAGTTAAATGTAGCTACTTTCACAATTTTTTGTCTATTCCTTGACCATCGTGTGCTAATATTTTTATCATAGTGTTACAGAAATGGTAGAGCCTTCTGAGGAAGAACAAGTTGAAACTTTGATAAGAATACCTTCGTTGAAGAATCAAGAATCTCTTCCAAATTTTATCGCTCAGTTCAAGGGACAAAAATGGTTTGATGAGTTGTTTCCAAATGCCAACCCGTTGGTATGTGTAATATTTCAGTGTGTATATCTTCTTGTAAAACCTATTCACCGTACACAGAAGTTACCTCAAAAAGCTTAAACCTGCTTATGGCATTTTCTAACTATTTAACACTTACTAACAAACAATGCAAAGTAACCGAATGTGCAATATTGATGCAATTATTTCAGACATTTCCGAAACCTTGGACGGTTGATGCGTTTATTAGACTTCTGTTGATTTTTCTTTCAAAAAGTCCAGACTACGAGAGAAAGAAGAACATCTGTACAGTAAGTAGAAAGGTTACACACTGAAAGCATTTATGAATATACACATGAACGGTTTAAACATGACAGTGTTCATGTAAAACATTCCTGTTTAGGCAATAAGCTTCCTCCATGGTCAAGAAACAATAGAGAAAGATTGTATACGACAAACAATAATTACTTTAACACAAGAACTCAATCTATATAGGGAAGACACTTTGGAAGATAGTCATTTTCGACATTTTGTTCGATCATCCTTACAACTTTTGAAAATTATGAAAAATTTTACAACGGGTGTTGTTGCTTTATTCATGTCACATTTCATACTTGGAGATGAAGACATGAGGTACTGATAGCATGTTGTTTACTGAATTTCACTATCCTAATTATTTAATTAACGAATTTCCATCATTGTAAATGGAGATGGTAAAAACGACTCAACTTTTATGAGTTATCAAATCATGTGTCTCCGTAAAAACGATCACATTATATTTCATCTTGCATGTTTAATCAATATTTCATTAAGATCGTTTACAACCAAGATTTTTACCGAGATTAAAGTTGAAGATGTTGGACGTTACTTTCTTCGAGAGTTGGATGAATTTGATGTTTGGGTAAGATCCTACATACCACAAAAAATTACATTGAAAGAACTATTGATATTGTTTCACAGCACCCCCCCCCCCACATACACAATCGTTAAACACGTATAAACTCGTGTTGTATGTTGCATGGCATGCTGCAAAGGTCACGTGTTACGTTTTATGTTGCATGTTATATATTACTTTCATTTAATGAAATGGCAAAGTTAGTATTAATTTGGTCTAATCAACGCCATTTGATCAAGTTTTGTTACCAATTAGGAGTACCAGAGCATACAATAAAAGTCACGTGTACAGGCGTGTATAGAATGGTTAGATAAATGGCTGAAAGAACTCAAAAGTCATATCAAATCTCTGACGGATAAAATCCAACGAGCTCGTACTGGTCGCGTTGTCAGGTTCATATTGTAAATCATCGTTAGTTGTTCATGACAAGAAAGTCATTATGTTCCGCTATACAACTCTGTTTTAGGGGAACTAATTCTTTAAAAAAATGGAAACAGATGAAAGGAATTTTAAAGAAAAAACATGTAAGTACTTACAAGTAAACAAATACAAGAGATATTTATTTGAAATCGTCTGAATGCAGATAAAAAATCGCACACATATGAGGCGACCTTCGATTTATCACAACACGCACAGCTACTATTCATCAAACCAACTGCTAACACAAATTTACTCAACACATTTATAGTCAATGAAACAAACTCCTGCCTTTGTTGCGTCACTTTTCTTAACGTTATTTTCTCATCATTTTATAGTCAAAAACAAATTGTAAACAATTAGAAGGTAAAATGACAACGACATGAAAAATATTCATAAAGTATTAGAATTTCTGGTGAGATTAAAGTATCATTTATCATTTCCCGTACTTTTTTTAAGTTTCGTGGAGTTTTGATGAAATAGGAGAGACAGCAGCAATGAACGTGAATGCCGTTGATGCAATTAATTATTTCTCAGAAAAGCAACTTCAGTCAGAAATTGAGAAGGAACAAGTGAGGAGAAATTCTATAAAAAGATCTGATAGTCAAAATGATCAACAACGAAACACTATTCTTATGGTTCCTTCTACTGATTCGTAAGTACTTATGTTTATACAAGAAACATCCGCATTGCTTGTATTTCATTCATATATAGCAACTACTATGGACATCAATGCATTTTCTTGCATGAAGAGTAAAAAAAGACAATCATTTTATCACAAGACATCCCCAGTAAACAATCATTTCATCACAAGACATCCCCAGTAAACAATCATTTCATCAATGTTTGATGCTTATTATTTTAGAAAACCAAGCCTTGCTCGGTTAGGAGAAACACATTGCAGCAACTGCCATCCAGAGAGAGAAACGGCTTACGGTAAGGATCAACTTTCATTATTTATCGGACACAATTTTTTATTTTTAATTAACGTATTATTGATAATGATAACTTTCATTCTCTTTAGCGTTTCGTTTACCTCCAATTGATAAATCGACATCGATCCTTTTTAGTAACATCACATTACGACTTAAGACAGTCACATTAAATCCTTTTCCATCGCAGACAGACGCAAGTATTTATGAATGTTTTCAACATCATCCCTTGCTCACTCTCCGATCAGCACAAAAATATTTCTTTCCATCAAAATCATATGTCAAATAAAAGAAATTTTCTAATTTATTTGTTTATGTTTTTTGCTAATGTACATGTAATAATAAAAAACTTCCGCCTGTATTGTCTACTGAAGCAGCAACTCGATAAATCACTGAAGCGCAGCATTGAAACCGATGAATTAAGCTTAGCATGAAACAAAACTATCGATTATATAAATATATTTATAGCAATGCTTGTTTTAGGTTTTTATTATATCATTAAACCTGTGATTCTCTTGGAGTTCTGTCCATAGTTTTAGTTTATTTATACTGGGATGAAATTTTGCCGCCAAATATGCAATCATAATACAGAAAAATACAAAACATAAATATCCATTTTATGGATATATGCCAAAATTTCAGTGGATAATGCTGGATCATATTGGATCATGTGAGAAAATTAGAGAATTACCTTGAGAATCGGTCAAAACATTGTCGTCTAAATATTGATGGCCTTCCCAGCATACGCTGCGGTATTTGCTTCCCTAAATGCCTCTGACACCGTCTAAAGTTGAAATTATACAGAAATCATCAAAATCAGACAAAAGAATATTGATTAGTTCACATGCAATAATCAGAAATCCTTATGAAACATTTGTATAAACTTACAGGATGTGCATGACAAACTCTAGCTATATCTTCACACGATGCACCATACTCCATAGCAAGTGCTGCTTCATTAATGATTTCACCAGCCGCTGGAGATATCATATGAACTCCAAGTAATCGATCTGTTTCTTTGTCACCAATAACTTTCATCAAACCATCAGAATCTGCGTTTGTTCTAGCACGACTATTCGCAGCGATTGGAAATTTACCCACTTTGAATTCAACACCCTACACATTAAAGCACATTAATTCTTACAAATGTAACTATCAATTTCTTGTTAACTAGCTTATGGGCAATAAGTTTCTAAGTTCAGTTCTTTAATACATAATAAATTAAGATAAAAGTATATATTTTACATTCTGCGAAATCACAAATTCAACTGGTTTTCATCCAAAAAAAAAACAGAGCAATACTTTAATCGCCACGTTTTACCTCCTCCTTTAACATTTCCTCTGTCTTTCCAACCCAAGCGACTTCCTGACAAGAAAAAAAAAACAACGAAAATGAAAACATCTTAAAATGAAATAAAAAATGATTCTGCATGCTAAATACTCACAGGATGTGTATAAATAACTGATGGAACACAATTGTAGTCAATATGAACAGGACCACCAGCCAAACCCTCAACACATATTATACCTAAACATAACATTTCACGTTTTTCACTTTTCAACTAAGGTTATATAATTTAAAAAATATAAAACAAAATCAACCTAACAATTTTTTTAAATTATGAGAGTGATCTCGTTTAAATAGGACAATACATTCATTCATGAATGTCCACATTTTTACTTCGTAAACTTAAAAATATTTACACATCATGTTCATCATAAATCACTAAAATATCGTAATTGTAATTTCATGTTCAATAATTGGGATGGACACTTTCTATAAAACTGAACTCATTTTAATCTTTCCAAACAACTATTGTAAACAAGAAAAACCTTCATCTTCAGCTTTATGAGCTAACATTGGGCCATCAATCACATCACCAATTGCATAAATACTTAAAAAAAGAAGATAGAGAAGATTAAGCGTAAATTTACTCATGTGATGTAGATAAACATGCCGTGATCGTGACGTGTATAGTGGCGTAGATGGTGTTGTAAATGGTGCTGTAGATGGTGTTGTAGATGGTGTTGTAGATGGTGTAGATGAAAGATGGATGATGAAGATGGTGTAGATGGATGTGTAGATGGTGTATTGTAGATGGAAGGAAGATGGTGGATGGAAGATGGTGCTGAAGATGGAAGGTTGTAGATGGATGGTTGTAGATTTGTGCTGTAGATTGTGTAGATGAAACCAGATTTGTGCCGGATGAAATGGTGTTGTAGATGAAATGGTGATTGTGCCGTAGATTTGTGGTGATTTGCGCAGATAAATGGTGATTGCGGTAGATGCGAGATTTGCAGAAAGATGGTGTTGTAGATGAAATTGTAGATTTGTGGGGCTTGTAGATGGTACTGTAGATGGTGTGGTGATGCGCAGATTTGGCTGTTAGAATGTTACTGTAGATGGTGCTGTAGATGGTGTTGGAAGCACTGTAGATTTGCGATGGTGAGTTGATGCGTGGTGAATGGCAATGGATGGATGGTGTTGTAATTGCTGATTTGCGTTGCAGATTGTGCCTGTAGATGTGTGTTGGATGCGCTGTGAATGGTAATGTAGATGGTGATTTGGTAGATGGTGTTGTAGATGGTGGTTGTGACTGTAGATGGTGCTGTAGATGGTTGTAGATTGTTGTAGAGGGTGTTGTAGATGGTGCTGTAGATGGTGTTGTAGATGAAATTGTAGATGGTGCTGTAGATGGTGTTGTAGATGGTGCTGTAGATGGTGTTGTATATGGTGTTGTTGATGATGGAGAGAATACTGAATAGCGTATGTTTTGGATGAATTTAGATTGCAAATGAATCGTTCCAGTAACTTGGCGAGAGAGTCAAAATACCTTGGAATCTTTGTAGAAAATCTAGAATCAACAGGAATACGTCCAGCTTTATCCAACTGTATTCCTAGTTCCTTCAAAGATCAACTTTAGTAAAGTTATTGAACTATAGATTATTTAGTAATAACCAGTAGTTGAAGGTTGAAAAACGTTTTTCTTAAAAGTTGATGATTTCTTGAATCAATTAAATCAAAATACCTCTAAACCCAAGTTATTTGTGTATGGACGTCTTCCAATGCAAACTAACAATGTGTCACATTCAAGCTACACCAAACAAAAACACATGTTTAAAATAAGAAAATAAATATTCCTAAAATCTAAAAGACTCTATACCGTTTCTTTTTAGAACTGTCTTTAACTGATTCCACACTAAAACGACATGTAATAAGATTAAAGTGAATTAAACACATCAAATTATGTTTAAAAAAAAACAAACAATTCGATACTCACTCAACTTTGATAATTTCACCATTCTTTGTCGCTCCTAAAGAATTGAAAAACAACGACTTAACAAATTGACAAATTAAATACTTCTTTAGCAACACCAAAAACCATCTACCTGTTACTTTAGTATTGAGTTTAAAATTCATTCCTTGTTTCTTTAATATCCTTTGGAAATTTTTTCTACAAAAAGCAAAACCAGTTTTAGGCATTTGAATAAGCATGTCCTTTTAGAGCTTAGATAAATTAGAAGCATACTTAAAATGAAATGCTTTGTAACAAAATAAAAGATAAAAAAATATCTTACGATATTTCCATATCGATTCCCATTCCTCCAACATGGCCTAAAAACTCGACGGCAGTTACATTGGAGCCCAGTCTTCCCCAAACAGAACCCTTAGAAAGAACAAACACATAGGTATTGTAAACAAAATGATAGCTAGCATAGTTCATCAACGTAGTTACTAGCTATATATTCAACCAATAGGTTTTCATATAAATTATTATAAACATTACTAGTTCCAGTCCTATTACTCCAGCACCAATTAGAACCATGTTTTTAGGGACTTTTTTCAATGATAAAGCTCCAGTAGAAGAAACAATAGTTTTCTCATCAACCTAAAAATATTAAACGTATTTAGAATAAATTCTCTAAGGGATTTCTCTTCATCGTCATAGACTAGTTTTGATTGGCTGAAATAAACCAATTAAAACAGTTCACTTCATCCATATTTATGAGAAAGAGAAAATTAACTGACCTCTATCCCAGGAAATGGAGTGACAACTGAACCAGTAGCAATAAGAATGTTCTTTGTTGTGACTACCTCTTGGCTTCCATCGTCTTTAAATACAGTTACCTTTATTTGATTGTAATAGAATATTATTATACATATAGTATAAAGCAAATTCCGTAAAAGCAAGTCATCTTGAGATTGCAAAATATGCATCAAAACAAGACGAGAAGTGAACTGTTATTATACATTATTATACATTATTATACATTATTATACATTATTATACACGCATGTTTAACCTCAATGCACGCGCACGCATGCAGTCCAACGCATGCGCAACGTAAAACCACATGTAACAATGGAATCAGACACAAAATCGCTTCGGTCGTACGTTCATCGCTCAAACTATGAAAGATTTGAGCTAAAACTCGGCCTTTCATGTCATCACATTCCAATGATATAAATAATGAAACAAACAGCACTATATATCTACTAAAACTGACATAAGGCATGTGGGATAAAGCACCCCAGAGCACACTCTCTTCAGAAATACGTGTGTTTTATCATGAAACATTTTCCAAGGACAAAAACACTAAAGACGTTGATAATTCTTTTTAATTTGTAGTTATTAGTTGTGAAACAACAATTTTCTTTGCCATAAAATTTCTCTGCAATGTTGTATATAATTATTATTTCAAAAACAACAACACAATAATCAAATGTGCTGTTTAAGTCAGTAGTTTAACCATTACCTCATTTGGTGATGTTATTTTACCATGACCATGTAGCTCTGTTACCTGTAGAAAATAATCATAAGGTTTTATTAACTCATAGTAAAATGCTTATTGCTTTGAAATGAAGTTAGTTTTTACTTTATTTTGTTTAAATAATTGTTTAATTCCTCCAGTAAGAGATTTAACAGCAGTCTCTTTTTGATTCATCATTTGATCCAAGTTTAAAGTTAAACCAGAGACTAAAAGCAGAAGAGAAATACAACAGTTATAATAAGGAAACTATATACAAATTTTATGCCTTCGTTATGGCCTTATCTTAGAGATGTGCGTTGAACCAAAAAAATAGGCTTTTGGTCCTTTTTACGTACCGAAAACTTTATAAGCAAAAGAACAGATGGTTTCGATGTAATTTTTCTGTTCAACTCCCACCAAACGCTAAACTTATTGCAGATGCCAGGTGAAATAATTTTTATAAAATTATAAAATGTTCAATTCCTTCTTTCCTTTCAAAGACCGCACAAAAAGAATCCCATTAGGAAATATTTTAAAAATAACGACAAGGAACAAGTTTACAACGTAGAGTCTGCGCCAGAAAGCAATAACATGGTAAGACTACAAAAGCTTGCTATTGGCACCCCCAACTAGGATAACGTGGCAGGAATCTCCCATGGAAAACGGGATTTTTTAGTTTCAAATTTTATTATTGTTTACAACAGTTCTTCTCATAACATAAACTATAATATGTAAGGATGCAGCATTGTGTTTCGAACTACTTTTGCCTTTTTTGAATTGTAGTTTAAGTTTAAGGAAGCTTTGAACATGTTTTACATATTTCACAATTTAACTCATTTATTCTTTAAAGTATCATGAACAAAGCACTGATGAGCTTCATGGCTACTAACAAAGATTATCTGCTTCCCTTAATGTTGAAATATATAATTTTTAAAGTTTTTATACTGATACCACTGATACCAATTAATAAGCCAAGCCATTTTTATAGCCGTATGAATGGAAGCACACTTTCAACCCTTATGATATGAAATCGTAGATACAAAACTGACTGAATAAATTTATGAAAAAATGAGTTTATCAACTGCATACAACAACCATCATGATTTAAACTTCACAAAACGATTGTGTGGCTGTGATTCTGTCATTTTCATTTGGGAATTACATTCATGTCAGTTGCCATATTTATAAAACATGAACCTGTATGCATGAGCTCTGTTTTAAAATTTCCAATGTTGTAAAATTTCACGCTTTCCAGAGGGAGAAATTGTTAACAAAGAGCCGAGAATGGTTTAGCAATGAAAATATTTGCTTTTTCATGTAAATTTTACAGCTTTTCAATACCTCAGATCAGTAAAAACACACAAACATACAAAACAAGCAAGTGTTAGCTTATGCTGAACTGTGCAAGTTTTTGAAAACTTCTGGTCATAATTATAACTGAGTTAGTACATTTGTATTGTTCTTCTTCTTTAAAAAAAGAACCAAAACTCAACCAAACCAAGGTTTTTCTCATTTATAAACACAAAACAAAAAACCAAGATAAATATTTTGGAACAACACAACTCTACTCTATATTAATAATTTTTTGACATACATACCTTCAATACCTCTGTTCTTAAAGTCATTTGAGCTTGCTTGGTGGTATAAATGAGAATTATTCAATAAAGCCTGAAAAATAAAATATCATAATATATATTTGTTGAAACATTTAATGCTATTCACTTATTTGATGATTTCATTAAGAGTGACAAATTAACAAAATATTCAAGAATTCCTTTTATTTATAGCTAAACAAGCAATACTCTTTCTTCCTAATCTAAGTATGTAAGAAATGTATGTGTTTCTATTTTATCAACAACAGAAAGTTCAGTACCTTGTTTGTGGATAAAGATTTCCAGGTTAGTAGAGTCCTACGAAGGACTGTTAGTATTGATCTAGACTGACATTTCCACAATCTTAGCAGTAGTCATCTTCAGAGTCAAGAAAACTTCTGAAAATGACTACCGCTAAGGTTGTCAAAACGTCAATCTATATCAAGACCAACAGTCCTTCTCAGGACTCTACTAACCTGGACAATCTTCATCCACAAACATGTTACGATAATCCTTGGTTCAAACCATTTACTTTAGAAAGTTCCGTACCTTAGAAGGGATACATCCAACATTAAGACATGTTCCACCAAGGCTGTTATCTTTCTCTACACAAATTGTCTGAAAAACAAATTAAAATTTATCAAAGAAATCATACTGATGTAATGAAAACAAACAAAATCAATGTATTTCTATACGTACTTTCATTCCAAGTTGAGCAGCTTTGATGGCTGCAACATAACCACCAGGACCAGAACCAATAACAACTAAGTCCACATTATCTTAAATGTCATGATATAAATATATTGTTGAAATTTTTTAAGCTATGTTTAATGATTACCTAAAGATTGTTTAATTCAAATATTTACTGTAAAAGAAATATTTCAGCTAATTGAAGGAAAATAATTTAGGAGGAAAGAGCCTAACTGTAAAGTCATGTGGATAACTTCATACATTTCTCCTTATTCATTTAAGGCTCAGAGTAAAGTATCCTTATTATGGAACAAACATGCAGAAAAAATGATTGGTATAATTGATAAATTTCTACTAATCAAACATAATAAATATCAAGGCATTCTGATAACACTTTATGATAAGCATCAATATAAAAAATTACTATCTGATTAGGACCACAAGCACAAACAATTTCTGATTTTGAACATTAAGCTCTTTGGAGAGAGATTTGTAGGAAAACATACTATCATTAACTAGAGAAGAGAAAAGCTTATCTATGAAAATCTTGCTATATCATACATAAAAAATTTTGAATTATGTAAAGTTGTAAACATTTGACAGTTTCTTGCAATTTAACTGAATGAATGAAAGGTAATTATAAGAAATATCATATAAGGATTGTGCACAATAGTGTAATTATGCAACAGACTTAAAAAATTCACGCAATATAAACATCAAACGTAAAAAAATATGTTAAAGGTTTGTCCTAAATTAGTTGAATATTTTCCCATGAGTTTTTCACAAGTCAATAAAATCTCATGATATCTGAACAAGTGAAATTCTACTTAGAAATTTACCAAATTCACCGACCTCCAGAATTTGAAAATGCTTTGATTAGTGACGACCTGACACGAATCTCAGTCCTCAATCTTTGGTAAAATGCACCAGTTATCTAGTCAATATGAACAAATTAGTGAGCAATGGATAGTTCGAAATTATTACCTCAGCATTATATTACCATGTTTTCCTACCTTTCTTCCAAATTTCAACATATTTTTAACGCAAATTTCAAGAACTTTAAGTTACTTTTTTCCAGCAATCATCGGTTAGCTATCGGCATATCTCCGGATATCACCGTAATGGTACATTGTTATGTTTGCACAACTTCATGTAATAAGATAGCAGTAATAGCCAGTAGTAAGAGCTTATAAAAGGTGTACTTATAGCTATACAGGGAGTATTTTTTAAGGCATTTGTTTTTTTAGTGAATTGAGGATTGAGTAGCTTTTACTAAAAACAGAAAACACTCTACTGCTAAAACACTGTTGCCTCTCACGGTAAAGTGTTTAGCATATTGGCCTTTCATCTTAATGTTAACTTTTTTAACTAAACTAAACATCAACATGATCAAAAATCAACATGTTGTTCATTAACAGACCATCATACATAAGAGGACTCAGAGAGAAAAGTACATACTGTTTTGAATTAAAAGAAATAACAACCATTATAGCAATAATGAGATTAAAGAGGCTTTGTTCCCTTGGCAAAATCAAAGTTACACAGAACAATGGATTAAAGTGCAAGTGGCAGACATTCGGTGTAAATACATCTACAGAAATCTTAAAATAAAAATAGAGCTGTTCTAACGATGAAGAAATACTTGAATTATTCATCACAAAGTCAAAAACAACAGTCTCAAACTTTACGAATTTCAGAAAAATCTCAGGAAGTGCAATGCATGAACTTGAAGGAAGAGGTGCATCTTCAAAACAGCTTGAAGAGCTTACCAAACAAGAGAATAGTGTAATCAAACAACTGTTTTTCGATCAGAAAATTGTTACGGAAAGATTTCGTCGACGAATCGGAAAAAGTTTGATGCTCATGAAATCACACGACGAAATGAAGAAGTACTTAAATAGTTTTGCTCAATTTAGTTTGCAACAGAAAAATATGGACACTAAACTTAGTTCTCGTAAACAGCTTTCATCGTCAATCTCTCACCCCCAACGTCCTATGACAGCGAGTGAGATGAGATTACGAGAATGGGAAGTAAAAATTTACAAACTTGGTACACAATTACAAAGATCAAAAAGTGCACCGGCAATGAGAAGAAAACCATTTTGTTGAGTACATTTTTAAAATGATATCGTATGCCAGCAGTCTTTGGGAGAATAAAACAAAAATACGGAAATATAAATGGATGAAACGTTTCGCAACACATTGTCGCATTCAACGTATTCATAAATTTACTTTTAGTTCTATCCAAGTATACATAAATATCTTTCATTAGTGAAAGGAAGATAGTTATTTTGCGTCCATATATGGTTTATTGATTAACAGACAAAATTAAAACTACCGTTATATCATAATAAGAATTCGTAGATCATTAATTTAACCTATTCATGAATAGCTAATAATTTATGCTTTCAAATTTTATTTTTATCTATTTCAAAACGAGATGCTTTTGATTTGAATAAGCATACAAGGAATTTAGAAAAAATTGTACATAAACCATAGTCAAGTGGTTCTTAACTAGTAATCTGAGAAGAAAAATCAACAGCAAATAAGATTCGTGCACATATTGTAAATTGCTTTGAAAGGAATCTTTGTTTTTTCTAAAGGCAGATGCATTTAATTGGTAGTTTCAAACAAACACTATGATTAAGATTATATGGTCAGCGCATTAACAACATTGTACTTGCAGCTGCCACTTTTTAGGAGTACGCAAACTCCTCCAACTGCATGTGGAGATTTTTATCTAGGATAACAACAAACGTTTAATCGTTTCACTTCACGGTAAGTATTCGTACGACGTTTCAAATACAAAATAAATAAAATAATACTGGTCACGTAGATTCACATATGTTGACAAAATTGAAATACTTCATAACAAAGAGGAAACTTAAAATGCTGGCTGTGTAGACAGCAGTATAAACGACATTTTTAATGTTGACTTATCTTCGAAGTCACTGTGACTTGAAAATCATAAAAATAAACTATTTAAAAATTTTGCTATCATTTTCACACAGATTTCTTGGCTTTGGTAGATATTAATAATGCATGTAATTAATAAGCAAGGAGCATGCAAGGCGTTGACAACATTAATTGAACTCTATAGTCCATTACGTTTGTAATATACCAAAATTACGTTGTTCAAATTATTCCCAAGAAAAACATCCTTTGGCCAGTTTGTACAGGTAACGTTTTCAAAGGAAAGCTTTTAACGTAAGTATGAACAGTTGTAGAGCTATAAACGTCATTATGTCTTGCACGCATTCATGAATGTTTATCATATGATCTACGACAATCTGGAAATTTCTCAGACTTTGCAGGGATTTTTTTTTCAAACACTAGACTATCTACACTAAGACCGAGAGCACTTTACCGTTTTTGCAATATTGTCAAGTTAGATCTTTGTTTCATTTTTTTTTTGTAGATGAAAAAATAGAACATGAGACAAATAGAACTGCTGAGATTATTTCATAAAACTGGGTTTTGAATTTTAAGTTTTGATTTTTCAATTCATAATATACACATCTTTTGTTGATATAAATACATGTTTTATATTTCACATTCTGCATATCCAAGCTCACACAAATGCAGCAACACGGTCATTTATTCAATGCAATATCCAACAGTTCCTATTTAAATATGAAACATGTTATATTTCCCATATAATTCATATCCCACAGGTTTCAAATTGTAAACACCACAGGACCATTATCTCATCTGCCACAGGTTTATTGTTTCTACCAAGCAAAAAGCAATTTTTTATTCCTATTAGATGATGAAACACAACAGCGATGAATTTACATCCACAAGTCCATCAATTTTTGTCAATACAACGGAGATTACACAAACATCTCATTGTCGATCATGGTTAAAGGTAGTTCTCTGGATATGCTATATCATCATATTCCTAGTTGGAATTTCCGGAAACTCAGCAGTTTGCTTCATTTTGCATCGACGAAAGCTACTGCAAACAGTAACTAACCAATTTATTCTTAATCTGGCCATTTCTGATCTCATTGTTTCCTGTTCCATTCCTATGGAACTCACATTAATTTTCTATGACAATAAATGGCCTTATGAAGCATTCTTTTGTAAAATATACGGTCCCCTTCAAACGGCAGTTATGTCGGTTTCTATCTTTACATTGACTGTTGTAAGCATAATACGTTATCGTGCAATAGTACATCCTTTAAAACGTCAGGTGACTCTATCTCAATCACGATGTATCATTATTGGAATATGGTTATTTTCTACGATATTAATGTTACCACATTCAGTGACACTAACTGTTGAAGGTAAAAAATGTTTGGAAAAGTGGCCAAATGTGAAATACAGAAGACTCTACACGACGTCATTGTTCTTATTCTTTTATGTCGTCCCTCTAACAATCATTATAATGGCGTATGTAGCAATATTGAAAGAACTTGTGAAAAAACAATGTTGCATTAACTGCAGAATAAATCCAGCGTTGAACGAAATTTGGAGCAAAGAAACAACTCAAATTATACGTATGTTTTGGAGGGTAACCATTGTTTTTACTGTATGTAATTTGCCAAGTCAAATTATGTGGTTATGGTTAGACTATACTCACAATGAACAACCATTTAAGTATGTATGGGATGTGCTCTTGGCATTGAATGTTTTAATCTTCGCAAACAGCGCCGCAAATCCATTCATTTATTACATATTTCATGACAGGTTTCGAAAAGAAACCTTAAATTTCTTGTCAGAGTACAAATGGTTTGTTCAAATGACAAAACTATTCAGTCATTGTAAATATCATATTTGTACTGCAAGAAGTAGAAAAAATTCATCTCAGTTTGAGAGCAAACGAGAAAATGTGGAAGAATTAAAAAATATTATCAACAGTCAACCAAACGGAAACGAACTAAAGAAAGAACGATGTTTCGACGATACTCTTAGAAAAAACTGTGATGGTGATGTATCACAAATTCATCAATGAAAATAAGAAATTCTAATTTCATTGGAAAGCCACAAAACAATAAACACTATGCTACAGTATTGTAAGATTATATTAATTACTATATTTGTTACATTTGGTAAAATCAATCATTGTAATTGAAAACATGTCGTTAGTATCATTTGGATAAAAATTATATTTCCCCATCTAAACACTATTCAGTTTATTATAAACTATGGCTGCAAAAGCTACTGTCTAAATTTATTTGAAAAAGTTTGTAGAAATAAGACAATCATCTTGCTTAAAGTGATGTGAAAGAAACAAGGCAAAAGTTCAACATCATATTACATTGTTTTTTGCCAAACGCACATTTAGATGAGTAAAATCATTTGTACTTACGGAATGTTCACCAGACAATGTTGGATCATGAAGATTTGCTAAGGCATTTATTGAAGCTTTACTTTCTTCAACTTTACTTGATTCATCACTTCTACTCTCATTATCATTGTTAATTGAAGAATAATATCGTCGTTGCCAGCAAATACGCCATCCAATAACTGTCATATAATAAACAGCATTTGCCAAGAATGCAGCTCCAATTATGTAGAAATAGAAACCATACACAACAAACTATAAAAGAGATTCGCAAATAAAAACATGAATGTTCCATGCATTGTTTTTAGCACAAACTCTTCATTTGCCAAGTAGCATGTCATTAAAAATATTCCTCCTAAGTAATTATTTCACCTGTTCTTTTACGGGAAGCGCCAGACCACTTTTTTCTGCAACAATTGCTGTAAGAATTGTTTGCAAAACTAGAGCAGCAAACATATTGCAACCAAATACCAGCCCAAAACGATTCATTTCTGTCATTTTTGCAATCTGCAAGCTAAGGTTTAGGAAAAGTTAAAAAATTTGTATCACAGAATTAAATCCAGTAGATGTTATATATAAGATGAAATGGGTTCTGGTATTTCAAAGAAATCAAAGTAATATTACCTGGCAATAGTGATGAGGAAAGTGTAAATAATGCGAAATAAAACATAACTGGAATATGCCAACCAAATATTACTGGTGGCAGACATAAAAAATAGCAGAAAACAATCAATTATTGAAAATACAGCAAGGCACAGTTCACCCCAAATTGACCAATTGATTTTTGTAAAAGCAAGAAGAACAGCAATAGTTGAAGCAAATAAATGTGACAATGCAGTAACACCACCATTATAGATCTTGTGTTCATGTGAAGGGAAGATTTCATCCCAAAGATTTTGAACATAATTTTCAACTTGCAACTCACCACAGGTTGCAAATGCCCACCACAATGACCATTTTAACAAAAACCTTCTTGTGTAACAGTTTTTAAAACCATAAGCAAAATCAACTAGATATGCTTTCCACTGTGACACAACTTGCATAAACTTTGAATGATCTTCAAATTGTGTATTGAATGCAGAGGCACTACTTGATACTCTGGGTAGTATCAACGAAAAGCAAAATGATACTAGGACACTACCAAATGATATGTAATTCAGTGTCAAATATCCAGTAACATTTAACGAGATCAACAACTGTCCTAACAAACCAGCGACCATTCTACCAAGCAAGATGGCTGCACGAGTAAAACTGGTTACTTTTTGGTAGTGTTCTAAAGAAACAGCTGCGTAAATATAAGAATAATATGCAACTTCTGCACCAACAGCAAAACCATACGCTACTTGCATCCATTGCATTGCTAGCACGCTAGTTCCCCATATTAGCAAAACTCGAGTGGCTATGTATGATAACGCTTCAAAAATAATCACCGGTTTATATCGAAGAAAGTCGGTGAGAAAGAAGACGAGAAACAATGCAACAAGATTGGCGTAGGTTGATACCGGGTAGATGTCGTTCACCAGTTGCGTTTCTGTAAAATTCTTCGGCGCCTCTCGAAGATAAGGAGTGAGAAACGACTCAGATGGTTTCATTTCTTTAAAAAATCCATAGCAGCAGAGTAAAATAGTCTGATACAACCACATCGTTCTGGTCGCGTTAAACGTTCGTTATGTATGGTATTAAAAATCTTTAATTGACCATTTAAGGATTGCCATTATCAAAATGTTCTCAGATATCAAAATCTCAGAAAACTTATGACGACCGATGACGACACGAACAGTGCTTCCAGTTTGTAAAACCAAAATATCTTGTTTTGCCTTATTTTAGCAAAAATCCTTCCAGAATGGCAAAATTCCCTTCAATGTGTGCATTTATCCTGAACTTAGCTGGAATAAATGAAATTGCTAGTTTGTTTAAGAAGTCCGTGATTCCGTGCTTAGCTTTAAGCTGACTGCAGTAACGAGACGATTTTATAAGCAATAAGCTTATTTTACTTTGAAGCAGTGAGACACTGAAACCTAAGACGTGGACTTCAGAGAATTACCGCGATCCATTTTGATCAATTTAAGCACATTAAAAATCTCTCTAGTGTCTACAGCTTTAGAAAAAGGCAATGATGAAAAGTAGCGAAAACTGGATTAGGTTGGGGTCATTTGGTAAGTTCATTGGCATCTTGACATCTTGACTCGACTTCTACGTTGCAGAAACAAACAACTCCCAGAACGTTATGTACACGTACATAAGCTTTTATGCAATATAATTGTTATGATTTAAAAAGTGTATTTAAATTGTTGACATAAAAATAAATCCGCTTGTAATTTTCCATGGCCCATTCAACTTAAGACTATCAATGTAGCCATGTGATTATGAATTGTGTTCACATAGTTTGTACGCAATATTGAAATATTTTGTTAAATTATCAAATTTTGCGAAATTTTGCCTTTTCCTCCAACTTTCCTACATTCTTTAATAATTTCCTTTCAATTTCCTTCACTTTGCCAAAAATTCCCCTCAAATGGAAATTTCTTTACTACAGCAAAATTTATCACGTGCTTTCTATGAGCTGTTTGATTGTTTGTACTCAATATTTCTACCGTGTGGTTTCTTCGAATATTGATTTCATAAATGGATCGACCATTTTTGACTATTAAAGAAGCAGCCGATTTGGCAAAAGATTTATTTGGTGTGCACGTTGATTTAACGTCAAATGAAAACGTAAAAGAGTTTGAATGCTACGATGATCGTAATTTTTATATCAATGGCTCTAAAGATGGCAAATCTGAAGAGTATTTGCTTAAAATATATGGTAGTTGCTTTAGCGAAGATTTAGTGCATGCTATTATTAAAGTCATGCTTTTTGTGCATGATGCTGGAATTGTTTGTCCTGTTCCTTTGAAATCAATGAACGGTGATTATGTTGTGCCGAAAATCTTACCACAAACTCCTAAACCTAACGAAGCCAAGAAAGCGAAACTCGAAATAAAAAACGTGATTTCGTGTTTCGTTTGCTTTTTCACCTTCTTGCCTGGCAAAACGTTGAAGGATTTTAAAGTTGAAGGAAATTCAGTTCAAGACCAATTATTTTACGAAGTAGGCGAGTTAACGGGTAATTTATGCAATGCGCTGAAGGTAAATATTAACTTACACTTATGTAAATGATAATTTATGCAATACCAAATATGAAAAAATAAAAACAATGAAACGCGTGCGGTGATTGGTCTAGAGTCGTGTTTGCATGAGCCTGTGCAAAACACATCTGAGCTCAACCAATCAAATCAACCTAAACAATCAATCAGTCAAAGAGAATTTGCAAATCAATCATGAATACATTTTAGAGGAAAAATTAAAATGTTTGTCTTTTTTGCATTATTGTTACTTTATAAAAGAAATAAAAGATGTTTTTTGTGTTTGCACTGACTTATGCAAATCTCTGAGACATTTGTGAGAACTCTTGAGCATGTGCAACCCTCGGGCTTGCACTGATCTGCTCTTGAGTTCTCCTAAAGGTCTCCTTGGTTTGCATAAGCCTGTGCAAACAAGGTAAACATCTTTTATTTCTTAAATAATGTTGATAACCGTTTATGAATCTATTTCTAAAATATATACACTCATTATATTTTATCTCATTGAAGCTGTTGTCTTAGTCCTACTATTCATATTTCTTTGTTCTCACTTCAAGAACAATAGATTTCTAATTCTAAAGTAATGAATTATGAAATTTACCTAGCATGTCTATTAAAATTATTTATAGTGAGGGTAAGCTGCTGTTTCTTCTTATAATTATTTTAATCAAACAATTTTAGGATATGAAATGCACAGTTTTAGAAAAGAGAAAGTTCCATTGGGATTTATACTATTTTGATAGTTTGCTGGTTGGCACAAATCTGTTGTCAGCCAGTGAAAAGGCATTGGTTAATACAGTGAAATCAACATTTAAAACACAGATCAAACCAAAACTTGCAGTCCTTCCTAAGCAATGTATCCATGGTGATATCAATGATGGCAACATTCTTGTGGAAAAGTTACCACATAAGTTTACTTTGAGTGGAATCATTGATTTTGGTGATGTTAACTACACTTGTCGTGTTTTTGAGATTGCAATTGCAGCTGGATACATGACAACTGTATCTGAGAATGATCCAATCAAAGCTGCAGCATATACTGTTGCTGGTTTCAACAGTAAATGTCCATTAACCCAAGATGAAAGTGATCTTATTCTTTATTGCATTCAAGCAAGACTTTGTCAAAGTCGCTGTTTTGGAGCTCATACGATCAAGCTTTTTCCAGAAAATGCTAATTATTTACTTCATCATTCACTTAATGCTCTTGAAATTCTCAAATCAATTATGAATGTTACAAAGGAAGAATTTGATAAAATGTGGAGAAACATTTGTAAGGAATAAGAACTAGTAATGCTTACTATGGGTTAGTTTTTGTTGTAAATCTACGTAAGAAAATAATTGTTCATTAGATCATCCTTAATGTACTTTAGTGAACATTATTCATCTTTAATATACTTTAGTGAACATTGATCGTCTTTAATGGTAATTTGTAATTGATAGAAACTGTGCATAATTTCTATTTTTTAATAAATGTGATTGTATAAGATACTTAAATTTATCTTTGCTTCTGGTACACCTAGCATACTTACATAATATCACAACTTTCGTTTTTTTGTAAATGTCGTCAATGAGAAGAGCAATAAGTTCAATAATTATATTTAATATATTTAATATGTGGTTTATATCGAAGAAAGTCGGTGAGAAAGAAGACAAGAAACAATGCAACAAGATTGGCGTAGGTTGATACCGGGTAAATGTCGTTCACCAGTTGCGTTTCTGTAAAATTCTTCGGCGCCTCTCGAAGATAAGGAGTGAGAAACGACTCAGATGGTTTCATTTCTTTAAAAAATCCATAGCAGCAGAGTAAAATAGTCTGATACAACCACATCGTTCTGGTCGCGTTAAACGTTCGTTATGTATGGTATTAAAAATCTTTAATTGACCATTTAAGGATTGACCATTATCAAAATGTTCTCAGATATCAAAATCTCAGAAAACTTATGACGACCGATGACGACACGAACAGTGCTTCCTTTTGTAAAACCAAAATATCCTGTTTTGCCTCATTTTAGCAAAAATCCTTCCTGAATGGCAAAATCCTTCAATGTGTGCATTTATCCTGAACTTAGCTGGAATAAATGAAATTGCTAGTTTGCTTAAGAAGTCCGTGATTCCGTGCTTAGCTTTAAGCTGACTGCAGTAACGAGACGATTTTATAAGCAATAAGCTTATTTTACTTTGAAGCAGTGAGACACTGAAACCTAAGACGTGGACTTCAGAGAATTACCGCGATCCATTTTGATCAATTTAAGCACATTAAAAATCTCTAGTGTCTACAGCTTTAGAAAAAGGCAATGATGAAAAAGTAGCGAAAAACTGGATTAGGTTGGGGTCATTTGGTAAGTTCATTGGCATCTTGACATCTTGACTCGACTTCTACGTTGCAGAAACAAACAACTCCCAGAACGTTATGTACACGTACATAAGCTTTTATGCAATATAATTGTTATGATTTAAAAGTGTATTTAAATTGTTGACATAAAATAAATCCGCTTGTAATTTTCCATGGCCCATTCAACTTAAGACTATCAATGTAGCCATGTGATTATGAATTGTGTTCACATAGTTTGTACGCAATATTGAAATATTTTGTTAAATTATCAAATTTTGCGAAATTTTTCCTCCAACTTTCCTACATTCTTTAATAATTTCCTTTCAATTTCCTTCACTTTGCCAAAAATTCCTCAAATGGAAATTTCTTTACTACAGCAAAATTTATCACGTGCTTTCTATGAGCTGTTTGATTGTTTGTACTCAATATTTCTACCGTGTGGTTTCTTCGAATATTGATTTCATAAATGGATCGACCATTTTTGACTATTAAAGAAGCAGCCGATTTGGCAAAAGATTTATTTGGTGTGCACGTTGATTTAACGTCAAATGAAAACGTAAAAGAGTTTGAATGCTACGATGATCGTAATTTTTATATCAATGGCTCTAAAAATGGCAAATTTGAAGAGTATTTGCTTAAAATATATGGTAGTTGCTTTAGCGAAGATTTAGTGCATGCTATTATTAAAGTCATGCTTTTTGTGCATGATGCTGGAATTGTTTGTCCTGTTCCTTTGAAATCAATGAACGGTGATTATGTTGTGCCGAAAATCTTACCACAAACTCCTAAACCTAAGGAAGCCAAGAAAGCGAAACTCGAAATAAAAAACGTCATTTCGTGTTTTGTTTGTTTTTTCACATTCTTGCCTGGCAAAACGTTGAAGGATTTTAAAGTTGAAGGAAATTCAGTTCAAGACCAATTATTTTACGAAGTAGGCGAGTTAACGGGTAATTTATGCAATGCGCTGAAGGTAAATATTAACTTACACTTATTTAAATAATAATTTATGCAATACTAAATATTATAAAATAAAAACAATAGAGCGCGTGCGGTGATTGGTCTAGAGCCATGTTTGTATTAGCCTGTGCAAAACACATCTGAGCTCAACCAATCAAATCAATCATAAAAATCAATCAGTCAAAGAGAATTTGCAAATCAATCATGTCTTTTTCAGTCTTTTTCACATTGTTATTTTATTAAAGAAATAAAAGATGTTTTTCATGTTTGCACTGGCTTATGCAAACCTCTGAGACATTTGTGAGAACTCTTGAGCATGTGCAACCCTTGGGCTTGCATTGATCTGCTCCCGAGCTCTCCCAAAGGTCTCCTTGGTTTGCATAAGCCTGTGCAAACACAGTAAATATCTTTTATTTCTTAAATAATGTTGATAACCATTTATGAATCTATTTTCTAAAGTATATACACTCATTATATTTTATCTCATTGAAGCTGTTGTCTTAGTCCTACTATTCATATTTCTTTGTTCTCACTTCAAGAACAATAAATTTCTAATTCTAAAGTAATGGATTATGAAATTTACCTAGCATGTCTATTAAAATTATTTATAGTGTGGGTAAGCTGCTGTTTCTTCTTATAATTATTGTAATCAAACAATTTTAGGATATGAAATGCACAGTTTTAGAAGAGAAAGTTCCATTGGGATTTATACTATTTTGATAGTTTGCTGGTTGGCACAAATCTGTTGTCAGCCAGTGAAAAGGAATTGGTTAATACAATTAAATCAATATTTAAAACACAGATCAAACCAAAACTTGCAATCCTTCCTAAGCAATGTATCCACGGTGATATTAATGATGGCAACATTCTTGTGGAGAAGTTACCACATAAGTTTACTTTGAGTGGAATCATTGATTTTGGTGATGTTAACTACACTTGTCGAGTTTTGAGATTGCAATTGCAGCTGGATACATGACAACTGTATCTGTGAATGATCCAATCAAAGCTGCAGCTTATACTGTTGCTGGTTTCAACAGTAAATGTCCATTAGCCCAAGATGAAAGTGATCTTATTCTTTATTGTATTCAAGCAAGACTTTGTCAAAGTCACTGTTCGAGCTCATCATAGCAAGCTTTTTCCAGAAAATGCTAATTATTTACTTCATCCAATTAATGCTTTGAAATTCTCAAATCCATTATGAATGTTACAAAGGAAGACTTTGATAAAATGTGGAGAAACATTTGTAAGGAATAAGAACTAGTAATGCTTACCATGGATTAGTTTTGTTGTAAATCTACGTGAAAATAATTGTTCATTAGATCATCCTTAATGTACTTTAGTGAACATTAATCATCTTTAATGTACTTTAGTGAACATTAATCATCCCTAATGTACTTTAGTGAACATTAATCATCTTTAGTGTACTTTAGTGAACATTAATCGTCTCTAATGTACTTTTAATGGTAATTTGTAATTGGTAGAAACTGTGCATAATTTCTATTTTTTATAAATGTGATTGTATAAGATACTTAAATTTATCTTTAGCTTCTTGTACCACTAGCATACTTATATAATATCACAACTTTCGTTTTTGTAAATGTCGTCAATGAGAAAAGGCAATAAGTTTATTTAATATGTGGTTTATATCGAAGAAAGTCGGTGAGAAAGAGACAAGAAACAATGCAACAAGATTGGCGTAGGTTATTACCGGCAAATGTCGTTCACTAGTTGCGCTTCTGTAAAATTCTTCGGCTCCTCCTCGAAGATAAAGTGAGAAACGACTCAGATGGTTTCATTTCTTTAAAAAATCCATAGCAGCAGAGTAAAATAGTCTGATACAACCACATCGTTCTGGTTGTGTTAAACGTTCGTTATGTATGGTATTAAAAATCTTTAATTGACCATTTAAGGATTGACCATTATCAAAATGTTCTCAGATATCAATTTCTCGGAAAACTTATGACGACTGATGACGACACGAACAGTGCTTCCACTTTGTAAAACCAAAAAATCCTGTTTTTGCCTTATTTTAGCAAAAAATCCTTCCTGAATAGCAAAATCCTTTCAATGTGTGCATTTATCCTGAACTTAGCTGGAATAAATGAAAATTGCTAGTTTAAAAATATTTCAAGAATATACACAGACTTTATAATTTTGAAACTACAAATAAACACTAAACATTCCAATTTAGGGGGCATTGGCCATAGCGTGCATTAATTCCGATTATGGACCGGCAGGATCGCTATGATGCAAGCCGTTGAAGACAGTTAAAAGTGGTATAGTGGAAAAAGTTGTTGATTATACGCTTTGTTCCTTTGCGTTCATGTCCCTGACGCCATTTTTATTGGTTGAGCTTGGCTGAATCTCGGCCATAGTGTAAAACTCCATATTGTATCTGATGAAAAACAGATAAGTGAAAAAAACAGTAAGGTGATAATAGGATGATTTAAGGAAGGAAGTAAAAATACATGAAGGATTTATAATGTATATGATAATAAAATAGAGCATTAAACGATTCGCCAGTATTGCAAGAAATTGATACTGTTAGTCTGTTATATCAACTATAAGGTAACTGTTTATGTTAAATAAAGCAGCATTAAAACTCTATAGATGAAGTTGAAAATTGTTCTTGTAGTTCCAAAAGCTGAACAGGATCCAATCATAAAGTTATCTCACCTTAAACGATTGAAGTGTACCTTTCATCGTGAATTTTCTGTTTCATTTTATTTCAACGCTAAACAGAAAACATAAATGTTGTTAAATGTCTGCAAAAATGAAGTCAACGTAAAGAGCATAATATTCTTTATTGATACGACAAAATATTCTTATTGACCGTTGATAAAATGAGCTCTACTTACTGCCGAATCATCAGCTATATATTTCACTGAATGAATATAATTTATCTGCTCTAGCAAGTAAATAAATATAATCGAAGTACATCTAAACGAACGATCGTACATTAATTACTTTTTCAAATTTTTTTTATAAAAATACGTGCTTAGTTTCGCAATTCTGTTTTCTTCCTTAAAATATTTTAGTTTTATTTATTTCTATTTTACCCAGCTGACTTATTTGCGCAGTGATTAATAAATAAAACGATCATATACTCAGATACTCTGGTGATCATTCATCACATTAAAAAATAACACTATAGCTACATAAACATAGCACGAAGTCGTGCCACCATCAATTTGTTCAATTGTATGTTTAATATCAACTGATTAGAAAAGTGTAAACTTTTATTTCTATTCACAAAAAGAATAATGATCGTTCATGTAACAGATATATTATTTATTTTTGTTATAAAAATGCGCCATGGAAACCAAAAACTTAACGAAATGACATAAGGAAAACTTACTGCTTCGGTGAACGACTGAAATATAATGACCCTTAAAGCTTGAAAAAATCACAGCAGTTTCACGAACGATAGCGAAACTCGCTTGTTTAAATTTATGTGAGGATTTAGTGCGTGTTTTGCAGTAGCAATTAATGATGAGAACAATTGTAAAAGTACAAAAATGCAGATATGTCTGTTCGTAAATTAAAATATTTGTTATTTCATCGAACGAGCTTTTAACATTGTCATTGATCCATTTTCGTAGTAATTACAGAATGAAAAAGAACGAAAACCATGTCTGTCTGTATGCCAAATAAGGTTGTGCGACATTATGATACAGAGAAGTCACCTCTGTAAACTTGTCAGAAGCTAAAAATATTTCTTTTATGAATTAATTATGCGTAAAAACATAGAGACAAAGTATTTGAAACAACGTTAAACATTTCCTTTGTTGACACAAGCCACGACACAAACTTTTACGAAGTGGTACAAACTTCTTTAGTAATCAATAACCACGTTTCTATACTTGACTTTTAGCTGCGATGAATTACGGAAAAATTGCATCACTTATTGTCATTGATCGACATACTGCATGTTTTCGTCAATTATTTTTAAGCAAGAAAATATATTTTATCCATTTTTAACAACCAAAGTTACAATATAGTTTACAATACAGCTAAACAAATCGCATTTCATACCAAACTGGCAAGTTAAAGTAATACATTTACGCATAGTTTGTACTGCATTTTTCAGCCTTAATGGAATATTTAATAAGGTAAGAAGTCACAAAGAAATTCATCTGTACCGGAGAACCATTATTTTCACGTGGAACCAAGGATTTTACGAGAGACTAAGGACTCTTGCCTGAAATAACTGCGAACTCTACGACAAGACTTTCGGAATAAATTTCCCAAATATGAATGCGAGTTACGGTCGGATTTTTTAAAGTCGGTTTCGATGCAACTCGTTTTTCTTTCACAAATATTCTCAAAACTAGCTGTGTGGCTTTCACACAAGTTATCTTCGGCAAGAAGAACAGTCACTGCTCGTTCATTTAAACAATCTTCGCTCTCCAACACACAACTAGTACACTGTTCATCTTCGTCAATGAAGACACTATCATTCTCTTGAGAAATATCATTTGATGATGATCTTGTCTGTCGTTTTATTTTCCATTTGCTAGTCATCGTTTTTACTGATTCATAACGAGGTGAGAGTCGTTCAAATGGCTCGTCAATAACTGATTTCTCGTTGAATTTTTCAAGAAGAGTAAAGCCAAGTTGAAAGGCTAACGTTGCTAACTTATAAAACTCGTGGGCAAGTTTATATGTTTTGCAGTAGAAAACATACGCTTTGTATTGCGAAATGTGATTTTCTCTTGCTACGAGAACACAAGTCCTCGAATATGGACCGTCGTTTAAACACACTGTAATATCTTTCACTTGAGTTAAAGGGAAATTTACTAACAAATGATCATCGTCTTTACTTGAAATACCAATTCGTTGACTATCGATAAATACGACAACTTCTTTTGCATTTTTTAGCTTATTCTTATCTTCAGAATACAAGGAATGAATGTCGTAAATCAGACGCGCAATTTCGTAATCAGTTCCTTTGACTTGTGAGACAATTCCACAGCCCAAATATTGGGTTGCAATCTCAACTCCAACTAAGATTTTATCATTTAAGTGTAAACCTCTGTAGGACGAAGACCTACGCCGATCAAAACGCATCTTTAAATGATCCAGTTCAGCTTCCGTGCGTCGGTTAAGTTTGGAGACGAGATAGATGAATATTGAAGCAATTCACCGTTATGCACGTTACTAAGAAACATTTATCTGCTGTGTGTATGACTAAATATCAATTTATCATCTTTTTATCTCTGACGTAGTAAGAAAATAAAATAAAAATGATCTTTATTCATTATAAACTAATCTCGCATGCCTCGTCAGTGCAATGAGCAACTTATCCTGTATTCAATTTGCCTCGCATTTTTTTGTCTAATATAAATATTCAAGCATGACAAATATTCATTTACAGTTACCTCCCATAGCAACACAACTCAATTTAAAACACAGCCAATATAACCTTTGTCATTGTGAACTACCGCAACCGTTACTGACAATGGCTCTATCATTCAAACAAGGACTGATGCAGGAATCCGCCGCCATCTTAAAAAATAGAAACGATGAATGTACAAACTTCAAAGCAAAATTCATGTGACATCGTATCTCCCAATTTCTTTGATATAAATTTCACGCAAGCACCCAGTCTAGACCTGTAATTTTTTGTTGACAAATAAAGGTTCATGGCAAAGCCATTTATTGCAACCAATTCAAGTTTCTCTAAATTGACTGTGAATTTTTCTAGAAATATTCAAACGTAGGTTATAAAGATTTCGCTTTTTACATTACTTGTTTTTACATTCCCCGTTGGCGTTCCCTCCTTCAACTATCTTTCTTCTTTCAAAGTTAAGCAATAATTTGAGCTTGAAAGCGTTGTTTTGGTTTCTTTACTGTTTTTTTATAGAAATCAGTGAACTTCAGTCTTTACAGTTGCAATTTCTTTAAAGCAAATAGTGATAGGACTTTAATTGTTCCATTTCGCTACTAGAGAAAATTTCAGAACCTTGTTGTTAAAAGCGTTCCACGGGTTATTCATTACATCTTAACATTTTTCACGATCATTACATTTTACAAAATGAATAACTATATCATTTACAAAGAAGTAATTATCAAAAAATTGAAAGTGGTTTATATTCGGCCTGTTTGCAATTTGAAGACACCAACAGAGACTACAGATTACCCATATAGCGTTATATTAAAGAATATACATCACAGTATATGATTAGAGATATTTTCTGGAACATACTTTGCATCATGCATGAAAACAAGAAGGAAGTTATCTTTATGTAAGTGCGGGAATCTGCATAACAATACAAGAAATTTACAAACAAGACCTCCAATTTCAGGTTGGCTATGCCACATTTACCTGATCAAAAGCAAATAACTGTCATAATCTTTCACTGAAAAAATAATTTATGACAAAACATTAGCTTAAAAGTTTACAAGCAGAATTTCAGGTCTGCTTTGCCCTTGATTTCAAAATACCATTCCCAAACCACTACTAACCTTTCACACAAAACATGGACATGCTTTTCTTATTCATTCTAGAATTATTATTCATATTTTTTCGTAAAGCTTTAAGAACCATATTTAATTCTACATCATATTACATCATTAAATGAGAACATCATTTTTTTTGAATTGGAACAAATAATGTTCGAATGTTATTTCCAATAATTTTAACATCTCCTTGCAAGCTGCCAACATCAGCAACATGAGCAGCTATTTTTTCTATTAAATCTTTCTTATCATCTATACTTGAATTTTGTCTTCTACGATGAGAAACAAGAACCTTAACACTGTCATTTCCTTCTAAAAATTCAATAATTTTCCTCATTTTCATTTCCAGATCATGCTCAGAAATCTTCCCCGTTATTTTTATTTCCTTCGTCTTACTGGTCTTTACTTGTTTCTTTTTATCTTCTTTTCTTTTGTCAAAAAGTTGTTTTTGACTGAATAACTTGCAAATAGTTTCATTTTTATTATGTCCAACTTCGACAACCACACATTTTGATATTTTTCCTTTCTCCAAGGCGTTTGCTAAAGGTACAATACCCAAGTTTGTGCCGCATTTATCAATCAAACGCACATTCTTAGCTTGTATTGCATTGTTCATGCGATATTCTTTTGACGCTTTATGATTCGAATATCTTAAAAAGGTCGTACAGGATTGTATACTTAAAACATTGATAAACCACCTTGATCTTTACATTTTCTTTCTGCAAATGCCACAAGAAAACGGCTCTTGCATTTGAAATTTAGAGATCGTCGTATTAAAAGCTTTCGAAAAGAAGATATTCTCAAAAAACAGAACCGAACACCGTTCATTACTGGATAAACGCACGCAAAATTTTTACTATTTCGTCCTCTCGCACTGTCGCCATACTGTATTTTTAAATCGAGCTTTCGTAATACTTCATATAACAATACTGTACGGTCTAGATTGCTGTGATACTGGTCTGGGTGTCACTGGTCACGCGTTATGAATGTAATTGCAACATATATAACGGGTTTTTATGTTTTTTAGCATGTCTAGCGCCGGAAAGTCGTAAAATCATAAATTTTGGCTTATTTTAATTTATTGATTTTAAAATGTTTTTAACTGCTCAGTCAATTTGAAATACCCTCGATTATATTGATGGGACGTCTACTATTTTCAACTCACGGTCTTGAGTCTTTGTTATTTTGTAAATCATTTTGATGTTTGGCCGATCATAACTCGAGTGAAGCGAAAATTCATATCATACACAGGAATAAATACTAGTAATGCATATTTTAAGCTTGAGCCATTTATTCAAGGTTTAATCTAACCGTGTGTCCGAGAAAACTTTAACAAATAACATACTATTTAAATAGAACGAACTCGGGCACTTTCCCTACATTATATTAAAATAAAGTTATACTGTATACTGAATTACCAACGATTTTCTTTGGGGCAAGTAGATTAACATATTTCTTAAAGTGGAAATTTAAACTCAACAATTTATAGTATCATAACCTGTCTATTTATATACAAACGCAATTAGATTATGTACAACCACAGGAGGTTACAATCATTCCTGGGAAACGAGAAATTGTTATTTTCTTTGGTTCACTGTAATATAATATTGATAACGGCTCAAACTCGGTGGGGATGCAGCAGCCGCCTTTTCCAAGGTGACGATTTCGTAGAAATATGTATATTTTTTGATGTTTGCTTCCTGAAAATGCAGGACATATTCCAGCACAAGTGTGAGCGTTGTATGTTTGTGGATGCAAAATACTGGAGTAACCCAATTGTTGAAAATTAATAGTCATTGATTTGCGTGAACATAGAGAACTACTTAGTGAACGAGGAAAACGTGTTAATGTAGAAGTACGTAAAGGAAAATTATTAGAATTTTGCTTGATGTGTCCTCCCATAGCAGCCTTGCTCAACTTTTGCAGAGGTAAGGGAAAATAAATAAGCATAAATGGTTGTTTACGACCACCTTTTGCAATTGAAATAGGTTTTGAATCCGACAAATATTTGACCGACTTAACTTCAATAAAGAAGTTGATTTCAGTTTGACGAACCAGCTTAGACAGAATAGCCGAAGTTACATCAAATGTCAACCATTCGCCTCGTGAATTTCGCACAAAACGTGACCCAATTAAGCGCGTACTTAAACTTTTGTTTGTTATGAATGAAACATTGCTGATGAATTCATGTGACTGATAAAGATGTATGAAATACATATCGTGTGGATTTCGATCCTTGGATCTTCTTTTAAATACACGCAGCTGTATGGGACGAGCCTCTTTAACATTCTTTACACTTTTCAACTGAAAAGTGAACGCCATTGCTTCTTTTTGTAAAGCTTTGTTTTCTGAAAATAAATGGCCCATCATATAGTAAACAATACACTACGAACAGCTACAAGATGTTCTTTGTCAAAATAGATTTCGGACAAGGCAAAGAGACAAACCTTCACCGAAAATACATGAAATTTGCGAGAAAGAGGAGCGTCGCTTCTCCATTTCAAATAATTTCTTCACGTAGGCTGGAACGGTTCGCTTTCGTACATGTCTCGATGAAAGCGGAATACCTTGTAAAAACAACTCGGCAAAATCGTCTGGTAAGTTCTCATCACTGCTAGTGTCGATGTTTTTCAACAAATTGAAAAAAGTTAAAGCCAAAATGATACTAGTAATCATTGCCTTTAACTATGTACAAGTTTGAAGTAAAAGCTTCGGTTTTTCGCTCACGCATATGTCCCTTTACTTGCTGTCGAGGCACTTTAAAACCTATTAAACGCAACCTGATTGGTTAATTCGACCAAGAGAAAATTATTAAAGCCAAAGAAATCCAGAAAACGAAAACTTTTGTATAGAAAACAATATATCTGTGATGGTTGAATGCAAAAAAATGAACAGGCATATGAATATTAACTATACTCGAGACTTAAATCTTTAGTTTCACTCGAGTGCTTGTTTATGTCCAAAGTTATCAAGGTGCATGAATAATAAACACCAACAAAACCCAGAATAATATTTCTGTGTTATTTGTAAGAACACTGATGATTTACTGATCTTGTTGTCGGTTACCGTGAATCATTAGATTAATTAAATTTTATAATTAACGGCAGGTATGGCTAAAATTTTTCTTCATTTTTCCCTTGAGGATTCAATGCATGAAAACAAAACAATACATCACAACATCAAAAGCAACCTTTTTCGTACTAAAGTATGATATATATGCAATCTACAAAGGAAACATTTTGTCGTAACCGGTATCAATATAAATAGTTATATATAAGACATGGCTTCAGCGAACTGTCTTTCGTAATTGAATACAGAAATATGATATTAATGACAATTTTGGCCTCAAATAACAATCATAAAAGCCAAGAATAAAGTGCTACTTTGGGTCATGTTTTCACTTACGAAATAAACTCATGAATCGACTTTTTTGATAAACTTTCACTGAGATGTTTTACGCAAGTAGCGTGAAATGTTTTCGTAAGTGAAAATTTAGCGAATACTCCGAAGAATATATATTACAAAACGCCAAAGAGACAAAATTACGAATGCCTTTAGTGTCTGATAGCTTTATCATCTTCTAGGTATAGGTTCATGCAGACCTTGTTCAATTAACTTCAGATCCTCAAAATCCTGCCGTATAACACCAGTAAGATGCATTAAACCTTCCTGCTGCTTCTCAAGATGCTAAAATGAAAGAAAACTAATGTTTTACTACTTTCTTTTAAATACTGTTAACTTGTTGAAACTTTAGAAATAAAAAAGAAAAAACATTTTCATAAGATATTCTTAAGGAAAAGACCAATGTTTTTTCTTTTTTGTTAAAAATTAGTCATATTATATTAGTTCATTTTCAGTCATCTTTAATTAAGACGATTGAAAGTTAATTTATACCACTGATTTGTATTGTTAAAATTGCATTGAACGTTAAAGCTACATTATTAAAACAAACCTGTTTTAAATCCAACTGAACGGACTTCTCCAAAGAAAAACGACCATCAAATGAATTTCCCATTGCCTGCTGTTGAAGACGCAATTGTGCAACAAGTTCATTTAGACGACCCTAAATTAGAAGATAAAAATTATTAATGGCAATACTATCACTAAATAATGAAGTTTTTAGAAAGCGTAATTTCCCTCCTGTAGCAATAAATGACAATATTTAGTTAGAATAGCAAAGAAAATTCGTAGGTTATTTATTCATAAACAATACTGGTTTCATAAAAAATTGAATTTCAACAACAAATCAGTACATATACCTTAAAGTGAGTTGGTCCATTCAAAGAAGTTAACTGCGTCTCAAACTGAATTCTACAAGAAAATTTACACAGAATGTCAACACTTTATTTCGTAATGTGTTTCTCCGACAGTAAAACAGTCGCAGATTATTATATTTATGTAGATGTACGTAGGTCGTCTAGGTTATTAGGGTTTTATTGTTGTTGATGTTGACTGACGTTTCGGCAACCTTACCTTTGTCATCACTACCTCTATGGTTGTCGAAACGTCAGTCAACATCAACATCAGCATCAACACCAACACCAAAATCAACACCAACATCAACATCAACACCTACATCAACACCAACATCAACATCAACACCTACATCAACATCAACATCAACATCAACATCAACACAACATCAACACCAACATCAACACCAACATCAACACACCATCAACATCAACACCAACATCAACACCTACATCAACATCAACATCAACATCAACACACCATCACCATCAACACCAACATCAACATCAACACCAACAACAACAATAACACCACATCAACACCAACATCAACATCAACACCAACATCAACATCAACACCTACATCAACATCAACATCAACATCAACACCAACATCAACACACCATCAACATCAACACCAACATCAACACCATCAACATCAACATCAACACACCATCACCATCAACACCAACATCAACACCTACATCACCATCAACATCAACATCAACATCAACACACCATCACCATCAACACCAACATCAACATCTACATCAACATCAACATCAACATCAACACACCATCACCATCAACACCAACATCAACACCTACATCACCATCAACATCAACATCAACATCAACACACCATCACCATCAACATCAACACCAACACCTACATCAACATCAACATCAACATCAACATCAACATCAACATCAACATCAACAATCTTTCTCAGGACTCTACTAACTAAAACGATCTCCACTTACAAACATGTAACAATACTCTCGGGTTCAAACCATTGGAAGCAGATTATGTTGAAAACATATGAGGATGAGCATCACTACATTTTGAAAATATTTCTAATGAAGAAACTCGTATTGTAAAAATTGTTCTTACAAGAACGGGACTTTAAAAATAAGCATGTTTATGAAAAGTATCTAAATTAAATTTTGAAGCCGTTTTTTTCAAAAACTTTTCTCAAACTTCTTGATGTTTATAAACCATGATCACCTCAAATCTTCTTCATCTAGCTGAATAGAACAACCTGACTTTCGTTTTACTTCTTGTTTTGATATAACCTATAAAACACACATGACAAAAAGATCAAAAATCATCCAAAAGGTCGAGAGCATGGACGGTCGAAAAACTGCCAAGTCAAGTGAAATACCTTCAAAACTCTATGACTAAGATCAAGAAATCTTCGTTTATATTCCGTTAATTTCGTTAAAGTTTCCGTATGTTTTTGTTGTAACATGGTTATATCATCTGATAAAATCTAACAAAATATAATCAACGTGTCTAAATCATACAATTACATAAAACGTATGTACAATCCAACATTTGATATGTTATACGTACATACCTCTAAAGCATTTTGATGCAAAGTTGTTTCTTGTTGTTGAAATTTTATTCTACCTTGTAGTTGTTCAAATCCAAGAATAGGAACCGGAACAAGTCTATTTTAAAAAGCAACATACGAACACAAATTTAACTGAAGACGTAAATTTAACAAGTACACACACATAGAAAAAAGACAATAGAGATATTACATAGTTGAGAATTGATGCAATAACATACATAACCTTTGAGGGCTAGGGTTGTCTTTACGAGCTTGTTCCCATAAAATAGGATGAATACCTAAATAAGATATTGATAGAGATATATAGTTCATACTTTGTTTTGTCTGTCATATTTTAAAACGTGAAAATTCATAGCTACTGATATTTATTAAGAAATTACGAAAGAAACAGAAAGGAATACTTCTAGTTTCGATAGAGAACGATAAACAGAGATAAAACTGTTCGAAATGAGCTTGGATGAGAGATTAAAATTTTACATCACTAACATTTATTGTATTTTTGTTATTTATTATTACCTGAAGGTGGATTATTTAGATATACAATCAATTGCTCCTCTGTCAAATCAGCTTTTGCTACAACTTTTGATACTCCGAGAGAAGTTAATTGAGTCTATAAATTTAAAGAGATTAATATAAAAACGAGATATCGATAAGTACAAGGTGAAAAAAAAAACAATGACAAAAATTAGAGTCTGGAAAAATATTGAAATAAACAATACAAAAATACTCTTGCTTAAAAAGATGTACTATATTATTGGATGAAGATATAAACATTGAATTTACCCTTAGATTTGCTTGATTTAAGAAGTTTGAAACCTCTGAAGAGGAAAACCGTCGAGAATTACCCATGGCATCACGTTCCATTAAATAAATCACAACTTCAGTTCTGTCAAATGGATGAAAATGAAAAATGTGACAAACTCTAGTCCTTGAAAGCATCTAGCCTCTAGCAAATTGCACTTCACGACTGATTTTGCAGGCTGACTGCATCACTGCTTGTACTGAAGCTGGTTTAATTGTACTTTCGTTTGTTGTTCATTACATTTTTTGTATTGTAAAGCTTTAGGGAATCTTAGGGAATCAAAGCTTTAGAGAAATCTTACTTGTTCTCTGGCAAAGGTTTTACCTTTACTTATTTATTATTGCTGCCATAAACTTAAGGAAATCTTACTTGTTCTCTGGTAAAGGTTTTACATCTTTACTTATTTACTATTGCTGCCATAAACTTAAGGAAATCTTACTTGGTCTCTGGCAAAGGTTTTACATCTTTACTTATTTATTATTGCTGCCATAAACTTAAGGAAATCTTACTTGTTCTCTGGCAAAGGTTTTACATCTTTACTTATTTATTATTGCTGCCATAAACTTAAGGAAATCTTACTTGTTCTCTGGTAAAGGTTTTACAACTTCAACAAAAACAGCCAGGTTTGGTTTGTTGCCAAATAATTTTTGTAATGCTTCCACAAGGTGCTGTTGTTGGCTTTTCACTTCCTGGTCTTTTTTATTTATAGTTAGAGCAACTAATCCAGCTGAATCAGGTTCAGACGGTTTGCAACTGTATCCAACTGACTACAAGAAAAAAGGATATTACTGACTGTTTCTTTCAAGTCACTGACAATGAAGTGACACATTTAGCAAAAATTTTATTTGCGAAGTTAAATTTAGGTATAATTTCCAACGTATCAGTGAAAAAAGATGTCAAATCACCCCAATTTTATCGCTATTTAAAGTTAGCAAAAATGCTCCTTTTAATGGACCTTGTCCGTTGATCTAAAAGTCTGGAACGACTTACTTTTGTGACATCATGCAAGGGATTCCTCAATACAAGATACATATATACCAACTACCTTGGATGACGTCAGAATTTGGCTTCAGTGTGCGAATTAACGGTGTGCAATGTGCAATTTGCACATCATTTTAGCTAAAATGAAAACAATTGCACATCACTCTTTCAAACGATGTGCAAATATCAGGGGTTTTAACGAAAAACACTGTCGTAAATCATATGAATTTGTTCACGTTCAAAAATATTAATTTAACAATTAGCGCTATATAATAAATAACGTAATATCGATTAGATTATGCTTCTAAAGAAACACTTTTGTCAAAAAAAGACACATCGTTTTTTCTGAACTAATTCTCACACTGTTTGGCTTGCTCCAGACTTCATGCCAAAACAGACAATGTCCATTGAAAACTAACTTTAAACCTTCATAACAAGATAACGATTTGACCAAATTGAAAAATTTTTCCACTGATACATAGACATTACTCCTAGTTTTGATATCACATAAAAAAGTTTTTGCGGATAGAGGCACTTTAGAATTACACGAAACGAGAAAAAGAAATCACCATTTTGTACAAATAAGTAAAAAAATAAATTTCAGTGATGCATATTGAAATTTGTCCAATCACAAGACACTAAGGTACATAATTAATTTTTTTACATCAAAATGCACCAAGGAACATAAAATGGGAAATAAACAGGAAACATACATTCAACTTTATACCATCACACAATATAGAACAAAGAAGACATACTTTGAAACCCACAATAACAGTAAAAGCTTTTGCATACAAAATAGCACCATACGCCTATATTCCACCCACTCAATTAATGAGAATCCCCAGCATGATACAGCTTACCTTAAATTTACAGAAAGGATTTTCCATAGTAAAATTAATTGGATTCGAAATCTTGTTAAAATAACCTTGACCAACACCAAGGAATGCCTGAATTTGATTAAACTTTGCCATAATTGTGTCTCGATCATCTTCAAATACTTTGGGTACAGAGACAGCAGATAATAAGGCAGTTAAATCATTAGAATCTGGTGCCTGTAAGCTGTTTCCTGATGCTGCTCCTTAGAATAATAAATAAAAAGAAAGGAAATAATAATAGCCTTATATAAAGTACTTCTGTACAGCAATTATTGTCACATGAGCTCATTTGTAAATTTTTGCAAATGTCAAATCACTGTTATTCAAACATATTTGATACATAGTTATCTAATATAATTGTAATCTTTGGCAAGTTATAATTATTCCACATTATTAGATGCATGTATATGATCATCCCATAGAAGCTATCATCTGTCTTTATTCAAGTTCTAGCTTTTTTAAGATTATTCAACAAAACCTGTTTTTGAATTGTTAGATAATTAATTCTTGTTAAAAGTGATTTAAATAGAATTTATTCAAAGATCTCACAAAAATTAAAACAAGGTTGACATAGATTTCCAGGTTATTAAAAGTATGTACAATAAAAAATACCAATAAATGGTTCACTTTGTGTATTTTTAACCATACCTAGACTATTGGATGATGTACCAAATCCTCCAAATCCTTTTGAAGAGGACAAAGTGTTTGAACCAAGACCCCCAAACCCACCAAATGGTTTACTGTTAGCAGAGGAAGTTGCCAATGAACCAAAACCTCCAAACCCCTTATTTGCAGATGTACCAACGCCTGAGAATAGAGAACCAGTTCCTCCACTGCCGAAAAGACCTGACGATGTTGTCTTTGTTGACAGTCCAAAACCTAATCAAGAGAACATAAATTATTGTTAACTCAGAGTTGATATATGACAAAATACATTTACGGTACAGGATTGAGAAACTTAACAATTCATTTTGCAAACTGGTGCAATAATATTCAAGTAGACATCATGAAAAATAAGCATTACTGAAGTGAATTTAGTACCTCAAAAAGTATTACTTTAAACAGAATATTGAGAATGTCTACATGTGGTAATGTCTAAAACACATGGTAATGTCATGCTAAATTCATTCTTCTTGAAGAAATGTCCATAAAATGTTAAAACAAGGTATCAATGTCTATAATCCTTCCATTATTTCAGATTTGACTGACATAACCATAAGACCTGTCTGAACTGTTACTGACTAAAAATTGTCTGAACTGTTACTGACTAAACATTGTCTAAACTGTTACTGACTAGAATTGTCTGAACTGTTACTGACTAAAAATTGTCTGAACTGTTACTGACTAAAAATTGTCTGAACTGTTAGACTAAAAATTGTCTGAACTGTTACTGACTAGAATTGAATGTTAACTAGAATTTGTCCAAAGTTCTGACTAGACATTTAAAACTGTTACTGACAAACATTTCTAAGGTTATGAATAGACATTGTCTAAACTGTTACTGACTAAATTGTTAAACTTTGTGTATTTCTAAACTGTTACCTAGACATTGTCCAAATGACTGACTAAATTGTCTAAACTGTTTGAAGATTTCAAACTGTTACTGACTAGACATTGTCTAAACACTAAATTGTTAACTGTTACTGACTAGAATTGTCTAATGTTAACTAGAATTGTCCAAACTGTTACTGACAGATTGTCTAAACTGTTACTGACTAGAATTGAAACTGTTACCTAAACATTGTCTAAACTGTTACTGACGACATTGTCTTTGTTACAGTAGACATTGTCTAAACTGAACTGACTAAACATTGTTAACTCTGACTTGACATTGTCCAAACTTTCACTGACTAGGATTGTCTAAACTGTTAACTAAACATTGTCTAAACTGTTACTGACTAGACATTGTCAACTTAGACTAGAATTGTCTGCATTACTGACTGACATTGTCTGAACTGTTACAACTAGACATTGTCTAAACTGTTACTGACTAGACATTGTCTAAACTGTTACTGACTAAAACATTGTCTAAACTGTTACTGACTAGACATTGAAACTGTTACTGAAGAATTGTCAAAACTTTTACTGAAGACATTGTCTAAATGTTACTGAAGACATTGTCTAAATGTCTAGACATTGTCTAAACTGTTATGACTAGACATTGTCTAAACTGTTACTGACTAAGACATTGTCTGAACTGTTACTGACTAAAAATTGTCTGAACTGTTACTGACTAAACATTGTCTAAACTGTTACTGACTAGAATTGTCTGAACTGTTACTGACTAAAAATTGTCTGAACTGTTACTGACTAAAAATTGTCTGAACTGTTACTGACTAAAAATTGTCTGAACTGTTACTGACTAGAATTGTCTGAACTGTTACTGACTAGAAATTGTCCAAACTGTTACTGACTAGACATTGTCCAAACTGTTACTGACTAGACATTGTCTAAACTGTTACTGACTAAACATTGTCTAAACTGTTACTGACTAGAAATTGTCTAAACTGTTACTGACTAGACATTGTCTAAACTGTTACTGACTAGACATTGTCTAAACTGTTACTGACTAGACATTGTCTAAACTGTTACTGACTAGACATTGTCTAAACTGTTACTGACTAGACATTGTCTAAACTGTTACTGACTAGACATTGTCTAAACTGTTACTGACTAGACATTGTCTAAACTGTTACTGACTAAACATTGTCTAAACTGTTACTGACTAGACATTGTCCAAACTTTCACTGACTAGACATTGTCTAAACTGTTACTGACTAAACATTGTCTAAACTGTTACTGACTAGACATTGTCTAAACTGTTACCAACTAGAAATTGTCTAAGCTATTACTGACTAGACATTGTCTGAACTGTCACTAACTAGACATTGTCTAAACTGTTACTGACTAGACATTGTCTAAACTGTTACTGACTAAACATTGTCTAAACTGTTACTGACTAGACATTGCCTAAACTGTTACTGACTAGACATTGTCTAAACTGTTACTGACTAGACATTATCTAAACTGTTACTGACTAGACATTGTCTAAACTGTTACTGACTAGACATTGTCTAAACTGTTACTGACTAGACATTGTCTAAACTGTTACTGACTAGACATTATCTAAACTGTTACTGACTAGACATTGTCTAAACTGTTACTGACTAGAAATTGTCTAAGCTGTTACTGACTAGACATTGTCTGAACTGTTACTGACTAGACATTGTCTAAACTGTAACTGACTAAACATTGTCTAAACTGTTACTGACTAAACATTGTCTAAACTGTTACTGACTAGAATTGTCTGAACTGTTACTGACTAAAAATTGTCTGAACTGTAACTGACTAAACATTGTCTAAACTGTTACTGACTAAACATTGTCTAAACTGTTACTGACTAGACATTGTCTAAACTGTTACTGACTAGACATTATCTAAACTGTTACTGACTAGACATTGTCTAAACTGTTACTGACTAGACATTGTCTAAACTGTTACTGACTAAACATTGTCTAAACTGTTACTGACCAGAAATTATCTGTAGTTTTCCCTACATTAATAATTGTTAATCAGAAAAAGACAAGACCTAGGTTTAATCTGAAAACTTATCACCAATTTGGAGTATATGTAATGACTGAACTAAATATAGTTAACAAAATTTCATAATTATCATTTATCACGTTGCATTCTTTTTGAGCATTGTTTTTCCAAATTAACCAAAAAAACAGCTGTCTTTAGTCAAAAAGGGGGAAATGCACTATGCGTCAAAATGTTCTATGAGAACAGACAAACCTGCTGTTGCGGTAGTTTTTACTGCACCAAATGAAAACGCTGAAGTAGTAGTTATTGTAGGTATGCCAAAAGTCGATGTTGTTGTTTTATTGCCAAACAAACCACCACCGAAAGATGTCCCTGCGCTAAGAGTCATCTTTATAAATTTTCTAGATTAAAACTTGATGAAAATAATACTTAAAAGCGAATTTTTAAAAATTTCTCGTACGTATCTTGTTATCATTTTTTGTCAAGTATTCATTTTCGTTCCATAAATGAGCCTGTGATACGTTCATAGTTTGTCAGCGGTACGTATAAGTAACATCGCTTTCTTCTCTCTCTCTTCCCTTAAACTAAGAAAATGTAGAAGTAATCACATATTTGTACGATTCAGAAAAACTCATTTTTTTCCGTTTAGTAAATATTATTTAGTAAAATGAATAGAAATCACGAAAGAATAAAAGATGAAGATGATTTAGAAAAGTAAGAGTATAAAGCATTATATGCGCTACCATTTCTAAAATTGAATTGATGCATTCAGATTGTTATTGAATCAGAATTAAAGCTTTTTACATGAAAGTTGTTGATATCTTAGGTAAATAGTGTCTTGAAATTACGACTGCCAAAATTATTTAAGTAAAAGACAAAACAATTGACACTCCTTATGAAGTAAAGTTTATTCTAAACTTTTCGACAAGTGTGACATTTCATCATCAGTAGTAAATGTTTACTTTATACAGAGTGTCAAATGTTTTGTGTTTTATTGTCTTAAAGATTGTTGTTATATTTATTTACTACAACTAGGAGTCAACAATTATAGTTTGATACAGAAACGATACATTATGTGTTTGCACATTTCATACATGTTAATTGAGTCCAACTCATTTCTGTTGAAAGAATGTTGTACATTAGTGTGAATGTTGTCTTAAAAATTCCATTTCTGCCTCAGAAATGAAAGTATGAAATTGTTGATATTGTTGTAACTGTTTTTGTCATGTCTTTGTAGTTTTTGTTGTTTTGTATATCAATAGAGCAAAAATAAATTTAAAACATAGGAAAAGATAAGTATCAAGTATACTACAGTGTACTAATATTGATGGACATCTTTGAAGTATAAAAGCATAAAATATGTCACCAAAGCTTTGTTTATCTTTCTGTATTTTACATTAATTGTCACATCAATAAGTTTGTTTTTGTGTTAGAATTAATGTCCAGTCCAAAGTTTACATTGATCATGATTCAATATAATAGGCTGGCACTAGATGAAATTGTAAAAGAAGCAAAAAGAGGGAAAGAAAGAGCAGAAACAATGGGTCCAATGGGATGGTAAGTAATTTCAATGATTTGAAAAATGTAAGAAATATATAGGTTTTTGATATTTTGAAATAAGTAAATGTTACGTAAAAAAGTAGAAATATTTTGTAGAAATTTCTTGTTTTGTAATCTAAATTCTTTATTCATTTTAGGATCAAATGTCCATTGATGCCGACAAATAAAAGATTCTTAAAAAATGTTCTTAAGGGAACTTTGGATAACAAGAGATAAGAAAGCCAATAAGAGAAATTTTAAGAGGGATTCAAGCAATTTTTTACTTGATGTGAAGCATAACAAAGAAACAGACCACAAACAAATTAATGATAACATATCTGAGCAAAGTAGTAGCTCTAATAAAGATTTATCAGCAAGTATTTCAACGAGAAATTTGAAAACTGAATCATCTTACAGATTAAAGAGGAGACATAATGAAAGTAACAATATCACTCGTAATAATAAACTGAAATATAATAAAGAAAGTAAAAGAAGAAAATAAGCAAATAGACTACAATTAATGTTGCTCAGATGTTAAAACTCCACATTTTGTCTTAAGTTGTCTTGTCAAAAAAAGCAAACCAACAAATGAAACCTCGATCTTGGATTTTAAAGTTATTTAATTTATATATTTACACATTAAACTTATACATTTGGTTGGACCTTGTCCTCTCCTAACACTGTTCTATAAATATTATACACTATATATGAGATATACTTTATTATGACAATCTAATCAAACTCTTTATTGTTGACTGAATCATTTATGAATTTTCTTCATGATGTCAAAAATTTTCAACCACACAATTTAAATCAAGAACTTTTTGCAAGACAAATCCTTCATCTTCAAAACATTTCTCTGACCACAGAATCATACCTAAGCATCCATGTGAATCCTTTAATGATTTCTTTGAAAAGTTGGGAGTGATATGTGGATAGCATTGGGTTTTGAGCAACCCACCATTTAAATGAAAACTCATACATTGGCGATGGGAAAATATAGTCACATCCAAATCTAAATTACATATACATCAATTGTAAGTGGACAAGAAGCCAAAAGCAATATACTAATACAAATTCCCAAGATATAAATTTACATCCTTATCTAAAGATATCTAAAGATAATGATTAAACTTTTCAGCTTAGTAGCAAAGCTTAGCAATTGTTTAGTTGTACAACTAAAGCTTAGTAAGTTGCGGATGTAATAAATTTGAGTTAATTTTTTATTTAACTGATAGTAAATCACCTCACTATACCTTTTAAAAGGCAAATAATGACATAGCCAATGAAGAATGTAATGTGAAATGAGTTATAACTTCAAAAAAATTATTTTTATCCGGGACACCACCATAAAAATGAACTAAGGGTTGAAAATAAAATACTTTTCAGCTTCAGAAAAAATTTTTAAAAGATCTAGGTAAGTATATGTCAGCCCACAATAAACTCATGTCCCCTTTATTTCAATATTGAGATTTTAAGAAGTCTTAGAAAACAGACTACAATCATTTGGCAAAAGGGAGCTATCATTTCTAGAGGGACAACTCACAAAGAAGGTTCTGCCATATTTTTGCTGACTAATGTTGAAAATTTCCACAACTTTTCGATCTTTAAACTTTCTTGAGGCTGCACCCTGTCACATACACCTATGGTTACAATTTACTGATATTCTAAGCATCTCCTAAAGTTGAAACTGGCTTTACTAAACTGACATAGTTGGATTCTGCATAGTACGACTATTGGCAAAGATATTCCACACATATATATTTTCAATTCTGTCATGAATTTTATGGCCTATTTTTGTGCTTCCTGCAGATAGAATGCTTCTTATAAATTGAGCAACATCCAGAGCAAGTGAATGTTGAAAGAACATGGCATTTAAGATAAAGTTTGCACCACTTTCTAGTGAAAAGTTTAAAGAATGGAGACAGAAACTAGTGAATTTTTGTTCCTTTTATAAACAAATGATTTTAATTATCGCTACATTTATCAAAATGACATTTTCAAGTACAATCTTCCATAAAGTATAATTTTACGGGTGATTTTACTCATACTTCATTTGTCTCTTTTCATGGTAAATCATCTTCATTGCTGAAATCGACTTGGCAATAAATCATTAACAGTTACCTTAATATAAGTTGAGTCTGGTTTTACCAAATACACATCATAATCAGTTCCAAATTCAGCCAGAACCTGACGACATGCTCCACAAGGAGTTAGTCGTTTCTCAAGTACATCATAAGTAACTGCTATTGCTTTGAACTTGCGATAACCTTGACTCACAGCAGAAACTATAGCAGTTCTTTCCGCGCAACAAGTAAGCGTAAACACAGAATTTTCAACACAACAACCAGGGATGATTGTGTCATCATGACAAACCAGCGCTGCTCCAACGCGAACTTTAGTATACGGTGAATACGACTTTTCCTTCGCTGAATGACATTCTTCTATCATCTTTTTAATAGTGTTTTTGTTCATTTTTCCTCCTCCTTTGACAATAGCGAATAATCAATTATAGAAGCAAATGAAAATGTAATCCAGACAAAATGTAATCCAGACAAAAGAAACTAATACAATATCACTTATACCACGGTGCGCTAATCTCCACTTGTCATTACGCAATACATCTGTCAGTTGATCTGAATTGATCCCAGGAATCAACTCAAACTTCATTTAAATTTTCATTAAAAAAAATAAAATTGGGTGAAAGTGATTGTAAATCAGGTGTTCTGGAGATTTGCTTTAAAATTCATGTGACATCTAATTAAACCGGGGGAGCCATCAGGTCTGCTTGTGATATAAGATCTTAACATGCAGAGTCAGCATCTTTATAAAAACATTCATAACGGAGTTACTGAAAGGAAACGATGTTATATATTTCTTTACTTCTCTCATGATTTTTTACCTAATGGCAGTGAAAAATTTTTAGAAATGCAAACTCTTGTTTTGATAATTATTGATAACGTCACTGTGCCGAATAAAAGGTAAATTTCTTTTAATTGTGCACACTTAGAGCCACGTTGATTACTTTTGTTTCATTATTCTCTATGACAACATGAAAGAAACCGTAGTTTCTAGATGTGTGCAACAAAAGTCAGTTTCTAAGAACATTTTAATCTTCTTGTCTGCAGTCTAACTTTAAACCAAGTGCTCAACTACACTACATACAAAATACTTTATTAATACATATAGTAGAATGAAAAATGTTAAATAAAAAAATACATTTTTGCATCTCTTCATGCATCACAACAGCAAGCGCAATTATGAAAGTTACAAAATTTTAAAGAATTTCATGCATTTTCATGTCAATTCTTTGATCAGACTTGAATTGTTCACTCTGTATTTCTACATTTCTTTGGTATACGAAGTTTCCAAGTTAAAGTAAATTCTTCAATAAACAGAATTATAATTCAAAACTATGATCAATGACTATCGATTCATGAAATTTTTCACTTCGACATAAAAAAACAGCGGTACTTTCACTTTCTAAATTGATCAATAATGTTCAGATTTGCTATTTGGTGAATGAATGGTGTTCATTTACAACTTCAAAAGAATACCTTTTAGGTTCAGATAAAATTTATTAAGATCCAAGTAAGTATATGCCAGCCTACTATAAACCCATGTCCCCTGTGCATTGAATGGTTCGTATAAAATGAGCAAAAATATCTATAGCAAGTTAATGTTGAAAGAACATAGCATTTAAGATAAAGAGTAAATTTGCATTTCACTTTACTGAAATGTTTAAAAAAATGGAGACAGAAACTAGCGAATTTTCGTTCTTTTATGAACAACTGATTTTATTCATCACTTCATTATTCAAATCGATATTTACAAATTACAAATTTCCGTAAAGTATAATTTTACGGGTGATTTTACTCATACTTCGTTTGTCTCTTTTCATGGTAAATCATCTTCATTGCTGAAATCGATTTGGCAATAAATCATTAACAGTTACCTTAATATAAGTTGAGTCTGGTTTTACCAAATACACATCATAATCAGTTCCAAATTCAGCCAGAACCTGACGACATGCTCCACAAGGAGTTAGTCGTTTCTCAAGTACATCATAAGTAACTGCTATTGCTTTGAACTTGCGATAACCTTGACTCACAGCAGAAACTATAGCAGTTCTTTCCGCGCAACAAGCGTAAACACAGAATTTTCAACACAACAACCAGGGATGATTGTGTCATCATGACAAACCAGCGCTGCTCCAACGCGAACCTTAGTATACGGTGAATACGACTTTTCCTTCGCTGAATGACATTCTTCTATCATCTTTTTAATAGTGTTTTTGTTCATTTTTCCTCCTCCTTTGACAATAGCGAATAATCAATTATAGAAGCAAATGAAAATGTAATCCAGACAAAATGTAATCCAGACAAAAGAAACTAATACAATATCACTTATACCACAGGTGCGCTAATCTCCACTTGTCATTACGCAATACATCTGTCAGTTGATCTGAATTGATCCCAGGAATCAACTCAAACTTCATTTAAATTTTCATTAAAAAATAAAATTGGGTGAAAGTGATTGTAAATCTGGTGTTCTGGAGATTTGCTTTAAAATTCATGTGACATCTAACTAAACCGGAGGAGCCATTAGGTCTGCTTGTGATATAAGATCTTAACATGCAGAGTCAGCATGTTTATAAAAACATTCATAACGGAGTTACTGAAAGGAAACGATGTTATATATTTCTTTACTTCTCTCATGATTTTTTACCTAATGGCAGTGAAAAATTTTTAGAAATGCAAACTCTGGTTTTGATAATTATTGATAACGTCACTGTGCCGAATAAAAGGTAAATTTCTTTTAATTGTGCACACTTAGAGCCACGTTGATTACTTTTGTTTCATTATTCTCTATGACAACATGAAAGAAAACAGTAGTTTCTAGATGTGTGCAACAAAAGTCAATTTCTAAGAACATTTTAATCTTCTTGTCTGCAGTCTAACTTTAAACCAAGTGCTCAACTACACTACATACAAAATACTTTATTAATACAGATAGTAGAATGAAAAATGTTAAATAAAAAATACATTTTTGCATCTCTTCATGCATCACAACAGCAAGCGCAATTATGAAAGTTACAAAATTTTAAAGAATTTCATGCCTTTTCATGTCAATTCTTTGATCAGACTTAAATTGTTCACTCTGCATTTCTACATTTCTTTGGTAAACGAAGTTTCCAAGTTAAAGTAAATTCTTCAATAAACAGAATTATAATTCAAAACTATGATCAATGACTATCGATTCATGAAAGTTTTAACTTCGAGATAAAAAAACAGCGGTACTTTCACTTTCTAAATTGATCAATAATGTTCAGATTTGCTATTTGGTGAATGAATGGTGTTCATTTACAACTTCAAAAGAATACCTTTTAGGTTCAGATAAAATTTATTAAGATCCAAGTAAGTATATGCCAGCCTACTATAAACCCATGTCCCCTGTGCATTGAATGGTTCGTATAAAATGAGCAAAAATATCTATAGCAAGTTAATGTTGAAAGAACATAGCATTTAAGATAAAGAGTAAATTTGCATTTCACTTTACTGAAATGTTTAAAAAATGGAGACAGAAACTAGCGAATTTTCGTTCTTTTATGAACAACTGATTTTATTCATCACTTCATTATTCAAATCGATATTTACAAATTACAAATTTCCGTAAAGTATAATTTTACGGGTGATTTTACTCATACTTCATTTGTCTCTTTTCATGGTAAATCATCTTCATTGCTGAAATCGACTTGGCAATAAATCATTAACAGTTACCTTAACATAAGTTGAGTCTGGTTTTACCAAATACACATCATAATCAGTTCCAAATTCAGCAAAAACTTGACGACATGCTCCACAAGGAGTTAATCGTTTCTCAAGTACATCATAAGTAACTGCTATTGCTTTGAACTTGCGATAACCTTGACTCACAGCAGAAACTATAGCAGTTTTTTCCGCGCAGCAACTAAGCGGAAACACAGCATTTTCAACACAACAACCAGGAATAATTGTGTCATCATGACAAACCAGCGCTGCTCCAACGCGAACCTTAGTATATGGTGAATACGACTTTTCCTTTGCTGAATGACATTCTTCTATCATCTTTTTAAAAGTGTTTGGGTTCATTTTTGGGTTCATCCTCCTTCTTTGACAAGAGCGAGTATTCAAAGATCAAAGCAAAAAATATGCGAACGACAGCCGTGAAGAAAATAGTGATTTAAAGAATGCTATCCATACAAAAGAGACCATTACAATACCACAGACTGGTGGGAAAATTCACTTGTGATTGGGCAATACAAATGTCAGTTAATAAAAGGTTAATTTCTTTTAATTGTGCTCACTTATCGCTTGAGTTAGAGCCACGTTGATTACTTTTGTTTCATTATTCTCCATGACAACATGAAAGAAAACAGTAGTTTCTAGATGTGTGCAACGAAAGTCAATTTCTCAGAACATTTTAATCTTCTTGTCTGCAGTCTAACTTTAAATCAAGTGTTCAACTACACTACATACAAAATACTTTATTAATACAGATAGTGGAATTAATTAAGTAAAAACGTTAAATAATTACATTCGTCACAAGTGCAAGCACAATTTTCAAAGTTCTAGAATTTAAAGAATGTTATTCATTTTCTTGTCTATTCTTCAGACTTGAAATTGTTCACCCTACAATTCTAATTTTTTTGATAAATGAAGTTAAATTAGATTATTCAATTAAGAGAATCAATAAAAATTCAAAACTATGATCAATGACTATCGATTCATGAAAGTTTTCACTTCGAGATAAAAAAACAGCGGTACTTTCACTTTCTAAATCTGTCAATAATCTTCAAGTAGAAGACTCTCCATCCAAGTGTTCACTATTAAATTGATAAGGTAATAAATCTTTTATACTTAATATCTTATAACTTGAGTCTGTTCTTACTAAATAAATAAGAAGACCTTTTGAAAATTCCGCCATAAATTGTCTACAAGAACCGCAAGGGTAGGTCCATTGTTTTGCAAGATCACTAGTTACTGCTATAGCTTTAAAATTTTGACGTCCTTGGCTTACGGCTCGTACAATAGCTGATCGTTCAGCACATAATCCTAGACCAACAGAGACATTTTCTACATTGCATCCTTGAAAAATATCATCATTGTCGCATACTAAAGCAGCCCCAACACGAAAATTGCTGTATGGTGCATAAGCTTTTTCCTTTGCTTCATGGCATTCTTTAATCATTTTTTCTCTCAAATCATCATCTAAACCAAACTTTTCCATTTTCATCAAACACGAGGCCAAAAGATGACTAACGTTAGCAAGAACTTCGTGAAACAATATCTTTTGATGATATTCGTCGTTGGTATCGGTTGAGAGGTTGTTTTCTTCTGTGTATGTATCGTTGATGTTTGAGATAGTTGATATAATTTCATGTTTGTCAACCGCTGACCAAAGCAAATTAATGAAATATGAACACGAATACAAACACAAAACATACGAACACAAACACGAACCACGAATACTAACACGAACACAAATACGCCAAAGCCCACGACATTCGACAACAAGTCAATTTTCTGAACAAATATTTAAGCAGTAGTATCATGGAACTGAATGATTGGTCGAGTAAAATGCTCAAACTTGTACAGTCATTGAATTCATTCAACTTGCAAGGTATTAAATTTAAAGGTCCCTACTTCTTAAACTGGCCAGACAAATAGCCAGTAATAGACTGTGTGTCTGATGATGGTAGTGGTTAATGATTAGTTAGTTGTCCAAGTTAGGTCCAATTTTGTCAGCCATTGGGTAGTGGACTAGGCAATGTTCAATGACACAGTATTGAAAACAAACAGTAGACACACTTCACTTTGCATATTACTGCAGCTCTGCAATTAGCAAGCTGACCTTTCTTTTGGTCACTTTAGTCAGTGCATAGTTGAATAGCCTATATTTTATAATGTATGTAGTTAGTCGACTAGGTACTATTTGATATTTCAGTGAGTAGCTTGGTTTGATGGGATAAGTTGGTAGTCTTATTGAATTTTGGGACAATATGTTCATATTTTTACTAAGTTCACATCCAGAATGAATGAATGAATGGTAAAAAAGGAAATACTCTTTTTTGCCATTTCTGCACTTTCTTTGCATTTAATTTATTTTCAAACTTTGAAAAATCAATAGCACAGTTGTTTACTTGACTTTGTTTTAGATTTATCAAAAAAGAAATACAAGCCATTTAAAGTAGATGGTGTGATAGTTGGTATTATACCATCATATGTGTACAAAGAATTGGAGGATTATACTGAAGTGTTTGTTGTAAATGAAAAATGTATCCAGCTTAATGATACTTTAACAGATTCATATAATAGAACTAACAAAATCAACAATGTCTTACATTCATTATGGCATGAAGATAAATTTTGTGCATTAAAAGGATGGAGGAATGAGGTAAAGGTCATTTTATATAAAAATGTTGTCATTACACCACTGATATACACGCTATGGATTTGCATTAAACTTTGACATATATACAATTGACATTTATTGCATCAATGCACAACTCACCAGCAAATCACATACTAAACAAAGTGAAACTCATTTCACAAAAAAAATTGGGCAGTTGAGGATTAAGCTTTTGTAATATAGAGATTACAGTATACAAATCTATGTATATGATCCATATTAAGATTATTGAAACTGATTTCTTTATTTGTAGATGTATAATGTTTCCAAATCATTTGGAGAAAAATCTTTGTTCCAAATGGAAAGGTCTGCAGCTTGTAAGAATTACTTGAACTAAGTTGCACAATGAATTTCATGTATGTTAATTTAGTTGTTTTTAATTTGTGTTTAATTTTTTATGTCTCTCAATTTAGCTTTATTTGGCATTATGCAATATGGTGTTCATATAAATGGTTATAAAATGGACAAAGACAACAATATTTCTATGTGGATAGCACGCCGTAGTTCCACAAAACCAACATATCCAGGAAAACTAGATCAAATTGTAAGACTAATTAAATTTCTTGCAGCTTAAAGTAAAAACACCCCAAACAAATAAATTCTCCAGAAATTTGTAGTCAATCTACTCTAATTGGCTAATGTTCATGATTTTCATTATTTTTTTGCATTTGACCATCAATGATGTCAAGGATTGATTGAGGGGACCATATTCCTACATTGTACTAATCCCTGCTAATTTATTCTAAAAACAACGTCACCTTCAATTGCCATGACGCCCTTTCTAACCATACGTGTTTAGCCAATCGCCCTCACATAATTCCTGATGTTTTAAAAAACTTTTAGAATTTCTCCTTAATAGGCAGCTGGTGGGATAGCATCAAATCATAGCATCTTAGACACGCTCATTAAGGAATGTGATGAGGAAGCGTCTGTTCCTGCATCTCTAGCTAGGAAAGCAGTTCCATGTGGAGCTATAAGGTCAGAATGAAGAACGATTACCATCACTTTGTTCAGTTGTATTATCAACCTAAACGCAACTTGCTAGTGCAACCCATCAGATGTTTTTGTGTATTCTGCATAGTTACTGTTACGAAGATGAAAGAGGAATTTTTCCAGAAGTCGAGTTTGTTTATGATCTCAAATTACCTGATGATTTTCATCCATCCGTCAATGACGGTGAAGTGGAGGAGTTTTATTGCTGGCCAATACAGACTGTAAACATCAACATATGTAGAAAAAGTTTTTCTTTAAGTAGCTTTTTATAACGTTGAAAAAACCTGTTTTACTTAGGTAAAAGAAAAGATAGTTGATGGAGAGTTCAAACCAAATTCTGCCATAGTTATACTGAATTTTATGATAAGACATGGTGTTATTCATCCTGACACAGGTTGGTGATAATCAATAAATATTGGTTCTGCAGGCAAGGAGTAAAGTTTGGTTGAAAAAGGAAGAAACATAATCTTTCTTAGAGATAATAATAGCACAAATACTCGTTTATTTTTAACTATAACCTAATTAGAGTCAACTACCATGATGCTTTGTAGTCAAGTATTTTTAATGACCAATGAAACGTTTGAAAAGTGAATGCTGTTGCCATATTCAGAATGAATAAGCTAGGAGAATTGTTATTGAGTTAAAGATCTCTATAACATACTTAATATAACATAAAATTGCGTTCTGAACTATGAAGTTGAAGAATTTCTCATTTTTAGAGCGAAATTTTTGAAATTCCTCACTGGGATGCATAACGATCCACCCTTCTGAAATGGAAACTGCAATGTTTGATTCTGTGTATTAAATCTCATACAATTTTTTCCGTCAACCATCAACCATCAACCTGGCATAAACTGCTACTGTGACATATGCTACAGTAATATGCAGCAAAGATCTGTCAGAATCATAGTTTTTTACTTTCGAAAGAATTTGGACGATTTTTTAATATTAATCATTGTGAATCCACCCGCGTAATTTGTATGAAAGTCAAAAGTTTGTTGCTGAGCGAAAGAATCAAAGCAAACATTTTCTGACTTATGACGATGATTCAATATCAAACCTCAATGTAAAAGCAATATTGTCTACAGACGTTTATGTCGAAGATACCAGAGTTTTAAACTAGTTGTTGAAACCTTCCTTTCTCTATCTTACACAATGTCATTTATTTAACAAAGAATTTGCATAAATCTATCAAACTAATTGTTTAACATATAGATCCATCGATGTAATTGTTTCAACCTGCCCAATAAACAGCTGCAGGTTCTATTCCTATATATGCTAAATAATGGCAAGTTTTGTATCTCACCAGTGATTAATGTTTGGCGGTTGAAAATGAGTCAAGAAAACACAAGCCTAAGGTCATATCCCTCAAACGATTTCATTTTCATCGCGAACAACGATTTACTGTTGGGTAATAAAGAGTCGATGAACACTGAAAAAAAGTTGAGAGAGGACGTTTTCATAAGCAATCACTGCGAAGATATTGATTCAGGAAATGACTCTGGTAAATCGTTTGTTAATTCTTACGGTTCTAGCAGTAGTTCTTCATTTGATGTGAATGAAATATCAACAAACCTAGCAGGACTACAGATAAATAATTCAAGGCGTCCTACTGCAAAAGTATTTCCGTTTGTGCTGCCAAACGATTATCCACAGAACATATCTGATGGATCATGTAGGATAACACAATCTAGTAAATCATCCTCATTACATCATTCTTTCATTGCAAAGATGGAGAAAAATTATCCTCTTGATGAACAAATTGAAGAAAAAGACGATCTCGATATGTTTCCTAGAAAAACTTCATCAAAATTGAACATTGAACACTTCGACAGAGTAGAAAAACTTAAATTATCAAATGGTGAAAATGAAATGTTAAAAAGTATGAAAGGAACTGTTCGAGGATATAAGAATATGGTTCGAAGATATTCAGCATCATTTAATGCTAAAGGCCATGTTATTCCACCATCTGATATAAAGGTAAAAAACTAAAATTTCATACATTAATTGTTGTAATTTAAGCAATGGACTCAGTTTTTATGAAGAATATTTTAAACGCTTTCAGTCTACAAACGAAGACAAGATTGTTATATATACGACATCTATGACTGCCGTACGAGCAACGTCAGATGAATGTGCATATGTTAGGAAAGTTTTTCAAAATCTGGGACTTCCTTTCGATGAACGCGATGTTTTCATTCATAAAGAATATCAGAAAGAATTGCAGACTCGTCTTGGAAAGCATTTAAATTTACCTCAAGTAATAATCGATGGTGTTTACATTGGGGTTAGTGTTCTTCACATTGTTTCTTTATTGCAGTTGAATAAAGCTGAGATTAAAAGATTAAGGAAAACGAATAAAGCGTGAGAAATATAAAGATTTTCACTATGCGCAGAGCAAGGAAGATATATGTTATCTGTACATGTTAACTTTGCATGCTTCGTGTGAAAATTTGCATAACACAATTTAAGAAATGGAAAATGCACTTTATATGCCCTTGAAAATGGAATGAGGAATTGAAGACTTCTATTTTTACCATATTTCAAATCAGATCTAAGAGTGAAACACATTCCTAATAGACTTGCAGGCATCCTAAAAACAGTTTTTCTTTGTTACTGCTTGAAATAATGGGCGACAAGACAGATAACTAAATCCTCTTTCCTGTGCCAGACACTGAACAATGAGACGTTGATGAATTTATGATTAATGGAGTATGGACGTAATTATTTCGCACATTTGATTTTTACAATTGTCAGCATACTATGTTGCACGGAATTTGTTTAGGGATTTAAAGAAGTTGAAGAACTCAATGAAAGTGGTAAAATATTATCTTTAATTAAAGGACACGAGGTATAATTTAAGAATACATAAAGAAATACTTGGTTAATAGCTCGGTAACTGTTTGATTGCATCCAATTCATCTTAGATATTATCTTGATCTTTTTTAAAAAATATTGACTAATGCAAGCCTCGGATTTTGTTGTGTTAGTGAGAAACAATGATCATGCGCATATTGAGATTCCCGAGGGAAATTTCAATGTTGCATGGCTGTTATTCAATAAATTGTGAAACGTCGGCCGCTTACGATGAAATAATGTCATCACAACTATTATAAAAACATTTTAAGTTCTTTAATTTTACTTCATCATAAAGGACAATAATTTCAATATACAATAACTTTTTTATTTCAGCGTTGCAATGCCATAAAACTTTGCCAAAACTGTGGTGGAAAACGATTTATAAACTGTTTTTCTTGTGGAGGAAGTAAAAAAAGTCGCAAACATAGAATAAACCGAGAAATCCGTGCTCTACGTTGTACGTGTTGCAATGAAAATGGTTTAATACCATGTCCATTGTGTTCAGGTGGTAAAGAAATTAAAACAACTTGAACTTTACAAAACTTTGATATTTGTGAACAATAAGACTGGATCTTTTATACCAATATTTTATCCATTTCACCAGTATAACTGTTTTTCTTTACGAAAGCTGAATTAAAAGATATTACGGAAGTTTTTACCTCATCTTTGATCAACTGTTAGCTGTAGCTATGTGTTAAATTTAGTTAAGATGATTCTGTTTGTGAATTAAGGCTACAATCTGCAAATTAAATGTTATACATTGAAGTATAAAACAATCAGTTTTTTAGAAAGTTTAATTGATCAAGAAAATATAATTTAGGATTCAAAATAATAAATTGATGATTATTTCAAATAAGTCATCCAGATCTTTTGCAGATATTCACATGATAAATACATAAATAAATTTTTAAATAAAAAAAAATTGGCAAGATGGTTTCATTTCAAACGAATGATTTTAACCCGGGAGTATCGCTACAACGGCAACTTAAAAATCCTCTCTCAGGACAATATTGACGTGGACAATCAATATTTATCATTTTGCATAGTCGTGAACTTCGTTTGAGTTATCTATTAAAAGGATGATTTTTTTAATCAAAAAGTAGCAATAGCTTCATAAATTGAGATAAAAAAGAGTGAGACGTTTATAAAATATAAATGACAGTTTTCAGTAATTTAATAACGGTGAAAATATTCTACAAATATTTCACTGTGCTGTATACAAAGTTGCCTGATTAATTAGCTTTACATAAATAACAAATCATTCTATAAACTATAGTAGTTTTAAGACACGTGGTTCATGTAATTTACAATAAATCTTATTTTGATGTATAATAAAGTTACCAACAGATAACAAACGTTTACAAACAGAGCACTTTAAGCACGCTTTATGAACAACGAAATCTTTCACACTATATTTCTCCATTTGGTAAACTTTTTTCCCACAAACAGCACAATAATCTGTCTTTATTGGTATTAAAGGTGCTTTATGTTTTTCTTTTTCGGCTGTTGTGACACTAAAATTGTTTGATTTCTGTTGTGGAGAAAACATATTTCTTCTTGCCCAAAACGATGGCAATTCAGTTTCGGCATGTTGTAACTCGTTTTTTAAGTGTTCATTTGGTAGTTCTGATGAGAATACTTTCAAAACACCATTTTTCACGTTTTTTGTATCAATTGGTTTCTATAAAAAAATTTTTCAGTTTTAAATGTTTTAAAAAAACAAGTTTATGGACAAGTAATATTTTTCACGTGTTCAGAATAGTGAAAATTACCGACATCTGATATTCTTGGAAGAAAAAGATTGAAGGACATTATAGGTGGAAGGACATTAAAATAAATAAGTGTTTAAGCGAAATCAAGACACACACCTGCATCTTTTCGTTCTCTTTATCAACTGATGCATGACTGGATCTTGGTTCTATCAACGGCTTGGGTCTGGCTGCAGGTGTGGAATGTCTTGTTGTAGGTGCAGGTTTGGTTGCCACTACAGAAGGCTTGGATGGCGTTGATTTTACAGTCGTAGTACTAGTTGATGACAAATTCTTTGAAACTGGGAATCGATAGTTTCGTTCAAGGGTACGTGATTTATTAGCTTTAAACAATGAAGGTTTGGGTGGTAAATCAGGTTTTTTCTTTCTATCTCCGTAAGAAATAGTTTCCGATTTACTAGAACGCTCGAACGCCTTAGTTAACACTGCTACATCAACACGTGAATCGTCTTGAGAACTTTTCTTTCTTCGTGTAAACTTTTTGGACGCTGACGATTGACTGTTGCCATCCCATTTTGACTAACATTTATAGATTGCCTAACAGACAAAAATGTTTCAAATACGTTTGAGTCTGGGTTGTTTTTTAGTTTGTCAAAGGGAGCTTTTAAAGGACTTTTTACTTGGCTTTCTTCACCTTCAGACAAAAATACGTTGTCACTCAAAGAGAAATGACTGGTAACAGGACTTTGTAAATTTTCCTTGTTGACAGAAATAAATCGTTGTTCATCAATAGAGTTCAGTTTTTTTCTTGCGTTGTTTTCGTCTTCATCTCATTATCTGCATCTATGTGAGAAGATGAAGGTATGCTATTACAATAAGCAATATGTTGCTCCTCAGTACCATGGCCAAGAATATGTTGCTCCTCAGTACCATGGCCAAGAATATGTTGCTCCTCAGTACCATGGCCAAGAATACAGTACCATGGCCAAGAATCTGTTGCTCCTCAGTACCATGGCCAAGAATATGTTGCTCCTCAGTACCATGGCCAAGAATATGTTGCTCCTCAGTACCATGGCCAACACTCGGTTGCTCCTCAGTACCATGGCCAACAATATGTTGCTCCTCAGTACCATGGCCAAGAATATGTTGCTCCTCAGTACCATGGCCAAGAATATGTTGCTCCTCAGTACCATGGCCAAGAATATGTTGCTCCTCAGTACCATGGCCAACATGTTGCTCCTCAGTACCATGGCCAACAATATGTTGCTCCTCAGTACCATGGCCAACAATATGTTGCTCCTCAGTACCATTGCCAACACTTGGTTGCTCCTCAGTACCATGGCCAACACTCAGTTGCTCCTCAGTACCATGGCTAACAATATGTTGCTCCTCAGTACTATGGCCAACACTCGGTTGCTCCTGAGTACCATCACCAACACTATGTTGCTCCTGAGTACCATCACCAACACTATGTTGCTCCTGAGTACCATCACCAACACTATGTTGCTCCTCAGTACCATCACCAACACTATGTTGCTCCTCAGTACCATCACCAACACTCTCTTTCTTCACAGTACCATCACCAATAATGTCAATGTCCATGGAAGTTGGTTGAACATCTCTCAGAATTCTAAAAGGAATGTTTGTCAATTGTACTTCGGTTGTCTTTGTCTTATAAACACTTTCATTAGTTTCTTGAATTTGGTCTTGATGAATTAATCCTTTGGTTTCTTCCTCAGTTACATCAAATTCCATGACATTTTCGCTATTTTTCTCTATTTTGTCGTTAGTAAAATCATCTTTTTTCAGTGTTCTACGTTTTGTATACAACTCATTTCGTCTAGATTCTTCTCCTTTCAATTTGTCTTCTAACATTTCATCTATGACGATTTTTTCATTCCTTAATTTCTGAACAAATTTTTTCCGAACCTTTCCAATCTTCAGTTCTTCTTCCTTTATCTCCTCCAGTTTCTCCTGCTCGATTTTTTCTCCTGCTCTATTTTTTCTAGCTCCATTTTCTCCTGCTCGATTTTTCTCTCCTGCTCGATTTTCTGCTTTTTTCCTGTTTTCTGCTCGTTTCTCCTGCTCTCCTGCTCTTTTTTCTCGATTTTTCTAGCTCCATTTTCTCCTGCTTTTCTAGCTCCATTTCTCCTGCTCGATTTTTTCTAGCTCCAGTTTCTCGTTCTCCAACTTTTCCATCCGAAATCTCTTCTGCTCAAGTCTTGTTTCATCACCTTCATTGCTTGAAGCATCTTTCACAACTGCAGTAATGACCTTGCGTGTTGGTGCGCGACGATGGCGAGGAGCTATCTTTATTTTGTCACGAGATACATTCAAGCCAGGAAGTAGAGTTCCATGCGTAGGGCTACTTGGCCAATCAATTTCTTGAAATAAAAAATATATAATTTTAAGACTTGGTGACATTCGTTCAAAAATCACAATAGTGTCTTTATTCAGAGAAAAATCAAAATTATTGCATAATAAAAGCATCTGAATTTGTAATGACTCACAAAATGTTTTTAAAATTAGAGCAAAAAGATTTCTTTTCACCTGAAGATTTCATTTCCACATCTATAGTTGTCACATTTTGCTTTTTGGTGAAAATGCATCTTTGTCAATGGATGTTTTCTGCTTCAAACGAAGTTCTGATAGAAACAAGTCATGCTAAAGGAATATTGAAAAAATGATTACAGATTATAATGGCTGATGTCAGTTGACTTTTCATTGGCTGCTTCTAAATTTTCCAGAAACTATAAAAACTGGGAGGTTTACAAGTTTGAAATATATTCCAAAAGTTATTGAAAATTGACTGTTAGCATCATTCCCAAAAATAAATGTCAAAACTTACACTTTTTGCTTTTTTTGGAGTAGAATCGGTATCCATTGGTGTTTCAGGAACTTGTTCAAAAGGTGCAATATTTTCACCCACTTTGAGGCCCAAGTTTGAATCGGACAGACTTCTTTGCGGTTGAGTAATAGAACTTGCTTCATGTTGTGTATTAAAAGACTTAGATGTTTTACAACTTTTTCTCTTAAAAAACCTTTTTACAGCTTGCCAAACACCATTCTTCTTTCGTTTCTTGGAGCTTCTATTGCTATCAAGTATTGAATCATCTATCTCAACATCAGACATGCCTCGAGACGAGCCTTGACTTGCATTTGCTGGATAATCAACTTCATCAATACTATCAATTGAGATCATATTTTCTGATTTTTGGATATTTTCTTTAGAAGTACCAACATCATGATTATTGCTCTCCATCCTTGATCTTTTATTGGAATGTCTCCAGCTAAAGCTACGAATCAAAGATTGTTGCTGCTTCTTTTGAGCTTCATCAAAAAGAAAAATGCTGACATTGAAGGCAAGAAATATAATTTAATGCCATTACATAACACTATGTTGTAAAGAACAAGCCCTTTTTTATAAACACAAATCAAGAAAAATTTGATGCATTTGATTCTTCTACATCATTTAGAGTTTAATCTTTTATGAAATGGTTTTTTATAATATGATGGACACTTGCCAGCAAAGTTAAACAGCTGGATGTAATATAATCACCATTAAAATACTAATCTGCATGTAAAATAAATGAAAGGTTTTCGAGATCACTTCTTTGTCTTGACATCATGTAACGAAATAATTATAATGCACGAAAGAAAATAACTCAATCGAAATTTTATTTAAACATTTATACTTCATCCCTAATTTAAAGATTGACTAGTTTACGAGGAAGAATTCCTGGTCCTGTCAAACATGCAACTTTTCATGCGTCAAGACATTAAAGAAAAGACAATGAGTTTAACTTGTAATTATCTTTGTCTCAAATGTTTTCGGTGCAGTGTCCCATATTTTAAACATACCGCCATTGGATAGTAAAGATAAAGCATAAATAAAATGAGAACAAATGACATCCAAGTCACAGTTTCATTGCTGTAGTTAGGTAATTCAGGAATTAGCCATAAATTTCGGTGTATTCACATTTAGCAGCGGTGTAAAATTCCAGCAAAATCGCGTGGATAAGTATTGCAGAACATTATGAGACTTTAATATGAAAATTAATTACGTTCCGCAAGTTTATGCAGCGAAGAACTTGGTTAAAATTAAAATATAACATATAATATACATAAATATAACATAGAATATCAACATATTTAAAGTTCTTTGGCAACCGCTCAAAATACGACAGAAATTTAACATACGTAGCTATATAAATTTTAAATTGGGATGAAATACGTGCAATGACCATTTGCTGCTGAGTTGATTACATGCAATATACAAAATCACAACTTTCCAATCCAAAAAAAGTTCATTGAACCCATTTGAATCGCTTGTTTAATATCGATATTATTAATTATCAAATATTCTAGAAAGTTCAAAATAATTGAGTGCTGTTATTGATAAACTTCCCAAACGAGAAAAATAATCTATATTTCAAGCTTTTTAAAACCTAAAAACTTGAATCGACAGAATATTGTGTGAACCGCATGCTTGATTTAAAACAAAAGCGTAAAAAATGCCATTTTAGGTAAACAATTAAAAATAATTTCGACCACTATAACAAAAAATAAACGAATGAAATTAAGAAAAATATGTTAAACTCACGCAAATTTTCTTCTTTACTGGAAACCGTAGCCATATTTCTGTAGAAAAGACACAGCAGAGGCGAATTATCTTCAAAAACTAGAAGTAGAAAGCAAACATAGTCATTAATCAAATATGGGACAACGACGCATCAAAATGCACCAAACATGCTTGCACGCTTCCATGACAAAAACTCTGTCAAGTTGACCAATTCATATATTTCATAAGCATATCAACACACCGTTTTCGCTTTACACGCTCACTATCAAGAATGAGGCCTTGACAAACAATCATTAACGATGTCGCATTTGACATTTATGATGGTTTACAGTACATTTGAGAAAATCTGATTGTTTGCGGTCTTAATTCGATGTCAGATATTTAGTCTTTTGTCCTTATAAACATCGTATGTTTCTACACGTTGATATTATACGTAGATATAAGCTTCTCAGACAAATATCTTCTTCGACAGACATTCAGATATTCGTATTCACAATCTCGTCTTTTGTTCATATAGACAGAATTTGAGAATTATTTGATGTAAGCATTGAATGGTTAATGGTCAACCAATCACGTTACACCATTAGAAATTTATGAAAGCCGACAAAGATTTAAAGTCCATTCGTTACAACCATTTTACAAACAGTCAAAACGAAACCATTTGTTAAATTTATTTTTCAAACTGGATTAGACCTATATTGAATTACAGTAAAAATAATGGTCGAGAAACACAAAATGACTAAACTAAATACATGAATGAATTGAAATGTGCGAGAGCATTTCAATCATTTTATTTATTTGCACGCCGTGTATTATGAAACGATTATATTGCTCCCATTTTAAGAAAAATTTTTACATCCAAGCAGTAGTGTTGCAAACTGACGTTAGTCACAGCTTGAAGCTACCAACTTTTAAGGCAACGACAAGACTGTATTGCTCATAAAAAATGAGCAATGTTTCATTTAGTTAGTGAACTTTGAGCAGTTTCTCCACAGCAAATGGAGTTCACCACATCTTCACGTGGACTTTCTATAGTTTCAGTGAAAATTGACAAACATCTTTTCATTGAGTCATCCAACTTAGGCATATATTCTTGAGGAATGATGAATGTGGCCAAATCAAATAAATCTAGGAACACTTTATATCGATCGCTAGAGAAGAAAAAAAGGTCTGCAACCACTCATAGATAACACCCAACAATTAATCCCAATGAAATAATGTAACAGTTGTTGAAATCCCAGGATTTTCGTCTCTTATTTTAATTCGATTAATTTTTGGTTACTTATACCTTGCTGTAGCAAGTAGATAATGGTAGCCAGAAGAACCACCAGTTCCAATTTTTCCACCAATCATACGATTAACCATTATGGCATGGTTGTCTAAATGGTTAAAGATTAGGAAATGTCAAACAATAAAAAGACAAACTCAGAAATTAGAAACTGTGAGTAATAAAAGTATTTCGAGACCATTTGCAATATTTTAAACTCAAATAATCTTCAAATATGCAACAAAGATAAATAGTGGAACAAATTGTTCCTGAGTATGAAATATCGACGTTAAAATACGTGATGATTTGTCCATTTAACTTTGTCAAAGATTTCTATGAGGGAAATTAGAAAACATCAAGTGTATGGACTAACCCTGCCATACTTGACACATATAGTGAGAAAGAATCATTGAGTTCTGTAATTACTCGATAAAAATTGAAATATTATAGAACTCAATGTAAAGAGTACTTACATCGCCATTTAATGAGTAGAGAATCAAGATCCATGAGCAATGAAAGAATTTGAAATGGTTGATGAAATCTTGGCTCATCACTTCAAACAAACACGACATCGGTATAATATGTGTTCAATTTTGTGAATAGAATAAATCACAGTGTCATGTACGCACCGATAAAAATATATGAAAAGAGCTCCTTGAAAACCTTGGTAAGAGAGCCGTTTGTCTCCTGAATTTGAAACCGTGAAAGAATGAGGATAGGTGAACAGAGCAGATTTGATATTAAAATGCCATTGTGATTGAATATAACGATGTATCCTGTCTATTGCAAATGTTCTAATACCATTTTTTTTCAATTTCGTGTGCTTTTCTTCATCAAACAGGTAGTCAAAAACATCCTATATAAAGTACCATAAAAATGATGTACACTACAAAGATTATTGTTAAAACTCAAAGCAATTCTTACTCTTTTAGATTTTAAATGATTCAACAACATATCTTTAACTTCATCACACTCTTCCAACTACATAAATCAACAATCACGTTTTATAAAAAAAATCAACGATGTGTTAGATATTTATATACAAACATTAGCCTCGTCTTCTAAATCATTCAACCAATTGCTGACAGCCTTTTGAATTTTCCCGTAAAGTTAAAACCATTCAGTTCAAGTCCAGGAGTTCGGCTCAACCAATTCTAAATTAAAGTTTTTTTGGAAAGGAAACAACTATAGAAATAATCCAGAACGACTTTTTGTTCAGAAAAATCTCAATCTTTGGAGGATGTGAACTAATGACGGTAAAATAATGTGGTTCTTGTAGACCAGGAATGTTTTGTTGGGGGAACGACGAAGAACGACGTTCAATTCCTACTATTTTGACCAGGAAAAAGACGCTGTTCTTCTGAAATATCACAAGCGGGGAATTGACATTAAATCTTAATATCAATTATATAGGATGCAGTCTCTACAAGACTAATTAGTTTGAATTTGCACTTTGTACAACAAACCATTGTGTTATGGTGTCCCCCCCCCACTCTATAATTTACGAAGTGTCACTATCACTCACAGACAACGTTACTTTTTCTAATTGGCTCAAAAAGTCTTTAAAATTTTTGTTTTTCGCATTATAATGATTCATAATAATAACATACATCAACAAGACTGAGCAAAGATAACTCATTTTCTGATATTTTGATTTTATTCTTTTCCGTTGCTGTCAGACCCTCAGCTTCGCTAAATTTGTCATCAACAAAAAAGATCATATTACTACCCCAAAATAATTTGATTTTGAGCGTGTTTGATCACGTTATGTACTCGGCAAAATAGTCTTGCCTGTAATTGTTGTTATTGTGCTTGATTCTCTTCTCCTGTCATAAACAAATTGAAAACCAAATGAAAATGAGAAAACGGTGGGAATGCAAAACTTGTTCACCAAAAACAGATACCTTGCAAACTCCAAGTTTGTTCTCAATTAGACGAAATTGCCAGCTTTGAAATCCTGATGCAGGAGAAATGTAGGTTCTAAAAAGTATATGTAGCAGCACAGACAGTGATGTACAAAATGTTTAGCTACATTTCATCTTAATAAAACAATAAATATGTTATACTAACTATTATTATACTTACTATTACCTAAACTTATCAAAATCCTGAGCTGTCATTGTCTCAAGAACTTCTATTTGGTCCACAAGGATCTGAAAGACATTGAAACATGTGGATTCAAATTTCAAAATGCAGGGAAAAGTCCAGTTAAGTTTATTGTAATAAAAATGAGAATAGCTATATGTAAATATTATCCAACAGTATTTACCAGGAAGTTCACAGATTTATCAAGATTTTTAGGTGCAGTTTCTTAGACAAGTTAATATACCTTCTGTGTTTTAACAATTCGATTCAACCTTGACACAATAGTTAAGGTATTTCCTTCATCAAGTTGCTAGCAAAAATGTAAAATAAACATTTATGAACATAAAATAATTGAGAGCTGTAAAATTTAAGCAAAAAATGAACAAAACATTTTACGTACTGCTTGCATCAACAGCTCTCGCACTGAATCCAATTCAATTATGATCAACTTAAACCACAACTCATATGCTGTAAAATATTCATTTTATTTAGCATTCACTAAATGAGAATCATATAGCATATAATGGTAAGATTTTTCAAAATTAGTCCATGATAAGGAATATATTGTATAAGTATTACTTAAGAAATGCTTGAATATGCTTAGGTTGATTTAGAATTTTAGATACATACTTTGGTGTATAATAATGAATAAATTTTCATCATGAATCAGATTATTCCCATTAGCTTCACTAAGAGGAACTTGTAGGTTAATAAGTTCAGGAATCTAGCAATGAGTATGATATTAAGTGATAGAAACAAAAATATGACGTTTTGAATCTTCAGATGAAAATAGTCTTCAACATCTAACCTATTCTACCCTCAGATATTATTCAGTACTTTGGAACCAGGAGAAGCCACCATTAACTTTTAGTTTCAGAAAGCCAACTTTTTAGTAAAATTGTTATTAGTGTCTTCATTTCATTCATTCATTCATTTGTTGTTTTTCCATTGAAAAGTAAAAAACATGATGGCTTCAAAGCTATTTTCAAACCTCTCAACTTTTAAATGTACCATAGAGTAAGATTTCAGCGAGAGAACAATTGTGGGGTTGAGGCCATTGGTAAATATCTTATTTGAATTACATAAAATGCTAACACACACATAAATTTCTCACAAAAAAATACTTTCTGAAATAGTATTACTAGCATATATGACTATATAGCAAATTTGAGTCATTTGGGACTTGTTTATGTCTACCGTAGAAGTATGGAGAACCAATAGCAAAGCGTAACTGCGTTGTGACTAAATAGCTTTAGGTTAGTTTAAAAATATAGAAATTAGTCAGATTACTGCTACTTGTTAAAAAATTTGAGTGAAATTTCCTAATGCGTGAAATTTATTGTCTGTTGCGTGGGAGAGAAAACAAAATGTGTGAGTTTCACGCTCAATGCGTGAGGGTTGAGAGGTCTGTATTTCGATGCTCAAATAAAACATAAAGTTATAACAACACCTTCAGGTATTCGTTATATGTAACTTGACTTCGCTTCAATATTTTCTTGTCTTTTTCTCTATAAAAACGTAAGGCAGAGGCAAAGAAATCTAAAAACAGTCAATATAATCAACATATATAGGACATCAACCGTCCCTCAACAATCAACTGCTCAACAATCAATAATTACCAAACGCACTGAGGTATTTAAGATTGTCATAAATGACTGTGGCAAAGCCCTGCTGTGTCCTAGGTAGACTAGTAGGTACTAAATGTGTATGAACCTCAAAATACTTGTAAAAAAACTGACAAACTCAACATGGCATTAGGAAATTCATTGGTCAAATAAAGAATTATCCAATATGAAAATGAGCAATAAAAGACGTCGCAATAAGTCACCTAAAGCGAACATGTAAGAGATTCTGAGAGATCATGTTCCCGAAAATGAATATAGTTTCTTTATCACTAACCCTTCTTCCCAACAACTCATAGTTGTACGATTATAAAACGCCAACGGAGATTTGTGTAAGTATTTCCAAAAACTCCTCGCTGCCTCTCGTCACGCTGTGTAAATTTAAAACAGTTGATTATTCAATTTTTTACAAATTGTCTTTAGAGTCAATGAACACCAAAACACTTGCATATTTCCTGTTGATTCAACTTTCCTAAGCGATATTTTAGTTTTGTTTTTAAAAAGTTTTTGCAAGCGTAAATTAGCGTAAAAGGGTTGAAACAATTTTTGTAAATGAAAATCTTTCAAAGTTAAAAAATATGTATGCTTCTAGGTATCAAAGAACAAAAAATTGCCATAATTTATATCGTTTTTCATGCAAATACAGTAGAGCCAGTAGAGTATACGGTCAAAACAACGTAAATCAATTTATTTTAAGGTGTTTATGGTTTATTGTTGTTTTCGACAGCATGTCATATGTATTGGTAAAATTTTAAATCGAGGCCATTCTTACTCAACTTTACTACAAAAATGGTCACACAGGAAGGATTTTGAAGTAATAATTGTAAAAAAATTAATTTGCAAACTATTTTTAACTCCTATGACAAAGTTTTTATCACTTAAACATTGTTCTAAATAATAGTTTATACCATTCACATATCTATTAAAAATTTTCAAACTTATACCATAAAACATTTCACACAATCTGTCACTTTAAGCTGAGATCTAAAATCACCCAATCAATATGAGCGGAATTTAACGCTTTTAGTTTCTCTTCGCCCAGTTTGATTTTATCTTGAATTTCAGCTTGAGTGAGGGCCAGCTGAGTTTTCATATCAACAAAATGTTGAAAATCAGCAAATTCTTCATCGCGACAACTTTCTTCAACAATTTTTGAAACTGTTTCACCTCTTTTATCGTTAATTTCTTTAATCCTACAGGCTTCCTCATATTGACACTTAACTCGGTCAATGCTTTTCAAAAGAACATCCTAAAAAAAAGAAGCCAGTGTTAAATGATTATATAAACTCACACACACGCTGAATTTGAGGAGTTCTTACTCTTTTTGTACGACCATTGTCCTCGTTAAGATCAATATCTTCAAGCATAACTTCATAACGATGCATGCGTTGTGTTAATGAAAGAAGTAGTCCAATAATATTGTTTAGTTCACCAACAAAGAGTTCGTATTTAGAAAACTCCGAGCTAGTAGTTTTTTCTTTTACTTTTTCTGACACTCGTTTTCCCAATAAATCATTCTCGTTCATCTCTTCTTTTACCTCATTTTCTTGATCCTTCAACAACTCAATCTTTTTCTGCATGCTTGAAATCAATATTCCCTATTGAATAAAGAGATGACCAGAGATATACGTCACCAAAAAAAATGTATCACAGAAAAATATCATATAAACGAACACCACGACAGACAAAATTTTAGTGAAATTTTCAGCAGTTCATTCAACACAAACTAAACAGAATAAAATGTAATCTATACTGAATTACCAGTTTATTACTCTAAAAAACCCCTCAAATCCTTAATACCTATAATTGCGCTACCATTGCATAAAACCATTTACTAGATTGAGATTTTCAATTAAATTACCATTATGTGCAAACAATGTAAGTGATAACTACCTTTTGTTCTTCCAAAGCTCCTAGTTTTGGACTAAGTAAAGTATTCTGACGACTTTCTTCTTCATAAGATATTTGTCCACTTAGTTCACGTTCATTATTATTTCTATTTTCAACATGTCTTTCTTTGGAAGTTTCGTCTTTCGATATCTCCGTTGACGGTTCAGACAATGTCCGTTCAGGTGTAATATTTGATAAATCAAGCTTTGTTCTGCGTCGATTCCCTCTTTTGGCCAGTGATTGACGCCTCATTTGAGTTGCAGTGCTCATTAAATCCTCTCCATCTGGAGTACGAGTGGGGCCTTGTACCGAGTATATACTTGCAATGGTTTTGGCCGATTCTAAAGTTTCTTCTAATAGAGACGATGCCGAGTTTTCTCGACTGTGCCCACTTTTCACAGGGATCTCTGGTGAGGATATGAAATTATCATGTTTTGCTTCATCTAACATCTGCATTCTTGGGTATGATACACTTTCTGACATATTTTCATGAATATTTTTATCAGTAGAAAAGGAAAATTGAATTTTAGAGTTCTCTTCCTGTTCGCCAATAGTTTTATCATCATTTGACGATAATACATTTTCAATGATTTCGTCATCATCATCAATATTACTTTCTATTGGTTGTTCTTTCAGTTCAACATCAAATGACCCCACCGTTTGAAAGGAAGAAACAGGGTTCATTTTCTGCAAAACAACATCATCATTAGGATGTTGAACGGATTGAGTGAACACGTTTTTTGCAGATGAAGCGGAGTCAGACGTCTTTACGTGTTGCAAACATGGTTCATCTTCTTTCTTGAAATAAGAAGAGGATACTGTCTTCTCTACATTATTTGTTTCTTGATTCGTGTGCTCGACGTTCTCCATGATTTCAGCTTTACTAGACATCACCTCTGAGCTAAAGTCAATAATATAGTTTTAATGAAAGTTGTTACTGACCACAAACGTTTCATGATTGCGCATTATAAAAGGTTTCAGTGAAAGACATAGACATCAAGGTTTATGAATAAATCACTAAGTTACTCCACTACTGCACAATGAATGCAGTTTACAATATACTGCCAACAAGAATCATTCATAGCATGCTTCTTTGAAATGACTTTATCAGATTATATAATGCATGCATTTATATCAAAGACAATAAATTAGTATATAAAAATGGTATTTGTAACGTAAGCAACTACTTTACAATAAGATAATAAAATCTGGTCTTACGAATACAAAATCGAAGCTATAAAATATACCTTGAATTTTGCGATGAAGAATTTTTAACGTTGAAATTGGACTTAAGAGAAACACCAGTTTTACCAGTAAGTTGGTTGATTTCTTTCTCAATAGCAGCAGTAGCCGCGTTTCCACCTTCCGCATGAGATTCTTGAAGTAAACGTGTCATAAAAGAGTTTTCTTTCAAAAAAGGTTTTTGTGATTTCACCTTGGTCACTTGAGGTCTTGAAATGTCCCGTTTAAGGATAGATTTTGGCTGTTTTTCACGTTTACTATGAAATTGTACAGTTGATTTATGATTCAAGTTTGAAGTTTTAGAAGCTTCGTCTTCAGCTTCGCTCGATTTGGCAATGTCAGCCATCGCCTCATTTGGTTCTTCATTTGTTGAAGATATTTCACCAGTTTTAAGAGCCTGAATTACAGTACCTTGATCACTACTGCCCCTACTGGTCAAATCCATTGCGTAAGATGATTTTACATTTTCTGTTGTTATGTTGTTCATAGCAGTTGTAGATCGAGTTGTTTTACTAAGGAATGGTTCTTGTATGTCAGCTCTCATTGTTTGACCACTTCCTGTTTCAAGAACTCTCACACGTGAAAATGAGGAAGACCTTGGCAACCGCATCTCATTACTGATCTCAATAGCTTCAACAGGTGAATGTTGGCCAGTAGTTTTCATATAGTGAGGAAGACTCTGCGTTCGAGTATGATGTACTATCTCTCCTGTCGCTGTCTTTTTAACACTTCCCTGTTTTTTACTTCGTATGGAATTCATGACTACTGACTTGCTGTAACGTCTTGGGGGTAAAGGTTTATCAAAATCATCCAAACTGTTGGTTTCCCCACCGGAAACACTCCCATACGATGGGTTATAATAAGATGTTTGACTGGGTGATGTAGGACTTGGTGAAGTCGGTTTCCTTTCAGACGAATCAGAAAAGACAGATGATGAAGACGAACGACGTGTTGCACGAAATGAACTATTTCTCGATGGTGGTTTGGGTGCAAGCGATAAAGAAGTTTTTCCTTCCACCATTGAATGATGTATTTCTTCATCACTAAATATATTTATACATTAATTGATTGGGCAAGGTTGCAAAAAATTTTAATTTTATATCTTGAAGCAGGGTATATTGTGAGTCAATGATTTCGTTTGTAATAATGACTGTAATAGTCAGGAAAAATCATTTACTATAACAGCATAACACTGAAATTTTTCTAATCATGAAAAGCAAACGAGATATAAAATACTTGCAAAAACATTACTATCTTTACCTGGATTTTCCTGAAACTACAAACGGTAAGTTTCCGCCTGAGATTTCACTCTTTATCGAAGTGTTCAAAATGGTTTCTGAATTTTCAGCAGACGGCCACGTACGGTTTAAAGCTTCAACGGAACTAGAGCGATATGGTTTTTGAACATTACCAGATGTTGATGAATGACTACTTTCAGCATTCCTAAACATATACATTAAAAAAAAAGACAGTTGTTTTATTGGATGACTGAAGGGTGGTTGTGGTGGTGGTGGTAGTAGTGGTGGTGGTAGTAGTTGTGGTGGCAGTAGTGGTTGTGGTTGTTGGGGTGGTGGTGGTGGTTGGGGTGGTGGTTGTTGGGGTGGTGGTGGTGGTTGTGGTGATGGTTGTGGTTGTTTGTGGTAGTGGTGTTGGTGTTGTGGTGGTGGTTGTAGTGGTTGTGGTGGTTGTGGTGGTGGATGTGGTGATGGATGTGGTGATGGTTGTGGTTGTGATGGTTGTGGTGGTTGGTGGTGGTGGATGGTGGATGTGGTGGTGGGTTGTTAGTGAGGAATGGAAAATTTATCTTAAAGTAGGGCCCAGCTATGAATTAAACGAAAGTTGAAAGTTCTTTGTACAATACCAAAATGACATTCACTAACATTTTGTAATTTCCATCAAAAGAGGATGTTGGAGAAGGCAGTTCATTGTCTGTTGTGTGTTTGTACTGTCGCAGTGGCGACACTTTTACACTTTGCACCCTTAGTATACGCTGAAATCCTTTCTCAGGATTATTTGAAGAATCATAAGCTTTTACTTGTTGTGAACTAAAAAAAGAAAAATCCACCATGACTATTTGTGAAACTCTCAACTAAAAGCGCTCGTCAGGCGTAATCAGGCTCGAAACAAAAAAAAATGTGACTTGACATTTAATTTTGGTGTGGTCGACCAACTGTTCGCGACTCAAATCAATAAAAATTGAAGTTGTAGTAAGAAAATAAAATAAATCGAACGTTTCTCTGCGAATGCTTAGTATTTCGCGTGCCATTTTATTTTCAACTTGGCAGTTCAAACATGGCATGCATTTGGCCATTGGCTGGCCGCAACTTCGAGCCCTGCCCTCAATAAAACTGGTCAAAACATCTTTCCAAATTTTGCATTTTATATGATACGTTTACAAAATCATCACCGACTAACAATATTTATTATTTAAGTTACTAAAAAACTTAAAAGCTAATCCAATGTTTAATGATTTACAAAGTGTCTTATGGGGGTCAAATCTTACATAATGAGAGTTAAATCTCTTTAAAATAATTTACAAAATGAAAAGAATGAAGATGATCTGCGCAAGAATGCTGCCATTGAAAAATGAACTATCTTTTCTATACCTCCAGGATGAAAAGAACAAAAGAGATCATCGTTTTCATATAAAGAGACAATGGCAGGGACTAATTTCATTTGATGACAGATTAATTGAGCTTTTTATATTTTCAACTATCACTGCTTTCAACAAACTAATAACTATTGGCTGTCATTTTGGTTAAATTAAATTTTGTCGTGATTTTTTTGATAGGGTAACAAGAATTGATTCAACAAAAGAAAACAAAAAAATTTACTTTACTTTGTTGCTGTACTAACAAACATACAGAACATTAAAGTAAATTCAATGTTTAATAGCAGATGATTGGCTATGAGGAAGTTGAGCTGTGAAATAACTCTGTTCTAGCTATCATTCGTAACTAAATTCTTGTAATTTTGAGGACCCTTCAGTTCATTGCATTATATATTCGCTACATAGTTAAAAAACCCATGACTGTTCATTTTTAATTATTTGTATTTAAAGAGTTGAAAACGTGCAACATGAGGAAAAGATGTCAACATAACCATACACACACATATAGTCATTTTTGTTTGTCTTTTACTTCCATGTTCTCGATGTAAAAAAGTCACAGTGAGGCAGCGACTTGCCTCGCTTACTTTGAGAGAACGATGTATCTTTATTCGTTATTGTGTGGTATTAATGAATGAATTACAAAAATATCAGAGTTTAAACAAATTATCGCTCATAACTATTTGATTGACATGAAATTTTCGAAATCCGCATGAAGGATATGAAAATTAATTGAACAGCTGTACAGATGAATGGTATTAAATATCTCCCACCAACTTCAGTAGGATACATTTCGTCTAAAAATTGCGGTTTGCGGAGCAAAAATCAATAAATATGAGATTAAATAACAAAATTATATTTAGTACAATTGCTTGTTGCGTTAATGAATAAAGAAATCAAGGAAATAACAATTATTTGCATGAAAAATCGAAACATTGCAATCACACCAAGACGATTCATTTTCATAGCGACAAATTATTTTTATTTGACGTGATGAAATTGAAAAAAAATCTCATTTTTGGCACGAAGACAGAACAGACGAGGAAATTGAATGCGCCGCAAACAATCGTATGTGATGCTAAATCCTATTTGTATCACATACAAATAAAATGTCTTTTATTAGAATTTGTAAATCAATAAATGCATGAAAACCACTAGACTGAACAAACCTTGACAAATCATCTTTGATAAAATGATCCTTAACTTGATCAACCTCAGACAAGTCATTGACAGATCTTGTAAGTCTGGTTACTTGTGATCTGTTTGAGTTATGATAATCTGTTGTAGGATTTGTAGTTTCAATACTGTTGCTATATCCAAGGTCTATCTCAAACTCTTTACTTGATCTTTTGTTGTTTGAAACAGGTTTTTTTTGTGCATAAACCTCTTTTTCATAAGGTTTTTCTAAAGCTTCAGAGAAGTAGTTAGTAAAATCACCAGTCAATCTGATATTCATTCTTCTTCTATCTTGACCTCTGTAAGAAAATTAAATAATTCAGCACAATTGTTCAACTATGGCAAATAATACATGCTTTATAAAAATACATACCTTCTAACTCTAAGAATCAGTTCCTTTCTGGCATCCTTAACATATTTTGTTGCCTGTTGTTCATTATCAAACTGCAGACCATTAATGGATATAATTTCATCACCAACATGAATATTTCCAGAGATGTCAGCCTTTCCACCTTGAACAATCTGTTGTTGGACAATTTGAATGTGTATTTGAATAAATAGCCAATCAGTAAGTTATAGCAATTTTAAGAGACAAAGAAAGACTTTCATGAAAAGAAAACATTGCCAGTTTTAAATAGTCTTGTTTTATGAAATAATTTTGAAAATTCTCCAAGTTAAGTGCCAATACACAATGCGAAATTAATCACAAACAAATGATAAGTAATAAATTTTTAGTCTTTATTAGTTCTACAGTCATGGGTACACATTACAGATACCAGCAAGATGTCTTTAAGTGAAAATGAGCAACCACTTATGTACATTATTGAATAACAAGAATCAAGTTACTTCTGTATCATGGCATGACAAAAAAACCAAACTTTAAACAAACTAATTAATGACACTGAAACATGCAAGTTACCATGCTAACAAACATGTCAAAATTTTAAAATTATGACGAAATTTTACATGATTTCATCATTGTATATAATGATCTAACCTGACAAAAGTTTAAGATAGACCCATTCTTAATAAAAAAACAACTTACACATGTATATTTGCTTGCCTAGTGTAACAAAATATGAATAGTATAGTGTTGATTTTCCATCATTGTAGTAAATGCTGAAAGCAAATATTCTGAAGAGCAAAACAAGCCATGATCAAAAATTAATATTATAATTTACCAATATCAAATACTTCAGCATACGACCTTGTCATGTCTCGCCGAAGACAGGAAAAACATGCATTTTATCGTTATATAAAAATTTTACTGAAATACAAACATGAAATTTAGGTAAATCTCTAGTATGACACGATCGCAAGGGCATAATTGACAAATTGAATGATTACGCACACCATGTTTGACGCTTCATATATTATACACGCACGTTACACAATTAAACTTTAAAAGTTTTAACATTTAAACAAAACGCATACCCAAACAACGTTTGAATTCTTCCTAGATCCAAGTAAAAAGAGGTCTAAGGCTCTTCTCCTCTGTTTGTATCAACAAACACAAAAATCTCAACACAGCAGTTCAAATGTGTTGAATAGTCATGAAATAATGCTCAAAATAGCCTCGCCGTTAACTATTGATTAACATAGGAAGAATTGCTGACATAGTTAAACATTGTCAAAGACAATAGACGTTTCTACTTCGTTGTTATTGGTAGCCAAATGAATTAACAAAACAGCCATTAAATCCGTGAACAACTGGTGTAAAAATACAAGGTTTTCGTTCCAGAATTAAGTCGTATCGCACAAAATTCTTATCATTCCGATGATATGAAACATACCGTGAAGTCTACGAAATATGATTCTTCAAGAATAAGCGATAACAGAGGTTTCCGTTTTAAGAAGATTAGAAACACGAGAAATTATATATGAATCCCCACTGTTTTTCCTTTGAACGCACAACTTGGTCCCTGACGTCTTATTTTCAAGATAAACAATTTTCATCATTGTGCACGTTATTTGGAATGTTTCAAATTATATCTTTGACATAGAAGTCAATAAAAACATCAATAGATTGAGAATATTAGACATATGAACAGCAGCAGGAATAAAGTACTTTCGTAATACAACATCTCATCATAGTGGTAGGACTGAACAGCCCACTTTCACGATATTTTACAAGGTGTTACGAAATAATTGCCTTTATATGTTACCAAAACATAACTTGATATAAAAAAAATCACAACAGAATTTAGCGAATTGGTATTATCTAACTTGGGAAATCCTGTTAGAATATGTTAAAACAGAATATGTAATGTTATATATCAGAAGACGTGAAGTGAAATGTCTCAAAAGTTGAAATTTGAAACCATCAAATTCTTATAACACAAAAAAATGCAATTTGATTTTGAGAAGTGTACAATGTAGCCGCATTTCGTATTAATCATTGTTACGAACAAAGGACATTTCTAAGCACTAGAATTAACAAGCATAAAATAAGCTTTGCCTACGAATGAACTAGCCATAATAAGAAAACGAGACTCATTTCTTTAACAAACCTCCTTGACAATGATTCTAGGGCGATTATTTACAGCATTTCCTGATTGAGAACGAATACCAAATCCCCAAGGTGATCCTCCGATGAGAGAAACCTCAAATTCACCATCTTTAGTATACATCATGCCGTCGAGCAGTTGGGTATTAAAATGCCATAAAAGTACACAAGAATTATAATATTACATCTGCGAGCAACCTACTTGTCTGAACGACCTATTTATCACTTTCTGGCAGGATCATGAGAAAATGGTTGCGATACAAACGACAAATAAGACATATTTTACGACATTTTCAAAACAAAAACAAGTTTAAAACATTTAAGCTTTGAATTGAGTTAGCGCATGCGCATTTAGATGCAAGCAAATTGTCGTTTGCCCAAGCAAGTCATTGCGAAAAGCTTTCTTTGACTTTTGTCTTTGAGTGGTCATTTCTGTTATATTTTCCGCTTTTATGCTAAAATCCATTTTTGCTTGTAATGTAAATGTAAAAAATCGTGTTTATTCATTATTCCTAAAACACAAGCATCAGTATTATTGGTTTGAAGACTCTCCTACCAATATTTGATATAAGACATATATTAGGTAATATGCAAGATCGCGGAGCATCTTCGACGAGGGGGAAGAACTGAAATGATTCATAAACTCCGGTGTCCGGTCCCTCCCCACTTTTTTTTACTCGCATTAGTCACATATATTTGCCAAATTTGTCAAGTTTTATGGATCAACCCTATTGAGATCAACCCAGATCAAGATCAACCAATCCAGTCCAGTCTATTGCTCTATTCCCGCCAAATTTCGAGAATGGCGGCAAGTCAAACCAAAATACAACAGTTCAAACTACAAAAATAAATGAGCATACTGAAGATTTATTTAATTCAGGTTCAAGTATTGTTAAAAAAAGAACCAACTATCTTCAATGGGATGAATATTTTATGGCCGTTGCATTTTTGTCAGCACAGCGAAGCAAAGACCCCAATTCTCAAGTGGGAGCATGTATTGTGAACGAAGAAAATAAAATTGTCGGCATTGGTTATAATGGCATGCCAAACGGCTGTAGTGATGATATTTTACCTTGGGCGAGAACTGCTGAAGATTATCTGGATACAAAATACCCTTATGGTTAGTCAAATACAAAAGTCCAGTACATAAAACATATAAATAACTTGAACAATCATAGTGGTGTGGAAAGACTGTAGTTTGTGCTATGATCTAGTGTTTGTGGAATTGATAGCAGGGAAATTACCTAACATTCTTATCTCAGTCACATCCTCCATTAAAAGGATTGTAATTAAATGCACTTATCTAGTTATCTTTCCTATGATGTGAATTTAAGCAACCCTCCCTCCCTATTTTGCTTAATTAGGTTTCAATTTTGATCCTGGTCTTCAAGCAGTCCAAGGCAGTAGATATTGATAGTAGTATGTGTCAATTCTTGACTTGCAGTTCAGCCAACTTTGTGGTCTGATACAAGAGAATATTTAATCAGTTTTATTGTTTGCAACAGTTGATGTCTCCATGCAACATTGTTTGGTAAATTCCCCGAGTTGTTAAAAATTAAGAATTGTTGGATTTGAAGATCAGCATATTTTACTTGTCTATTCTTTGTCAGGAAATGCCAACATAAAATCATTTTGCAGATTATATTTTTTAGTGTGTCATGCAGAAATGAATGCCATTTTAAACAAAAATTCCTCGGATGTTAAAGGATGTACAATATATGTTGCTCTTTTTCCATGCAATGAGTGTGCCAAACTAATTATACAATCTGGGATTAAGAGAGTTGTTTATCTATCAGATAAATATCGTGATAAGCCAATCACAAAAGCTTCAAAAACTTTGCTTGGTATGGCCAAAGTTGAATATGTGTAAGTATAAATTGTCTTTCAAAAGCACATTCACATTATTTTGATATTTTTTTTTATTTTGCAGTGAATTCAAACCAGAAAGGAATAAAATAACAATTGACTTTGAATCAATAGAGCAGTCTACAAAAGCAATTCACTAGAAAATAAATTGTGCTTTTAAACCTAATCAATTGACAATATTTTATGTATTTTAACATTTGCTTGTACATGTACATATACCTGCTACCATTGACGTTAATAAAAACCATTTGAAAAGAAATGAAGCTGGATACATATAAGCAGAGTTATTTATTGTAAAACTACACTTGTCAATACATTTTTGCTTTCTTGTTATCATGTCTTCCTCTGGATCTGAAAACAAAGCAAACATTGGCTATGCTGTATAATCTTTTATCTTTTAATTTACTACTTGAAAATTGGTAGAATGACATATCTTACCGATCATCAACCCCATCAGTTTTTCTCTTGGAAATAATCTTAAAGTAAGACATTTATAGGTCATGTTACAGACAGTTACAAGATAAAAATTTAAAAAAACGTTCACAATGATGAACTACATCAAAGTAAACCTTGCTGATCTTATTCCAATCTCTGTCCAACTTTGCTTTATCATCTTTTGGTCCTGTTCTTCTTGTTTTTCGACCATCGCTCATTTTTACACCAAACTGGAAAGCTGCCCTAAGTGGATAAAGCAGCTATTGTTTATTGTTGTTGGTGACATTGTATGTTTCAAACAGAATCATGACAGTACATTGTCACAGGAATACATAAGGTTAATATATGTTGTGGATGAATATGCAACACCTTTAAATCTGCTTGTGGTTAAACATATCTTAGATATATGTAAATGTACTGGTAACATTTCAGGAATTTCTCATTCATTAGGCCTGAACTAACCCAGGAGCAATTATCTTTCTGCTAGAAATTAAAAATTATAAATTATGTAATGAAATTATGTATCATACTTTGGTAAGGCTTCACGTCTTTCCATATAAGAATTATATTCTTCTTCTGTCTCAAAGTCCCATCTTTTGATTGGACCTTTTTTGTTTCCCTTTTGATGAGAAAATGATGAAAATTTTATTAAATACTAATCAAGAAAAAAGTTATGTCATTTTATTTGGGAACACAGACAACTTTTGCATATAAAACCAACCATGTCCATTTTTGAATAATCCACCTCTTCTTCACTGTCATAATTGTAATCTGCATCCATTCCTCTTGAAAAAACCATAGAACATACGTCAATTTTCAATGTTCCACACTTCAAATGAAAATCTTTTGAACAGGAGATATGAGTAATAATCTCTCAATTTGTATAATGCAACTTTTTTGTTGATCATAGAAATTTTTATCTTAATATGTAATTGTGTTTTGATAACCTATATTTTGAGTTTTTAATAAATTATGAAGATGAAGTTGAAGATCAAAGTTTATGTATGTATAAAATTTCTTCCTGCGTACCCAGGATAACATTCAATGTAATGATCATCATAATTTTGTTTGGATTTTTGTTGTTTCCCAGATTTTCTTTTATCTTTTTCATTAGATGCAACCTACAAAAATGACAATCAATACATGAGAAACAAAGTGTTTTCCTCAAAAAAGCATAATCAAAACACACTGCTTTGACACAAAATGTGTCGGATAAATACATCTTAGAAGAAGATAAACATTGATATTGATTGATTCGAAACTTTAAAGAATACTATGGACACAGAGAAATTGTAAAAAAAACTACAACTTCATACAACACTGAGCCAGAGACTGTCTAACTATTTTTCACACAAATATTCATCTGAGAGTTTGTTTCATTGCTACAACTATTGATATTTAAGATAAATTGCTCATGCACACTGATAATATGTTGTATGTCTCTATAAGACATATCAACCTTTGATTTTAAAAACAGAGATATTTTGCTCCCTTTTCTCAAAAACCCCCTGGAGATTAAAAAATACATCCTGGATATCTCAATATTAAAACCTAGAAAAATCTAAAAACGAATTTCCAAGAAAACTAAAACTAGTCTCTTTTTGACGTCATGCTTGATTTAAATAAGTATGCCTACGTATTTCGGGGAATAGTTCCATGTGTTTGACAAATATACAAACTGATGTCTAATCCTGTCTTCAACCAATATAATGTCCAGTTCTATACTCAAAATTCAATTTATATCAATCTGAACAGATTTTGCAAGCGAGGAATAAAACCTTTAAAACCGCGAGACTACGAAAATGTTGTTAAAACCGGAAGTCTAACGGCTGTACTGAGAGAATAGTCAGGTCTGTCTCTTATACAAAACTACCAATTGTACCAACCTTGTCGCTGAATTGTTTGGTAACATTCTTGGCAAAATCTTTAGCAGAAATTTCTAAATTTGAGAGCAAAATTGAATTTAATAAAAACACAAGTGATCAAGGGAATTTGATAATAGTTATCAAATTTTGTTTACAAAAATTCATGACAATACGATTTTCCACCTGCTTTTCTTAAATCATCGCGATCATTTTCATAAGAATCCTTGTTAAAATAATGATGTTTTGATTTTCTTGAATCTTTAGATTTTGTTGTCGCATCTCTTGAGTTGTGTGTAGGATCATAATCACCAATGTCATCATAAATACTAAAAATAAACAAAAATGTTTACTAAAAATAAACCAAAATGTTTACAAAAATAAACCAAAATGTTTACTAAAAATAAACCAAAATGTTTAAAAAAAATCTTCTACGCAAACCCTGCACTTGTTGAAATCATTATTTGATAAGCTATTGAAAACATAAAATGACGTTTAACGTAGAAAAAAAGCAATAGAATTCATAAAATACCTTTCATATACTTGTGTTTTTTCTTTCTGGCGGTGTTCAACATCAACTCCTTTATTTTTGCCTAAAACAAATAAATTATCACATTTTAACAAGTCTTTCTAAGTAACATTCGAAACAAATTATCAATCAAGTTCATTAATCATCTCTAACCTTTCTCCTTTTTTAAGTTTTTTCCCTCTCATTCCTTGCCTGAGATACGACAAAATTTGCGTCAGTTTATTGATGACAATGTCATTAGTCGTAAGCGTTGTTTGAGCCTGGGATAAATCAATGAAAAGAATTTATTGAACGTACAAAGGCAGAAAAACATTATTTGCTTCGGAGTCTGTAAAACCGTGAAACATTTTTCTTAAATAATTTGCAACCACTCAAAAAACATATTGATTCCTTAAATACGTAACTACCTCCATTCCTGGACAGTCTGCTTTACTTCTTATTAAAGTTGTTGGTATATCGCTTTCAACATATTCATCTTCCAACTCAAAAACGTATGCCTTATAAAACAAAAATACCAATATTACCATATATCAAAAAACAGGAACTCCTTTTCTTTACTTCCCAACATGAACGAAAATTTTTGGAGAGAAGTAAAAGTTTATAAGCTCAAAATCCAAACAAATGCAATCATTCATTTTTTAATGAATTAATTCAAGACATATATACACAAGCAATAACATATTTTTATAATTACATTTTACACATATATAATTCAATAGTCTATTTACCATTCTTCCTGGTTGGAATAACTCATTCTTGTCTGCTGGCTTGCTCTTAAATACAGATCTATAATTTTTTGACCTGCATTTAAAGAACAAATGTTACCATGTATTTGGGTAATTTATTGCAATATTAATATATATAAAATAGAAGTATATGATATGTTATTATATAAGAAAATCCTTGTGATATAAAAACAAATACAAGTGAAAAAGTGTCTATCTTTCATGCAAGTATTTTTATACATGTTAAACTAAAAAGTTTTGCTTTCTTTATTTTTTTTCTTTTGTTTCTAGTTTCAAAATTTTATAACAGCTAAAACATATAAACAAGTGTTACCTAAAGCAGTAGAAATTTCCACATTAACATCTTCATCGCTATCATCATCACTTTTCATCTCTTTGTCAGCAACCTTGGTGATTCTATGACACAAAAATCATAGGCAATATATATTGACATAATAATAAAATAAGTATACAAACCTAGAAACTACAACTACATACCTATCGCTCTGTGGTTTATATTTACTTTTTCTTGTTATTTCTTCATCTACATATTCTTGAGCGGTAATCTCGCTGCGCACCTAAAGTTGTCAAATAATCTGTTTGATAATAATCTAAGGTTATGGTATTTGATTTTTGCACATTTACCTTTTGTAGTAAAGCAAAATCAAGACCTTTAACTAAATGTGTGTGTTCCATATCACCACCCAAAAATTTACTTTCTTGTATTGCCCGTTTCCTTATTTCAGCCAGTATTTCTGTACATAGATAAACAAAAGAATCTCAAACATTTTTCTTGTTACATGATTTCACTAACAGAAAACCGCAGTATTTCTGTACATAGATAAAACAAAAGAATCTCAAACATTTTTCTTGTTACATGATTTCACTAACAGAAAACCGCAGTATTTCTGTACATAGATAAACAAAAATCTCAAACATTTTTCTTGTTACATGATTTCACTAACAGCAAATAAAACAAATTTTAACTAACGTAGCTTCAACAGTAGGACCAACTGCTTTATAATCTCCTGATGCTTTGAGATTGACATCAGTTCCTTGATAATCTGGATTAAAGCCTTCCCTTCTTTCACGTGCCTAGCTCACAGGTAAACAACAGCAAAGTTTCAACACTAATTAACCCTTTCAAGGACAAAAGGACGAAACAAGATATCTTGCAAACTCAAGATATGAGATATATAAAAATTTTAGAAGAATTGTAATGATGAGAAAAATAAGTCTATTGTTGTCCTATATTATTCAATGTATTTTGAACATTAGTTTTTTAAAATTATTTACCCGATCTCGATATTTTGCAGCAAGTTCTTTCTCTCTTTCTTCCTCAAGTTTTTTTAACTTGGCATAATGACTTACAAAGGGCAAAAAAACAAACAAATGAGACATAATAATTTAAAAGAAAGGTTTATTTACAATAATGAGTCTTTCTTATCTTAAAGAAAATTATCAAACCTTTTACGTTTTCTCCGTAATGAAGCAGGATTATCATGGTCATTGTATGTCTTGCTTTGTCTAAAATATGTAAACAATTCTCAATAGTTAGCTGGATTGGTGAAAGATGAAAGCACACATGCTATAGAGAATCCGTTCATGAAGCATCTCTCCATTAAATCATAAACTTACAATGTCAGCTATGATAACTGACAAACTTAAATAAACAATACTTTAAAAGTGCATATAAGCAAATTTCTAATCTCATGTACTAGTGAACTTTGTGTTCTTAAAATTATGGTTAATATGACTGTTTGACCTGCTTCATCAGACATTGGAAAAACATTTAAATCACAAATGAAGTGATATGAACTTAGCAAATGATAACTGTTTGTTTAAAGTCCACCTCATCATTGTTGATATATAACATCAACTTGGCTACATTAGCAGAGGGAGGTGCAACACTTGGTGCAGATGTTATTAATGTTAACATACAACTTTAACTTGGCTACATTAGCAGATGGAGGTGCAACACTTGGTGCAGATGTTATTAATGTTAACATACAACTTTAACTTGGCTACATTAGCAGATGGAGGTGCAACACTTGGTGCAGACATTCTGGGTGTCATCAAGAGTTTTCTGAAGTCATCATTTGTAAGAGCTGGTCTATATAACAAAAAACATTATTCATTACAATATAAACAAAGGCAGAAAAGACAGAACAACTTGCATGATAATGAGCTAAAGCCTGGTAAATGTTAAATAAAAGTGCATGAAATGAATTTTTCTGACAAAAACTGTGCAACACATCAATAACACAATAGCACACCAAATGGTTTTTGTAATAACTTAGGTGTATGGTGGATATCATAGGTGTAAGATGGATATCATAGGAGTATATTGGATATGATAGGTGTTTGTTGGATAGCATAGTTGTAAGATGGATATCATTAGAGTATGCTAGATATCATAGCAATAAGATAGATATCACAGGTGTAAGATGGATATCATAAGTGTATGATGGATATCACAGATATAAGATGGATATCATACAAATACGTTGGATACAAGCCTGAACAATATGGATAGTCTTCAAGAATGACTTAAATCTTAGTAATGAAGCAATTTCAAAATATAGGGAACAAACAGTCGGACAGTCTATTGATTTTTTTTGTTTGAAGAATTGTCCATCTGTTTATTCTGTATACAGTGGTGATTGCATTCCACCATCTAGCATCAGTAATGTTTGAAGCTTAGCTTGGCAGTTTTATTTTTATCAACATAAAATATTTTCAATTGAGTGAGGCACCTGGTTACCACATTAAAATTAGACATTTCGACAACACACACACTTTAAAATGAATCATATAATATTTTCATCAACTTACCCATCGTCATCGATGCTGGAAGCAAGGTTGACAGGTGCATATGGATTTGAAAAGCTTTCTGAGCCTACGTAATGTAAAAAATAATAGAATGAAAATACTATACAACACAAAGAAAAAAAGATTTTCATATCTACAAATATAAACAGCATTAATAATTATTGAACGAAATTTTACCTTCTGGCATCTTTTAGGTTGAAAATCGTAATAAAAATGTTTATAAACTTTTATTATTTTATATTTTTTAACATTCACGTATCCCACAATGCCACACTATTGATAAAGATTAATTTTCTTACATGAAGTATCGCGCACCTTCAAAATGTCTGACTTCAGAGAATTATTAAACGACAATCAGCATATTTCGGAAATATTTTTACAATTAGACACAAAGAAGAAAGGATATTTAACAAAGGAGGAACTAAAATTGGCTGTTGTAGAATTGTTTGGTTACAAACCTTCGAAATACGAAATACATCAACTGATCGCAAACAGTTCTCATGAATCCAATGCAATATCAAAAGAACAATTCCTTAAAGCTATGAAGTCAAAACAGTCTAACCAAGATGAAAATGACGAAATTCGGCAGTTATTTGTTGCATGTGATTTAAAATGCAGGGGTTTTATTTGTTTTGAAGATGTAGAGAAAATTTTTCAACAGAGTGCTTCATACATGAAAAATTTTGATGTTAAGCGATTGTTTGAAGAAGTTGATCGAGACAAAGACGGCAGGATAACCTTTAGAGATTTTGAATATATGTTGAAATTTTCTACCAAATGAATGATGCTCGAAATAAAGTTGATTTGATTTTCTGTTACATGCAGTCAAGGCAAAGCTATTTTTCTCTTCTGTTTAGCACATCGTACGTAGGGCGCTGAAATTGTCGCCTGGTGTGAGAAAAGCTTTCAGAAAAATTGCATCATTACGTTACTTCCGACTAGACTTGTTAAAAATAAAAAAACGCTTCTAGACTTATAGTTCTAGTAATGGTGTAGTAAAATATGTTTATCTTTTGTATTAACGATACATCAATCTTTTCGTTCTTGAGCATTAAAATAATACACTTCATTACAACAATGTAAATCGATTTGCTGGATTATCTCAATTTTGCTTCAAACATCACTTCCCTAAACGTTTCTTTCGAAAATTCATTACCAATGACTTAAACTGTACGCTACAAAACAGTTTCTGTCGACGAAATTTCTAAAGCATTTTTCAAATGAGCTGGGTCAAAGCCATGGTACCTAATGTCAGAATCAAAAGGATTTGTTTGAGATGAAGATCTTGAAAAAAAAACCTCTTCATCAATGGCGACAGTAGAGTTTGTCTGAACAGTTGCTTCACTTAGTTTAAAACTAGACATAGACGACATTATCGTGGTTGTTTCACTAAATGGACCGTTGTATGAATGAGAATATTCTTCATCAAAAGATGGTATGGGATCATTGGAACTAATGCTTGCGTTTGAATCAGCCATATCACTACTGCCACCATAATTGCCAAATGAGCTACTATTTGAAGTTTGCCTTGTGATTATTTTCTTTTGCTTTGAAGCTAAGATATCAACGTTTGACGATCCTTTCGTGAGTTTAGGAAATTGTCTTTTTAAGGTATCAGTAAAATTGCCATCACTTACGGCCAAAGAATTGAAAGAATCGATGATATTCACGATTCCTCGATGACCTAAAACATCAATAGAGATTTTTGTTCATCGTCAACATTCGTGTCCACGTCGTCAATCAACAGAAAGCTGATGACGTACGTTAACATACCTGCCTGTAGAGCGACCTTTTTAGGATCTCGCCCATACTTATCTGCAACTATTGAAGCGTTATAATTCAGCAACAACCTGACAACATCTTCATGACCTTGTTGAGCCGCAATATTCAGAGCTGATGCTTTATCGTTAGAAGACATAACGTCAACAAGAGCATTTTTTTTGAGCAGTAAATTTAAAATAGACGTATGGCCTTGCCAAGCTGCTGTCATTAATGGTGTGTAGCCAAGCAAACACATATGATTTACATCAGCGCCATATTCTATCAATTTTTCAGCCACATTGAAAAATCCACTCCAGGCAGCGACGTGCAAAGGGGTTCTTCCCTTTTGATCTTGACAATTCACTTTAGCTCCTCCCTTCAGTAAAACTTCACATAGTTTTGAATTACCTGAAATTTTAATATAAACTCGTAATGGAATTGTACTAATTCCTTTGTGGAAATATAGCTTCTGCGCAAGCTGTGTAATTGTTAAGATTTACTTTATATGGTAAATATTCTGTTGGCAAACCTTCTTTTGCAGCATAGTTTAGAGGAGTTGCTCCGTTAGAATCATAAAGATTAACATCTGCCTCTTTTTCAAGTAACTTTTCCACACAACTGATATGACCAAATATTGTAGCATAATGAAGGGATGAACGACCTTCTAAAGACCTTAAATTTACGGAGCATCCAGCTTGAAGAAGTTGTTCAAGTAGAGATGTATGACCTTCATGGGCTGTCAACATCAACGGCGAACGTTTCCATGCATCTAATTCATTTAATGATGCGCCATAAAAAAGAAGTAGCTGAACCACTTGTTCGTGACCTACAATACAACATACATATGACTTATGACATTTAAACAAAAAATTATGTTCTATATTAAAAGTCTTATTTTCACCAAAGTCTTTGTTATGAATCTTACAATCTGTCAAAGTTTCAGTATTGGCTGTAGTGGCTAGTTGGCACCCAATACACACTCATTCAACAAAATTAAGGTTTCCAAGAAAAAAGAAATAATTCTAGCCATCGAAGAGAGTTTACAACAAAGCAGATGTAACTGTTAAATTCAGCCATTTCATACCTACAAACTATTTATTGCAAGATTACGTTGTTTTTTTTGAATAAATGGTGACTTCAAACAACACAAAAAGGTCAGGATATGTAAACTTTCCAAAAAACAATTGCAGTCAAAGTTTAGAAGTTTGTCTTACCGTGAAATGCAGCTAGAGATAAAGGGGACCATCCTGAATTATCTTTCTTAAAAATCTCCTTTTTCGTCCCTTGTTTGCCTGACGAAAGTGTGAAAATAATGGTAAGAATAAATTCGCCGAATTTTTTTTTCATAAAGAACTTCGCCTGGTATAAAGGTGAATTTTTTATGTCAATGCAAACAAAGTTTTCTAGAAACCAAAAATTAGCTTTTTTATTACGTTTTGCTATTGTCTTTCTTAATCTAAAACTTTTCAAAAACAATGTTATGAAGCTTTTCACACGCCAAGAGGTTAATCTATTCACTCAATGAAACACTTAAAAAGAAAAAATTCTTTTCTTCAAGCCAAAGAACAAGAAAGTTTAATACTACATACCTCTTTGGAATTCGAGAAGAATTTTAACTACATTATGATGTCCATTAGCACAAGCTAAGAGTAAAGGTGTTCTGCCATTACGATCCCAATGACCAACATCAGCATTTCGTTGTAACAATAGTTGCACAACATTTTTATTACCCAACATACAGGCTAAACATAGTGGTGTCATACCATCATAATCTGGACGATCTACCTCTGCACCATAATCCAACAAGAGCTTGATTATATCTAATACACAACGATAAATTATTAATAGTAAATAACATTTTTAACTTGTCTAAACAACATTTTTAGAAGTTCTCTTTGGTACTAAATAAAAACTTTAATTGTTAGGCTAAATTCTTCTTTTCCTTTAAGGTGATCTGGTATTTATTGTTCATTCAATCATGTTTACATTGCTTGGTTTAAAACTTCGTTCCATGATGACAATTTCTCTTTTATAATTCATCAGATTTACGTTCACTGTATTCAGCCACAAACATTATAATTGAGTGGGGGCCTGGTGGCTATTCATACGTCACAGGAAAATTTCCCTAAATTCTATTATTGTGTTACATAAGATCCATAATGGGCTTTTTCAATATCAGCCATGGGTTTTCATAAATAAACCTTCTCTACGTATCTACGAATGGATGTATTTCCAGTTTTTCACTATTTTTCTTTAACATGGGAATTATGTAAATTGCACAAAAATAACAACGTTGGATTTTTTAAATATTTTCCTGTTTGTACATGTTATATGTTATAAAACTTATAATCAACAAAAAACAATAGATTTGAAATGAAATTATGTAATATGGCAAAACTTGCATACCCCCTCCCAATTTATCAAGCTGGCCATACCACCAACTGTTAAACCAATTGATATACTGTATGCAAGCAACAACATAATACAAGTAGAAAAAGTAAAAGTAATGTGTTTTTCTTACCAACATGATTGTTTAATGTTTCTGAAATGATACAAACAGACAAGGCTGTTCTACCATCACTGTCATTATGATTGACATTTGCATTGTGATCCAACAAAACTTCAACTGTCTTTATAAAACCACTATAAGATGCAGCAATTAATGCTGTGTGACCAGCTTTATCCAAGTGATTAGGATCTGCACCTTTCTGTAACAGCTGAAGAACTATAAATAATTCAAATGTAAGAATGGTATGAATGTTAGAAAGTTATTGCAACCAACACCACGGAAATCAATGACAAAAAATCACAGTATAAAAGTTAATAATCAATCAATTTAAACATACCAATATCTGTATGACCACCCCAGCTAGCAGCTCTCAAAGCTGTTCTCTGCTCATTATCAGCTAAATCAGGAATTGCTCCATGTTTTAATAGGAGTCTCACAATATCTGATGAACCACATCTTGCTGCTGCTCGTAATGGTGTGCAACCATCACTGTCTCTTGTATTAATTTCTGAGCCACAATTTATTAAGTCATAAACAATGTTAAAATGACCTTCTCTGCATGCAATATTCAATGAACTTTGACCTTTTCTGTTGACAAAGTCTACATCAGCACCTTTCTGAATAAGACTACGAACTTCACTTTTATTACCGTCAAAAGCTGCTTTCAACAATGCTGTCCAGTCTTCATCTTTGCCCACATCATCTTTGTTGATATGCACATGTGAATCAGGTTGATTATCTTTCTTCAAGTGAACCACTCCATCTTCATATGTAGATGGCAATGTTTCTCTCAAGATATGTGAACTTTCAATTTTGATATTTTCTCCAAAAGATTCAACATCTTGACCATGAACACCACTCCATTTAAGCCATTGGTCAAGTTTGCTAGGATCACTAGAAGGATATTGACTGTGTAATAAATGCCATAAGAAATTTTCATTCTCTTCTTCTGTCAATGTCTTTCCTTTGCACATTAAATACACAGCTAACATGGCGTTACCTCTTGATACATTACAAAGATAACGACGAGTGCAATGTTTCACATCAGTGAGCCATTCGCAAAAAGAATGGTGAATAAAGTGATAACGACCATTGGATAACTGTAAAACAGTCATTAATTTAGATAAACTTTCACATAGTTGCTTTTCATTTACATTCTCGTTAACCAACTTCATAATATCAAATAAATCATCAAAATTCAAATTTTGCCTTGATGCCAATAATATTTCCAAAATTGGTCTATAATGAGTCTCATAAATATCTTGAGGGAACAATCTCTGACACAACCACAAGTACAAACCATTTAATGTTCCTGGAATTTCAACTGCATCTTGTATAGTAAGAACACCTTTGATAATGTTGTCTAATATTTGCTCAAGATACAAAATACATCCATTGCTTTTTACTTGAAGTAAATTAAACATTTCTGCTGTGTCATGTGTCAAATGCTTTCTAAGTTCAACCTCTGAATCAAGACGGTCTAAAATATATTGTTGCACATCTTTAACAACATATGACTTCTTTAAATCATCCAAAGTGACCTTCCTCATCCCAGAAAACACTTTAATGATTTCTCTGGACTGTCTTCGTGTTGTAATAACAAACTTCAGCCAAGAGGGCAATGCACATTGTTGCAAAGCAATAACAAACAAATTGCAAATGTCAATAGCATCAGTATTGGAACCTTCATTATCAATCATTGACTCGTCAATTGAATCAACCAGAATTATTAACCTTTCATTATTTGTGCTGTAATCTTGAAGTGGACAAACGATAACTTTCTTAAAAATGTTAACAATATCTTCGTTTTTGTGTTCATCCTTCATAATATTTGCAATTTGTGTCATATAATACTGCCGTCTCTTTTCGGCAAGTTTCTCATTCTTGTATAACTGTAAAGCAATGTTTTCTACAAATTTATAAACGTCTAAAGACTGTTTATCATTAGTATCACAGAAATGATACGCTATAATCTTTTCAAATAAATCATTTTGTGTACTCTGACTTTTATTGGGATGAAGTAATTGTTGACAAACGGTAGTTTTACCAGACCCAGCTTGTCCTAATATCAAAACACCTCGATACTTAGGTTCATCCAAGTTTTTATCTTTTTCTACAATATCTTGAATCTTTTCGAACAACCATTGCCGACCGTAAAATGTTCTTTTCATTTTAGCGTCAATCAAACTCCTGCCGATTTTGGATTAAAGAATAGCAGGCAAACGGCATCAATTATTTCAACACAACAATGTTATAAGGTCAGTCAAAATTATTTGCAATATTTTACCGTAAGTTTATTCATCAATGAATTTTGAAATCAATTCTCAAATTCGGTTTATTGATGCTCGTAAAGAAAACAAGATTGTTTTAAAAACAACACTCACTTGAACATATATTTTTTCAAACCAAATGCGATGTGCTAACGTCTGTGAATAAACTGTTCCAGACGGCTGCTTGTAGCCAACGCTGTGAAAATTTACGATGTTGGGATTTTTGACATTTTTTTCGTCACCATTTGACTCACTAACCAGCAAAACCTGTCATCATTAGCAAGCCATGCCTGCTGAAATGTATATGTATTTCGTAAATTAAAATAATTTAAATTATTGCTTGTTAATATTTGAAAATGTAAATTCATTGTAATGAGTTTTGGGAAATCTTTATTAAAATTAAACAAATGTAAAAAGCTCGAGAGACTGGGACTGGTAAATGATAAAAAATGTCCTATAAAATAACCTTAGCAAATCTGTGACAAGTTTTGCAAAATTTATGGCATTTCAGCATACACAATTCTTTAATCCGCTGCCTGAACTCTCTGATCCTGACTGGTTCTCTTTAAATGAAAGAGAAGATGATGATTTGTTGCTTACAAATGAAGAAAATGAATATAAATTAATGGTATCAACCACATTTTCCCTTTATAATTAACAATCCATCACGATAACATGTTTGATGTGCTTTGAAAAAGAATAAAAGACACAAGATGGTTAAGTCTGTTATAAGCCTAAAATTGTTATAAGTTCATTTGTGTACAATTTAGATGAAAGAGATTGCTGATAAAGGATATGATCTTCTTTCTATTGGAGAAACAAAAAATGGATCAGAGGTAAAATGTTTGGAAAAGTGTTTTGAAATATTTGGACATTCTAAATTCATGTTAAAAAAGCACCAAAAATTAGATTGCTGGTGATGAAGATTTAGAAGAAGATGAAGAGTCTGCAGAAGTTATTGATGATGAAACTGATGACTATGATGGTGTCAGTCCCGATACTGGAGCAGTGAATCTTAATCAAGAGGTTAGACAAACAAATACCTGATATATACAAAGACAAACAAATATATTTCTCTGGATCGTTCTATTTAGTTCTAAGGAATCAGAAATAACTTTGCTCGTTTTTGCACAATTAGTAAGCAAATTTGTCTGTTTCCTTAAGGCTATGTTGCATGTTTTCTAAAAATATTTTATTTTAATGTGAACTAGATTGACATGGATGAAAGTGCAAACATGATTACAAATGGTCAAGATGCACCAAATCCTTGGGTTTAAACAAATATATTCCAAATAAGAACTTGAATTTTTGCCTTTAGATGTTTAATAATTTAATAAAGATTTTTCTTATGATACATTTTATTGAAAAATTACCTTTTTACAAAAGATATTATGCAAACATCATTTTTTAAATTAAATCATTATTGTACCGATTTGTATCCAAATATCAAATCATTTGCATAAGCCTTGATATCATATTAAATACATTGTTTTTATTTGATCTCATGCATATTTGGTCAACTTTATATAATTCAATGCCTACAACATGTGATAGTTTCAAGCTTGATTTGAAATCAATTGTTTCTGAGAAAAAAATCTGCAGTTTCAGACATGCAAAATTTTCAAGTTACAGAAACTCAGATGTTTATAATGGGCAAATACAATAACTCTACACAACAAATGCCTTTGTACATGTTTATTACATGCCAATTTGTGTAAAGGAAACTTTGAGGCTTACTTTATTTATACTAAACTTTCTCAAAGTAGCAAATTACTTTGACAATAAAAGCAAATGTATGGCTAAAGTCCCACTTCATATGCAGGATTTATAAATATAATATGAAACTTACAATATGTACAGCCCAGAAAGCTGATATCACATGCAAATATATCTAAACAAGACTAATGGTTTATATTTGCCATTATCTTGACCTCAATATAAAACTACGAGGCATCTTTACTTCTAATGTTTTCAACATTTATCTGAGCAACAACAAACTGCTATGATTCTTTTGCGGATTTGTTGGCTCTTAAAAGAGCCGGTTTTATTTCAGGAAGTCAGATTATTTCAATATTCTTGACTCTGAGAAGATTTTTGGCCGGAGGAACCACCAGTCTTTTTAGGTAAAAGGACAGCTTGAATATTAGGAAGAACACCTCCTTGAGCTATCGTCACACCAGACAACAATTTGTTCAATTCTTCGTCGTTGCGTACGGCAAGTTGAAGATGACGGGGGATTATTCGAGATTTCTTGTTGTCACGAGCAGCATTGCCAGCCAATTCCAAGATTTCCGCAGATAAATACTCAAGAACGGCAGCTAGATAAACTGGAGCACCTGCACCAATTCTTTCACCATAATTTCCTTTTCTTAACAATCGATGAATACGACCTACAGGAAACTGAAGTCCAGCTCTGCTTGATCTGGACTTGGCTTTTGCTTTCGCTTTTCCTTTACCACGACCAGACATATTTGAGACAGAAATCCAAAGTAAAGTATTAAACCTTGAAATTTAACTCGATAATGACTAACGTGACTGAAATAATTCAATGATGGCGAATGAAGCGGATCATAGATTTATAATTGTGCGCCGGATCAACTTTAACCAATCACGATGTAATATTTTAGATGTCTTCGCAGACGTCCGGGTGATATGGACCAATTATAATTAACATTGACATGGCAGTGATTATCCTTATTATGCGCAGATTTGACACATTTATATTTATTTTTTGCTTTCAGGGATATTAGTGATTAAATTTTTTTTTAAATGTCTTAGTAAAACCTCTCGAATCTCTTTAAAACATGCGTTTACTTTGTAATTAGATGGTTGCGGAGGGAATAATCAATGCTGTTCAGTTTTACAATAGTTTCATCAAATTTTGAGCTCACTTATTTGAATATTGACAAGCAATTAAATTGACGGTGTTTAAAGCGCACATTGTTCATGGTCAGTGATGGAATAAAGAAATCCCCATCTAGGTAGTTAATTGTCAATTCTGTTTTTGAATTGGTTCAGTGAACCTGTGTATGAATTTGCTTTGCAAAACATGTTGTAATTTCATTATTGAGGAAGTTATTGGTGCTTCATCGCTCAAAATATTGTGGTTTTAAAGGACTTATCGAAGACATCATGCTATTAAGCTTTTTCATTCAGCAGAATTGAAAATGATTCAGCTATGGGAAGTGAAGATGCAAGCTTAGGAAATTTCAACATGACGAAAATGAAATGTGAAAACAATGTGTATAGTTTAATTAATTTAATTAATTTATTTAATTTAATTTAATTTACGAAATTAAATTAAACGAGATTAGCAATGATGCAATTTATTTTTCTAAATACTTACAATACGAAGCAACAAGTCTGTATTATTATATAAATCTATTCATCAACAAAAACGTCTTGTCTCTGCTCATCACCAGGCTCCTCCTCGTCGTCGTCATCAACACCATCATCAAAAGGAAAATCATCTTCGCCACTCTCTTCACTTTCATCATGTTGAGGTGATGTTTCAAGATCTTGAAGCAATTTCTCTAATGTTAAATTATTCTCTCCCACAGAGGAAGTAATTTTTGGCATATTTTCCACATTATCTTCATTTTTTACAAAACTTTGACTTAAAGATTCTTCCCCAGACCCTTCAATATCAATCTCCATATCGTGATCGACTGATTTAAGATGAACTAAAAATTTCAATCGTAGAGAAAATCAAACTTAAACTAATCCTATGAAATTTATGAATGAATGACTTGTCGTAGCATACCTGATTTTTCAGCTCTAAAAACTTGATCACAGCTTTGACGACTGTTTTCTTCATTTGAGTAAACGTTTTCCATTGTTTCGTCAACGTTATGGACACTACTTGGAAATTCATCTAAACTGTTCTCATTAAATATTTCACCACTTTCTGAGGGAGGTTGACTTGCCACATAAGATGAACGACTTTCACTGTCCATTTCATCATAAAACGGATTTCTTTCAATATTCTCTTCTAGTTTACTAAACTGATCTCCACTCTAGAAACAGAAGATAACCTTTCATAAAATAAACTTAGTCGAAAAAAAAACGCTGCAAAGTGAATTGTACAATCATGAAAACAACGATTCTTATGTCATAAAGATAATAAAAAGTTAAACATTCATACCTCCTTCAGTAGTTCTTCGCATTTTTTCACCATTTCACGACAAGTGACAGTAAATGCATGTTCTTCACCTAAAAATTCACATTTCACAATGTAATACCAAAAGTACAGCAGTAAAAATATCAACTTTAATGAAAAAAGAGTCAAAAGTGATGAATGGAAAGCCTCTGGATGCTCATGTAAACATAACAAAAACTCGATATTTTCTTGTGTAAATAATATTCAAATATTTAGAGAGACATATCTTCCTGTAATGTAACATTGTCAATTAGATTGATGACGTTTATTAGTACGTCATCAATGACGATGCTGGAGAATTACAGGGAATTCAAATTACGAACCTGCAAAGAAAATAATCGGTTATTTTTATATAAAAACATACCGTTGTACAAAACACAATTGTTTAAAATAAGATTAACATCTGCCATAAATTCTTCTCTGTTTCTGTAAAAATGATCCAGTACTCTCTAAAATTAAATGTGCGCTTGTTTACGAAGTATTCAAATGTTTTAAACTAAAATGAAAAAGGAATTACGCTTCGCAATTTTTCTAAGTCCATTGGTTGCTTGACAATCTCATAATAATCAGGAACATTTTTCGCATTAACTGCTCTATGAAATGGCCATGTCTAAAAAATTCAACAAATCATGCTTAGTAAAAACAAACCAAACTATTAAATAAAAATTATACAAATACAGTAAACTTACATCGGCAGAAGCTTTAATGTGCATGATTACATTTTCAAGCATCCAAGAAAATCCAGTCTAAAATGGACAATGTTTTTAACTGAGTGAAATAAAACACAACTCTATATAAAATTTCCTGATTTAGATATGAAATATTGCAACATTTGCACATAAAATGGTATGAGATGACTGAATTACCTGAGGATCATCACTAAGTAAAGGATTGATATCTTTTTCAATTTGAGTGATTTCCTCTTGTTTCTGTATATATGCAGAAATAAAAAATTCATAAAAATAAACGGTAGGTTTGTGGAAAAAATGATTAAAATTTACTTCGTCAATCATCTTCTTCGCCATGTCAGTAATTTTCTTTGCCACTTCAGTTAATGGATGGTTTTCACCTACATACATAAACGTCAATACAACTGTTCGCAAACGTGCTCTCAGGATATACATCAAATACGTCATGTTAGCTATACGAACCATTATAAAGAACACAGTTGGAGTAAAGTAAGTTTGTATCTTGAAGAAATTCTTCACGAGATCGATAAAGACCTTTTCGTATTCTCTGTTTATACAAATGAAGAACATGAATGTGTTTAGTAAACAATACGATGTAACGTAGCTATCTTTTCTTTTTTTGATAAAAAGGACATACTTCCTTCATTGTTTGTAAATCCATTGGAGTTTTCACAATTTTGTAATAATCAGGAACTGTTCTAGCTGATACAGGTGCATGAAAGGGTCGACTCTAAACAAAAACCAGAATGATGAAGACATATATTTCACACCAAATATTCCCAAGTTTACTCACTTCTTTGATGTCTTTCAATTTTGTTGAAATATTTTCCAAAATCACTTGCAGCACAACCTTAAAAAAAAGCACGAGAAACACATTTATTACAATAATGATAAAAAATTAAAAATTGATTTTAAAAGATTTATCTACCACAGGGTTGGTTCGTCTTCTGTTGGTTTGTTTATGACGCTTCTAAATGACCAACAAATGGAAAATACAATAGCATAGTAAAGTCTGTAAAAATATTAACTTAATCACAAAATTTATACCATTAAATAATCACAATGCATGACACCAGATCTTCTTCGTTTCTTAACTAAAGATATTTCAATTTAATCAAAGTTTTCACTTCTTAGACTGAAATTTTATTTAATTTCATACTCACCTAATTCTTTGGGAAATCGTAAAACCATAGCTTTCCGTTTAAGGTCGTTGGCACTGAAAATCAAATCATCGTTTATATTTAAAACACAAATAAACAACTAAGAATTCAAGGATAAAAGGTTTCCACGATGCTTTTTAGACAAGTAACATTTAATGAACCCATTGTTAAACTCTCATTTAATTTTAATGCATGTAAGCTTGAAGACAACATTCAGTCGCTTCATAGCAAATAAAGATATTTTCAAGAAAAACTATTATCTGCGATAAAGATCACAAGCAAAAGCCAAAACAACCACTTGTTATAGAGTCAAATTTCAACTCCGTTTCAAGTCCAATATTATGATATTGTAAGGTTTTATTCTTTAAAGGTTAAAGTAGAGAAAAGCAATAACAGCAACAAAAGTTAACTGCATGTGCAGAGATACTGGTTGTTACAATATTGCAACTTCATCAAATACTTACTGATCAATAAATGCCTTTCCTAAAGTAATTTTCGTTCCTTCAACTTTCACTAAATCATCTTGTGGCATATTCATTTCATGTTCAGCCACTTGTTCATCAGTCATTGCAACCTGAACAGGACCCGTTACACCCGGAGCTTCTTGGTACATTGGACAATTTTTATTTGTTCTCATGTGACCTATCTCTCCACAAGCTCCACATTTCAACTGTTGAATAAATATAAAAGTTATCTGGTTAAATACACACATATATATATTCGTATGAATGAAGATAAATGATGAATTTTTTCACATTATTTGGAGCTTTTTCTTTCTTCTTCTTTGGTTGCAATGCTTTTTCTCGTTCTTTTTCCTGGTTACGTTTGATTCTTCGCAGCTGTTCTTGAATTCTACAAAATCGCATCATTTCAATAAATGTTTAAGCACTCCATGAAAAATCAAAGCATTTAGATCAGAGGTCTATTACCTTCGTCTTTCCCGTCTTATTTCTTCTTTATGAACCTCGTCCTGACTCGCAAAGTTCTCTCTGAAGGAATTAAATATGCAAGAAACATAATTTACTCTGTGAAACTCTCAAGCAATTTTATAATAAAATTCGTGAGAATATAATCATAGAGGTAATGGACGGGGGGTGAGGTGACATGGATCACAGCTGCCAACCCCCCTGAAAGAAAGTGAATAGTCGGACAAATTTTCTACTTAAGGCGACAAAAAAAACGGGAGAAAGAAATGATGACGTGTATTTGAAGACAAAATGTCTGCCCTTACATGGTGAGTTGGGGAAAATAACTACTGCTGCCTCCACCCTCCTCTCCAGAAATGATAGCTCCCTAATGCCTATGGTCATAATACCTGTAGTTTTTGTCTTTAGTAATGTATTTAAGATATGCGTCAATAACTGGCTGATTTTTAACAACTTCAGTACGAGTATATTGTCTTCCTTCTTCATCTTTAAATGTTCTTTGAATCAACAAACGACGACCAGTCTACAACATAACAAATATGAAGAAATTTTATATAAATGAACAAACGACGATCAGTCTACAACATAACAAATATGAAGAAATTTTATATAAATGAACAAACGACGACCAGTCTACAACATAACAAATATGAAGAAATTTTGCTTGAAACAACAAACGACGACCACTGTGAGCAGGCTAATAGACTATAATTCACTAAATTTTCATTATATAAAAGCGCGAGTCCAACCTTATGACATTTTATGTGAGGAACAACTAAATACTCAAAATAGTTTTATTGAGAAGTTAAACTAGGGATCCAAGGATAGTGCAAAGTTTTAAAAAAAACTAATAACAGTTGAGTCGTAAAACCATAAAATATTTTATACATTTGTTTCATTTCTCCACAAACTTCCATATGATTTTTATTCATGAATTACGAGGTGAAGATCCATTGACAAACATATTTTCAATCAAAGCTATCACAAGGTACAATCTAAATTAACACTTGTTGTCTTGTTTTTAACGCAAAATACATCTGAGCAATTTTATTTTTGTTCACGGTGTAATGTTTATGGTTGTGCAATGACTGCTTTTACTTTACGCATGGGGTTACACCATGACAGTGAAGGTCATTGAGGTAGAGTTTGAAAAATACATTTGTTGAAACATGCTGAAGACGACAGACAACATGCAAATAATATATGAATGTAAACTTGCATAATTCACTCGACCAACTAATGGTATTTATAAAAATCAATTGTATCTTTTAGCACTGCTCTGATAGAATCGATAGCAATCTTTGCTCTGATCACTCACAATTTACTAGAAAAATGGTCTGAGCATGCGCAGTCAACTCAACCAACTGTCCGAGTTCATAGTCATGGTAACGACAAGCTGGATCTACTTTCACAACTTTAGGAGTAAATAGCCCGCCTTATTATAAGATATAATAAACCAAGCCATTTGTATAGTCTTTGTAAAGTCTTTCAACCAATATGTTACGAATTTTTCATTGATTTTGGATTGCAAACTGACTTATTTAAATAAATTTATTAAACTAATAGCTTATCAACAGCAATGTAATTCACGATAGAGAAAAGCGTCAGAAATAAATCCTGAAATAAATTATCAATTCTCTTACAACAGTCATCTAGCACAAAACGATTGTAAAACTGTGATTCTTTGATTTGCAATCATTTGAACTTAAGTACATTTGAACTGATGTAGTGTAAATTTGACATGTTATCATTGTTCATTTATAACAATAACTTACCATGGTAGAGGATTCTAAACTCATTACTGATGTTGTATCGTCATCAAAACCTGTTTTACCATCTTTTCCAGGTTTATCTAGACAATAAATACATAATAGATAAGATTAAATACATGACAGGATAAATACATGATTGACAACCAAAAATACATGGTACATAAGGGTGAATTGATAAAAGGTAAAGTTAACGAGAACTTATAACATACACGATGCAATGTTAGAAATATACAACTTTTCTATCGTATCTTGACAAGATACAAAGGAGGAACCAAGAGAAATATACAAGTTTTCTATCGTATCTTGACAAGATACAAAGGAGAAACAAAGAGAAATATACAAACCTGAAGTTCCTTTCATGTCGTTCTGAAAAAAAACATCGTGAAACATAAGACAAACAAAAGCCAAACTAAATATTTAAAGGATGTTGACCAAAGTAGAAAACTTACATTCACCTTACGATCTTCGTTAAGTAAACGTTGAAGTTCTAATCTTTCTGCTTCTTCTTGTTCGTGGCTCAACTGCAAAACGAGTAAAAACAAAAACGTCACGTTAGATAACGTTCTTCACGAATAAAAACAAAAACGTCACGTTAGATAACGTTCTTCACGAATAAAAACAAAAACGTCACGTTAGATAACGTTCTTCACGAATAAAAACAAAAACGTCACGTTAGATAACGTTTTCACGAATAAAAACAAAAACGTCACGTTAGATAACGTTTTTCACGAGTAAAAACAAAAACGTCACGTTAGATAACGTTCTTCACGAATAAAAACAAAAACGTCACGTTAGATAACGTTCTTCATGAATAAAAACAAAAACGTCACGTTAGATAACGTTTTTCACGAGTAAAAACAAAAACGTCACGTTAGATAACGTTCTTCACGAATAAAACAAAACGTCACGTTAGATAACGTTCTTCACGAATAAAACAAAACGTCACGTTAGATAACGTTTTCACGAAAAACAAAACGTCACGTTAGATAACGTTTTTCACGAGTAAAAACAAAAACGTCACGTTAGATAACGTTCTTCACGAATAAAAACAAAAACGTCACGTTAGATAACGTTCTTCACGAATAAAAACAAAAACGTCACGTTAGATAACGTTTTCACGAGTAAAACCAAAAACGTCACGTTAGATAACGTTCTTCACGAATAAAACAAAACGTCACGTTAGATAACGTTCTTCACGAATAAAAACAAAAACGTCACGTTAGATAACGTTTTTCACGAGTAAAAACAAAAACGTCACGTTAGATAACGTTCTTCACGAATAAAAACAAAAACGTCACGTTAGATAACGTTCTTCACAACGTATTTACAAATTGTAATTATAATTTTAAAATTTTCACGTTATAGATGACCTGTGAAGACGATTTTTTATTTGATAACTCTCTTTCAAGATCCTTTCCTAATTCATCATAATCACTATCTTCATCACTGCTGCTTTCTTCATCCGTTGATAATATCTCTTTCGATGATAAAACTCTAACAAAAAAAAGGCATGATCTTTTAGCAATGACGTCATTCTTATCAAGAGCTCTCCCCAGACTTTTTTCCCACTTTTACATTTCCTTACACAATTTTACCTGTTTTGCAAATCAAATAATCGCTGACATTCTTCTTTATATCTCTCTTGATGTTCAGCAATTGAAAAACGTGATCCGCGAGCGAACTTACTCATTCCTTAAAAATGAAAGATTATTGCTCTTCGCTTCAATAAAGTAGTCTCGAATGTGGTTTGTTCAGTTTTCTCAAAGATGTCGATCGAGAGCAGCAAAGCCTCTTGTTACACCAGAATGTTCATGGAAATTTACTATTTTGCAACAGTCATTTTGTAAGGCTGCACTTATTTTTTTGAAATACACACTTATGCCCCTGCTGTAAATAAAGACATATACATATATATATATATATATATATATATATATATATGTAAATGTAGATATAGATTTAGATATAGATATATATACAACACACTTACTTTCTTCTCCTGATTTAGCAGCTTGAGTTGAACGTGTTCTAACAACATCAATAACTTCCCATCGTGATAATTTCTTGATCTACAGAAATATAAATAAAGATCTAATCCTCGTTTTGTCAGCAGATATTAATTATAAAGTTTACTTACTTCTTCTTCGGGTATACCGAAGTTACGGAGAACTTTTCTGGCATCTTTCAATGATAAACGTCGTAAATCTGCATCAGTACCAGTGACTGTTTTTTGTTTTCTTACTGAAGCATTCTGGCTACTGTTTTCATCCTGAGAGAAAAACCCAAACAAATGTTAAAACAAAGATCCGGCTGATCCAAAGTGAGCTACCTAAACACTGGATTACTTCACAAATTTGGCACAAGCTACTGTTTTCATCCTGAGAAAAAAACCCAAACACATGTTAAAACAAAGATTCGGCTGATCCAAAGTGAACTACCTAAACACTGGATTACTTCACAAATTTGGCACAAACTACTGTTTTCCGAATGAATACATTGCCACAAGTTTAGAGACAAAATTTCAAACGATAGTAGATTATCTTATAAAGATAATCTTATTGAAAATAGGATTAGCTTCAATTACAGTGAACTACATTTTAATTTAATATTAGCGTTAATCGTGCTCTCAATAACCCAACTTTAGTTCAATACTTTAATTATAATTCCATTCCCTGCAACTTGCTTCGCTTTTTTGTTTCGAATAAATCTGAAATAGTTCCTACTTTGGATGGGTAATTTGCAGAAATGATCCAAAATTTCTGAGTAAACTTTAGTTACTAAAAGTTCTAATAATCATACCTCAAAGGAAGGAATTGATCGCCATCAAAGTTTAATTTATTAAATATGTATAAAAAATGAAAATCGTTTACCTTAGACGCGACAGGTTTATTAGGGACTCTGACGTAAGAAAATCCTTCGCCACATCCGGTTGGATCAGCAGGACCATTGACTGCAAGTTGACATTTTCCTCGCATCGCAGATATAAACGCACGGGTCGTGTTCCATGGTGCAGTTCGAACCTAGAATGATACATTAAATAAGCATGGGTCGTGTTCCATGGTGCAGTTCGAACCTAGAATGATACATAAATAAGCACGGGTCGTGTTCCATGGTGCAGTTCGAACCTAGAATGATACATTAAATAGAGTTGAAATGTTACATACGCAGAATTTCTTAAAATTTGAAATATACAAAATATTTTTTCCAGCAAAACATTCTGTTATTTCTACTTTTTGTAACCAGCCTAATGACTAATTTATTGTTATATTTTCTAGTTAATCTAGAAAGCAGGTTAAGGTTTTTTTTAGTTTATCTAATGACCAGATCTAGTTATTATTAGTTAATCTCGTGAAGAAGCTCATGGCAATTTTTGCTAATAAAGTGACGACGGTTCTTGGTATATTTTAGTGATTTAGTACTCACTTAAAATAATAACATTGATGTCATAGGTAGCAATACCTCATCGTCAATTTTTTGAGTTTCTTCTTCATTATCATCATCACTAGCACACATGTTTTTCTCGCCGTAACCTGCGTCCTAAATGGTGAAGTTATGGAAATAACTAAAAAATTTTAACCAGTGTATACTTCATGTAGACATAATTACTTTTAATCTTTGCTCTCCAGCTTGCATACTAAGATAGGCACAACATTGTTCAGGAGTCACCAACGCTCTCATCTCATCTTCCGAAGGGAGGCGAAATTCATTCTTGAGGACCCACCAATTACAATCAACACCTGTACAAAGATTTTTAGAGATAAAATTTTCTGAAGAATTTCTATACTTGATGGATTTTAGAAGAGAACGTACTTTCCCCAATAAACACAGATGAACTGTAATTTAATTTCAGATGGAGAATAATGTGAATAAAATAAAAAAAAGTGATGATGTTAAGGATGATTACCAATGCATTTATCATGCGAAAACAACTATCTTTTGAAATAAAACAGATGCAAAAATAAAACAAGAATACGAGTTTATATAACGACCTGTTCTTTTAAAGTCAGCGCATAATTTCAGACGTTTTCTTATGCTGCTCTCCGAATGATGAGGAAACGCTCTTTTGATGTCGTCCATTTTTATACGCCGAGGATTGTCGGGACTTTTCCAAAATAGTCGAAATATAAAAACCTTGAATATTACAGGAGAAGAGTGTGAATGGCATTAGTTACAATAAACACATTATCTTCCGTTACTTCATACTTTAATAACAACAAAGAATGAAACCTGGAGAAAATCACGTGCATGATTATTTGCTTTCTTTGAGTTAGGTCCTGGGACTTCAAACTTTGGACATTCTTGACCAACACAAAACATAGTTTTTACCTCACGTATATAGTAACTAAAATACAAAAAAAAACCTTCTAAACAAAAAGCCAATCAATATAGTCGGGTTAACTTTAGTGTATATCGCCAGAATAACATGAAATAACTTATTTACAATTGTGATATGAACTCAATAGTGAAACACAGGATTGAAGGAAATTATCTGCGTAAATTATATGTGTATGGCTCAAATTGATAAAACGTAAAACATGCATTTTGAAACACTCCTGTAAACATAACACTATTTATTGTCCACTGAATTTTTTGCCTTCGACTCACAATACTTCAAGACAGCTCAAAGAAAAATATGAGAGCGTAAGAGAATTTCCAACAATTATAAAGGTTAAGGTGTTTACAGAATGGTGAAAGATGTTCAGTGTAAAAATATGTTAACAACATATAATATTCTAGCAACTCGTCTTTTCTCACCTGTTGTTTGTTCTGATTATGACAAAATCCGTTGAAGGCAATGCATGTTCATAGATTGGCGCACGAAAAAGATTATTCTCCAAAGCCTAAAGCAAAATACACAATATAGTTATTTGGATGAAATAAGACGTGAAGGTACTTTATAAAAAAGATCGGTGAATGAGTGAAATTGTAAACTAACATCATACTTTGGGTCACTTCAGAATTATTTTCTCAACTAAATGTAAATTTAGTCCAACTTAAATATGGCTCGGTCTAACACCTGTAAGGATTCGCTTGGTTTTAGCTGTCCCAAGAACGGTGATGTTTGATGAATGTAGAGTGTTTCACCATATTCAAAGTTAGGAGCACCTTCATCCTTACCGTGTTTCTAGAGTGACAAGAAATGCGTTCATAAAACTAATGAAATAACTCACATCGATTGTTTTCCAGAAATTCAATTCAAACTTGTTTTGTTACAAACGTAATTTTAAAAAATTGCCCTCAAATTCATAGAAACATTCGCAAAAAACGATGACCAAAAAAATGTTTGAAAACAATCAGCTCACATAAAGTCAGAGTTTTACGCTAGAAATTTTATTTTTTTTGAACATTCTATTTGATGCAATCACCAACAGAAACGCGACAAAATACACAAAATACGTACCCTTTTATAATAATTAATAATTCTGGTGTTCATACCAACTGCCATTATGAGAGGGGGATATTCTTCACAATACTCAGCTAGTATTAGTTCTCCATCCATTCCTGAAAGATCAGTTGCATCACGCATAAAAAAAACTTCACCTCCACCAGAAGCTAACCGTTCTTTTTGTCGTTCCTAACACCAAAAAAGGCGTGTTTTATTCTGCAGAATTATTTGCAATATTGATTGCATGCATCTAAATCGCCTTAAGCAATAAATACAAACGTAGCTAACATGAAATGAATACAATGATTCACCTTGGCTTTCTTCTTTATATGTTTAAGCAATCCAGAAACAGAATGAGGACCAGGGGCAGACAATTTTCCATGACTGACCCGTTTCAGCAAAGGACGATGAAAATGTCGCAAGCTCTCTTTAGAATTGAACGTTGGGAAAAATGGACGTTGTAACTCCATTGCTGGTGTTGAATGCTTCCAAATAAACAAAAATAAAACAATTCACTGAGAAGAAATGGCGGGAAGAAAAACATCGACGAAACTCGGCGTTAATCAGATGGTGACTTGTGACTATGGTTACTTAACAAATATTATAAGGAACTAATGAGAATGACAGTAATCTAATTAAGATGAGAAACAGCTATAACAGAAGAAATTATATCTCACTTGTATTCGATTGGTTCCCATTGTTGCTTGTAGACTGCTCTCTGCGGACGCTAAAAATGAATAATAAATTCCTAAATATATTCTGCAACTTTTAAAATAAGGAACGAGTATAATCTTATTTAGAGATAACGATTTGGGTGAAAGAAAGATGCTACCATCTAAAGCATTAAAAAAAAACACGAGAAAAGTTCCATATTGTGTTAGGCAAGAAATCTGAAGAATTAAATGGCTAAAAATAAGCATAATTAAAATTAAAATTGATTTTAAGGAAAACTCATAAAATTTGAGGATATTGTTTTTTTAGCAGATATATATTCAATAATTGTAGAAAGTGTTGAGTCGGAATGCACGAGACAAAAATACGTACTGTGCTTGGGATTATAGTGTTCGTCATTGGATATGTTGAATGGATCTTTGGTTGGTCGATTTAAAAACCCGCTCTCCTAGAAACACCAATGAAAACTATATAATTACGTTGATACAAAGTTTATGTTGAATCTAACAATGGAAACGTAACAAAAATGAGCCAGGTCATCAGGGATACAGTGAAAGTATCATAAAATGTTTTCTGATAACTGAACGAGTTGAAACTACGTATAGGAAAATACGTGAACATCGTATGTTTCTTTCATTTATATTTTACATTAACATCATCAAACCTCATCATCGTCCTCAGCTTTATTTTTTCCAAGCAATAACTTCGACTTGTTCTTTGGTTCCTACACAAAAGTACGTAAAGAATAATTTACGTTTGGTCGATTTACGTTGTAATTTATCCATACGAGTACAATCGTTACTCCATCTTATACTTCAGTGTCCTAACTTACTCGTCTTCGAATTGGTTCTTGCTCTTTCTCACTACCTTTGGCAAAATCTCCAGGAATTCCAAGAATTAGGTTTTCATCATTAGGATCAAGAGCCATAACCTCTGGTTCAGGTATGACTCCCATCGCCTACAATAAAAATGCAAAACAAAAATTCAATACTTGACTTTACGGTATGAAAGTACAAATGTAATATTCTAACACCAGGTGACACTGGGAATAAAATTGATATTTTAGCAAACTTGTTTAAAGTACCGTTACATGAGACTTTATCTTAGAAAATTATTTCACTCATAGAAATAAACTGACCTTGAGATAAACTAACACTAAACTAACCTTGAGATAAACTAACACTAAACTAACCTCAAGATAAACTAACACTAAACTAACCTCAAGATAAACTAACCTACGCAAAGAATAAACTATCTCAGAACAAACTAACCCAAAGTTTTAACGAACCTCAGAATCCCAAATGATTTTATTTTCCCATTTTCCATATATTAATTCTTGATTATCAACAGGAAATATTGAATACCAAGGTTTACTATCTTTACCACTCTCAGTTAATAATAAATTATTAGCTTTCATGGCAGCTTTTGTCTTCTTAATACTTTCTTCTAAACCAGATGGTTTTGTTCCTAAAATTGACAATGAACCAGTTTGATAATTGACAACTAAGACAGAAAGAAAAAATTTTCCATTTGTCAAAGCTATAACATTTCAAAGCATGCTTGCGTTCATTAATGAAGAGACCACGGTTTGCCATCATATCTCTAACAAGATTACATAAAATGTAAAAATATCTTTTTACCTTGAGTATTTTGGTTGGCATAAGCCAAAGTAGTGCGAACATTGGCAGACGGTATCCATCCAGCTATTCTTTCAGCCAGTGGATTCAATTTAACATCTTCATATGACCAAATGATGTCATCTTCCCATCTTTTGATTGCAACCAAATAGAAACAATCATCAGAAGGAAATTTTGGTATTTCTTCAATAAATGTTTCTTGTTGTTTCTCTTCAGTATCCACCTTTAACGGTGAAAATATTAATTAATATAACATCAAAAATGACTAACATTTCATATTTGGGAAGAAACACACCACACAAAGTGCATGGTTTGAGTACAGTTTGAAGACATGAAGGTCTGCCTCTGTTGTTTAAACACTTTATGATCTAAAGTCTATCTCTATCATTTAGAAACGTTATGGTTTTTTTCTGTCTGTCAAAGACAATTAACTTAATCTATGTCTGTCAACCACATAAAGGTAAAGGTTTGCTCATCATGTTATTTTATATAAGATTCAAACAGAAGAAATAATCAACCTTATCTTTGAGTTTGAAGCCATAATCTAAGTTGGATCCATCATCATCAACACCAAGCATTTCATACCAAAATGCTGCTGGACCATGTCGCCATGCACAAACTTTTTGTTCTTCATTATTCATTTTGGTTCGAGAATGATTTATTGATAAAGCTGATATATTCTGTTTTTCCATTGGTTTCATTAACCATTCCTGTGAGAAAAATCTTTATTGTCAACATTCAAACAATGTTAAGGTGATCATGGTTGAAGAGGTTAGTGTGATGGTGTTGTTAATGAGGTTAAACAGTTATGCTTTTGCAAATAAAATTAATATGAAAAATGACATTTGTATAGTTAACATGATAAAACTATCATAATAATAACCTCATCATCTGATGCATACTCATCATGAATCTTAAATGAAGTAGCCACAGGTGTGATAGGATCTTCAAGTTTCTTTTTTTTCTTTCTACGTTTCTTTGCATTTCTCCACAACTGTGGTAAAGATGATGGTTTGGCAGGCCAAAATAACCGAGAAAAACGTAACACTTTGCCTGGACGGAACTCGGGAAATAAATCAAGAACTGTTTTACCATCCGATGTTTGAGGGAGATATGATACATAAGAAACATCTGAGAAAGAAATAATATATAAATTTTACCAGTTAATTTAATGATATAGACAAAAACTATCAGTTAATTTTATACCATCTTTCTTGGTACCATTGCCAGTAAAATGACCAGTAATGAGTGGTGGTGGCATAGCCAATTTATCTTTTTCATCTTTACTGAGAGGATCTTTAAGTGATTCTGAATAACATATGACATAAATAACATGATTGTTGCAGTTCCTTTAATGCTTTGAACCAATGTGAAATAATAAATATTTCTAGTTCAAAACAAAGTGTTTTATGGATTAAAGTAAAGTTTCCAACCTTCTTTTCATCATCGTCATAATCATCATCAAAATCTTTAATATAAATATAAATATTGAAAATCTCATGAAAATTATTTTATTCTATAAATAACATCAAACCTTTGGTCTTTTTTTCAATTACTTTTGAATGTTTTCTGTCAAGTTCTTCTTCATCATCAGCTAATTCAGTTATTTCACTAAAGTCAGCAGAATTGTGTGTTTTTGATACATCATTGTCATCTCCTGTAAATTGAAAATTTTAATATGTAATACAAATGATTAAACAACCTGATTTTTCTCTCTAACAAATAACTTACAGAAATTTTTTCATAAGTGTCCAAAGAACACATGATATATATTCATCTGGGCCTAACATTACTCTTACATTTGTTATTCTTTACTGTAAACAACAGGCAATAACATTTATGGTCTTCTTTTGGCCATAATAATGATCTGAATTGTACCTTCAACTTTTTTAATGATAACATCTCTCTCAGATTTTTCTTCAAGATTTGAAATATCTTTTATTAAACTTCCAAATCCACCAATACTTTCAAGGTGTGACAAATGTCTGCGACACTCCTTTCAGTAGATAAAACGTATTGTTGTTAGACTTACGTAAGTTACCTTCACCAGGTGAAGTGGTCAAGTCTAGTAGTTCTATAATCTTAAATTTCTTTGCACATAAATTGGAATTTGGAAAAACGGACACAGTTTACAGAAATATCTGAAGACAATTTGTAATCTAAATCTTTTACACCCAACCTCATCTAAAATGGTTTCATCTTCTAGTTCACCTTTTTCATTAATATTACCAAAGAGAAATCCAGTTAAATTCCAGTCGGAATCCTTATCTCCACCTTCTGCCGCCATCATTAATTTTGTCCGGTAATTTTAGACGCACCAGACAAGCGTCTTTTCGGAATGTTATGCATTTATGGAGATTTATGGCGATGGCAGTGAACTCAATATTTAAATAACTGGAATGATAACTGAAGCCAAAAATTGAAGCTAAAAAAATATTTGTCGTCATCATTCGTCATCACTCGTGTTTCTCGCGTGTTTATAAACAATTTGTATTTTTGCATTGTGTGAATAATAAGTTTCACGATATGGCAAACGGCAGCCAGTGAAAATTTCTTCAAATGAAAACTTTGAGTGGAAGTTTTCAAGCATGGCTATCATTCTATTGACAAATAAATATTACGAGAAGGATAACTTTCTTTATGACACTGCGATTTAATGAAAAGGAATTTAGAAGTCCAAAACGAGCTTTTCAATTCATTCATGGACGAAACTCTCTTACTTGACATTAGTTGACTTTTTAAAGTAAACACCTAAAAAATGTAATTAGAGCAAACAAAAAATGTCAAAACGCGTTTACTAGAATCATACCTTATTGACAAAAATTAGAGAAAAATAGAACACATACTAAGTCTATAGATATATATTGAAATTCTTCACACTTTTTTCATGTTTAATTACACATACATGTAATTAGCGCATAAAAATTCGAAGTTTCAACATGTGAATAAACATGAAGTAATCCTTATATAATCTCATGGAGAAATCGCCACATTCTCCGTTGGTCCTTGCACTATACCTTGTCCATGACATTCCTTAGGGTACTCTCCTGAATTCTCACAATATATCATCTGTAAATACAAAGTTTGCAGTGTACACATTTTGATTCTTCTTGCAAATTTCTAGTGGTGATTGCTTCCTCTTCACTATTGAAATCAGATTCCTTGTCCTAAAGGAAAGCCGCTGGTAATTATTTTTAAATATCTTCAGCAACTTCATGAACAGTTCCAACTACTATATACCACGTGAGCCAACGAGCTTCCAAACTGTATATGTAAAGCATCAATATTTCTTTTCTATTTTCTATTTTCTATTTTTTCTCATCTTATTAGACTCCGTGTTATTAATGAATTGTTTTTGTATTGGAACCTGGTCCTCGCTAGAGATTTTATCGTCGTCAAGGGGACGTCGGAACCACTGGTCAACACCATTGAAATGAATATAACTATTATTATATCACCCTTATCTTATACTTTTACATTACAACATATCAATGTTTACAAATGAAAATTGCCTTTATTAACCGTCTAAATACAGAAGAAAATGTGAAACACAAAAGATTTCTCTTCAAGTTTGGACAAATACACTTTCTTCAAATTGTCTTCTTTTCTGTATTCACCAAATTTTAAGTATCATATATTGTATGTAAAAGTATAAAGAAGGGAACTAACGCCAATGATTACAAGAATACCTGTCAATGGTAAGATACTGGTATGATGATATAATGAATATGCGGGCGCGTACGTTTGTTAAGCATAATATTTAAGTCCCAAGGAAGTATAGTTCTAGAGACTCTATATTTTTGAAACTAATCTCTAACTTTATAGTTATCACTAACTCATATTACTAATTAAATTCGTGAATTTAAGTCACGAAAGACAAGTTAAAATATACATAAATATCTAAAAATGTAATCTTATGTTAAGTCTACACAATTTCAACATCGTCATCTACGTCAATATCACCGACTAATCTGGCAAAAACGTGATAATTTTCTCTTTTCGTGTCAGGTCTTTCAACTAACAAATCATTGAAGTCAATGATTCTTCATCCAAATCTATTTCATTGTCATAATCAGGGAAAGAATCACAATAATCTGCTTGATATTCTCTTAGTGCTTTTTCACATGAAACTTCTTCATAACGTCTCATTGAAAGTGGAGTTAAAGTACAAGAAAGTTCATCTGATTGTTTTGCTCCATATTCACATTCACTGGCAGTAAATTCACCATCAGAACTGTCACTGCGGCATTGGGAATCGAGAACTTCAAACGTCTCTTTCATCTCTCTATCATCCATTGAATCATCTGATTCGGAAAATCTTTGTAAAGATGGTTTGTAACGAAAACGGTCATCTGAAAATCTCGATACATTATAACAAGAATCATTGAGATCACTATAAGTCGTAAAACTCGCGTTTCCAATACTATACTGTTCAGCATTTTCAATATTCGCAATTTTTTGCATTTCTATGCTTTCTGGTTCATCAGAAATAGACGTTGAAAGCGAAGTTACATATGGGTCTTTCAAAAATCCACGATTTATTAAAAATGGTACTTTTTTCTTGAAATTCAATGGCGATTTGTGAGTAGGATTAGATTGTGCAGTTCTCTCTTCTTGCTTTACGTGAACTGGTAAGGACGAGATAGTAAGATTTGATGTTAGTTTTACGGCAGTCATCGTCTCACTTTCGGAGTCTGTGAATCTATTCTCTCTGTCATCAGAAACGCTATCGTGTTGTGATGCAACTATCATATATTCGTCAGGAGACCAAGAGCAATGACAGGATTTTTAATCAATGGATTATTTTTGTCAAAGACTACATGTGGTGAAGGTTTATTTTGGTTTCGTACATCAACACCACTATCACTCAAACTATGTCGAGATGGAGAAAATTGACGAGAATTCATGGATTCTGAGCTTCTTGAGCTAAGTGAACCTTTCTTCTCTATGCCAGATTTTGTTTTATTAGATATCTTATCGGCAAATTCATTCGTACTCTTCTTTTTCTTCACAGCAACGACGACCACAATGATTACAAACATTAATACAAACGCAAAAACAATTCCTGCAATCGCTCCAATACCTAAATCATCACTTCTTTTGCCAGGAGCTATGCATTCATACGCCTGCCACATTGCAACGCAAACCTTTCCAGGGCATGGATTGGAAGCGCAAGGATTTGGAGGAAGACAGCCGCTGGTCAAAGAGCCTCGTTCAACCGTTAGTAAACCGTATTGATTGGTGACATTTAAAGATATGACTTCTCCATTAATTTTGATCTTTGAAAGACATCCCTTAAACTTTTTCTTGGGAAAATCAGAATTCACTAGGGTTCCAAATAACCATACTCCGTTAAAAAATACTAAAGGCGAGGTAATCTTTGTAGCAGTCTCAGTATCGTTAACTCGTAACTTAAGAGTGCTTGCAGAAAGATCTTGAGTTAAAGACACATCGAACCAATGACCGTTATTTACATATTTCTTGGATAAAACTAAGCGATCTTCTTTTCCAAAAACGTTCCCAGTTGATAAAGAAACGATCCCATCATTGATCTATAGATAAAAATCGGACAAATAAAAAAATTATAATTCACGATCGAAATAGGACTTTGGGCAACTTTATACTTGATGATTAACTCTTAGTTGACGGTGGTAAAGTTGTTTAACCATAAATTAAATCCCCAAACAAAGCCATCTACATTTCATTAACTTTTCAACGAAATGTTTCGTCAACATTTAAAGAATTCTATATTATAGTCTTGTCAATCCTGTATGGACGAAGACTTTCTTCAATTATCTCACCTGTAATTGGGTGAAATTTCCATATTCATCTTCAGCTTGCCAAAACAAACCATCGCCTTTACTTAGACTCATCGATAACACATCACAGTCACCAACATTTCTTCGTCTGCGATTTTTTACCATCATTTCCGTAAATTTACGCTTACGAAGATAGCTTTCATCAAACTTAAAACGTAGTAAAGCCCCGCTTGATAACGAATAGGGTTTCGTTTCTAAAAGGAAAAAATATTTATATAAGTTTTACAAAAAAAGGTTTAAGTAGAGTGGAGACGAATTTTACTACAAGAAATATATATTTATCTAAATAGATACCTATATCTAATGTTTGGTGTTCATCCACAAAAATAACACTAAAAATTCGACACTTATTTTATTACTTTAATAAAAATTGATGATTGATAACTATTCGACACTTATTTTATTACTTTAATAAAAATTGATGATTGATAACTTACCTTGGTCACATTTAACACCATAATAATTGACATTGGTACAACGACAAAGAGTATCAAACCATTTATCAATACAGGTGCTTTCATGGTGACAGAAACCTTTCATACAACCAGACGATACTCTAGGACAGCGGTTCATCACACGATATTTTGATGCCACGATATTAGCATCAACCATGACGCCATTTATAAAAATACCACGCATGCAACCGAGAAAATCAAACGAAGATACGTGATTGGTGGATATGACATCCAATGAAGGAACTCCACCAATATAAAAAGATCCATTGCCAAAAGTCAGGTTACTAAAACAAATTATAACGTTGACACAAATGTCCTTTATCACTATACGTAGTTCATCAGAGAGTTTAGAAATCGTCTAATTTTTATGAAATGAAATAAAAGTCATAAAGATGGCTATGCTACACCAGTTCATACCTGTTGCCATAGTTACCACGAGAAGAATATACATTATCATCAAGTTGCAAGTGTCCAATCTAGAGTACGTAGGTTAGAAAATTATTAAAAAATGTCACAGAGTGAGCAGCATTATTTCTGTAAATGTGCCTATATACCTTTGGTTTGCGTTGGTTTAATACAGAACGTAATAAGAATAGAGTTGATCACAACAAAAATAGTGATAAACTTACATTGTTATGCCTAGTCGCTGTAAGAGTATGCCAGAAACCATCAGAAACATCGTGATTTGAAGAAATGCTTAAAGTACCTTCTCCAAGATTGAATGAATATCGAAGAAAGCCATTGGCTATTTCTAGTGAGATAAAACGATCACCATCATTATTGTAAGCGATCAATGCATTTTTCTCCATGGTGGCAAATTGAAGTGAGATGTTTGTGCTTCTTCCATCGTTATCGAATAACAGGCTATTTAAAATTATGTACGACAAATCGGGAAAACCAATGCTTGAAACTTCACATCTTTCTCCCGTGGCTCCAAAATCACACTGACATGTTGCTCCCTTCGATGTTCTAAAGCATTGCGAGAAATCACTGCATGGATTAGGATCACACAGATCTACAGGTGTTTCACAATAGATCCCTGTATGATTGAGAGGACATTGGCATCTGTAACTATTTTCGGTTGGAACACAGCGACCAGCGTTACAGTAAATTCCTTCACATATTTTATTCGAGTATTGACAAAATTCACCAAAGAAGCCAGGCTGGCAAATACAACTGTATGTAACTTTATGAGGAATAGATAGGAATATTTCGGAACCAGAATATAAATGAGTACGATTTTTATGTGATATTGTTATTTTTCGTTTACATTCCCCGCGAGCGCAAGGACTGGACAAAATACACAAATTATAATCTGTATCTATGACGGTTACACCAAGATCATGTAGCAAAAACATCTTGCAGCTTTTTAAAAGGGTAGAAAGGTTTTGAGGACATATGTAAACATCATTTTCAGATAAAGCAGCTATAAGAACATCTGTCGTAGTTGAATTTGACATCTGTATGCTGTAAATCTCTTTTTTATAACCAACAGCGCAGGGTAAGCGACTCATCAAATGAACAATATGCTCAAGAGGTGAGAGTCCAGAAAGGCGTAAAAGAACACTATTTCTTACGGTTGTGTTTGAGACAACGTTGAATGAGATATTAATAGAGTAAGAGACTTGGTATAGATCATCTCTTGCGTAAACATCGATAACATAAGGGTTTGTCGTGCTTTGTTTCATCTTAAGTATACAGGAGTTGGGTTGGAAGTCAAAGATATCCTTATATTGACCTTGAATTGTACATGTATAAACTTTAATCTCGTCCATGTCCAGTGGACTCACATCTCCAAGGACTCCATCAATAAATCCATTTGCTGGAACATTCACTTTCATATTTAGAGTATCAGCAAGGGGCATATTATCGTTTACATCGTCAACAATGACTTTACATGAAACAACAGAAGACCGTTTGGGAAAACCACTATCTGTAATTTCAATTTGTAATGTATAAACAGAGACAATCTCTCTGTCCAATTTTCTAGTCGTAAGAAGTGTTGAAGAATATTTATCGACTGTAAATGGCACATCCTTTAAATTGATGATATTAAACGTATAGGGATTTTTGTTTGGATCAATATCTTCATCAGCAGCTTCGAAACGTAAGACTAAGGACCCTGGAGAAAGGTTTTCCTTAATATGTCCGGGACAGATATTTGGAAGAAGATATGGAGAATTATCATTGATATCTGTTACATAGATCACAAGGTAGGCGTAGTCTTGCAAACTTGGATTGCCGGTAGAGACAGCCATTATTGTGAGATTATATAAGTCGATCACTTCACGATCGAGTGTCTTGGCTGTTTTTATGAAGATCGTTTCTCCTAACGTATCGAATACAAAGGATTTGTTCGTGTTACCATTAGTGATGCTATATTCAATAGGAAAATGGAATGTAGGGTTTCTATCGTAATCTGTGGCAGTAAAGTTGGCAAGAATGCTACCAACTGGAATATTTTCTTTTACTGACACCACGGCAAAGTCGTTTACAAATTTTGGAGGATCATCGTCGTCTTTCACGTAAATGATTACGGTGGCTTTATTTGTGTTGTCTGCAGTAAGTATTGTTTCGAGAGGATTGTAAACAAGGACGATGAGGTGGACAAAATCAACTTGTTCGTAATTCAGACTGCCACACAAGTAAATCTCCCCAGTTTTTGCATTAATGGCAAAGTTATTGTAACAAGAAATTGATGGACTAACGAGTCTATATTCGATAAAGCCATCTTGTCCTTTATCTTGGTCTGTAGCACTAACTTTACCAATAATGTTTCCAACAGACACATTTTCATAAACAGAAAAGTGATAATTTCTCTTTTTAAGTTCAGGTACAAATTCATTAGCACCACTTATCTTTACAAATAGTGGACAACCAGACGTCTTTTGCATTTTTCCACTGTCCTTTGCAAGAACAGTTAGATTATATGTCGTTTGTTTTTCGTAATCAAATGAAACTCGAGAGACAATTTTCCCTGAGCGTGGGTCAATGCTGAAAAAGTTCCCCTGTTCACCAAGTAAGCTGTAAGTTATGATATTGTCGACGCTATCTTTATCAGTTGCAGATATTACAGTGATTTCAGAATTTGGAAGATTATTTTCAACAATTACTACCTCATAAAACGACTTTTCAAACTGAGGAGCGTTATCGTTAAAATCGACCACATTTACTTTAACAATTGCTCTGTCTCTCAACGGTTTCTCGGCTGAATCAATGGCTTCAATGTCAAACACATACATTTTTAAAAACTCGTAATCCAGTTCAACACTCCCAACAGAAATGGAGCCATAATATGAGTCTATAATAAAATACTCAGCTTGCATTCCCGGTAGTATTCTGTATTTTACCACTCCATTCCTACCTCTATCATCATCCATGGCCGACACATAAAGAAACTCTTTTCCACGAACATAATTTTCTGCCAAAGTAACAGTGTATTCATCTTGAGAAAATTTAGGACTGTGAAGATTTGGTGAGGTAACTATGATGAAAACTGTTGCGTTTATTGTTGAATATTGAATGGGAATACCACGATCTTTTGCTTGAACTTCAATAACATATATCATGTCATTTTTATCGCGCAAATCACCAGTCACTATTACTTTTCCTGAATGAGATTCAACAGAAAACATACTCGTTCCGTTACCACCAACAACATCATACAAAATCTCAGTATTACGGCCGAGATCAAGATAATCATTTGCTTTAACTGTAATGACGACATAACCATATCTCGATACTGTTTCAGCCAACGTATGATATTGAAAATGCTCGAATATTGGTCTATGATCATTCACATCAACAAGTTTAATTGTTACGTTAGCTGTTGCAATTTTCAATGGATGATTTGGATTTCGCGCATGTGCAGTCAGATTGTAGTAATTAGATGTAACGTCGTTTTTATACGAGATAAATGTAAGCTGAGAGGCAACAGTAATGATTCCATGTGAATTTATACGAAACAAAGAGCTAGCCTTATTGTCTTCTAAGCAATAAACGACGTCGGTGTTCTCACCGATATCTTTATCAGAGACGTTCAATTTCATTACAACGCTTCCCAAAGGCTGCAATTCCAAGAATTCAACAAAATAAGTTGAGCGAAGAAAGTTAGGAGGATTGTCATCAACATCAGAAACTATAACGGTCAATGTTGTGTTATCTGTAAACTGTCCATCACTTACCAATATGATAAGTTTATACTTTGCAATCAGTTCTCTGTCAAGATTCTTGTTGAGAAATATATCACCAGTCAATGAATTGATTCTGAAAGCATTGCCAGCATTGGTGAAAGAATCCAAAGAATAAAAAAGACTCGAAGTTGCATCTTTATCATCAGCATAAACTGTCGTAATATACAATGACGGTATCGCATCTTCACAAACCACAACAGGTAAAAGTTTCTCAAATTTTGGTGGATTATCATTGACATCAAGTATATCTACATAAACTACCACTGTACTTTTTTTAGCAGGCCAACCATGATCTTCAGCTTCTACTGTAATCTCAAAGGAAATATTTTTTTCTCGATCAATGCTACGAGAGGTGTATATACAACCAGTTGTTTTGTTTATATGAAACGATTTTGTTGCTGTATCAGATTGAATTTTGTACTTAATCAAACCAAATAAACCAGAATCCACGTCTTCAGCAGAAATGCATGCAACTGAGACATTGGTTGAATTTGTTTCATCCATTGATATATGGTAGTAAGATTTTTCAAACAATGGAGCATTGTCGTTACTATCGATAACAAATATGTTAATGTTTATATAAGTTGAGTAGATTGTATTTAGACTGGCTTTTATCCACAGACTATAGTTGTGCTGCCTTTCATAATTCAGTTTTTTGAGAAGTACCAAGTTTTTAGAAAAAATGCCAAGAGAGAAATGGTGTTCAGGGTCGCCACTAGCTACGCACAGTGAAGTGTTATTTGATGACTTCACATTGACGATAAAATCACCAACCTGAGCCGTTTCAGAAATATTATATGAAGTAGAGGTCATGTAAAATATAGGAAAATCTTCTTTGGTAACAGTTATGAACACAGTAGTCATGTCTTGGAGTGCGTTCGATTTGAAATTTCGAGCTTCAATATTTAAAATATAATTACGAATCGAGGTTATTTTGGTCTTTGTAAAAAGATAGCCAGTATATGTTCCGATATGAAAGTCATTCAAATCATTTTTTAGATGGTAAGTCACTTTTCCGTTGACACCTTCATCTTCATCAAATGCTGATACAACTTCTATCAATCTTCCACGTTTTGCACCAAGAGGAATGTGAGCAGAATATAATTTAGGACGGAAAACAGCTTTATTATCATCAATATCCTCAATAAGACCAGTAATTTTGACTGTTGTTATCCGAGATGGATTTCCTTGATCGAAAGCTTTTACGGTTAACTTGAAGCTATCCCCATGAATTTCACGATCTAAATTGGCAATGCTAAAAATCTTCCCTGAGTCTGAGTCGATTTTGAACCAACCCAAGTCATTCACCAATTCATATTGAATTTTTGCATTAATTCCTGCGTCAGAATCAGTAGCATTCATCACACAAAGCTGCGTACCTAAAATAGAGCCTTCAACGATGCTAGGTTGAAGAAATGGGTTAACAAATACAGGACTATTATCGTTTTCATCAACGACAACAATAGTAACCTTTAACACGGTGTATAAAGATGGTGAACCTTTATCTCTTGCCTCAATTACAACAGAATAACTTGAACAAGATTCTCTGTCGAGAGGAGCAATGGACGATAAATATCCTGTCAAAACATTTATTTGAAGAAACCGAGTTCTATGTGAATGAAGAATACTGTAAACAACAGCACCATTTTGGCCAGCATCCAGGTCAAAAGCAAAGAATTTAGCAATATTCTTTGCATAGTTTATGTTTTCTTTTACATATATTTGTGAGTGAGAAACTTTGAATTGAGGAGCATTGTCATTAACATCCAAAACTGAAATACGAACAGTTGTTACATTTTCCCTGCGAGGTGAACCTAAATCATACGCTGTTACAAAAAGGTTATACGACCGCAAATTTTCATGATCAAGTGGCTTTGTCAAGATTATCAAACCATCAACAGGATGAATCGAGAACGTATTATTGACATTTCCCGTGGTTATTGCAAAATTTATTTTCCCGTTAAGACTTTGGTCGATGTCAATTGCAGAAAAACGTAAAAGCTCGGAACCAATAGATAAATTTTCATAAAGATTTAGATGATTTAAATGAGGCATAAACATTGGTGAATTATCGTTGACATCATCCACGATGACTGTTATGTACTGATGATTGTGTTTACTGGGATTGCCATGATCCTTAGCTTCAACTGTCACATTAATAATTTCTGAAATCAAGTTTTCTCGATCAACTCTAGTTTTCAACATCAGTGCACCAGAATTTGGATCAACGAGAAAGAAATTTATAGCGTGATGTCCCTGCAACTTGTATGATATTTTACCATTTTGACCAATGTCTTTATCTACAGCTACAACAAATCCAAATGGTTTTCCAACATCTTGATCTTCTTTGACATGGATCACATTTTCAGAAATAAAATTTGGCATATGGTCGTTCACGTCTGTAACATTCACAAAAATAAGAGCAGTCGTTGAACGCCGTAAAGAGCCAATCTACAGGAATCAGACACAGTGACTTCAAGTTTATAATGAGAAATGCTTTCTCGATCCAAACTATTTACTGTGAACAACGTTCCAGAATTTGAAATACGAAATACATCATTTATATTGCCAGAAGTTATGGAAAATGAAAGAGTTGCATTAACACCAACGTCATTATCTTTTGCTGATAAAGTCAACAAGGAAATATCTCCATGAGAATTCTCTGGAACTGAAACGAAAAATGGTGGATGAAGACCAATTATCGGATTGTTATCATTCACATCCAGTACACTGACATAAACAAATACCGATGAAGACAACGATGATGGGCTACCATAATCACTTGCTTTAGCTTCAAATAAATAAAAATCATTCTTTTCACGATCAAACAAATAATTAGCACGTAGCGTTCCAGTTTCAGAATTTATCATAAAAAAGCGTGCATCATCCCCTGTTAAACTGTATGTTACTTGACCATTTTTTCCAGAATCTGGGTCGATAGCGTGAATTTTACCAATTTTAAGACCAACAAAAGAGTTTTCTTCAATGGTAAATGAATAGTTTTTTCTATCAAATTTCGGTGCGTTATCGTTTATATCTTTTATGATGATCTTGAGAGTCGTTGATGAGCTCAAACTATTTTTCCTTTATCAGAGGCAGTTACATTTAAAGTATAAACTGCTTGCACTTCACGATCAACGATAGCACGAACAAATATTTCACCACTACTTTCAATGATATCGAAAACACGATTCTCATCCTTTGCAATACTGTAAACAACAGTACCGTTTTCACCTTTATCTGCGTCTTCAGCTTTCATTGTTAAGATCTTACTACCAACAGTCGTATTTTCAAAAATATGCAATGAATAACAAAACTCAGCAAACGTTGGAATATTATCATTAATATCAAGTATTGTAATTTCAACCATGCTCGATGTTGATTTGGGAGTGTTGCTCTTTAGATCAACAGCAAACACTACGAGCTTCACGTGCTCGCCATATTTACCCTCTCTGTCTAAGTCGTATTTGACCGAAATCGCGCCAGTTGTATAATTCAATGAAAACGATCCAAGACTAGAGTCATTAGTTAGGAAATATCGTATATCACCATCTGATTTGTCTAATGTGTCTGCACGAATGTTTAAGATATAAGCACCAGGTTTTTCATTTTCAAAAACATAACCCTCGTACTGTTTCTTCGAGAAAGCCAAACCACCTTCTTTGTATAAAAATGCTGAAAATTCTTCCTCTGTTTTTCGTTTCCCGCGTCCAGAATCTGACACAGCTAATGTTGTCGTATATAAAACTTTTTGTGATGGTGATTTAGCAAAAGAAACGTGTCCATTCTCGCTGATATTGAAGTACTTAGAATCTTTTCCAGATCGTTGACTAAATGAGAATGTTTTGTTTAATGGCAAGTCAGGATCCCAAGCAGTTAATGACGTAATATAACTATCTTTTGTAGCTGATTTAAGGAAATACATTGAAGGTGAAGATGTTAATCTTGGAGAGTTATCATCGACATCTTTTACTTTTACTGTTATTGTCTTTGCATTGAACAGTCGGGACTTTTTTGATAGAGCAACATCTTCGATTTTAATCTCAATAAAATGAACAGAATCTTCTTCTCTATTCAAAGGTTTATCAAGGTAAACGATTCCATTTTCATTTATGTGGAAATAATTTCCATTGGGTTTTGCTCTTGCAATGGAGTAATGTACGTCACCGTTTTCTTTAGAATCGTCGTCAGTAGCAAGGCACTCCATAATTTGAGAACCAACGGAACGATCTTCTTTAACTTCTACAGTAGAAGAACAAGACGTAAATCGTGGAGCGTTGTCGTTTACATCCGTGACATTAATTATAAGAGTTTGAATGGCGTATAAAGGTACAATTCCGCTATCTCTGACAGAAATATTCAAAACGTAACTTGTAATGGTCTCGAAATCGAGTTCTCTAACTAGAAATACTTCTCCCGAGATATGATTCATTTTGAAGAATCGGTTCCTATTTCCAGCAGTGATTGAATACGCCAACTGTCTATTTCTTCCTTTATCGTTATCACTGGCATTTGCTTTGTAAACCACTTCACCAACGAGAACGCTTTCGGCCAAACTTCTCCCAATGATCGACTTTTCAAATTTTGGTTTGTTGTTATTGGCATCAAGTACAATCACGTGCACAAAACAAGTGGAGTTGTAATAAGGTTTTGCAATATTTGTAACTTCAACCAGCATGTTAATAGAAAAAATATTTCTATCCTCCAACGATGAATTAAGAACCAACTTGCCATGATTCTTTAAAACTATAACACCTATATTAGATGACTTAACTATGGTGAAATTAGAGAGCGCATTTTCGTTTAAATCCGCGTCATAAGCACTCAAATGCAATATGGTTTTACCAACTGTAAAATTTTCTTCAATACTTACGATATAATTCCTTTCACTAAATTCCGGCACATTATCATTTTCATCACCTATTTCTACTTCAATTTTCGCCAGATCCATAATGTTGATTTCAAAACCGTTCTTGTACGAGACTTGGACATAAAGTATGTAGCTGGAAGTACCAGTTGTCAACTTTACATCTTCAAGATCAAAGATCTTCTTTGTTATTAATATATCATTGTTCGCTTCGTCCAATGCAAAATAAGCAGAATTTTTTAGCAAGCTTATTTTCATATTAGTCAACATGTTAGCAAAGTTCAACTTTCCAACTTCTGTTCCAATTGGCTTATTTTCATCGACGTAAAAGTGATAGATGGGTTTTGGAAAAACACCAAGCTCATTTTGTAAATTGACAATTACTATATCAACAACGGATGTCGTGTTAAGATCAGATTTCTGTAAGTCAGCTGCACCAATTGTCAATGAAAATTTTGATCGGTTTGAGTTTATTAATGACTGCCATAAGTATAGACCTCCTTCTGGGAATATACCAAAGTAATCTGTTCCGATATTGGCGTCAAGTATGTAAAAATATTCCTTGTTTTGATGAGATGAAGTAAAATTGAAAAATACTTTATTGACAGGTGTATTTTTCAAAACAGGAATTGCATCAAAGTTTTTATGAATAAATGGTGACTGGTTATTGTGCTTTGAAATGTACAAAGTTAAATTAAATAAAGAAGAAAGTTGTGGATGTCCAAGATCAGACGCAACAATGTATAAATTGACAGCGTTATACGATATCGATGATAGATTTCTAATCACCTTAACATCTCCATTGTCATTTATACTGAAATATCTTTGACCAAACGATGGTTTTGTTTTATACCTGACAAGACCTCCACTAAAAGAATCTTGATCAGTTGCACGTATATTTACAACAATCGAACCAATGGGTGAATTTCTTTTAACAACAATTATATCTTCAGGATGATCAAACACAGGTGAATTATCATTAATGTCATCTATTGAAATAATCACAGACGTCCAACCAAGTAAGATTCGGCGACCTGTTGTTTTAGCCATAACATGTAAAGTGTAGATCTTTTGTTTCTCAAAATCCAGATTATTGGATGTTGTTAATACACCATTATTATCAATAGAGAACACACCATTTGGGTCGCCTTTATACACAGTATAAAAAATCTGTGTAGTTGATTTAGTTGCTGCATTGATGCTCCCAATGTAAGTTTCATGTTGAACATTTTCCTCGACTGTAAAGTAATACAAATCCCTTTCAAAGACAGGTAGATCATCATCAGACAGTATAATAGTGATATATACCAGAGATGGAGCAGTCACGTGATTAGTTTTATCTTTAGCAACAACACGTAGCTTAAACATATCAACATTCTTCAATTTTTTTGTTTCTTTAAAAGTTATAAAACCAGTAGTTTCATTTATTTGTAGAACATCATGAGCTGTGCCATTTATCATGTAGGAAACAACGTCATTATCATCAATATCTGTAGCTGTCACATTAAGAGAAAATATGTCTAACTGACCATGAAGTACATTGACATAATAATCTTTTGGATAAAAAACAGGAGGGTTATCATTTACATCTAAAATTGAGATTTCAACCATGGCTGATGAATAGAAAAGTTGTTTACCATCATCTTGTACTAAAACAGCAAACTTATAGTAATCACAGCATTCTCTATCCAATGAAGAAAGAATACGTATGGAACCAGTTTTTGCATCTAAATGAAAAGTCTCTTGTACTGATGGAATAGGATAAATCATTGAAAATGTGAATTTCGAATTGTTTTCAGTGTCCGCATCAGAAGCTGATAAATTACCAACAATTGAATCCACAATGATATTTTCTCGTACATAAAAATGAAATGTTGCATTTAAGAACACAGGTTTATTGTCATTATCATCAAGAACTTTCAATGACATTTCACAAAACGAGGATAGTTTTGGATCACCATGGTCTTCAACTTTTACACGTAATGTAACCAATCCAGACTTTCATAATCCAATGGTGATTTCAGGATTATCATTCCTGATTTATAATGAATATAAAACATAAATGAGCCTTGTGTTACAGTTAAACTATAATTGATGAGACCATTTCTTCCTTCATCAAAGTCAACACCATTTACCTTTGCAACAAATGTACCAACAGGAGAAGATTCATTAAGTACAACTGTAGGGGTTTCGAAGGAACAAATAGGTTGGTTATCATTTTCATCTAAAACCTTTATAATAATATTAATAAAAGATGATTTTTGATGACTTCCATGATCAAATCCTTTTATGGTCATGTTATATGTATCAATTTCTTCACGATCCAAAACACCACGTACATTCAAGGAAAATAATTCTGAAATTTTCACTAAGTAAAATTGATTTTTTGGATTACCATTTGTGATATTCAGTTCAACCTTAGCATTGTCACCATCATCATTGTCTATTGCTTCTATCAAACCAATATATGAACTTGATGGCTGATTTTCTATAACATTCCTTGACCAAATTACCAACAGATCTGGAGAATGATCATTAATATCAACAACATTAATGCGAAGACTGAAACTATTCTGTTGTTGTGGTACACCATGGTCAACAGCATTTATAACAATAGTAAATGATGGTTCTTTCTTATCAAACACCAAGCAATGAGTTGATAAAAGTTGGTGATCTTTAGTTATAGTGAACATTTGATGATATTTAGATGCATCAGAGATAGACAATGCAACTTCACTATTAACACCACTGTCCTTATCTGAGACATTTAAAGCCAAGACAAAATTACCATTACTATGACATCCTTCTTCAACATTTACTTCTGATATCAAATTGTTGAATATTGGCTTGTTGTCATTGAAATCTGACACAGTAATATTTAAGATTGTCCTACTGCATTTTGGTATGGGATTAGAGTCACATGTTCGTATGTGTACAACATGAAATTGTTGTGTTTCTCTGTCTAGTTTTGCAATTACAACAACATGAATGAAATCTTCATTAGGTGTGAATTGAACACGAAACTTTGAATGATTTAACGCTGAATATTGTAATCTTCCATTTTCTCCACAGTCGTTATCAATAGCAACAGGTATTTCAACGAAATAACCAACAGGAACTTCCTCAGAAACAACTTTGTTGTAAAAATCCGAGGGAAATTTTGGCGAGTTATCATTAATATCGTCAATGTAAACTTGCACATAGATGGCGTTCCTCGAATTTTTTCTTGTAATGAACATAATAGTTTCTAGAACTACTGAGCCATTGATACAAATCTCAGGTAATTTATCTCTGTCTATCACTCGTAATGTGTTTAAATTGCCGGACGTTTTATTGTAAACAAAATTTTTACTTGATGTTGACAAATCATAATTTCGAAACTTGTCAGTGTATTTTCCTAAATTACCAACCAATGTCCCAGGTTGACTTTCCTCCACTACATGCCATTGTAGGATTGTCAAACCATTAACCGCAAAAAAGAAGCACAAAAAAGGGAATAAAACATTTTTCATTGTCAAGGGTTTCCGTGACCACAGACCAAGCGGAACAATTCTCAGCTCATAGGTCAATTTTTCAAAACGCGACGAAATCCATCAAAAAACAAACAAACCTTGGAAAAATCACCATCATTTTGAAAAAGTTAATGCCATCTGCTATTGCCAAATAACTAGTAAAAAGTTTCTGTTCTGTGATCATTCACCATTCAATTTATCGCGAGCTCAAGCCAAGATGTAATCACGATGCGACGATTCTCCAAATGACTTAAATCCACAATGTATAAAGAAATTTGAAAATTCAACAATATCCGAAAGCAAAACATAGGCTAAAATAGAAAATAAATTTCAATTCAAAAATCCAAACTCTGTCGTCGGGAATTCAAGACAAGTGTTGCGTCACGGGTGTTCGTTATAAAGTAATTACTGATTATGAGTGGAGTCAAATTCCAGTTTTAAATTTCATCAGTTAATGATCTAGCAGCTTTCTTATCAAATAATTGACTTAATATGTTTTTTAATTTTTTTTTACTCAGACAAGATGTACAGGCGCGAAATAGTGTGTTTTTCTTGATGGACAAACCAAGGATATAATTACAAGCCAATAAAATAATTTTTAAAGAGGTATTGTTTTACTGTCAATGAACCTCATTGAGAAAACCCGGTGGAAACGGAATGATTTATTACATAAATTATGAAAAGTTTTCTTTTACTATACCAGGCCCATTACAACATTTCCTAACTGTATAGAAGAGAAGCAATAAATCAATTGATTTGACGTTTCATTCGTGCTGAATGATGAGATGACAATGTTAATCTTTTCGCCTCAACTGTTTACACATCATATATTAAACCTCTATTGGTTGTTTAAGATTGTAATCCATTAAATATGGCTGGAATGCGCGGTAATTTCTATTGGCAAACTCACAGCTGTGTAGGAAGTTGAAACTTTGGAAGATAAAAAAATTACCGCCATTTTTTGTGATGAAAAAAAAGTAATGATGGTTAAATTTTACTTACACCAAACCAAACCGAGTCACATGTTAATACTTTGGTCGAAAATTCGCTTCTCAATAAATCATCGCTTTATTTCAAACATTCCACGAGAATCATGGTCATTTATGATTTTGAATCTTCACGTAGCACTTTGAGCAAAGTCATACTGGCAAAAAACGACAAAAAAACCATAAAATAAAAAGCTCCTGCCCATCCATGATAATCCACTATTATCCCAATCAACGGTCCTTCGAGGATCGCACCAAGACCTCCAAATCCTGTTAATGTTCATTACATATAAAAATAAAAACAATTTATACACGTTGCGTCTTTTTTATGTAATTAAAAAAAACCGAAATTTTATGACAATATATTTGACATTAGGACGTACATCACTCTATTAAACAATGGTTTATGCTTAAAGTTTGCTCTCCGGCAAAGACCCGCTACCCGAGCAGGACACAGCGGAGAAAGGTGACCAAGGTGACCTTATGCTTAAAGTTTGCTTAGAGTTCTAGATCCTCATCTTATAAATGGGACGTCAATATAACGTCTTAAATCAGTATCAAGCTGAGCAGCGAGAAAAACTTTAAAAATTCTTATTGATTTAACAGTTAATGCAACTTACCATTTACAACACCAGAAACAGCAGCTTGTCCATTCACTTTTTCTCCAATTTGCGCAGGGAGTGAGCCAGTTAATAGTGCGTCAGGTCCACAATTACATATACCTGCGATAAGCATGAACAAAATATTGAATGAAAGTCCCCACAGACTTGTAAGATGAAAAATAATCAAGGCAAGTGCACTTAGGAATAATGACAGACAGCAGCCATGAAGAACTTGACCAGAAAGAACTCTAAATGATAAAAAGATAAAACAGAGACATTGGCATCAATCCTGTCTTAATTGGGGGGACCATATTCATATATTCTGCTATGCCTGGCTAATTCCTTTTCAAAACAATTTCATTTCCAAAAGAAATCAGCCTGGCATAACTGAATATATGAATATGGTCCCCCCCCCCAATTATCGCAACATTGACACCCATGAACAGAGATGTGATTTCTAATGTCTTTTAGAAAATAAAAACGGTGGCAGTTGAACAGCTATATGAAATATTTGTTTAATAAAGATACCTTTTTATGAAAACACCAATCAAAGCAGACCCCAAGACTCCGCCAATTTCAAATGATGTTGATAACATCCCAGCTTGCACTTTGCTATAATTTAAGGCTTCATGTAAATACATTGGAAGCCACATATAAAGACAGTATCGAACAAGTTTAACACAAATGACTGTCACCACAAGTTCTGGAACAAGTTTCAATTTTATCACTTGAAGAAAAGTTAAATTTTGATGATCTGTTGATGTAGAGTTGCTGACCAATAGTTCCTTTCCTGGAATGACAATGTCTAACTCGGATGGCATTTTCATAGTAAAAAACAAGTATACCAATACAAAGTACTGCAACAGATGGCCATATGAAAATCATTCTCAAGTCAGGTGAATACAATGATTGTAAATACACAGCCAATGAAGTACCCAATATTCCCCAGCAAATGTACATGTTCCCCATAAGCCAAATATTGAAGCTCTATGTTCATCAGAATACCAGGAACTAAGACATTTCACACAGTTTGGCCATGCTGTTGCTTGGAATGTTCCATTCAAAAACAGCAACAGTAAAAACATCAATAAATGCTTGCAATAACCAAAAGTCATCTGAAAAAGAATAAGTTTTAAAATGCTCATTGATGGCATTTTACAGCTTAATTGAATGTTTTCTAAAAGAAATATTAATTACAATATACAATTACAAATTTGTACTTCATACATCATCATAAAATTGGATATGAAAAAAAATCATTTGAATTCTTAAGATCAATTATTTTCCACTCTTTTCCCAGATTGCATAGGTCACTAAGATCTTGAGGGAGGAAAGCTGGAAATATCAACCCTGGGATGATTCAGGGGCACAAATGCACCCAAAAGCTTAAATGTGCTACATTTTAAATTTTTTGTTTAACAACTCGGGGGCACTTAAACTTGTCACCTGACCACTCAAGAGAGGACTTTTTCATTTCTCTGTAGTCTGGTTCTGTTCTATGTTTGCCTTTCTGAAATTGTTCAAATAATTCCAATCAAATAAAATGAGACATTATACCATTGAAAGTGCAGAGCCAACCAAACATATAGTTAAAGCCTTTCTTGCACCTATCTTATCTCCAAGGCCTCCTAATAACATTTGCATGACAGCATAAGGGAAGAGAAGGGCTGTATCCAGCCAGCCCAAAGCACTCTTCTTTATATTAAGTGTCTTTTCCAATTCTGGTTTGATAACACCAAGCGGTTTTCGCAGTAAATACGTTGATGCATATGATAGCCACGTTAAAACAAACGCATATAATTGACGGGTCTGCAATGCTGTAACCATATTTCAAAGTTTTACGAGAAATTCATCAGTAATTAAAGTCTCTGTTTTTCTGGGTTTTACAAGTTTTTACATACTTGGCATAAGGCGTACTTCATGTATTAAATTTGTGTTAGAAAATGCTGAGCTGGCTTTTTTAATTGTTTTCGTTTCCAAAATATGAAATATCATTACAGAAATTTTACTATAAAAATTAAGAATGAAGAATTTATAACAATGCAAAGTTATTATTACCAAAATTATTACTAGAACAATGTATAACTTCATAAATCCAAAGTACAAAGCTTCAACGAAAGTTGCATCTTCAATGCTTGCAGTTGGAAATACATACTATCACAAAGTTTGTTAAAGACCTGTAACATAGATACGCTTGCTTGTTTCTCTGAATTATCGAGATGAATTATATTGAAAATGTCAGCAATTGAGGGAGGATCTTCCATCGTTAAATGAGGAAAGAAAACTGTGACGTTATCTTTACAATTAACGGGAATCTTGACTGTTGCCGGATAAGCTATATAAACCTAAATAGAACTTAATATATTAGAAAAATCATTGTTATCATAAACGCAACCAATCTTATACCTGCGATTTACAAATAATATCGCTATAGTAAACGTAACAGTTTATTTTGGTGATTTTAGGGCAAGATATTAATAATCAATAAAAACAAAAACCTGTATATTCTGGGGTGTCTCTTATCCTTAAATTTGTCTTTGCTCTCTACTCTTATTTCAATATTCCCATTAAAAATACAAATCACTGTCTTTCACAAAAGTTCACAATAAAATTATTTCGTCGTTAATTTTTTCGTAAACAATATAAATATTCCAAATCACTTTTCAGAGAATAAAACAGTCTATAGAATTACATCAATCAATCCCCTTGATGAAAAATCTAATGAAAATCTTTACCTTGTTTTTGTTTTTATCACAATATTTTGAGCCAATTTCATTTAGTGTTTGCCTGAGTTTTTCTTGAGTGCTTCCAGCCAGATCATGAAGAAATAATCTATTATTATCAATCTCATTATGGTTTGTCCAGGCAAGAAGATGAGATGGTGGCTTGTAGGTATGATAATAAACAACATGGTAACATAAAGGTACCTTTGAAATTTGCATTTCATTATTGATGGTTTTATGAAGATAAAATAACGATGTAACAACACCTCCTTGATGAAAAATACCATAGAAAATAAAGCCAATGCTATTCCATAACAACCAGGAATAGAGATATAATTTTGATGATAACAGATGAGAAGAAAACAGCAAAACCAATGGTATAAGAAGAGGCATAAGAAACCGTGGCTCTTGATGAGGAAGATAAGACAAGATAAAGAGTGGTATGACAATATGAAAAGTTAGGACACACTTATAGAATGTTGTGTGTTTTATTTGATCATCGTTCAAAATAAAAGCAATTTTTTTAATCTGGGCTCCTATTTTAATAAAGAAAAGCAATGACAATGGACCAAATAACAATGGCATGTTGACAATAAAGTGTGTGAAAAATGGATGTTTCCCATGATCCTGAGCATGATGAAAATTATACAGAATGAAATTCCAATGAGTTATAACAATTTTACGATATTGTAAATAATTAAAATACCAGGAGTCCACAATAATAAAAACACATGTGCAAAGAGAAAATCCCATGGCAATGCAAATAATTTGGACAAGAAAAGGAAGGATAGTAGTTTGTTGAAATTTTATATTAAATATAAGATAGCCAAGATAAGGTACTATGGAAAAAATGAGAAATGTTTGTCTACAAAATACTCCAAAAGACGTGAAACCACCAATAAATAAAAACATTAAAATATTCTTTTTAGTAATACCATGAATGGATACCCGATCAGTTAGCTGTATTAAACACATAATGAGAATCGCAGATATTCCTGTTTCTAAGGTGTTGGAAAATGGCCTACTAGCAAAAATCATGGTAACATAGGATGTTGACAAAACAACAAGACAATCAAATGAATTGATAGCCAATTTTTGCGTAATAACATAGACAGGAAGATCAAATGAGAGTAGAGTAAAAATGTAAGAAAAACACGAGGAAACACTAGCAAAAGTGTTGGTGAAACATCAATATAAGATGAAAACTGTTTGAGAAGTAGAAATGGAAGACCTGATGATAAGAAAGCAGATAATGGACTTCGAACAGGATAATCTTCATACCACTCCCAGGTAACTGTAGAGTTTATATGAAGTATATCTCTTGCCATAATTTCTGGTGATTGGAAAAATTCATCAGGAAAAACATAACCACTTTGAACGAAACAAGGCACGACAAGTCGAACTAAAATAAGTGCAGCATACAAACTTTTGATCCTTTCCTTTTCCATTCCATCGACAATGTACGAAATAATAAAATGATAAACACGACCTGTGCTCAGTGTGGTATGCTGTTTATTCCATTTATAAATATTACAAATTTACCTCGCCAAAAGGAGCGTGGGCAGTGGGTACTACAAAGCGTCTGGGCAGCGTGATGGGTACTAAACATCAACCTTAATGACCTTCCCAACTAAACATTATCTATAATATGAATGTTCGTTATATTTCTGTTTTAGGTCGTAATTTTGGTATAAATTAGGGATATAGATCAAATGGATCAAATAGTCTTTCATTTATTCACCTCTCCCCCTTTCTCCACCCCCCTCCCCCCGCAATATAGTTCCCCGGTGTAAAAAGCCCACAATTGTAAAGGAGATTTTCATGGTAGCTATAGTCTATACTCTATAGACCGGACAAATCAGTCGTAAACTTTTATTTCTCAAATAAACAACTCAATAACGACAGTTGGCTTTTGTTTTTAATTGTTATCAATAGCTAGTTTTAAAATTATCTATGATATAACCATGTGTTAATTGTGAAATAATTTACATCTGTCGACTAAAAACTCCTACTCAGACAAATAATGCTGTGCATTGTTCGCCCTTAACTAAAAATATCCGATCTTTATTTTTAAAGTTGTTTAGTTACTTGAAGGACTATGTATTGTACTATTCTAATGCATGATATCTGGCGCGTGTCTTGTACTGAATATGTAACTCATAGTTAACATAACAAGTAAAGTTTAATTTTATAAAGAATGACGTTTTTTCAGCTGCAATAGATAGAATTGAGAGTTTGCATTCAAGGCACCAGGCAAACGGCGTTTCATTGTTACTTCACCATGTTCGTCGATCGATAAAAACCAAGCCCGTTTTCCTCGATATGCCTTCAGTTTATATGAAATGTAAAATGCATCGTCCATTTTTTCTTCAAAAATAAACTGATCAATCTTCACATCTTTCGTCTTTCTCTGAGAAAAATTACTGCATAAATTTTTGGTATCAAAACAAATATTGAAAATATAGAATCATGAAAAAATCCTGATGAAAAATGATAGCTATAATGTTACTCAAAATCATAAAAATTGATAGCCTTGTCAGATTAAAACAATCAACTGACAGACACATCTTATGAACATGTTGTAATGTCAAGAAATTATGGTAGTCACGTAACCTCTAGAAGATATTATACTCACCGTAAGAAAAATATGTCCATTCTTATCAACTGCTAAGTATGTTGAACCTCCAAATGAATCCTCTCGAGGGCTGAATGAAATGAGATTCTTGGCCACTGAGATAACTTGAATTTTACCTGTAATTGAATTTTTATCAACTTACAAAAAAATGTTCGAAATGTATTAAAAATATAGTTATTTTTATAATTTATTTATTTGTGCATTTATGTACATATGATTTAAAGGCAGTAAAGCAAGTGTGAAAGTTTTATGTTTAAATCATTGCTGAAGAATCTTGTGATTTGTTCAACGTGAAAAATTCTTTGTTTATCACAAACAGAAATGAATGTCGTATACAGGTTAACACAACAACACAAAAATAAGTATATCTACAAAGACGGCGGTTTATGAAGTGATTTAAAGTTTATGAATACTGTTGTAGCAAGTTTCTGTAATATTGTTTTTTACATATTTATACACATGAAAGTGATTGAACTCAAAAAGTTATTCCATGTTACAGATAAAATTACTGACCACTTATGTTGACAAAGGAAATGTTATATTTGTCTTTGATGAAGGTCAACTAACAGCAGGGTCAACAAAGATTACGATAACAGATAGTGAATATAACACCAAACCTGTGACCAAACTCCAGCAGCGCATTGTTGTAACTACATTGAATACTGCATATATATACATATAGGACAATTTTAAAAGCTGCTGCTCGAAATATTTATATATATAGCCCAAGTTGAGTCGAAAGAAATCGACTTTTTTGGAATCATTTTTGTTTAACTTGTCATCTTCGTTACTAAGCTATATATTGATATAGCGAAATCCACGTAGATATAAAAAGTACAACAAAGTAGACTAAACTAATTATTAAGAATTGTGGTTTTGTTTTTTATCTAACAAAACAGAGAACGAATTGAGACATAGCCATCGTCATTGTTAGACGAAAATTTTTATCATACTTTATTTTATATTGCTAATGGATAGTAATATAAAAATGTTTGTTTAAATGATATAGTTATTATGTTTAAAACAAATAAGTCACTGAAAACTTGGATGTAATAAAATGCAATGACAAGTTATGAATAGCAACAAAAAAGGTAAATATGAATATTTTAGGAACTAACTGAATGGGTCGTTGATGTTCTTTGTTGCTTTCACTTCTCCGGATTGTGACATAGTAAGAAAAAAACCATTTTTATTTTGCAGTCTACAAATTCTTCGTATTGGATTAGCAGGAAGCCTTCGTCGATTCAGAAACTGAACATCTCTACTTTCATCATGAAGATGAAAGTCGGTGAAAATACAACCTTGACGATGAGAAAATTCTTGATGATTTGTACATCTCATAGAGCAATTCATTTCTTTGATGAGCTGCTTTAAAACCTTTTACATTTCATTAAAATACGACGATCGCGATCAAAGCGTTTACCAAGACTATACTAGATTATGGCTACATTTCCGTTTCCTGGCTTGGTTTTCGAAATCAAAAACGTCGTTTCTTTTAGGTCTCATCTGACCTGAAAATGACCTGAATATTTTTGTTCATTTTCTAACGCAACATTGATCGACAGAATTTATCAACGACAGTCTAGTATTAATTGTCCTAATTGTTTTAAATCGTACTTAATCATATGGTGAGAAGAACACTTCGATATTTATGTTTATTAATCCAACATTTCTACACTTGACAACAACATCGAAAGGATAGGATCAAATCCTTTACAAAACCTCTACTAAAGAGAAAATTCAATCGTTTATTATACATTGTTAAATGACTTTCTGTCAACAACATGAAACCTTATCTCTCATCTACTAAATTGCAAGTTGTCGACATTTCTACTTTAACAAATGATGGCGTTTTCAAGAACTATTGCAATAATGAAGAATGAAAATTACCAAGTTAAAATTATCATCAAAGTAATGGCTCATTTAGGCTTGGTTCTTAAAAAGTCGTTTGCTGATACTTAAGAGTTACATTCAGATAGGAAAATTCATGTGATGGTAAGGAATGTTGTTGAATTAAAAATAAAGCTAAACGTATTTAACTATTTTGCCTTCACAAAGAGACAGTTCTCAAAGCACTGTAGGTATGGAAAAATCAAGAGAATGAATTTGCTCTATGCCTACTAAATTATATACTTCCTACTGTTTTCTTTTCTATAAAGGCAAAATTTCCTTTCTTCTGTAGGGAGTTGCAGTGAGTCCAAAATATTTTGGTTGCGCTGCCAAATATCTAAATATATGTGCCAGTGTATAAAGAGTCCTTAAAACATTGCCTTTTCCAAAAACGTTTAACTGTAGCTAATGAAAACTATTTATTTCAGATGTCAAGGAAACAATTTAAAACAGATTCATTAAACACTTGAAGAACACACGACTTTCTAGTAAATAAAGCGGAATTGCTTAATCATCGTACATTAGCAAGTGCTTTTTATGCATATCTATAATTAAATACACCCAGATGTTGAGGTTTGAATCTTGTTCGAGTTATTACCAAGGATTTCCGACCATTGACACCTATAATTAACTGCATGTTAGCAGGTTTTCTGGCAACGATCACTGAGCAGAATACTATAATCAAATCAGTCATATAAACTGAACCGTTTTATTTTTAACGATGTTTGTTCGGCAGTTGGCATTCGGCAGAAATGATAGATTGATCCAGCCTATCAAACTACTTTACGGAGATATAACTAATTGAAGAATAGTATTTGAAAATTTCAATAATTTTAAATCAGCAAAGCTTCGAATAATTTACATAAAGATGGAACAATGAATGCTATATAAGTTTAACGCGATACCAATAAGCAAGAGTAAAAAGAACAAACGAATACGCAAGGAAAGCGAAACGTTTAGAGAAAAAGTTTACATGTGCGAAAATTAAGAAAATATAATGTATTTGGTCTTTAACTTATACATTGTTTTCCAACTTTACTGCTTTTGCGCATAATAATCAGCTGCCCTTAGTTTTCGTGTGGGAACTGGTTTCTCATGTGTAACCAAAGTAATCGTATGTTTCGTGGTCGAACGATCGAGGACATTATCCGTTTGGTCAAGTGATGAAATTTTTTCAACAATACTTCTAGTTTTGCCCATTGAGTGGATGTAGATAAGTTGGGACACGAAACAAAATTCACAAAATTTTGCCTGTTTTTTTCCTCGATACAAAGTTGATTCAGCGTCACCGTTTTTTCGAAGGCCAATGACAAATGGAGGTCCTGATGTTCTAGGACGTTTGAAAATGTCGTAAAAATTGTTGGTAATCGATTCTTGAAATACGCACTCGACATCAGGAGATGACTGGTAAAACATAAAACATTATAAACACGGAGAATTGTAGTCTTTTCTTCAGCATTTAGAAGTCAAAATTTACCTTTGCCATGATGTCTCCATTTTGATCAATTGCAACGTAAAAACCAGTTTTAACATTCAGAATATTTACGCCATTATCACCAGTGGGTACAAGATCAAACACAACTAAAAACATAAGGTTCACAGTAGAGTCACACTGCAACATTAACATCGATGTTTTACTATATAATGGTTATAAATATTGTGAACGTTTCTAACCTGAAGGATCAAAAGGATTTGTGGTTCCCGACACACGTTTATCCGCAGTTACACGAAGGTAAAAACCATTACGACAGAACAAACGACGACGCCTGTGTACATACGGTATGAAACATTATAAAGTTTTAACTTACAATATTAAAAGCATTACATAAATATGGAGAAAATTTAGAGAAGTATTGAGATCTTTACTAAATACAAAGGATTCCTAAAGTACAAGGGATCAATAATTGAAATCAAAACTGGGGACAACGTGTTTCATTGACAATTATTGACATCAACAAAACTGTGAACATCATGACTTATGCTTCATTGGCCATAAATACCATATCACATGACCAAGGTTGGGATTATTTCTGGATGAGACAAGTCAATAGTCAATGAATAGAACAATCATCTCGTTGCAAGTTATATCAAGAGAGCAATTGGGAAAATATTAAAGATCGTTATGAAGGTGGACTTTGAATTCATATAGTTTTAATTATATTCATAGAAATGTCAACGTGGTAATATTACACGGCAAGTTTCTTTGTTGTATTTGTAATATAAAATGCACTGGACAAAAAGTTTTTTACATTTCCAACCTCGAATTTTTGATTCTTGGTAATTTCATAGTTTGCTCAAACTCTCTTGGCCACCAAAATTGACTACGGCGCACCTGATCTGAATGAAAGAAAACGACATTTTCATGAATAATTTTATTTACTTGTACATACATGGAAGCATTTTTACTCGATAAGAAATAAAAGAAAATGAAGAGAAATAATTTGATATATAAAGGTGTTTTCTAATATCTTTGACAAGACAATTAAATTCTAACTGGCTCTTTTATCATTCACAATTATATACAATATTTATAAAGCATTGTAGACTAATTCCTTGACAAATTTCAGTTGTATTAAATGAAATTGAACAAGAATAAATTTCAAAGTTAACTTACCACGAACAATTATTTCCATATTAAACGATGGTTAAAAGCGAGTTCAATGAAAGTCAGTACTTAAATACTAACATAATTACACCTGAAACTTATATTATATACAGTCGAGTTAGCCTTTTCATACAAAAACACAAAAACCAATATGTGAAACGCAATTCTTTTATGTTGGTTCACAGTGGAACAGTGATTTTTATTGTGAAAGTGTATTAGCCCTCCTAGTCCCGGAATTACAATACAACATTAAAATGAATAAAGTTATGCTAAGAAATAAAAAGCGTGAACATGTTGTAAAATTTCAGTAATTCTTTAAAAAAGCCCAGACCTTCCAAGATCAGATTTTTTCACTTTTTATAACGCAAACATCGTCAATGTGTTTTCAATAAAAACTTTCAATAAAAGTTATTATTGTTCATGGATGGTCTGATTGGCGAATACATATTTAACATAAATAAAGCTAAAATAAGACAGAAATTAGCCAACGTATCCGGAGAAAGTCGGATAAGACGGATCACAAAAAGTTGCTATAAATCAAAAATCACCATGACAACAACAAGCAACGAGACAACATAGTTACGCTTTCTCTGTCGTAATGTATTTAACGTTTTGAGACATTGTTAGTTGTGTCATCTACTTCTTCTTGACTCTGAATGTCTTTAGCCACAGAATTAAGGATTCGTCAATGTTAAGAGACAAAAATGTTTTAAATGTTAGTTCAGTCCGAACAACATTAAAGAAATATTAAAATTAAATACTGAAATATAAAAGCATCAAACAATGCAATACACGTCTAAGTCAAGAGGATACGGCTTCTTTTGCGATTTTTCATCTTCCCTACTTTCCTTATCTTTGCTCTTGAGCTCTTTCTACATTTAAAGAGAGATCTCGTTAATTTGAAACTTGGTTTACCACAATTATAAAAATACGCAGAAAAAACATCAAAGAAAAATCGTCACTCATAAACCACAATAAATATCTTTAAAAATGTCGTGTCAATGTGATCATTTTATTCATTTGTAATGATACTTCAAAATAGTAGAATTGTTATTATCAACCCAAAATAGCTATACATATAAAATATTTAGTAAAAAAATTGAAAACATTTTATTAATGATTCATTGACAAGAGAATCTACCTACGTTTGTTTGGATAGTATTTTTTTTAATTTAGTCGAATGTTTACTGCAGTAGCATAATGTTAACTAAAGGAAAATCTTTACCTTATTATTCGACGATTTTTCTTCGGTTTTTTTCTTCTTTTCTTTTTCCTTTTCTTTCAACTGCAAGCAAAGAAAATTTCTATTTCAGTGGAAGTACACTACACGTGATAAGTACATGATACACACGTGAAAATGACGTATTATGTGGGTATATAACAATTTACTTTAGTTTTTTCCTTATATTTATCTTTATCTTTGATTTTTTCGCGATCTTTCTTCGAATTATCATCGCGCGATAGTTTAATTACTGTTGGTTTTATCTTTTCCTGCAAACAGAAAAATTCATCGTCGCCGAATCTTTAAAATACAGAAATTAACAACATTAAGACGCAAACAACTTCTTTTTCTTTCGGTTTTTCATCAGAAGCTGGCGTCTTTCTGCTTGGACCTTATGTCAAAAAAAATTTATAAATCAAGATAAATAACTAAAAATGACATCAATTTTATTTAATAACTATATAATCATCAGATGTTTTTGTACAAAGGTTTATTAACTCTAGAGTAAATATATAAGAAAGTATTAAGACTCTGAAAACAGAACACAATACAACGATACAACAATGTAAAAAAATCTTATCTTTGTCACTAAGCTTGATTAACATCTTACTCGTTTCGTCATCTTTTCTTCGTTTTATTTCTTTAGCATCGACAACTTCTGTTGTCTTAAAGTTTAATTAAAAAAGAACATAAAAGAAATTTTTGTTATTATTTAGATATTCTTTATGGTAATAGTAGTGAGAAGGAAACTACATACTCTCTTGCGATCTAATTTTTGATTTTTTTCTTTCTCTTTACTAGGTCTGCTTTCTTCATTCTTAAATGAAAAAACGAACATAACAAATTAAGATTTGTTCGCGACAACAAATGTTAAACACAAGAGATAAAGAGGTGTTTTCTGATCAACATTACTGCCGATGAATGATACTGACCTTTGATGCTGCTTCAACTGGAGTGCTTGGTGTACTTTCCTGTAAAGATATGAAAAACAATTGAAGTTCTTTGAGTAATATAGGATTCTACGTTTGAAAATAAAACCTTTGATGAGCTCGGAGAAGATAAATGACTCTCGTTTTTATCAATTTTACGTCTTTTCGGTTCTAATAAATACACAATTTATTCATGTATCATGTGGACCTTTGCATGAATATTTTACATAGGCAAAGTAAGAACAAACCTTTGTCGTATTCATCTTGAGGAGAATCAACATTGTTTGCAGATATACGTTTCGACTTTAAATCGTTATTTTTTGATTTATCATAATCTTTTTGTTTTTCTCGTTCATTTTCTTTTTGTTCTTTAGACTTTGGTGATTCTTTTACTGTTGACTTACTAAATCATAAAAAGTTTTCATCGATTTCATATTCAAACATTTTAAACACTATCCTTAATTCGGGGGATTTCCTCACCTTGACTCACTTTTGTTCTTCCTGCAACGTCATTTGATGACGATTTTTTGTTGGTAGTACTTACATTGTTCTTCATACCATTACTGGAAGGTGTTTTCCTGTTTTAAAAAATCACTAATTAACATCTTCGAAACTACCTTATTTACACAATTCATAAGTGATGTAAATAACTAGCAACCTTGTTTACACAACTCATAGGTCATGCATATAACCAGTTACCTTATTTCAACAATTCACAAGTGATGTAAATAACTAGCAACCTTGTTTGCACAATTCATAGGTGATGCATATAACCAGTTACCTTATTTCAAAAATTCATAAGTGATGTAAATAACTAGCAACCTTGTTTACACAATTCATAGGTGATGTATATAACCAGTTACCTTATTTCAACAATTCACAAGTGATGTATATAACTAGCAACCTTGTTTACACAATTCATAGGTAAAACGTAAAACTGGCTAGCAAATAAAACTTACTTGAGCGATGATGATGAATTTTTTTCAGACGAAAGATTTTGGGAAGAAGTTTTAATGGAGGTCTTATTGTCATCATTTTGATGGTCTTTGATCGAATCACTTGAGAAAAAAGAAAAGACATAAAACTTTCCAAAGTTAGTAGCAGTGCTTAGTAGATTTTATAATAATGAAATTCCGAACTACCTTTCACTTTTTTCTCCCTCTGTAGCTAAAATGACACAAAATGATAATAAATAAATATTATTATTAAAAATTTACGCGAAGTGTCATTGACTGTTCTCGGTCTCGTTAAGATAAGCAAACCTTGTTTTCATGTTTCCCTTGGGATGATGACGTAGATTTTTCTTCAATCTCCTTTCAAAAACAAAAATAAAAATAAAAACTTTTTAAATGAGATTATCAAAAAATAAAAGAGATAAAATATTCCTACCTGTTTATTTTCGGTTGCTTTAACTCCATTGTGGGAAGCAATATTAGCGGTACTTGCATTAGTCTGTAAATAATACATAAATTTAAAGGGAGATAGTATTCTTATTTAAAAATTACTCTCTTGCTTATACAATACACAACAAAACGTCTTCGAATAACTTATGCATATGTCTTTTCATTCTCAAGATATAAAGATTTGTTTAATGTCAAAGTATGAGATGTTCTTTTGCACAATCAAGACAACCACAAATATTGGGACGACGACAAAACGCTACGTCTTATATAATACAATTAATTTTGTGTTAAATCATCTCACTTTTTATCGTAAGATATTCTTTCATTACACGAGCGTGAGATAAAAATACCATGTATAGCATATGATAGGACAGTACAGACAGGACTCTAATGGATATAAATTGTAAAGTGATTTCTATGATGACAGTACCTTGGCATCAGGAGCTTTCCTATGAAACATTCCTTCAGGAATCATTTCAGATTTATGTGAACGTAATCTTCCAGCGTAGCTAACAATAAATATAATGCAATGTAAACAAACATGGCCATCATTAAAGACAAATACACATACTAACCCAATTGCCAAAGCATAAAGGTCTTTTCTCTTCTCTTTTTCCTCTTCACAAATTCTCTCAACACGTCTTTCCAAAGCCATACCAAGGTTAGACACTTTTGGATAATGAGGGAGGATCTAAACGACAATGAAACAGAGTTATTCATCGATTTGAAGGATTACATTGCTATGTAGAGTTACAGTGCTACCATAACTAGCATTCGTAGATATATTTTATACTGTTCACATAGCTGTTACTACAGCCATTGAAAGTAATCTTTGAATGGCTGTAGTATATAGAGTAGATAGCATACTGACCTTTATTAACACCATCATCGTATTTCTTATTTGAGTATAGTCTTTTGACTCAAGACACACCACTAAGGCCTGTGACACAACAAAAAACATATATAATACACACAAGACAACGTATACAGTTGATGAACCCCAATATTATCCTAACATTTTTGACAAGGTGATTTACTTGAATAATACCTTGGTAAGTTTGTACTGCCATTTATGACAAACATGACGAAAATTTTCGTAATCTAGATGTTCAGCTTTGTCGGTGTTTGTTGTTCGTAGGACAGTCACAAAACCTGGATAACTTCCACATTCCTAAAAAATATTGAAGCATTTTTGCACATCTTTAAGTACATCAAACTGTACGTCTTCAAAGACATATTCACATGTTTTATTTTAAAAAAAAGAGAGAGAGATCAGTAATATTCTCGTTAGCTCTCGACATACCTTTTCGTAGATCTTTTTGTCTTTGTGCCACCGCATGACAATTTCCAACATTGATGATAGAAAACGACCTGAAAAAGTAGACAAAATCACGCGGTAAATGTCAGTTTATGAGGTAAACTTTATTGTGTTACGCTGTAGTTTACACACCATATCTGCTAGCTTCACTTTCTGTAAGTGTTGTAACGGTATATGAAATATCAGAGAAAACCTACAAAATAAAACAAGATCAAAATAAAATCTACACAATTTAAGCTTTCCTAGCAGCCACATGAGTTAATGTCAGTGACTAATTCTACACCACAGAAACAGTAAACACTACGTGTGTCCTTTCAACTATATGCAGTCATTTGTTCGCTATAATAGTACGAAAACATTTAAAATGTATAATGATAAGAAGCAGTATTTACAGTGTTTTAGCTATCCCCTCTCCACGTTTATTCTATTTATACACCCTTATCCCTCAATGTACTAGGCAACACATAGCATAAATAACAAATGCTTACCCGATCAAAACACAAAAGAGTTGAAAAGTTTGGCGTCTTTAAGTTATGAAGCATATGGACAAATCTAGCGCAGAAAATCGCATCACTGGCAGTGAAAACACATCGTGGAAAAATACACAACTGCAAAAGCTGAGTGACAGACTCGTTCTTTGATGATTCTGAAAAAGTAAAACGCACATTTTCAAGTCGGAAGACAAACTACTTTTGGTGATCAGAGAAAAAAACTTTATTAAAACAATAATAAAATAATCAGAATGAAATCAACGGTCCATTTTGTCACGTTGAACAATGTGATGAACTGTTTGTCTAATTATTGTGACATAACTGCGAAAATATTTTTGTCACAACGATTATAGGCCAATTGATGAAGACATTCACAAGGCGAGCAAAATATTTAACACTTACTAGAAGGTATCCAATTATCTTGTTCATGTTTCAACCATTCTTTGATTCTTTGGGTATGCTGATCTTGTTCTTTCTGTTCCTCTTTCAGTTTTTCAATAGCACCCAGACATCTTTCTCTTTCCTTCTTCTTTTTGCTCATGGAGTTCTGAAAACAAAGAAAATTTCCAATGAATTACAATAACGACAATATAATCACTAAATCCACTTACCAATTCTTTGTTTTCATCCACGTTTACTAACAAATCTGATATTTTATTTTTCTCTGCTTCGTATCTTTCAACAGGAACATGCAAGTCATACATTGTAAGAGACCAAAACGCAACGTACAACTGCGGACTGATGTTCAAGAAAACGTTTATAGCATTAGAACAAAATTTAAATATTTAAAAGCCGAGAATAACATTGTGAAGAAGCTATTTATGATAAACTTTATTATGAAAATAAAATATACCTGATGTTATTCCAAACTCTCAATGGATGAAGATTTATGACACTTTGCGTGATAGGCTCCAGCACTGAGTTTACAGCATTTATATATAGTTTAAAAATTTGCTAAAGTCAAAAAATCAAGACGGATTGTTTAAAGTTCAAAATGGCATCAATTAATTAACAAACAATGTTAAGGCTACCTTTGGGGATAAATTTTTTGATTTTTCGTTATTTTCAGCTTCTTCAAAAGTTGCCTAACAATAAACACACAAAAAATGCATTACATACAGAAAAAGTTTTAAATTCTCTGAAAGTCATGAGTAAAATATAAAAAACCTGTATTTTATTAGCAAACATGGGTCTTTCCAAGAAAAAAGCAGCATCCTGAGATATAGAAAAATTCTGAACAAGATCTTCCAAAGAAGGCAAATTGTTAACGTAATCCTCTTTGTTTAATTGTGTAGCCAAAAAACCCCCAAATTGAACCATAGTATCGTGACACTGAAAAAAAAAACCCGAAACAGGTTATGTGTTAAACATTTCACTTCTATTTTCAAATACAACAACGTATGTAAAAAAACATAACTAGAAAGTAAGTTGTTATTATAAGAATAAAAGATGTCAGCAACTTTACCTGGTCATATAATTTTCCAACAAGTTTCAAATGTCTATTAGAAGGCTCATCAAAGAAGATAATGGAGTTACGTTGTTGCGCCATCAATATACACAAAGGAAATGCAAGATCGCCATTCATTAAAGTGTCTCTCAATCTTTGTGATGATTTCTTTGTATTTCTTATCTGTCCAAACCATCCACCCTATCATGAATTTGTTTAAAAACTTAACATAACTCTCCTCAATCATTTCTTCATAATTTTACCGAACATCATAACGTATAACCACGTGATCAAGAATAAGACCAATCAACGATCAGTAATTTTAATCACCTCAGCACGCAACATTTCCCCTCCCGATAAAGCCTCAAGTTGATCCATTGTTACTTCTTCGGATATTTCAATTCCTGACATTTTTTGAACGACCTCTCGTAAAATAAGCAAGTCTGAACTTTTGCCAGCTTTTAGTTGATTGGCAACGTACTGAAGTAGACCAGTCAATTCGATGCTGTATTTCTTAAATACTGTTCCACAAAAGATCGCAAGACCTGAAAATTTTTAAAATTGAATTTAAAAAATAACAAGTTTGGATGAGGCCATCTCATATTTGCATCAGGCCATCGAAACACAGAAACCATTACGTAAATTTTAATATAACTATTGAGGCGTGGTCCCAAGATGAGAAAATTACAATAACTTAAAATACACTAACTTTTCAACCACTCTGAGATGTTTGTATCGTCCAACTTTAATCTTTCCTTTTCTGGATTCGCTAAAGCCTCAATAATACAATCTATAAATCATCTATAAGGAAATATTCATCGACATAAAAGTAGCTAAATCTGTAAAAAATAGTTGCTCTTACAAGTATAAAAGTTTCTGTCCCAAGAATTTTTCGTACCTTTAGCCGTAAGACAAATGCAATTTGTGTTATAGAATAAAGAAAACTTTTCAACAAACTCGAATCTTTAAAATTCCTTTTGAAAAGGATACATGCTAAAACGTCATAAGACATTGGCGTCAGATATTTCAAGGAATCGACCACGGGGCCAATAAAGTTATCGTATTTTTGTATTTGACTTAAAATCTAAAAAAAAATGAAATATGCGTACTTCTGAAGTTTGTGATAAAGCAATTACGAACTTACATATTCAAATAGAACACCAGGATTACTGTGACTCAATTTACCAATTTGTCTACCAGATTGTTTAACATTTTCCTTTGATAAACGTCTAAAAATATTGCATTCTTTACAATAATCAATCAATATCGTCTTTCAAAGAATGACGAGAACTTCACTGAGCCGACAACATACATACACAGAAAAATAACGGACAAAACTATGTCGTTAAAAAATTGTACATACTTTGCAATATATTTTGCTTTCTTTATGGTTTTTGCTTTAACATCAATCAGCTTCGGATGAACATTGTAAGAGTAATTTTTCCATCGTCCATAAAGACAATATCTGTCCAAATAATGTCAAAACAACAAATATTCTGATTGAAAAGATGAAATGTACACGCGTATGAAGGTTTTCTTTCAACAGGAGAAAATTCATGAATTGTAAATGCTTGGCAATGATGCGCAACCCCCCTGTTATTTTAGATAAACTAACGTCCAGCAACGTACATAAGTATGCATAGGGATATTACGTGATCCAGGTGTATATACATATGTAGGTGTATGGATATTACATGATCCAGGTGTATATACATATGTAGGTGTATGGATATTACGTGATCCAGGTGTATATACATATGTAGGTGTATGGATATTACATGATCCAGGTGTATATACATAGGGACACGTAATATTGCTGTGTTGTGAATATGATTGATGTTACTATAGAAATGTAATGTTGTAGTTATGGTGTTGTTTGTAGTTTTTCGTCCTTTTTCTTTAGTTGTGAGTATATGATTGGTATGTCATTATGTCTGTTTATTGTATCGTTGTCTTTACTGTACCAAGCTTCTTTAAATTCGTGTGCGTGTTTAGTCTGTGCGCGTGCAAATACTTTAGTTTCTGTCCGGTCGAAGGTGTGATTATTTGCATACGTATGTTCTGCCGGTAGTGAGTTTGGATCTTGTCGTTTTATGGCGTTTTTATGTTCTGTGAGTCTTGTTTCGATTTTCTTTGATGTTTGTCCTATGTTTTGTTTTGAGCAGTCTTTATAGTGTGTATTTGCGTTTACCTTTCGTCGTTGTTCCTTTGCTATGACGAAGACAATACAATTGTGTTACTTTACCAATGTATGTGTACGGACATAGATGATCCAGGTAAATGTCTGGATATTTGTTTGTCAGTCAATGCGAAATAAACATCAGAAAACAATTTCTAACGTGGAACGATCAAGACCAACAAAATGATATTACTTTAGGAAGATTTCAGGTCAAAGAATTTGAAGAATTTATCTGAAAAACAGATTCATCCTTTGATGCATCTTTCTTCCATAAAAACTTCCCCACGTCTTTCTTACAAATAACTCAAAATCATGAATCATTGTACTAAAGAAAGATTCAATGTACTAACAACCAAAGCACCGCGAAATTCAATGTGTTAAAATGAATTTGTGATGTTATTTCGTGATGTCATTTTAACTTCATTCTAAACAGCTTTATGGTGACGCAATGCAGGGCAGAATTATTACGATTAAATTATAATATGCAAACTTAAATTTTAAACATACAAAGTCAGTTAATCTACCGACACTCAGGTCAAATACATCAAATGAACTTTTACCTTATAGTATAAGGAAAAGCCTTGAGTAAAATCCATACTTCTTCAGCAATACTAGGATTACATTCCAGTAAGGTGAGTGAAGGAAATAATACTTGGTCAACTAAATCAATAAGACCATTCCAAACCGCCAGCTATAAAATCATATACAAAACAAATAGATATTTAATATTCCAGTCTTTCTATCAATGATCTGAACAAAGTCAATCAATGATAACACAGCAATGATAACACAGGTAATGTCTACCTTAAGACAGCCGTGATATTTTTTATACAAGTCCCTTACCAGTTTGGAATCTTTGTCTTGAATAGATGAACAGTTTGGGTTCTACAAAGTAATTGAAATTTCAGTTAGTGTTTGCTATTGACCAAATTTCTGAAGGCAAAATCCAACCTCCTTTAAAAAAAACCGTCCAATCCTCACAACTTTGGCCATTAAAATCGGATCAAAAGACAAAAAAGGCCCAAGTTGAAGCAACATGGGAAATACACAATTGGTTAAGTCAGTAAATAACATGCACTGCGCATGTCCGTTATACAACATGTTGGAGTAAGGTCGACCACGTGCAGCTTTAGTTGAATATCTTTAATAGATAAAAAAGAAAATTTCTTTCCAACAACAAGAATTATAACATACTGACGATATAGAGGTTCAATAAGAACAAAGATGAGACAAAATTGTAACATACTGACGATATAGAGGTTCAATAAGAACAAAGATGAGACAAAATTGTAACATACTGACGATATAGAGGCTCAATAAGAACAAAGATGAGACAAAATTGTAACATACTGACGATATAGAGGCTCAATAAGAACAAAGATGAGACAAAATTGTAACATACTGACGATATAGAGGCTCAATAAGAACAAAGATGAGACAAAATTGTAACATACTGATGATATAGAGGCTCAATAAGAACAAAGATGAGACAAAATTGTAACATACTGACGATATAGAGGTTCAATAAGAACAAAGATGAGACAAAATTGTAACATACTGACGATATAGAGGCTCAATAAGAACAAAGATGAGACAAAATTGTAACATACTGACGATATAGAGGTTCAATAAGAACAAAGATGAGACAAAATTGTAACATACTGACGATATAGAGGTTCAATAAGAACAAAGATGAGACAAAATTATAACATACTGAAGATATAGAGGTTCAATAAGAACAAAGATGAGACAAAATTGTAACATACTGACGATATAGAGGTTCAATAAGAACAAAGATGAGACAAAATTGTAACATACTGACGATATAGAGGTTCAATAAGAACAAAGATGAGACAAAATTGTAACATACTGACGATATAGAGGTTCAATAAGAACAAAGATGAGACAAAATTGTAACATACTGACGATATAGAGGCTCAATAAGAACAAAGATGAGACAAAATTGTAACATACTGACGATATAGAGGTTCAATAAGAACAAAGATGAGACAAAATTGTAACATTGACGATATAGAGGCTCAATAAGAACAAAGATGAGACAAAATTGTAACATACTGACAATATAGAGGTTCATTAAGAACAAAGATGAGACAAAATTGTAACATACGATATAGAGGCTCAATAAGAACAAAGATGAGACAAAATTGTAACATACTGACGATATAGAGGTTCAATAAGAACAAAGATGAGACAAAATTGTAACATACTGACGATATAGAGGTTCAATAAGAACGTGTACAAGTTCACACAAGGCTTTCACAACAGGTGCTTCAGAAATAACGGAGTATTTTGGTAGTTTATCCATCGCTTGTTTAGCTTGATTCCATGCCCCAAGCTGAAGGAGTGCATGACAAATACCAAACTTTTGATTAAATCTTTTTTGCTGTAAAATCAACACAATTTCATTATTTTTGACACTTATTTACATTACATTCAAATTAGCCAAAAAAGAAAGAAACAGCAATAGAAATCAAAAAGTTTATGCAACAGAATTTACCACAATCAATGGTTCTTTTACTTCGTTCTCCTTACTCTCTTCAGTAGGAACATCCTAAAAAGAAAATTCTTCAAATCCAGCAAATATTGACAAATTACACATGGTAAATATCAGCTAGCTGGTATGTATCCTCTTAACATCAGCAAATTACATGGTTAAGTGGGTAGTGTCAACCTTTTAAAGTTCAATGTATCATATCTTACCGACACAAGAATAGCGGCATTCATTTTCTTTGCTTCTTGGTTTGCATCAATTATTTCCTGATTATTTTCTTCAAATATCTCTGAGTCACTGGGACTAAGCTATAAATACAAATGCTTAAAACACTATAGGGCATGTATGAAGTTCTACCAACCTTACAACTCATCACTGTCTTGTACATAAATTTGTAGTTTTATCATTTAATGACGTGATATGTAGAGTATTTCACACTAAGTTACATGCAATATACTTTATAATACAACTGTCTAACACTCACTATTACTTCACAACATTTACATATGTATGTATGATAATTGACAATTTCATTTTTATCACCCGCAGTGATCATCCCCTATACATACAATATATAATATCATCACTCACATGTACAATACATATCATCACTCACATGTACATATATATCATCAAGTTCCAGTAATTCATGTTTTATAAGAAGAGCAGTAACATATAGCAACTCATGAGGAGTTCTCACTTCAGGTAGATCCTGTGAACAAAGATCATTATAAATTAGATAATTAATTAAATCATTGCCCTATGAACAAAGTTTTAAATTAGATAATGAAAAATCAATACATAAGTTAATGTGCCAATCAATAAAGACTAAGGTAATCACCTTATAAAATTGATATTTAAATCCCAAGATGTGACAGATAGTAGATTTATGATAATTTGATGAAAAATCTTTAAAAAATGTGGTAAAGAATTCTTCTTGCTCAAGATGTAATTCAAAAGCATCCAACATAATATCAAGTACACGATTTGGATCCAGATTAAACCTCCCTAAGATAAACAAAGAAATATTTATATGATCAATCTATCATTTTGTTATACAACTTTTGGTTCAACTAAAAATTAAAATGAAGCTAATTAAAATCAATCATCAAAACTATCAACGAAATGAGCATGATGTTCTTTATAGTATTAACAAACATACTTACCAATCAAAGATTTAATGTTTTCCAACAATGATGACATGTTTATGGTGTCCATTTCTTGACCAAGTTCTGTGATCAGTTTACTATAACCCTCAGATTCCTCTCGAAGAAGATTGAATTTTTGTTGCTTGTAACTACAAAACATTTACAATATAGCCTTTATATTTGTATGCTAAATAAAGAATCTGCAAAGTTTTTCAATATGTGAATGTTATTCACAAATAAAGTTCAAGAAGTTTCACAACAAAATATAGCCTTCATTATTGGACAGTTGTTCATAGATTTTTCATGAGCAATTCAGCAAAATAAGTTGGTAAGTAGCCATTTCTGAGTACCAATTATCTATAGAATTTGTAGACTTCACTTACAAAAGAACAGTTTTGATTTTGATAAATTTAGTGTTGAATCTTTTCATTGATTGCACTAAACCAAGTGATTCCAATGTTTCAACATCAATTCGCTCCTTCATAAGTTCTTCTGAAACCACTGACGTGCTCTGTGTAACATTAGAATTAATTATTCAGTGGTTTGATGGCACATGGTCTAACAAAGACAGTTATTTGGTCATTGGCAACTACAAAAAGTAATAATTATTATATTTTTCAAGAGCTAAAAACTATAAGTTTGCAGTCTAAATAAAATATAGCATAAACACTTTTGTGAATAGATTAAAGCATTATACTATTAAAGTGGACCTAATAAAACATTTAAATATTTGAATATAGCTAACTCTCAATCAACTCACCACTAATGCAGACACAAGAGATGTGAATTGATCATGTTCCTCTTTTCCCAAGAATTGAACATCAACATCTGTTGAGCAGGATAGTTATCTCTTATCAAGATCTACATTACCATTATTAAGATATTGAAAATTTCACAATATGCTAAACAGGAACAACTCTTTCGCACCCATGATGGAAATCACATCAACCAAAATAGATTGCTTCTCTTTATCATGCTACAAAATAAAATGAATTTTACAAAATGAATTTGACATAAAATATGAACCACATTCTTGTGTTATGTTATTTTGTTCACAAATTTACTCTTCTATCGCAATGTTTACAAGACATCAAAATCCTTCCTTTTCCTCTTCTATCCCACTTTATCATTGTCTAGTTCCTCAATAACCTCATCCAAAAATCTAAATCTAATGACCTGTTCAATTTAAGATTTTAAACATTTTCCCAAAATAAATCAACAAAATTTTTCTGGAATTCATACAAAAATGCTAATCGACCTGGATGGATTCTATGCACTAAACTCCCAAGATCTCAGGCATACAATTGATATTCTTGTTGGTTTATTGGCAAAACCTCATTGCAGTCTTGGCGCATGAGAGCTAACTAGATTGCCATGAAAATTCGTTTTACATTAATATAATAACCATTTAATAACTAAGTTTTGGAGTTAGCTGTTTTCATAACGCATTTCCCCCCTACCACCTTATTTTTTGGTTTTGTGGAAAAAACATCTGTAAACAACCTTGGTTTGCGTGTATTTGCAAATATAATGGAGTAGACTCGGCATAAATGCAACACAGAATCCACTCTGGCCAATTCAGCATAGTTGTATTTGCCAACAAGACCGCCAGCCTTTGCCGACAATAATCGTTGTAAAATTTCTAACTGAATGTTCTTATATTTTTAAAACAAGACAAAAACAATTCTTGCTTTCTTGGATACCCTTACTAAGTCATTCTCACTCGAACAAAGTCATAAAAACACTTTCTACTTTTTGTCATTACTAATATTTAAAATGCGTTTACAACGAACCCCGACGATCTCAGTAAGGACTTGTTTTGCTTCATCTAGCTCCAGAAGACCTCTTGCCACGTAAGAAATTAGTTCATACAAAACTTGGCAATAATCTAAACACAATAACAGTGATTTCAATTTTAAACTAAACAAGTATGATGTTTAAAATGTGAATGCAAAATGCTCACTTGAATGAGCGCTATGGAAGTCTTCTCCATGTGACTCGATTGACGCATCCGTTGTTAACGATTGACATAGTTTTATGCTGAGAGAAAAAAACTTGATTTAAGTTTTTCAATAAAAGATTGAATAGGAGTTTTAAATATCTTACATCGATGATTTTTCTTTTTCCCAATTCTTAACATTCACAAGCGGTTGCACAACAGCCGCCATGATCTTATAGTGCTCACTTGAAAACATCCATCAAAATGAGTTAACTGACATTGATTTGGAAATCACCATCAGTGACCACTGATGGAAATCACTCAAAATACCAATTCTAATCGTTATTCACGTCACTAGAACGTCACGTGAGAGAAATGCCGAGAGATTGAGCCGAGCATCAGTTCGACGAGTGTCTATTCCAAAAAGATTAGTTCAGTAGTGGAAATGCTCTCGTATTTCTCAACAATTTTGAAATTCTGTCTTCATCATAATGACTTCAACAGAGAAAGACCCACATTACAGTTGTAACAGATGATTTTGGATATGATGAAGATCTTGGTTTATGGACAAAAAATGTACTTTGAGTTTCATAAGATGAAGAACACACAAGTTATTCAGCGCAAAACAGTAAGCAGATCACTTCAGTGCTTACCAGAATAAATAAAGCGGTTACTCAGCAGATTAGTGTGCAATAAATGAATCACTCCCATCTCTGAATCAGGGGACGCCTGAGATAGTGAATCACTACTCAAAACAGGGGGGGGACGCTCCAAAGAACTCAACAACGATCTTTTTGTTGGCTGAGATATACCAAAACTTGGAAGAAACAGACGGAGAATGTCATAAAAATCAATCCAAAATTGGCTACCATCATCAATAAAACTTAATTAAACGAACTGATTGACGAGCAGCCTAAAGAAAAACAAACAAAATACTTTCGCCCTGGTCAATTCAGAAATCTGGAGATCTGATGTTGAGATCCTTAAGACTGTCTCCGGGCAAAAGACCGAGTTTGATAAAATTCCTTTCAGTTTAGCTATCTCTGTCCTGAGTTTTCTTTGGCAGGAGACATATATTGACAACGAGATCTAAAACTTGTCAATAAACACGTTTTATGTCTATCAGATCCCGAACCGAGAACTTAGAATCGTTAACTCAATATTTTACTTACACTATTTTAAAATGAATAGCATTTGGAGAGCAGCTAGCTCTATGAAACTGAACTGCAACATGGCACATCAATTAACTTAAAAGATGCATACTATTCTTTGCCAATCCATCAAGCGTACAAGAAGTACTTAAAATTCTATTGGAAGGGCAGCAATATAAGTTTGTTTCCGTATGGGAAAGCAAAACGGCAGACGATTTTAATTAATTCTCTTAAATATAACAACAATCTGAATGATCTTTAAATAAATTAAATTAATATGAATAACAAACCCAGACTTAAACCATTTGAAGAAATATATAAAGATAGACAAAAAGGTAAACAATAAGGTAGACAAAAAGTAGACACAAAGGTAGACAAAAACGTAATTGATAATAGGTACGAAATGCGTACAAGTGAGAAGCCTTGCCATTATTTTAGATTATACATGTTTGTAAATGATGATGGTCCAGGTTAAAAAGTCCTGAGAAGGACTGTTTTTGTTGTTGTCGAAACGTCAGTCAACAACAACAAAAACAGTCCTTCTCAGGACTTTATTAACCTGGACGATCATCATTTACAAACATGTAACGATACTCCCGGGTTCAAACCATTTACTTTATTGTAGATTATACTTATACTAAGTTTTGCCCTACAAAACTATAAGCGTTAGGAAATGTTTATATAGTACACTAAGTGACGACGTGAATCATAGCAAAAATAACTGACTATAATTAACAAAAATTGGTACAGTATCAATTAAACAACAGTTTCCATAAAATTTTATATCCTTCACAACCACCCAACCTCCAAGAATAAATTGGTTCTCATTTCAATGCACTCTTAAATCAACTTAAGTACACTTTATATAAAATGTGATGGATCTCATTTTAATTACAAAATTGCTAAAGATTATCAAGTGTACGCTGTGTGAAATTTTATGCAACAGTATTTCAAAATAGGTGGCAGAAGTCTATTTTGGAATACATCGACATTTTGCAATACTTCCTTCTAAATTAGGGAGCGAGGGAACTCTCTAATTTAGTTAGAATATTGCAAATAATCATTTATGTGCATGTTTTTTGTGTTAGTGTGTTTAGACATAATTTTGCTCTAGATATTTCTACTTTTGGCACAACCAGAACCTTCAACTAATCATCTGCAAACACCGATAGAAGAATTGAAGTCAAATGTCTTTCTAAAAAGCTTTTCTTTAATTGATAGTACTTAGTCTAAATACGAGTAAAAATAATCGGTTACACTTACCGTAAGAAACGTTAAATGACCATGATAAGGCAACGTGTACGCTGTTCTAAAATAGACACAAGCAACAAAATTTTTAAATTTAATGAATGATGGAGACACTTACAGCCCTGACTTCCACTTCTTGCATCTTCTTGTTCTCTGCATCTGAAAGATACTAAACATCACGTTAGTGGTTTGACAAAACAAACAAACAAACCAAAAACAAACAAACACATACCGCAGTTTTAATCTCCAACTGTTGCCATGTGAGAAAAACTGTAATCGAATAATGATAAAATACAATCATGATAAACTGTTGAAGTTCATGTATTTCGTAAAACCAGTGTTTGCAGAAGATCTGTTAAAATTTTTGTTGGAACTCGTATTACAATGATTGGCAAAAAACAGCTGTAAACTGCAAATATTTACAGCGAAGGCTTAACTTGATGTCAACATGAAATTGCTGTCTGATATTTCAAATAACTTTATCAGAAAATATTCGTGTTCACTCTGTTTCAACTACCATGAACACATTGCTATAACATCCCTCAATGTTATAACAATGCCAGTCATAAGTAAAAAGCGACTAAATATTTAGACTCGACAGCTTTTTGACTGATCACTTCAAGTTCAAATAGTCTGAATACAATTTTGAGATTTTGCAATACTCTGCCAGCGCATTGCAATTTCTTTTTGTAACTTTAATAAATCTATTATAAATTAAATTTTATTTCAATGTTACGTTTAAGATGCCAACATTTGAACGTTCACAAGAAGCACCTCCATTTTAACATGTCAACAAACATGTTAACTGATTTTTGTTAAATTCTATAACATTATTTAATGGTATAGAAGAGCTAGACAGTTAACATGCTGGCAACACATCGTGGCAAAACATCCCTTTATTCCCAAATCTTTCAACTATTGTTAACGTCGGTAGCTGGATATACAAATGGACTTTGAATTATAAAATGGAAGCATTATTTCATAGATGTATAATTCTCTGCTGTTCAGTCCAGGAAGAATTGACATCGAGGGTGAGGAAGGATGTTTTGTGTCGAAAGATAATCTATTTCTTCCATTTGAAACATCTTGATAAAGACTTTGTAGTCTAGAAATAAAGAATGGTGATATCGTCTGTATTTCATACACAGATATTTCTTCGTACTTCAATATGGCATTTTGATCAAATATTTTAGAATGTATGTTAAACGTCATAGTTTTTGTTTTGTTTATTTGTTTTATGAAAAGAGTTGTTTTGATATCATTAACTGTGCTGTCATCTTTCCTCTTTATCTTCTGCGATTCTCAACCGTTCGTTATTGTGATCAATTTTTAGTATTTGGTTTGAAACTGTATTTTTATCTGATGGCTGTATTTGAATAGGTGTGTTGTCCTTTGTTTGAACCGTCTTGCAAATACTCTTAAATGGAAATACCACAGTAAAATATTTAATTTCAAAAATTAAAGAAAGTTTGACGTAAGCAAAAACATAAGCAAGACTAAGCTCAAACCGATGCAATGAATAAAAATAAAATTCCGTTTCTTTGTCTTTTTAAGTCTCACGAGAATAAGAAACTAAAGTTTTCTCGCTAATGCTTATTTTTATAACGACTGCAATTTATATAACTGTAGACAATTGGGCTTTACAATCTCAATTACTTTATAAATACCTACTTTTATTAAAACTATTTGAATTCTTTCATTTATACAACGTAAACCTTACAACGACATTTTCATAATCGTAATTTAGATATATTACCATCTCAAATCCCAGTTCCAATACCAAGATCTTTCAAACGATTGATCAATTATCACTATCCACCTTCTTTTGGGATTGAAACAGAACTTCTCTTCAGCCACATGGACAACCATGGAATAATTCCACCTTCACCCAATCTCTTTAAAATACACTGAGCATGTATCACTTGCTCTAACGTCACTATCAAGGACTTTCCCAAACTTTTCATCAACACGTCAAAAATCTCGATTTCTACAGCTAGACATTCTCACTCGACAAATATCAATCTACAAACTGCATGCAGACTAGTTAATCAAAAATATTTCATCCCTATCCACCTACATGATAAAAGTATATGATTGGTTCTAAGTACAAAGAAAAACAATGCATTACAAAAATGATAAATCTAAAGAGTGAGAGATATTGTGTCGTTAACCTAATTTGAAAACATATTCATATAGGTGGTGTGCAACCATTCCCCAGGGAGTGAGAGAACAATAGACTTTCGTCCTGTTTGACGACAAATTTTTACAGTTCTAAATCACTGTTGAAAATCAATGGTTAGTCATAAAAATCATCCAAAATGGCGGCTACGACGTACATGCACTTCAACAATCAGGTAGACGTGATAATTTTGTTACTTTACAATCAAATCAAAATGAAAAGGCCAATTAGTTCTATTTGTAGTTATAACAAACCATATAGGTATTACATACATAAGGCAAAATTGGAAAACTTGGGCCAGATGACAGATGTAGACAAAAGGTAAACATAAAGGCGAACTATTGAAAATTATGTACACAAAAATAAAACCAAAAAGTAGGCAAAAGATATATATAAATAAAGGTAGACACAAAATGGACAAAAAGATAGACATTAAGATTGATTTAAAGTTAGAAAAAGATATATAACAAGTCGAAATAAATATAGATAAATGGTATAGACACACAGACAGACACGAAGGAGAAGTATTTTGTCATTTTATTCTCTAATATAAGAAGGTCAACCAATCAATAAATAATTTAACAAGTTCAGTGAATATTATTATTTATCTACTGAAGCATTCAGGAATAGATGACCTTTTTAGTCATATTTATAATGCGCGTGAAAATTGCTTAAAATGATTCAAAGATTTAAAAAAGTTTTCATTTAGTTACTATAATGTTTATAGTATAATCGTATAATTAGATTATTCCATGTATACATTGGAGGCTTAAAAAACAAGAATAGAAAAACGTCATCTTAAATAAAAGTTGACCTTCCAACGTTTTCCTAGAATGCTACACTTGTTTAACAAAACCAAATATTATATTACATACATAATGGGCAAGAATAATGAAGGAAAATGGTGATGGGCCAGATGACTGATGAATAAAATTTTGACGTAGAATTACTTTCAAGTCATTCGACATAAGTAGCTGATTTCTAAAGTTTTGCAGTGAAATTATTGTGAATAAAACCACATATGTCGCTAAATATCCTAACTTTCAAGAAGAATTATACCCATCGTAGAACGTTATAATGACATTATAACGTTCTCTCAAATGAATGAAATATTAATCGATTCACAAACAATGAACTATGTCAATAAAAGTTAGTGGTCGTTCCATCTGCGTAAATATAAATAACTTAGTGTTTAAACACAGTTTGTCATAAACGTTTGCGCTTTTTGTTTGTGTTTAATATAACACGGCGTTAATGTAAAATGAATCAAAAGGTCAACCATTGTCAAATATATCCAAAACTCTATAACCCAATAATTGTGGTTTTAGTCTATTATAGATAAATCAACTAAACGCAGATTTTGTCGCTTCTTGAACAGGAATTTAGCCATCCATACGAGAGTAATATTGATCTGTAGGAAGACCGGTTAGAGTCTTTATTTGTGTCTTTTTATAATGAATGAATACAGTAGAAAAAGCTTCCACATTATTGTCGATACCTAGCCGTATATTTGACGTCCAGTCAAGCTTCCAATCCTGTTTGTAGATAACGTTTGGCTTTAACGAATTTCCCCAACGTTTAATTTTCTCTATCTCTTCAACAAACTTATTTCGCCTTTGAAAATATCCACATTTTTCGTAGTAGTTGTCATTACCAGCCAGTTTGTTACTGAATACTGAGAATGAACACTGATGAAGCAATCAATAACGGGTACATATAAACAAACCATTTATCATTTGTCTGTAAGGAAGACGCATCACACAAGTGTAGTGATTGATTGTAAATGTGCATAACGTTCATTTTTGTATTAAACGAAGACACTTTAGTCAGTTTAGTGAAACTTTAGTGAGACTATCTTACGTATTTCCAATTCTTGTCATGCCACACTTACAATTTTGTTTGAAGAAACGATGGTATCTTGGTTGATTTATCATAACACCCAGTCAGCTGATTCAACGTGTAATTCTCGACGTATAGTTCATTTAGTACGGTACGTGATCGTATACTATCAAAGCAATCAGCTTGATGGCATTTAATAAAATCAATCACAAAAGAAACACGAAGAGGAGCACAAATATGAATAATTGGTGAGGTTTTAAAAACGCAAAATAATCCGATTTGGATGCTTAGCGTTTGTGCAAGCTTTGGTCAAATCTCCTTGAAGTTCGAAAGCTTGAAAAACATGAGTCATATTTTAACCTTGTGTGTTCCAATTGCTTTTAGCTTCGTCATTTTCGCGGGTCTTCAATAACACATTTCAACAAATTTGATCAGCAATTGCTAGTTAATTCTGCTGGCCAATCACATTCTAGCACGTGACTTAAGGTAGCCAATAGTATTTCTTCAGTCCTATAGGTCATGAACGTATTATAACTGCAAAATCTTGACTTTTTTCATTTTCCAATGGTTGGGGAAAACAAAACCAACTTACTTGCTAATTAAAAATGGGAATTTTTTTCGATTTTTTTATACAAAACAAATAGATTAGATTTAACCGTTGTCTGTTCAGTGAGACACACGGGTAGGACGTCCTTTGTGATAAGAAAAAATGTTTACTCGCCTCGGCGCCTCGTGGCCACTTTGTTAGTTCTTATCGCAAATGACGTCATAACCGTGTATCTATAACTGTTTAGACAATGATATTTGATAAACAATTATTCCAAATAGCAGATCACAATGATCAGAGTAAAACAACACAACAATAAGGTGAAATAAAAGCACGATAAATAGTTTTAAGCGAATTTTGATCAAGAAGATCCTTAGATCGACTCAAATTCCTATTCTTTTTGAAGCCTTTTTAGTAACATTTCCAATGTGATTTTTCCATGTAATATTTTCACCCACTATACAATTTGAACAGTTTTGGCAGACGAAAAACGTTTGATACTTTAAGAGTTTATCGAAAGGGTTGGTTCATTATCTATTTGTAAGAACCTTTCCATTCAACTAACATATTGCTTCTCTTTGGATATTTTATTTAGATTTAGGGTTAATTTTTGTCTGCTGCTCACAGCTAGCGAAAAACCTTTTTCTTTGACTTTTCTACAATTTTATTTGTTTGCAAAACATCTTTGAAAAACAGCTTTTCAATTTTTCCTCAATTCATGGGGAGAAAGGTAGATTCTTCCGCCAAATTAAGCTCGGAAACAGAAATAGCAATAACAGAGTATTATACCCTATCTCAAGTTGCATGAAAAAACACACAGTAAAAACCGTTTTCAAATTTCTATTGATATACTAGTTTTCCCATTATTTTTACTTCAGTAAGTTGTTTGTAAATGTAGCGTATTTTTTATTCATACTTAACCTAAAACACAAAAAAAATAAAACAAAAAGAACATTCGAAACTTCACTAACAAAAAACTCTTTGGATTTCAGATGAAATTCCACTTTGACAATTCAATAATGAACATCCAGATCGTAGGGTTCCCTGCAACACAAGTCATAATAATCATAAAATTGGACGAAGTATAGATGCTGGTATCAATTAATGAACGTTGATTTCTTTAATATACGTGATTTTTGCAAAATATATTAGTACATGCAGACGAAATGATCTTACAAAACAACTGTTCAAAAGACATTCGTTTAAAATATTTTAACATCACCTCATTTCAATGCAGATGGTTATTTGTGGTAAGTGAAAAAGATTATTTTATACGGCAAAATAAATATTTGGAAGACAAACCGTAAATTCTCTCCCATTTATCTTGCATGGACAGGCTATGGGATAAATACATCTTCCATTTGAAAAGATTCTTTTATTTGGACAGAAACATCCTCTACGTTTTTTTTCACGGGGACATTCACCTGACGTACAATCACCACATTTCCACTCGCAGCCATCATTTTTTAAAGTTCTTATCGTACGTGAACATATCACTGTATCATCCTACAAAAAATATTTAAAGTTTAATAAAGAACTACACATCATTAAAACATGGATTGACAACGATCGTGATAAAGGCAAACTTTGTCCAATATATAAATGAATTCCATTGGGACACAATTAATGTACTGGTCTTAGCCGACACAATGTACAAGAACCATCCTCAGACACTTTTACTGCTATATACGTCATACCTTACATTCACAAAAATTGCAATTGTCAAGATTATCCCATTTATCACCATCTTTATACCGTTTTCCTTTCATGGTACAACTTTTAACGGATTTGACGCAATATATTCTCCCTTTCTGAAAACACAAATATCTAAATTGAGAACGGTTTTAATTTGTAACATCTAATATAAAATACAAAACTTACATCACAACTACATTCAGTTAAGTTTCCTTCTTGCCATTTTTCCATATTATTACGTTGGTTGCCATTAGCATCAACACAATCATCATCTTTTGGAACCTTTTAAGAGAAACTATTTCGTCAATTGCACTTTTTCGCCTTTAACAAGCAACAACATGCTATGTGAGATGTTTTTAAAGTATATGAAAAAAACACTTGTAAAAAAAAACACACAATGTTGGTAAAATTTCATCATAGCAAGATTTTGGAGAAATTTCAAATCCACGGATGTTGTTGTATTTGAATGTTGTTAACGTTTACTTTTGCTTCAGTCAACGGTTACAAAAATAGTGATGGTAAATATAATATGTCGTTAATATGTTTTACATGCTGAATAAGATGTTTTACATATCATCAAAAGATTCTTCTTCATAATTTCGCTATGGAAAGCATGTTTCATGATAAGCTGACATTTATTATCATTTTTCAGGACTGTCCTAAACAGGACAATCAACATTTAACAATTTAGATGTAGTATGAAATATACTGCAACATTTTCTTAAATGATTTCTTCATGAGCATCATATTCTTCTTTAACTGAATAAGTCACGCCATCATCAGCGCGACAATTATTTATATTAAGTTGACACTACGTTTACACGATGCCGGTACGGTACGTATGAACGGCGTCTAAATGGTTTAAATCCGAGAGTATCAATACATCCTTATAGATGTAGATCATCCAGGTTAGTAGAGTCCTGAGAAGGACTGTTGGTGTTGATGTTGACTAACGTTTCGATGTCAAGGCTACAATGCTGACAATTTTCTTTTTTGAAAGTTTGGCTAGTGTGCAAATTTTTTCAATTTCATTTACAAAAGTTAGTTATATAAAACCGACCATTTTTAAAACCAAATTATTGCAAGTTTGATGAATCTATTTTAGCAGAATCGCATTTAAGAAACTCTAACTCGGGGCGTAGCTCTGTAAACAAGACTTACATTGTTTGTTGGACATGTTACAGGAGCTGGTGTCGACTTTGCGATATTTTGTTCAACTAGAAATAGAAGAACTTTATCATTTCATAATCCACTTGGTTCAATCACGTGGTCAATCACGTGACCAATTATATTTTCAAAACTAAGCTTCACTCGATAAACCATCCATTGGTATCCCAAAACACTTACTTATATACGTGCAATTGGGTTGACCAAAACTTATGATCACATCTTGCAACTTTCCCTGTGAAAAAATGATTAAATAAAATTAATTATAAAATAAAATACAGCTGGATACAACGATAAAACAGAACTAACCACGAATCGTTCACGGATTAAAAAAACGTATTCATCTCCACTCAAATACTGTTGTGCCAATCTCAAATCACCGTTTGGATGAAATGCATCTATGGGTCTATCTTGGTTGGCAATTCCAGTATAACGATAGTACTTTTTACCACTTGGTACTTCAATTCTACACCTTGCTAAACGTTCATCCATATACATTCGAACCTCCAAATGTACCCATTCATTCTTAGGTATATTTCGGCCAAATACACAAAACGATGATTCCGGAATGCCTCTTATTAAGAAAGATACGCCAACTTGTGGTACGTTATTATTCCAACTAAAAAATGAGAAAGAAAATATTCGATAACCTATTTCATAGTAGTAGTGTTGTGAAAAAACTTTAATTATGTAAATGTGAAAATGTTCTAAAATGCTTTTTAAAAGCAGTTAATTTGAATTATGAAACAACGAAGAGTAAATATATTAAATTCAAATGAAAATTTCTTCGAGAAAAACTAAACTCAGAAAAATTTAAGTCTCTATGTACTTGTATGTAACGGCAAAGCCCGCACGGTTAGGACGATCAGGATTTGATAAAAATACAATAGTTCCACCATTTTCGCCATCGGCTACACGAAGATTAGCCATTACAGTAAATTCTCTCAGTAAAATTGAATTTTTGACGAAAGAACTAGAAACATTTGAAGGTGCAACCAAATCAGAAGCATTTGAAGGAAAATCGTATGCGTTTTGACCGCCAAAAGGTGAGCCATTTGTAGGTTTTAAGCCTGAGAGATCAACAACATCAAACATAACAATGTTGGCAGGCGTTTCGAGCGTTTTTGCGACTTTCTGACCTATAAAAAAATACATATGTGATTTAATATTCTCTATGAAGTATTTATGACGCTAAATTTCGCCACTCAATTTTCTGATTACAATCAAACTATTAACTATGTGTTTCCAGAACTTTCCACCTTTCCACTTTCTGTACACTTTGGTTGTAACACAACACAGTTACTTCCATTGTTTTACTTCGGCGGACAATAAAGACAACGCAATGTATAATATTAAAGTAACAAAAGAAAATTGAAGATGGAAGAAAACTACAAATATCATTGGCAGTAATTATGTTTAACTCGTTGAGAGTTCATGTCAGTAAAAATAGGTACGTAAAGTGTAATGAAAATGGAGTTGTGTTGTCTTTCTATGGTTTTTCATCATTATAAAGCTGGTTTGTTAACTTTTTATAAAGCTACTGCGATAAATGCCTCCCAAATAGCGTCTTGCCTCATCTGTAGCTCTATTTTTTTGACTGACGTCACATTACTGCGTACTCGAGACCAATGCATATTGCATAGCGGTTATTATAATTCTTTAGTGTAGAATAGAACCCCAAGATAAACAACAATTATATTTTATCAGGAGCGTACGTAGATAAGTCTATGTTTGCGAGGGAAGTCAAAAGACGCAACAAACACATAAATTTACATAAAATTCAATGGATAGAAGGAAAAATTGATAACGTTACAGAAACTCATTAAAATCACGTTTTTCTATGTATACATAATTTACTTCCACGTTATGACGTGAAGAACGTATATCGACTTTAGAAATATGTTTAATATCTTCGTAACAATACATATGTTTGCCATATAGTGACTTGTTATAAACCCAACACATACCAGTAAAGAATAAAAGCACTCCAAGGAAAATATGTGACAACATCTTGAATCGGTATTTTAGACAAACCTGACCACCTTTTATTATACAACGGATGTATATGGTAAGCTATGCTAATTATATTACAAATTAATAACCACTGGACCTTACGCATTTCCTTAAATTGTCATATGACAGCACTGCAGGAAAAAAGAATCTACAAGGTGTACTTGTCTTTTGTCGAAGAAAATTAATGTTTTATGCATGGCAAACAAGACTTTTTTATTAAATAAAAAAGATGACAGGTGTAAGAGAAGAGGAAATTAGTTTTCATAGTTAAGATGAATTGAAAGCAAGATTATAAAGTCTGCGTGCGATCAAGCTTGTGTGAATTTTGAGTGATAATACACTAAACTTTTAAGATCCATCGATATAGAAAGATCTTTTTCAAGGCTTATATGATGCCACACAAGTATCGTGCCTTCTTTGTCTAGATAGAACAGACCTTAAAAGGAAAGTAAATAATGCAACATTATCATGTAGTCCAAAATAACCAATGATGTAAGTGGTTTGATTAAAACACACGAACACCACTTGGCATCCGGATGTAAGTTATGACGTTGTCTAGGGTTTGTGTAGTACGTCCAAAAGAGATGATTTCCCTTTCCACTTTTTGCACGAACATCTCAATAACACGATGTATCATATGCACATAGATGACAATGTTATTTTTTGCACACAAATGATATAAGCATTTAAATTATAAACTTGAAACAGTTACAATTAATGAAATTTATAAATGAAGATGTTATTAAAATTTTTATTTAACAAACCAACAAAACCATGCACATATTAAACCACGGCACTTAAAAATAGCAAACAAAGAAAATATTTTCTCACTATTTCCATGCGAACCTATACATTTAATTTTGATCGGTTGAAAAATCTAAATCTAGTCCAGTCCATTCGATTTTGCCATAAAGGGTTTACCTCGTATAAAAAATTTACAAAATTGACTCGAAAACTACGTGCTTTCATTAGTGCTTGTAGCAGGGTGGCAGTATATTGTACTTGAAAACCACCGAAATTATAAGACAGTGATGATCTGATGATCACAAATGTTGTTTCTTTATAAAAAGAGAAACAAAAATAGTACATTGCAAATGCTCATCAGTATCAGTTTGAATATGTAAATATTAACATCATGCATTAACAGCGTCTTTTTTGTTTTTACAAAAAGCTTTCGCCAAACATGTAAATATTTGTCGAGATATTTGGCATAAAAAACTGAAGTGTTGATAACAAGTGTTTTCTAAGATCTTTGTTTCACTACAAATTTTCGTTTTTGTTTTTTCTAAATTAATTATAATTTTTAATGAAGCTGTGCAGCCTTTGACCAAATTTTGGAAGGGGGAAATGAGTGAATTAAATTCAATGTAAATATAACTACAAAACCAAAATCTATCCCTAAACAAATTTAAACCATCAGATACACCGAGAGTTGCTCAAGATAATCGCCATGTTCGAAGACTTTACTGTCATGAAACGGTGAAAAATTAAAAATTTTTAATGCAATGACTCATGTAATAAATTGCTTTCGAAACAGCTAGTAACTTTATTTTCGTATCAGCAAACCAAGACATTTTAAAGCAACTAAATCTAGAAAAAGTTTTTAATCGTTGGACAAATCAAAAAGCCCGACATATGTTACTAAAACATGTTTCCTTGCACGTGTAAATATTGAAATGATAAATAAAATGATTCTGTTGCTGAGCTTTCACTTCATTACAAAGTAAAATTTGGTAATGTATTATTACATTTTCTCAATTTCAATAATCTAAATTTCAGAACTTGTCAGTATTCTTTGTGTAGTTTCACTGCCAAATTGAAATACTGAGGCAAAAATTCATTTAGAAAAACCGTCTAAATACTGAACTGGTAACACTCGACATCCGGATTTTCGTGTTGTGACGTCAAGGTCTTATACTAATGCTCGAATTTTAAA